AATTTTCGGATCACTTTCAGGCCTAAAGCTTAATCGAAATAAAACAGAGGGGATATGGGTCGAAAATTTAAAGTCCTGTGAAGATAAAGTTGAAAACATTAAGTGGACACAAGAACCGATAAAAGTATAAGGAATATATTTTGGACTTAATGAAAATGAGTGTAAAAAATTCAACTTGCAAAGACAATACGAAAAATCGGAAAAAACTAATTAAAGATTGGAATAAAAGAAAATTAACTGTGCTAGGTAAAATAACTCTTGTTAAATCACTAATCCTACTAAATATCACCTATGTTGCATCAGTAACAGATATTGATAAAGAATACCTCGCAAAATTTAAAAAAATAACGTATAGTTTTATATGGAATAATAAACCAGAAAAAGTTAAACGAGCTATTATAAGTAAAAATAATCATGCTGGCGGGCTTTAAATGATAGACATAGATAAATATATAGAATCCATAAATATTAATTGGGTTAAAGACTCATTGATAATCAAGACTCATCACCCAATAGGAAAGTCTTACCAAAATTTTACATAAACAAATTTGGACAAGAATTCCTTATATTTAAAATGGACTTTAACAATATTAATTTGATTTATAAACTTAAAAAAATTGTTCCAGAATTTTACTTAAATAATCATATCATGGATAAATTCAAAATCTGAAAAAGAATCAGATCGACTAACATATAAACATATCAGACAGCAACTAATATAGGGCAATAAGCATATCAAATTAAATGGTAAATGTCTTATTTTCAAAAATTGGATAAACAGTCAAATTTAATTTGTAAATGACATAATTGATGATAAAGGAAAGATTAACCAAAATAAGATTTTAGATAAACTATGTTGGCATGCTAATTGGTTTTCGGAATATACTAAATTGATGAAAGCAATACCAAAACAGTGGTTACAAGAGCTAATAAAAGACGAATCAATTAAAACAAAAGTCGCTACCCACTCCAAATTTAAATTCCAAGATAGAGAAGGGAAAATGGTACCAATAAAAACATTTTCCTGCAAAGATATCTACATCTCCCTTTTAAATAGATATTATGAGAAAGCAATAGGATTTCAAAAATTGGACAGAGTTCTTGATTTAGATAACAATACAAAGAAAAGAGAACAAATGTTGTACTTGATCTTTAACTATATTCAAGATAATAAATTGAGAATGTTAAGATTGAAATTTCTATATTACATTTTACCAACCAAACAATTACTTTTCTCTTGGAAAATAACTAAAACTCCTTTATGTAATATATGTAATGTCATTGAAGATTATGAATATTACTTTTTGACATGCAAATATCTGAAATGATTTTGGAATCAAATAAAACTAATACTAGACAAACTTAAAATAAGACATCATATAATATCACTTGCATCACTTTTGTATGGATACAAGATAAACGATACAAATTATTACAATATTAACGATTTTCTAACAATCATACTTTTTACTATATATAAAGTATATTATATATCCGAGCAGAAAACAAAACAAATTAATGTATTTGAAATTTTTAGAAATGAACGTGTCCAACATTACGAAATATTGACAAATAAACAAGGCAAATATAAAAACTCTTACAATTTGGTTGCAAAAAAAAATTGATTTATCTTCTTAAACTAAGAATATATCATAAAAATTTCTTTTTATTATGTTACACATTATTTATTAGCAAAACTGTATATTGTGTACTAACAAGTACTAACCTTATCACTGAAAAGCTATATACTAACGTTAACGAGGCCGGGGTAAGGTACATTTCAAATAAAATTATATAGAATTTAAAAAAAAATAAATGACAACTGAAATGTTCAAATTGTCGTAACCACAATTCGCCACTTTTCTAGATCTCAACCATTAACCATTAATTGGTGTTGTCAGTTTATTTTCGACTTATCAGATTGAATGTCCCTTTGATATCTTTTGCCTCTCTTTTAAGTCAATTTGGTTAAAATGTCATTACCTTTCCTACATTAATAGCAAAAAATACGTCCTGTCCGCCAGTAATAAGGTGTTGAATTCAAATGTGCATAAATATTTTCTATGTGATACAAGTGATTTTAAGAGAAGTTTTCCATCAAAAATACATGAAACTGGAAAAAATCTTCTCCTTATCATTCATTTTAGATATATAACGATCTATATATATCAGATCTATCAGGTAAAATATTGAAGAGCTTATTCGCGTAATGGCTCACAAAAAATCAGACACAATATTTCAAATCACTGATCTAAGTGATCTGTTGCCAGTATGAAGTGATTAAAAAGTGGCAACAGATATCAAAGGGAAAACCAGAAAGTCAGAAGGTGAAAAGAGAGACCAATAAAATCATGGCAAAAAAATAAAAATAGATGAAAAGACTAACAATAATTCATAAAATTATGAAATGTATTATTTAGTGAGAGGACATCATTTATCAAGCGGAATGTGAAGTTAAAGGATACTTTTTACTCCTTTACAGTTTTCCTGAGAAGTTACAGTATGAAGTCTGGTTCATATGAATTAAGCAATAGTCCAGCAAGAAAATAAAATGGTTACCATATCGATGGCAAAGGCAAAATGAACAAGAGGCTCTCAAGAGCCTGAATCGCTCACCTGTATTTTTATGCTTAAATCTTTCATCAATGATTATTTTTGCTTTTCAATTTATATCAATGAGTGGCTTAAAATGCCATTTAAATGTTCTTTGTATCTGTCATATTTTCTTCAAAAGCAAAAAAATGAATTGTACCCCTATGTCCCATTTTAGCCATAGTGGCTATGTTTCTTGATGTACAAGGAAATAAAATACAAAATTAATACTAGATACTCTGAAACTCATTCAGCCCCAGTTTGGCTGAAATTGATTCAGCAGTTTCAAAGGAGAAGATTTTTCAAAGTAAGCAAACTAGATAAACAAATTGTGAAAAATTGTCTTTAAAGGACAATAACTCCTTAAGGGGTCAATCGACAATTTTTGTCATATAAAAGTTATTTGTAGATCTTACATTGCTGAATATTTTTGCTGTTTACAGTTTATCTTTATTTCTAATAATATTCAAGATAATAACCGAAAACTGCAAAATTTCCTTAAGATCATCAATTCAGGGACAATTACCTAAAAATCAGATACCGTATTTGGCTGACAATTTCAGGGCAGGTAGACCTTAACCTAATGAATGCTTTAACTTCTTGTCTGATCTGCTCTAAATGCTTTAGTTTTTGAGATATAAGTGAAAAATTGCATTTTACCCTATGTTTTATTTTTAGCCATGGCGGCCATGTTTTCTGAGGAAACAGAAAATAAAACACAAACTTTATTTTAGATACCCTAAGGATCATTCAGCTAAAGTTTGGTTGAAATTGTTTTAGTAGTTTCAGAGGAGAAGATGTTTGAAATAGTTTACACCGGACGGACGACGACGGACGCCAAGTGATGGCAAAAGCTCACATTTCCTTTTCAAAGGTGAGCTAAAAAGGCGAGGGGGCAATTATTTTGAAAACGCCGAAAGTATATATAATATAAAACATCCAAATGAGAAAATTTATTTCTGCAAGATGTTTACCATATACTTTGGTTTACAAAAACACTTCCAAGATTTGAAATAAAACAATCACACGATTACATTGTTTTACCTACGTTTATGTACATGGATTTAAAATTTCTTTTGAAGTAACATTGAAAAAGTGGAATGAACTGTAAATCTTTGATGCCACAGTTTTATGTATTCCGTCATTGTAAGGCTGACGTTCTTTTCTAATCAGTGTAAATTGGACAGTTTGCCTAAAAAAGAAGAGTTTATATAAACGTTATGATATTTTGAATATTTTTAGTTTCGTTGGTCTTATAACTAATATTTGTTTGTATTTTTCTATAGTTAAAAAAATTTAATTCATTACATAATCTCATCTTCCAATAATACAAAATTAAAGCGCAAGCTGTTTTTGACTCATAATTAAGTTTTTTTCTGCTTTCTCAGATTAGTTATAATAGCTTTTTATCTGAGATCGCCCCGGTTTTTGGTGGTGTTCGTGCTGCAAGGTCTTTAGTCTTCTATGTTGTGTTTTGTATACTGTTGTCTGTTTTTTTGTTGTTTTTCGCTTTTTGCCATGTTGCGGTCAGTTTATCTTTTAATAACTTGAATGTTCTTTAGTATCTTCTCCCTCTGTTGATGAAAACTTACAATGAAGTGTTTCTCCCATTCAACCATGTAACGAAACATTATACCAGACGTTTGTTGTGACATTAAACAAATTTCAGGGTTGATTCATATGTAGACGTAAAATTAGTTTGAATGGTTCATGACTTAGACCCTAACAAAGTGATGTCAAATCCTTTTCAGTTATAAGTTTTGTGATAATAATCATAATATACAATGACGGAGCATGAAGAGAAGATATACAAGATACATGAACACCGAATTGTTCTAATTGTTCACTGGTTTAGTTTTAAATGAGAATGGTTCTCGTCCTTTTTGTTAACGTAATGTCAAGTGTGGTTAAATCAAATACGTAATGAATCTTAATAGTTGCTGTGTTTCCATTAAAAGTTGAACAAAATGTCAAGCAGTGGTTTTCAAGTAATTTCAATTAAGAGATAAAAACGTTCATACCATCAGGAAATAAAAGGCTTTCTGTGATCATGAGTTTCTATTAAAACAGTGCAAGTCTCTGATTACAACGGAATTAATAACGTGCATATTTAACCATATTGTTAATAAGTCAAAGTGATAATTCGTAATAACTACATGTATTATGACATGATGACAAATATGTTTGTTGTAGGAAGAAAACGAAATGACTCTGAGTACAGATTTTTTTAAATAACCATAATCCAAAAGTACATAGAAATATGACATGGCGACATTTAAAAGTTTCAATTATATCTAACAAATTCATCATTTGCGGTTCAGTTATACACTTCCTTGTGTGTATGTCAACTATGAGAAAAATAATTGAAAAGGGTATAAAAGAGCGATTTTGAAGCAGTTAAACACTATTCACTAGAATAAATTCCAATTGCTTTAAACAAAGGTAAGAAATAGTTTAAACATAGATATTTCTTTTAAATAAATATGATAGATATACAAAACATTATTAATGCAAAAAGTGACAAAGATAAACAAGAAATAAGTCATTAAAAAGTTAGAAAGGGGATTGATAAAGTTTATAGAGTACAATACAAATGATACCATAATAATTTTCTGTATGTTAAAAATATATATTACAATGAAAAAACATTTAAGAAAGCAGTTGTTCCCTTGTAAGAAAGTTGTAAATCGATTTTATAAAGAAAAGTATAAAAAAAGTTGTTCACAGTTCAACATTTCTTTATTTATTTAAGTAATTGGAAAGTAAGCGACTATTCCAGTAATAAAATACTGCTTCGAAATCTAATTTATTTCTTTTTTTTTAATATATATCGGAAGTGAAAACCCGGCTGAAATAATTATTTGAGATATTGAAGATGCTAAATACTTTGCTACAAGATTTGGAATATTTCATCTCATTTAGAAAAGAGATGTGCATTTCTAATCGGTGGATGACATTGCTATTTTGCTTCAATGTCTTTTTCTTCATTTTTTAATTTGCGAATCAATCTAACTCATATCTTTCTTATTTGTAAATTCCATCTAATCTCCTTGAAATATAATATTGTTTTATACACTGAAACTTTATATTTCATGATTTATTTATATGATTCATTGTCCGGACTTGGCTATACTCTATTTCTGTTTTTCGTTCTTTTTTCGTACATAAATTAGGCCGTTAGTTTTCTCGTTTGAATTGTTTTACATTGTCATTTCGGGGCCTTTTATAGCTGACTGTGCGGTATGGGCTTTGCTCATTGTTGAAGGCCGTACGGTGACCTATAGTTGTTAATTTCTGTGTCATTTGGTCTCTTGTGGAGAGTTGTCTCATTGGCAATCAAACCACATCTTCTTTTTTATATCTATGTTCTTTTTTTGGTTTGATCAGCTATTCAAGATCGGTATTACCTTTTGAATTTCAAATATGTTTGTCTCGAGTATCACAAATTGACATTTATTGTAGAAATGCTCATCTGGTGTGATAATATTGATACTGTTATTGTTATCACTGATGACACAATATCCATTGAGCTTGGTCGTTTTTTTTTTATCTCGCATATATCCCTAAAAGTTCTTTAAATACTTAAATTCAAAAATTCTTTTTTCTTAAATGTTTTTTTTTTATTCACATAATAATGCCTTTTGCAGATATAATCCTTACAAATTATATAAATTTTGCATAACCTGTAGCTCGAAAACATGCACAATTAAACCTCAATTTTGGATTCGTTTGAAAAAAATTCTGTCCTTTCATTATACCCCCAAGCTAACAGTAATCTCTCCGATGATTTTTTCCGACATATAACTGTCTTGCATGTCCTTAGTAAAAGCAAGCATTTTTTTTTATATTCACTGTTTTGTGTGATTCATGTGCCGATTATGATTTTCCGAGATTTTATTTAGACATAATATTCATCCTGTTTATTTCAGAGTTCTTAGAGATGATGAGATTCCAGACCATTTTCTTTTCGATGGCGTTGACCACAATGACAGTGGCAGGTAAGAAAAATATTCGATTTGCTTTTTCCGAGATTTATAGGCTGTTTAAAAAAAAGTGTTTAAGTTGTTGAGATAAAAAAAAAACTAGATACCTTACCGTAGAAAAATCGTCAAAAAGATATAATTTCAGTACATATTTGTGTAAATTATAATAGAAAACCTTGAAACAAATAGTTTTTGTGTTTTGAATTTTCACCTTTCGTTATATGGGGTCTTTTATAGCTTACTATACGGTTTGGGCTTTGCTCAGTGCTTAACCGTACGCTCCCTGCAGTTGTTAACATCCTTGTCATTTGATCTATGGTGGATACTAAGTAGTTGTCTTAATGAAAAAAATACCAGACATCCTTATATCTATATGATAAAAGATCATATCCATTGTTTTTGAATTACTAGATTTGTGAAAATTATATAAAGTGTCAGGTATTTAATTTTACAGCCTATGCACCCACGGAAAAGCATGCATTAGATATACATGGAGTGAAGAAGGTTTTACAGGCCGAAAACACTGTTGGGAGAGACTTTAACGGGCGTCGTGGTGTCGGCTCCCTTTCTGTACTGGATGTTATTGATGCAAATAGACGAGCAGGATCAAGAGCAGTTGGAACATCTCATGGAATAGGCAATGAATTTATAAGACACGGGTCATCAGCCAGTAGAGGATTGTCTGGGGGTTCTATTGGAGGCAGGACATCTGTATCTGAAATCATTAGAAGCTCTTCAGCTGGTGTTTCCCGTGCTTTACCTGACGATGACAGTATCAGTAGCTGTCATTATGGGTGTGGAGGAGATAAATTATGTCGTTCAGGACATAAATGTATTCAAAATGGCTGTAGCAGCTACTGCGTCGAAATTTCTTCTGGAAGTATAATTGGTGCATCTGGATTGTCGGACTCTATAAAAAGGGAAATAATTAGAAGTTTATCATCTGGCTTTACCAGAGTTTCCAGCAATGATGGTAATTTATCATCTGGCAGCAGAATTGGTTCATCTGGTCTGGCTAGAAATTTGGATCTATCTAGAAATGCTCATTTGGAAACTATAGGTAGTAGCCGTGCAATATCTGGTCATACAGGTTCAGATATTCTTGACGCAATTACCTCTAGACGAAGTGGGCTTGATGTATTGGACACAGTTTCCTTAAGACGAAGTGGATCAGTTAGTTCTTCAGGGTCAGGAATCGTTTCTCAGTCAGTGGTAGGAGGAAAAACTGGTTGCAAGACAGACTGTTATCGTGATTCAGATTGTCCATCAAACAAATATTGTGCCACTGTTAATTGCCACAAAATTTGCCGTAGAAAGCCGTCTAAAGGATACACACGATAGACAAAAGATGAAATCCAAAATTTCTACACATACAAACTATTTCTTTCTTATGAAATAAAATGTTATACAAATCTTGCTTTATAATAATGGTGTTTGATATCATACCATAAAAATGTAAATGAATAAGACAACACCGCAATCTTGATCATAAAAATAATTACAACATTCGTACTGATAATTAAAAACACACATATACTCGTACAGAAATAAGTTACGGGATTGTTATTAAATGTACACTACTCACAAATATTGAAATAGACATGCGCCAAACAATAGCAAACCTGTAAACACTTATTCATAAATGCTATAAAAGGGGAAAAAGCGATAAGGTTTACTTCGATATGCAATAAAATATTTCTCCATGTATCTAATGATTAAGTAATAGTAATTAAAATATTGAACAGCAAAATGAAAAAAACTAGCCTAGCAAGACGTCATAATTATTTGGACTAGGGAGACACTGTAAATTACTCATAGAAACAAAATTATGTCCCCTTTGTAAACAAAAAATTGACGATGAACTTCATTTTGCAATAAAATCTCATATGTTAGAAAATTAGAGAAAAATAGCTACGATTCAGACAAAAATATAAAATATGGTTCTTTTTGTTTCAATTTTATATTAATAAAAGCGGAAATTTGAAATAACATTTCGCACGTTATCAGCAGTAAATTTGGCCCGAACTTCTCAAGATAAGCTCAAAAACATCGCTGATGTATTATTGATTTGCAAGTCAATAATTTAACCTGTTTGAATCCGTATTCATGTGATCTTCTATTTAACCCCTTGGTTAGAAATGGGTTACGCATTTACTAGGCGTATTCTGCTAGTATTAAAAGGTAAAGAATGTCAACATTGAAAGAGAAACAAGGCTGAACCATTTGGTTGACCGATTCGATCCACAAAAAAAATTCCTATACAGGTAAAAACGATGATTGATATATCTTTAACCTATAATATGAAATCAAACACACAGAAAAGAAAATCAAATTGCACGTGCTTGCTATTTATTTTTATCTGGTTATGTGACCTTCGGCAGTCTTCGGAGGTCATCTCTTTTGTTAATTAGATGGCGTCTAGTCTAGAATACACACGAAATACTGATACTGGTAATTTGGATATACGTTTTAGTATGTTTCATGAGAATTTGAGTCAAATCGGCGAATACTAGTCTGACAGCTCACAAAGTTAAAAGAATAGTCCAATCATTCAAAAATGTGTATGATGAAGAAGAATTTATTATTTTTGTTGCTGGTCATTTGTAACCTGAAAGAGTGCTGGGAGAAAATACAAGGGACCTTGAAAATTTTAGGAATGGAAAAGGGTATACAATTTGTTAATACTTCGGATGGGGCATGGAATCTTTTTGCTACAAGATTTTAGTAATGCTGTATTTCAAACATGCAAAAATTATATTAGCAGCTAGTTTGATAAATACGCTAAATCAGTATCTGATTATTCAGCAAAAGCGTCTAACACTTGATTCAGATGTCATATCCTATCTCTATTGTCATCTTTTTGGGCTTCAAACTTCATTTCAATGGTTGTTTCGTGTGAGTCATGGGCATCTTCTGTTTGTCAGTTGGACATGTAGAACGACAATAAAAGGGACTGATGGTTTGATGTCTTAGTTTTTGCAGGTTTTCTTGAAGCTTTAAGGATTATACAACTTTAAATATATAAAAACTTATAATGCTAATAGCTGTTTCCTTACATGATTAATTGCGAAATTCATGATCAACTGATTTCAATGATTATGATAATATCTGGGAGTCAACTACTACAAGGGGAATTTTAACGACCATGACTACCAATGAGGGTCTCGTACGGTCGGTACTAAATGTTCATGTTTGGTCATGAGACAGCATTCCCAACACTGACAGAATTTGCTTTCTTCTATTTCAAAATTACATACATTTTTCGAAATACAGCAAGAATTCTAAGTGTGGCATTTTTGACATGTCTTTACTTGAAAAATATTCCTTTATTACTTGGAGAGGCGACCCATACCGAACACTTCTCCCCACAAAAAATATATTTTATTTGGCACGAAAGACATAACTCTTTTTTTTCGTCTTGTTCCGCTTGGCTCAACTGTTGAGATTTAAATCCTAAGTTTCAACATATATATTCTTCCAAGAAAGCATTTTTATCTGAAGTTAATTTAATAACTTCTTTAATAAAGGATAGGAACAATGTGCTGAAATTGAATGAAGGTGTGGTAAATGTCAACCATAACTGGCATATCCAAATACAGTTCCATGAAGTCACTTCCCTAATTGAAACTCTATATCCACTACTGATGCTATATTTTACTGAATAATGATACTATAAATAGAAATTGTATGCCAGTATTTCTTGTTACAAAGATTTAAAGTATTGAGAAATGTTGGGGTGAAATTTCATGTCTTTTGAAGGGGGATCTAGAATCTATTTTCTTTTTAACGGTAGGGAAAAAAATAAGAGAACTTTCGATGTTTCCTCCCAGGTCCCCCTAATGAAAAAAATGTCCAGTCCATAAATGAGTATAACCTCCTGGGACATAATATATTGAGTATACTATTCCCAGGTATATTACAGCCGATTCCAACGAGTGTGTAGCTAAAGGTAGAATCTTTGGGTAGCTTCCTTGCAAGCTCAACCATGAAATGATTATTACCTTAAAATTGGGAGGAGCAAAGCGCTATTTTATCATCCTATGAAAACATTTATATTAATGGGCTGTTTATTATTTATAATATATGTATGTTTCATACAAAGGTTTACCTAGATATAGGAAGATGTGGTATGAGTGCCAATGAACCAACTCTCCATCCAAGTTACAATTTATAAAAGTAAACCATAATAGGTCAAGGTACGGCCTTCAACACGGAGCATTGGCTCTCACCGAACAGCAAGCTATAAAGGGCCCCAAAAAATTACTAGTGTAAAACCATTCAAACGGAAAAACCAACGGTCTAATCTATATAAAAACGAGAAACGAGAAACACGTATGAACTACATAAACAGACGACAACTACTGGACTACTTTGCAAATGAAATTTCATTTCTTAGTCTTTGATTGAATTTAAAAAAAAAATTTTATTACAATAAATCAGAAGCGGAGTGACGTTTTTTTTTTTTAAATATTTACGCCGTGAATAGGCAGTTTAGTTAATTAATGTCTTTTGGTGTATTCCGCACGCATAAAACATTGTTATGTATTTTCTTTATATATTCATATTTTTTAGAACTAAAATCTTTTATATTCACACAGAAAAGAAAAATTATCATACTACTTTAAAATATCATGCACGGTTGTAGTACTTTTATTTAGTTAAAAATGCAACGAAAAAAAAAAAACAGCAAACAACTGCAGTTTAGAATTGAAAATATTGCAGAGTTTATTGACATCCACTTGGTTTGTTAACATTACCTTACTTATTAGTTTTAGATAAATAATGCAGCCATGAAGACCAATTTGTATGTCTCTACTTCAGTTAGATTTAATCTGACCTAGATTGAATGATCAGGTCATATGTACTTTTGAACACCTTCCAATCTTTTTTACCTGTCCGGGTGTATTGTAAACATATGTGTATGTGTAAAAGTGAATACGGTCAGCACTTGTCAATCATATCCAACTACATTTTATTAACTTGATGTAACAAATTCAACGACAGGTAAAATATATTATTATTTGTAATGTCTGACGAAGAAGAAAACATTTTAGGAATTTTAGCTTTCAGTTAACTTTTCACCATGCAGTTATCAAAATAAAATTGGCAAATCAAACACACCTACAACATGCTTGTGAATGAGCTTACAATTATCATTGAATTTTAAATTTAGATTGAAAACTAATTTCTAAACTGACTTGTAAAACTAGTTTTACAATGTTTATATTCTGTCACTTAATTCTGATTGGTTCTCTGCTTAAATATTGACGCCACCCAAAGGCTGGATGTACCATACCTAATAATGATTTCATGGTTGAGCTAGCAATAAGTGGTTGGTATTTTATACCGTTCGACAAAATTTGATAATTTCTAAATTTCTTGAAAAAAATATTTTGTTTCAGGAGGGAATGAAAAAAATATTTTGTTAAAAAAAAAAAAAAAAAATGTCATGCACACACATACCATTAAACAAAATTAATAGAAATTCATATTTTCTGATTTCCGGTACAGTATAAAAATCACTACCTGCTTGGGAATTCAAGTTGAATAAATTTTGGTCATTGAAAATGATAAGTTTTAGTTTTATTCAATCTGATTAAATCTGCTACTAGACGTTGCAGACTCTTCAGTGTATTTTTTTATTCGTTGGTCGAGGTACGGCGGAGCTACGTCGGCCACAAAGGCTGGAATTCCTGGAATTTATTGAAACATCATGGAGACTGGAGATGGCTGACTGTTTTAAACAAGCCAGTGTTAATATGGATCGAGTTACTTCAGCCATGAATTGTTTATAAGTAGTCAGTTTTAGGGGATTGTGTGTGTGTCTATGTTTTTTGTTTTTGTCTTAGTTTTTTTCATGTTTGGCGACTTCGTTTGGGTTCAGCAAGGATTTGTACGAATTCTTGGGTTCAGGTACTTCGTATTGACACTTTGTTCATTGTAGCTTATTGATATCATGTTTGGCGACTTCGTTTGGGTTCAGCAAGGATTTGTACGAATTCTTGGGTTCAGGTACTTCGTATTGACACTTTGTTCATTGTAGCTTATTGATATCATGTTTGGTATAACTAAATATGATTGCATTATCATAATGAAGCACCGTTCGCCAAACACTATTAGTTGTCAATTAATCAAACAATCAATCAATCAATCAATAAGTCAGTCTGACAGATCATGTGTCTATGCTTTGCTGACAAGACACATTTGTCTCAACTCAATCGTCTCTATAAGTTTGAATATAATGAACATATCTTACACTTCCTTCGCCAATGATGACAGACTAGTGAACATACCTGATGTTCAGTGGTTGTCGTTTGTTGATGTGGTTCATAAGTGTTTCTCAATTGTCGTTTTTTATATAGATTAGACCGTTGGTTTTCCTGTTTGAATGGTTTTACACCGGCTAGTCATTTTTGGGGCCCTTTATAGCTTGCTGTTCGGTGTGAGCCAAGGCTCCGTGTTGAAGGCCGTACTTTGACCTATGAAGGTTTACTTTTACAAATTGTGACTTGGATGGAGAGTTGTCTCATTGGCACATCTTCTTATATCTATATATGAAATTTAATAAACGAGTATTAAATATGAAAATAAAAAGATGTGGTATGATTGCCAATGAGACAACTCTCCACAAGAGACCAAATGACACAGATATTAACATCTATAGGTCACCGTACGGCCTTCAACAATGGGTAAAACCCATACCGCATAGTCAGCTATAAAAGGCCCCGAAATGACAAATGTAAAACAATTCAAACGAGAAAACTAACGGCCTGATTTATGTACAAAATAATCGACAAAAAACAAATATGATATACAGCAACAAACGACAACCACTGAATTATAGGCTCCTGACTTGGGACAGGCACATACAGAATGTGGCGGGGTTAAGCTAGTTTAAAGGCTCACCAACCCTCCCCCTAACCTGGGACAGTTGTGTAACAGTACAACATAAGAACAAAACTATAAAAATTTAAAGACTTTAATTCACACGTGCATCTATGATTAACGCAAGATCTATTGGTTAGATGACCGTAAATACTAATATGTATTAAAATACAACTTCAAAAACTGTATTCGTAAACATTGCAATGCTACAATATTGCATTCATTTTTTTAATTTTATTTACAATGGCACCTTCTACGCATCCAGTGTGTGATTTTTGGAGCATTTTTAGTCCGACGCATTTTTGAAGATCATTACCTGCAGGAATATCGTCCAGGTGTACATCTTGAACGTTATACTCTTTTCTGTCTTTCAGCAAGTCAACTATTTGCTCTTTAAACTGTCTCATTGGCATATCCGACACTAGTCTAGCTAACTGCTGTGTTGTACCATGGACACGTCTGTATGTAAAATGACAGTATGATAAGGGTAGGCGAGTACTGAGTTAAATACATAAAACTATATTTTTTCGTCTTTGGCACTACTAAACTGTAGTATTATCTTGAAGAAATTTAAAACAATTGATACTTAAAAACTATATTCCGACATTATTTGTTGAATAAAAATAATAATAATGATAATAATAATAATGATAATGATAATGATGATAATAATAATAATAATAATAATAATAATTTTATTATTATTATTATTATTATTATTATTATTATTATTATTATTATTATTATTATTATTATTTAACATTGCAATGCTACATAATCAGATAATGGCATTCATTTTACTTCTACACATCCAGTGTGTGCTTTTTGGAGCAATTTTAGTCCGACGCATTTTTGAAGATCATTACCTGCAGGAATATCGGCACGGAAGAACGCGAAATAAAGTTGCCATTTCACGATGAACGAACAATTAAAAATTTCTTGCACGTTGATCTTTTTACTGATTTCAAGAAACACGGTGAATAACGAACCTTTTTCACGGCTGCACGTGAAATACAAATGGCAAAACACGTTGCACGAAAATAACCCTATTTATCATATGCTTGTATAAAATATTACTAAAATTTTACAGTTCAATAACATTTAAAAATATTAAAAGGCTATGAAAGGATTACTAGGTTTATTTATCAGATTCCTAAGAATTTCCTCAGCGGGCTGATAAAGGAACCTTTATTGACTGCTTCCGGAATGTTATCACATGCCTTTCCGTTAATTTCCGTGACGTTTATCACATGCAACGTCGTGCATTTCCGGAAATTTGTTCGAAAACGACAACACAGTGCGGAAAACCGCAAGTGATTTAAGACTTTCCACAAAATTGTTGAGGAGCAAATTTCAAACTAAGAACATGTTAATTGTTCTGACAAGATAAATAAAATGCTTGTAATATCAATAAAAACAATAAAAGTTAAGACATTTTTATTTGGTTGTCTGTAAATCATGTAAATTATTATCTAAAAAATTCATGGAAAGACAAAATTTTAATTAATAGTTCTTGCCTGTATTTCTTCTGTTGAAGTATATGATAAAAAGATAATTACATGTCATTTATCATATCAGCCCTCGTTCATGATATCAGCACTCGAGCCTACGGCTCTTGGGCTGATATCATGACCTAGGGCCGATAAAGGGTCTGATATGAAAAATGCCATGTGATAATCTTTACATACCAACCTCTTCAACGTAAGCATAGCCAGTGCCTATCTACTTTCACTTTCAGACTTTTCCCGCATAATCGCACACATGACTCGAAACATTATCCACCAATGGAAAATGTAGTTTCGTTTCAGGATTGAAAAGTTCCAAGCAACAAGAACAGTGTATACAGATTTGAAACACAATAAGAGAACAAACACAGTGCTTTTATATCTATTTATGTAAAATAAACGCAGAAGATGTAAAAACTTGCTTCTAAACTGTTGGTAAGTTCGTCATACTTCAAGCATTTAGCCATGAAAAATGATAGACAGATGATTAATAGTGGAACCGGTCTCGTTCGATCTTGTGGAGAGGAAAAATTAGATTTTTTTGGAAAAAAGGAACATTAGACGATAAAATTGTCAATACAGATAGACAATGTTTGTATTATTTGCAGAACATGTAATAATCCTATATCTATTGAACCACAAAATCTGGTTTCACTTTCATTATTAATTTTTGAAAATCCTCACAGCCATTTTATCCAAACAGAGAAATGCTATTGCAGTACCCTGGTCCCATGGGCTGATTTAGATTAAAGGTGCTTTGATATTGAATATTTGTATATGATTTAATATACCTTCAAACCTTCAAACCTAGTCAGACACATATTTATTACGATGCAGTCCGGTAAATCCGCCCACATAAGGCTTTGGTCATATGTATTTCTGCTTTATTATATACAAATTGTATCAAATTGTACATTAATATAAATCTATTCACTGACAAATCAACTTTGAGTAGTTTATCTCATTTCCCCCCCAAAAAATCTGAAATAAATTTTAAAATCAACAAAACAAGTGGGTCATCTGTGTTTTTATCAGAAATATGTTTGTCTGGTAAATCCACCCATCCGCAGTAAATATGTATGGAGGACCAGTTTATCGCAAATTTATGAAAAGAAAAGGTGATCTATTTACTAATAGACCTCTTATAAAGGGATTCCAGATAATCCAAAAAAATATTTCGTCAGAAAAGAGTTTTGTAAGCAATAATATGATTATCGTTAGCTTTAGGAATTGTATTATATATATATGTCACTAGATATTTTCGTAATAAAGGATTTTTCTTTAAAATTTGTCATGCAGTGATGATAAGTACAGTTCCTATATGAATAAAATAGCAGACGAAATATTTACGGAAGTGACAATTACGGAAGTAAATGGGAGTGGGTGGGTTTACCGGACGGGCAGAATTGCTGGACACTACTGTATGACTTAATTAGTGCCATTGTTGTGCTTCTTTCTAATTCCAGCCTATTTTTTTAGAATGTTTATAGTAAACACATAAAATTTATGGTTATTATCAATGAACCATATATACTATGTACATCTGTAGACTGATAAATTATACTTTCCTCATGAAATAATAAATCAAAATATGACTATGCATCCATAAGTTAGATCTCTTTAATAAAGATAACTAGTCTAGATGTGCTCTTTAAGTTTAAAGAATAAAACATTATCTTTGAATTGAAAAATTAAAATTTCGTGAACTTTATGTCAACTTGACCTATCCTAATTATTCCTTCTGATATTTAATCTTTTTAAAATTGTTATTATTTTTAAAATTGCCTTGATGTGGTATTTTCTGGATTATATTTTTGCCATGCATGATTACATGTTTGACTATTTCTAATTATTTGATTCTTGAAACTCCTTGTAGGAGATTCAGTGTGAACCAAGGCAACGTGTTGAAGGCCATTCTTTGACCTATAATGGTTTACTTTTACAAATTGTGACTTGGATGGAGAGTTGTCTCATTGGCACTCATACCACATCTTCTTATACATGTATCTATATAGAAGATTATACCATAGACATCCTCCACCAACAAAAATTATTTTAAAGACCCATTATTCATCTTTATAACCTGCACAGTATATGTTTTCAAACTACATCTCCTGTAGCTTGTTGACCACTAATGTCAAGTCAATGATATTTGGATTGAAGTTGTATTACATTGGCACAACTTAATTCCATGGAGATTATTTGGTGATGCCCCTTGTGACTTTGAAAGTGAACATAGCTAATACATGCGGACTATCGTTTCAGCCCAAACTAGGCATAATTTTTTTTTTCTGGTTTGTGACTTAATTTGGGAACAGGACATCACCAATTATTTTAAATTTTCACATTTTATAAAACATGTGCCGATTGAACAGAAACGGCATACCCTTGTCATGATGCTCAATCAAATAAAAATAAAATAATGTGTAGGGTATATGGTCATTGGTTATAAGACGGCAAACCAGCAGTTTCTCTCCACATATTGTAATTCATTAAAGATTTTGAAACAATTGCAATTTGTTCATTAAATCAAACTGTACATCTGGTTATTTTTTATAGAAAATTGTTCTCAGTTCAGAAATCAGTGTGTTAAAAGTAAGCATTTATATAACTTACAAATTCTGTTAGATTTTATTTCAACTTCTTCTTGTAACCAATGAAACATACTTAAGCCTTGTGATTATTGAAGGGAAACATTTTATAAGTAGTTGTACGAGTACTTAGAAAATAGTTACACCATTGTATACTGAGCCTTTAATTTGTAGAAATTACAGTAAGGTTTTCTAGAATATATACTGTATGTAATCATGGTAATATAAAAATAAGGAGATGTGGTATGATTGCCAATGAGACAGCTATCCACCAAAGTTCAAATGAGGTGGATGTAAGCAATTATAGGCAACAGTATGGCCTGCAACAGTGAGAAAAACCCATACTGTATAGTCGGCTATAAGTATAAAAGGCCCAGACATGAAAAATATGAAACAATTCAATCAAGAAAACTAACATCCTAGTTTATAACAAAACAATTTGCGAAAAACAAATATGACAGACATGAACCAACAAAAACCACTGAACTACATGCTCCTGACTTTTGACAGGCACATAAAGAATGTGGCTGGATTAAACATGTGTATGAGGGCTCAACCCTCCCCTTAACAATAACATGGGGACATTGGTGTAACAGCACAACATAAGAACAAACTATAAAAATCAGTTGAAAAAGGCTTAACTCATCAGATCGATACAAAGAAAAACATCAAGCAAAAACACAGACAGGACGTAGCAGGGTATATATCCATCACTCATCCCTAACAACAAAAAAGAAACTTAAGTACAGATCTGAGAATACTCTCAGTTACTGACAGCTAGTTCAAAACCAATAACAACTTGTAAAAAAAATCATGTATCTAAGACTAAAATATCAATCAGTACACATCCAACATCCAATGGATTTAGTTTAAAGACTTCATTAACAGTCATTAAACATGACCTTGTGCAATGCCAAAATATAGGTATCGACAGATTGTAGTAGGGTGAAAGTACATATGTGTAATATTTAGTATGGTTTTAATTTACTGATAACAAAATCAATATTTATACAAAAAAAAAAACAATATTCAAAGATTTAATTACAGTGTTTAAAAGGTAACCTTTTAGAATAAGTTTATTTAAAGGTTTGATAAGTTTGCCCCGATCGTATCTAAATTCTGATCGTCCCTTTTGTCGTAAATTTTTGTGTAGAGTTTCTGGTGTAATACTGAAATGTCTAAATCTAGGAAAGGACAGTTATTGCTGTTAATATTTGATTTATTTAAAGTAAGTTCCTTTGGGTGAATTTCAGTTGTATATTTAGAGAATACTTGATTATTTAATGAAAAAATATCATCAAAATAACGGTAAGTGTTGTTGAATTTATCAATTAAATGGAATTTAGACGGTTCTTTACTGAGCTTGGCCATAAACTGTGATTCATAACTGTATACAGTCAGGGGTACTACTTGTACAAGTAATTTTTATTTACTTGAAGAAGTAAATATTAATATACTTATATAAGTAAATTTGTAGGATACTTATACAAGTGTATTTTATTTACTTGTATAGGTAAAAAAAAATGGGCTTACACAATGTAGTTATGTCCCTTTAATAGACATTCAGATTTTTTTACTTATACAAGTAAAAAAGTCATCCTATCTTCTCTTCTTGAATTCTTAGGACTTCTTTGCTCTAATAGAATTTTTGATTGTCTGTCCTTTGCAGATGTCTATACTAATCATTTAAGTGTAATTTCATGGAAAATGAAAATCTCATTTGTCTGTTATCTTCAGAACACTGCTCATTTACAAGCCCCCAAGGGGCAATTTTTGAAGTCCTTGCGCAATCAGTTTCTTTGTTGAATTAATGAGATGAAACATTGAACTCTAATCAAAAATTATGAGCTAACCTGAGAAAAATTGTTAAAGGCATGTTTTTACATCTCAAAACTTTTTTTTTGTGGGATTGTAAAAAAAATTTAAATTTTTGAGAAAATTAAGGGGAGATTATTCAAAAATTATAATTAACTTATATAAGTTTATTTTATTTACTTCTTCAAGTAAATAAAAATTACTTGTACAAGTAGTACCCCTGACTGGTATAGGAACAAGTCTGGTGCCCATAGGAATACCTACAACAAACGTACATAAATGTTGTCAAGGAGAAAATTTACGGCTTTAATCATCTGATCACACCTCCAGTAAGTATATATATATCTAGCATCTATCATATTTACCTTTCTCATTTGAGAAAAAGGCTTTATATGAGTTGTAGCAAATAAATTTACAATCAGATTTATCAAATGACCATTTAATTAGATAGGAAAACTTTTGTTTGATAAGATTGTATGGAAGTGTAGTATAAAGTGTGGTTGTTATGCCTTGTGCCCCCGTGGGGTGTTGGCTATACTCTGCATGCACTGAAGAAACCCTTGTAAAAATGTGTCAGTTAGTGGCTCACTGCATAGACAAATTTCTTCCCCCATCACACAAATCCTAATTTTCCTGTGGCAATCAAACTGAACTTCCCCTTCTTCCTGTTGTATTAATTGTCAATTTGTTCTTTCCTGAATATGCATGGAATACTTGCCACTGAACATTGAGCAAGGAATACTCAGTAGAGTCATTTCAGAAAAGCAATGGAAAAAGAATGAACAAAGTATTGAGAAGGGTTAGTAAAAATAAAAAAAGTAAGGAAAATATTAATCGATAGTTTTTTTCCCAGGTGGAAGGTCATCAACTAAAATGAAATGCACACATGAATCCTGTGGAGCTGAAATTCCTGCAGGAGCCAGATTCTGCACAGGATGTGGTACTGAAGTACAGACCCCAGTTCCTGTAAAGACAACGCTCTGTCCATCTTGTAATAACATTGTAAAGGAAGGATACAAATTCTGTTACAGCTGTGGAGGGAAAATTGACCCTTCTCTATTTATTGACAGAGTTTGTAATGGTACGAAAGACGATGGACAGAAGTGTAACACAGTGTTGACTTCTGGTAACAGGTTCTGTCCTTCTTGTGGTACACCTCAAGACACATCTAAAACACAGGATACAAGCAGTAAGTTAAGAATTTCACTGCACATTTGGTCAAGAGGACACTTATTATTTACTTGTTTTTAACAAAATTGAACAGACAATCCTTATTAAAAACGACACTCATTAAACGCTTTGAGTTACATTACTGTGGTAAGATGTAATATATTGTATGTCAGCTGATCAACAATGTCATAATGTGTTTTGGTTATTTCCTGTTTGCAAATATTTTTCAATATACGTTGAATTAACTTAAAAAAAATTATCACACTTTTCTCAGTAACTATACTCAACCAACAGAATGATTTCAGACTTGGTCAACAGTTTTATAGTGATGAGTTGTATCGTTTGTGCACTTTCACGTCTGTCTGACACCTATTTCCTATTTTCCATTACTTTGAATTATGAGTGAGATGTGCATTAATTCTTGTTCAATTTAATGAAGTCTCCCTTACAAAGTTGGGAAATTTAATGTTTTTGCTCAATTTCTTTTTATTATTATTCTTATTCATTTGTTTCAGATAAGGATGATTTACCAGGAGATTCACTTGTAAATGTAAAACTTAGTTTACAAATTACTCAAGGAAAGGAAGACAATGTAGATAAAACTACCCCTCCTGTTAAGGAAGAACGTGGTAGTTCAGGATCTAGCAGCCCTGAAACATGGGAAGCTCCAACCATCACACTAGTGTCTAATGATAAGAAAACAGAATCTGTAAAAGGTAAGTTATAAATAGTGACAGTTCTACATGAAAAAAATGTGACATAACTACATTGTAATGTGATTTCATTGCCTTATATGTTTTAGTATCACATACGTCTTGTCTGCCATCTAAAAAAAGATAAGGCCATAAGATCATAGAGATTATGTACAAATTGCTGATAAATAAAGAAAAATGGCATTTTTGTTATCAGCAGGAATATAAAGTGAGCCAACTAGGGCAATCTGATGAAGGCTGTATATAAGAATAACATTTCATTATTCTTTTTATTGGCAATTTATCTTTAGGGAGCTGCCATTTGATTTTTATTGGGGGGGGGGGGGGGGGGGAGCTAGGATGAAAAATTTTGTCCTGCCTTTTTATTTTTCACTCTATTCGGTCCTGCCTTTTTTTAGCTCACCGGGGCCTGAAGGGCCCCATGTGAGCTTATGCCATCACTTGGCGTCCGTCGTCTGTTGTCGTCGTCTGTCCTTGTAAACTATTTCAAAAATCTTCTCCTCTGAAACTACTGGGCCAAATACCTTCAAACTTTAACTAAATGTTCCTTAGGGTATCTAGTTTATAAATTGTATCCGAAGTTCTGATCCATCGACAAACATGGCCGCCATGGCTAAAAATAGAACATAGGGGTCAAATGCAGTTTTTGGCTTATATCTCAAAAACTAAAGCTTTTAGAGTAAATCTCACAGGGGTAAATTTGTTCAATTGGTCAAGATCTATAAGCTCTGAAATTTTCAAATGAATCGAACAACCCATTGTTGGGTTGCTGCCACTGAATTGGTAGTTTTAACAAAATTTTGCAGTTTTTTGTTATTATTTTGAATATTATTATAGATATATATAAACTGTAAGCAGCAATAATGTTCAGCAAAGTAAGATCTACAAAAAAGTTAATATGACTATAATTGTCAATTGACCCCTTAAGGAGTTATTGCCCTTTAAAGACAATTTTACACAATTTGTTCTTCAAGTTTGCCAACATTTAAAAATCTTCTCCTCTGAAACTACTGGGCCAATTACCTTCAAACTTTAACTAAATGTTCCATAGGGTATCTTGTTTATAAATTGTATCCGAAGTTTGTATCCATCGACAAACATGGCCGCCATGGCTAAAAATAGAACATAAGGGTCAAATGCAGTTTTTGGCTTATATCTCAAAAACTAAATTTTTTAGAGCAAATGTGACATGGGGTAAAATTGTTTAATTGGTCAAGATCTATCAGCCCTGAAATTATCAGACGAATCGAACAACCCATTGTTGGGTTGCTGCCACTGAATTAGTAGTTTTAACAAAATTTTGCAGTTTTTTGTTATTATTTTGAATATTACTATAGATATATGTAAACTGTAAGCAGCAATAATGTTCAGCAAAGTAAGATCTACAAAAAAGTTAATATGAACAAAATTGTCAATTGACCCCTTAAGGAGTTATTGCCCTTTAAAGACAATTTTATACAATTTGTTCATCAAGTTTGCTAACATTTAAAAATCTTCTCCTTTGAAATACAGGCGAGCGATTCAGGCTTTTGAGAGCCTGTTGTTTAGTTTATCCTGACTTTTTTTTTACATAAATTGTCATCCTGCCTTTTTTTTTTGGCAAATCAGGGTTTGACACTAACTTAATGTATGTACTATCCTGCAGGGCTAGTGAAATTATTATTCTACTAGTCCTCTTGTCAATTCACTAGCCCTCTTGGACGGTCGTGCCACCAGCACGACCCTATCTAGGAGGGTCTGGGGGCATGTCCCCCCAGAAAATTTTGATACAAATGAAGCTAAATCCTGTGTTCTGGAGCATTTCCTGAGGGTTTTGAACATGTTTTGTTTCATGAAATTTCACTGGTTTGCTAATAAAAAATACCAAAAAAAAAAAAAAAAAATCATATTTTAATCATCTATATTAAGAATGTGTTCGACTTATTTTGAAGACCCCTTTAGATCATTACTTCATCATCATCCTCATTTTACTTATCATTATTACTAGTGTCTTTAATGAAAATGGATAAGTTAGGGATTTAAAAATACACCCACAAAAGAGGAAAGGTTTGCCCTTGCTGTTTTTTGTCATAATTCTTCATGGACTCCTTCTTTTCCCTTGTTGTTTCAGTTTATTTTTATTTGCAGGACAAGATTTTATTCCTAAAAATCTGTATATTTTTGCCAGAGACCAAGGAATTGTATAGTATACAAATCCTTGCAGAGACCTATAATTTTGTTTTTATGACAATAATTCAGTGATATTGTTTGCCTCAAATTACATTCGAAATACAGCTTTTTCCCCTAGAGAAAATTCCCAATTACTAAAAAAATGGCTTAAAATTCCTCCCAATAAGTTGTACATTTTTTCCCAAACAGTGGTGGTATCGGTAGTAATGTATGTAAATTTCGTATTCATGTTATTATTTTGATATTATGAAAGCACTTTTGAGATCCAGGTTTCTGATTAGAATCATCACGGCGTTTGTAACACACATGGTTTTCAATGTATTAAGTACCATCATTGTTTCCGTTTCTTTCCCCTCCCCAAAAAGTACCTTTCATGTTAAAAAATGTCTGACAATCAAAAATTATATACATGAATAAACTGTACAATAAAGACAGCAAATGTCAGCAAAAAATCTGGGATTTGTTGACAATTAAAATTTTGTGAAATTCCTAGTTTTAAACAAAATTTTGACTAGCCCTTCGGACTACTGTGATGAAAACTTTACTAGCCCTCCCTAATTTTTACTAGCCTCGGGCTAGCGGACTAGCGTTAGTGTCGAACCCTGCAAATAATCTCATCCTGCCTGTTTTTTTTTACTCAAAACTCCTGTTCTGCCTATTTTTTTCAAATTTCATCCTAGCTCCCCCATAAAAATCAAATGGTAGCTCCCTTACAATATGTTTTCTGTTTTGTTTTGAATATGAAATGAAATAATTAGTAAAACTATTTTTATGTGTATAAAACATTGTTGTTAGGTTGTATGAATGAAGCTGAGTGCATTCATTGATAAATTGATGTGAATGGATATATGAAAGCATGATGTACTGTTTCTTGACATCATTGCCTAATATTTTTGAGTTCCACATCCTACTCATGATCTAAAAGTATAAGTAAGAAAATGTACAAATTGCCAATATGCAATACCCAACAAAAAAAATAAGAAGAAAAAAAAAAAGATATATAGATATAAGAAGATGTGGTATGAGTGCCAATGAGACAACTCTCCATCTAATTAAAAATTTATAAAAGTAAACCATTATAGGTCAAAGTACGGTCTTCAACACAGAGCCTTGGCTCACACTGAACAGCAAGGTATAAAGGGCCCCAAAAATTACTAGTATTAAACCATTCAAAGGGGAAAACCAAAGGTCTAATCTATATAAAAAACAAGAAACACTTATGAACCACATCAACAAACGACAACTACTGAACATCAGATATCAAATATCAGAATGTGAGTTCCTAATATTGCGAACCTCATCAAGTCGCATTATTCGCATTAACAAAAACCTCGCAATAATTTCTGAATTTACAGTATTACAGCAAGAATTTGTATAACATAGAGCTTAAAACTTTTTTATAGACATTGTAGTGATTGTACAGGAGGATGGTAGCAAAATAAATCTTGCTAAGACTGAACCGGATGTTCCCAGTAATACTATTGAAGAGCAAGATATAAAGACTATAGAAACTGGACAAGACTGCTCCTCAAAAATATACAATGAGGGTTTGGAATTGACTGATCAACAGAGTAATGAACCACAAGGAATTGGAAAAGCTGGTCCAGTAGACAAAGAAAGATCAGAGCTGACAGATCAAGTGATTGTCAAACCACAAGTTAATGAACTCATTGGTCCAGATGACAAGCAAAGTTCAGGGCAGACAGATCAACAGACTGCTGAGCCAAAGTGCAGTGAATGTTCTAGTCCAGTAGACGAGGAAGGTCCAGGGATTAAAGATCATGAGAGTGGTGGACCGCAAGGCAATGAACATGTTGGGCCAGTAGAAAAGGAGAGCCTAAATCTTGCAAATGAAAAAGCTGTTGAGCCAGAAGGCAGAGGACTTTCTGGTCCAGTGGACAAGGCAGGTCAAGGGCTGACAGATCAAAAGAGCAGTGGATCACAAGGTACTGGACTGTATGGTCAAATGACAAGGGATAGTACTCTGAATGACGAATTGAGATATAAATATAAAGTTTTCCCAATTCCTTTTCTTCTCATCAATCAAGACTGGCTTTAGCAGCCTGTGTTTGATATAATAAGGTCTTATACACACATTTTACTGTAAACTTGTTCTTATGTTAGTAGTCAAATTCAATACTGTAAATTCAGAAATTATTGCGAGGTTTTTATTAATGCGAATAATGCGACTGTGTGAGTATCGCAATAATAAGAACTCGCATTCTGATATCTGATGCATATATCTGTATGCAGCTTTTCCTGAAATCGCAATAATTAATCTCGCATTTATGTCCATTCTTCAAAAATCGCAATAATAAATGCACGCAATAATTTCTGAATTAACAGTAACCACTAGAAGGATGTTTTGAAAGATTAACTCATGGTTCTAAAAATAACAAGTCACTGTAAATCTATATTTTAATGTCAAAATGTTAGTAGGAAGTTTTCAAAAAATTGGTTCATTTAACATGAGAGGTTATGGGAGACACAATTAAGTGGACATGTTTTTATACGACCAAAAAAATTTTTGCGGTCGTATATTGGTATGACGTTGGCGTCGTCGTCGTCATCCGAAGACACATTGGTTTTCGCACTATAACTTGAGTTTAAGTGAATGGATCTCTATGAAATTTTACCATAAGGTTATATACCACAAAAGGAAGGTTGGGATTGATTTTGGGGGTTATGGTACCAACAGTTAAGGAATTAGGGGCCAAAAAGGGGCCAAAAATAAGCATTTTCTAGTTTCCAGACAATAACTTGTGGAACGGTGTATGGATCTCTCTGAAATTATACCACAAGTTTCCATACCACAAAGGGATGGTTAAGATTTGCTTTCAGGGGTTATGGCTCAAACCGCTTAGGAATTAGGGGCAAAAATGGGGGAAAACAAGGTTGTCCTGGTTAATGGACAAATACTTTAGTACAAAACATAATTTAAAGCAGTGTAAGGGAGATAAATCAAATACATCATTTGAATAACCTCCCTTACACTGCTTTTAAATTATGTATAAAGTAATGGTTAATGAACAATTAAGACAATTTAAAACAGTGTAAGGGAGGTAATCCAAATACAACGTTTAGATTAATTCCCTTACACTGCTTTTAAATTATGTTTAAAGCAATGCATATTTATAAAGGAAGACCAGTAAAAATATCTGCAAATGTTGCATCTTTTTTTTTTTATAAAAAGATCCATATGAAAGATTTGACACCATATTTTAAATTCTATTATAAAATATATTAAGTTAGCACCATGGTAAATTTAAATGGGTAATTATGGTTGCAAATTCCATTGGAATTTTGAATTGAGATTATGACCATATCTTGAGGGAAAAAAATTTTGGGGGGAAAAAGGGGGGGGGGGGTGTCAATTTTTTCTCATTTCAGATTTCAGAAATTAAAAAGAATTATTCTTCAAATATTATTTTTTTTTCAAATTTCAAATATTGAAAAATTTCAAGAAGTAATCTTTAATTGCACAGTATGGCGCATTAGATTTGTAAAATCTTTGACCACATTTATTTATTTGTTATGCCGAATCTGACCGTGTATTTAGATTTTTCAATTTTGGGTCCAGTTTTCAAATTGGTCTACATTAAGGTCCAAAGGGTCCAAAATTAAACTTAGTTTGATTTTAACAAAAATTGAATATATGGGGTTCGAAATATTTCTCTGGTCCGGCTGACTTCGAGATAACGAGAGTCGACTGTACCTTGATAACTTTATTGCTACATTGCTAATTAGATTTTACTTTTTTTTTACATTTTGTATTTAAAATCTTTTGAATATACTGCGATATAGCCTTTTGTAGCAGGGTAAAGCAAATATCAATCAATCAATCAATCAATAAAATATTTAAGAAACAAACTTGACCAATATGGAGACAAAAAATACTGGTCCTCAGTCTGACCATTGTGACAGTAATGGGAACCAGAACACAGAAAAACTTAACAGTGCTACAGAAATGGATGAGAGTAAACCTGGCAAAAGTGATGAACAACGAGAAAAAGAGAAAGGTATTCAGTCTATTTTGTGAAACAGTTCAGAGATGGGTAGGAATTACTTTGGTAGTGTTAGTGCTGAATGTATCTTTTTATTTGTATCATACCATATCATATCACCAACATTATTCTGGAAGATCTGTCACAACATATGACATTTTCTGAAATGGAAGTTTTTGTGAAATTTTATTAAAAAGATTGAACTTTTATGCCAATTCATTTAAAATTTAACTTTTAACATTTTACGCTCAGGCCAACCTTAAAAATATGTTTGTTTGCAGTTTCACGACTGTACCTTCAGACTGAAGGGTCGGTAGGTAGGAAAAATATTTTATTTTATCAGCCAAAAAGTTTAAACAAGCAGTTACACAAACCAAGTTTCTTGTTAAGAAAAAAAAACTATTTTGAAACAACAAACACTGAAAACCAACATGAAATGAACAGGCGTTGTCAGATAATAAAAAGCTTTATAACTAAAACTGAAACTTTAATTCAATTTATGACATAAAATATGGTATTATTAAATACTGAAACACTTATAAACAAGGAATAACTATAACTGTTTTAAAGAGATATATTTACGGACATATATGCTTCTTGACGAATCCAGGTCCGTTCCCTCTGATTTGCGTTCGCCCTAATACCTGTTTGCCTTGGGTCCGTTCGCCCTTATACCTGTTTGCCCTGGGTCCGTTTGCTCTGATTTTTATTTTATTTTGTTGTTTTGTTGTATAACGCTTATTATTTGAAAAGAGTATGTTAAATTTTGTTGAAAATTTCGCTGAATATTTATGTTGTATTGCTGCTACCAAAAAAATATTTTCTTTTGATCTGCACTTTAGAGTACCAGGAATACAAGGTATTTAACATAAAACAACCGAAGACCATCTTATCTGCATGCATTTATCTTTATTGATAAATTTTAACAATTTTAAAACAATCAGTAACAGTTATAACAAGATCCAATTCGAACTTTGCATCAAACACCAGTTATGTCCTTAATTTTTAGCTCACCGGGGCCCTTCCATCACTTGGCGTCCGTCGTCTGTCATCGTCGTCGTCGTAAACTATTTCAAAAATCTTCTCCTCTGAAACTACTACTGCAAATACCTTCAAACTTTAACTAAATGTTCCTTAGGGTATCTAGTTTATAAATTGTATCCGAAGTTTTGATCCATCGACAAACATGGCCGCCATGGCTAAAAATAGAACATAGGGGTCAAATGCAGTTTTTGGCTTATATCTCAAAAACTTGAGCTTTTAGAGCAAATCTGACATGGGGTAAAATTGTTCAATTGGTCAAGATCTATCAGCTCTGAAATTTTCAGACGAATCGAACAACCCATTGTTGGGTTGCTGCCACCGAATTGGTAGTTTTAACAAAATTTTGCAGTTTTTTGTTATTATTTTGAATATTATTATAGATATATATAAACTGTAAGCAGCAATAATGTTCAGCAAAGTAAGATCTACAAAAAAGTTAATATGACCATAATTGTCAATTGACCCCTTAAGGAGTTATTGCCCTTTAAAGACAATTTTACACAATTTGTTCATGAAGTTTGCTAACATTTAAAAATCTTCTCCTCTGAAACAACCGGGCCAATTACCTTCAAATTTTAACTAAATGTTCCTTAGGGTATCTTGTTTATAAATTGTATCCGAAGTTTTGATCCATCGACAAACATGGCCGCCATGGCTAAAAATAGAACATAAGGGTCAAATGCAGTTTTTGGCTTATATCTCAAAAACTAAATCTTTTAGAGCAAATGTGACATGGGGTAAAATTGTTTAATTGGTCAAGATCTATCGACCCTGAAATTATCAGACGAATCGAACAACCCATTGTTGGGTTGCTGCCACCGAATTGGTAGTTTTAACAAAATTTTGCAGTTATTTGTTATTATTTTGAATATTATTATAGATATATATAAACTGTAAGCAGCAATAATGTTCAGCAAAGTAAGATCTACTAAAAAGTTACTATGACCAAAATTGTCAATTGACCCCTTAAAGAGTTATTGCCCTTTAAAGACAATTTTACACAATTTGTTCATCAAGTTTGCTAACATTTAAAAATCTTCTCCTCTGAAATACAGGTGAGCGATTCAGGCTCTTGAGAGCCTCTTGTTTACAATATTATTTTCAAGAGCACATATATAGGAAATTTGTCAAAACGAACTTGAGATCAAAGAACCCAAGCTGTGTGCGAAACAAAAATCCCTTGTATGTCTTATAATTCGTACATCGTTATTTTCACTCATTCCAAGCTGACTACTTTATTTAAAAAAAATGTTACTTTCATTATTAATCAAACAAAGACAATTAATACAAAAATAAGTGAGCTCATAGACATCATAATTATACCTAAGCAGCATTCTAAATTACAATCAACAGCCATTAAAATTAATTCTTAATCAAACAAATGTAAGAATGAAGCCCATTAATGCTCAAAAACAAGCCATTAATTTTTAAATATTTCATTTCGAGTATATATATTTTCTCTAATATTGATCATATAAATATCTGAATATGTTTATTAAACCGTAATACCACCATATTAAGTTTTTTTAAAGTAGGGCGAACGAACCAAGGGTGAACGGACTCTATGGGCGAACATGTAATCAGGGTGAACAGACCCGATACCCTTGACTAGAATGTTTTTCATGAGTAGAGTATTTTCATCAGAAAAATGTAGATGATTAAAGATTTATAAGACAATGTATTAAAGAGTGTATTTTTAATAAAAAAATTAGCCATTGAATTTTCCTCAATTGAAAAAAGGGCAACTTAAAAAAGACTTGTTTTCATATTTCTAACAATATTTAATTATATGCAATAAGATTATTTTTTGAAAGATATGTTGATGCCAGGCTTAAATGAAAACCAAAGAAAACTTACTAGTTTGGGGTGAAATCAATAGCACCCCATTAAAGTAAATAGTCTGTACTGAAATGTTTTGACTGCATAAAAAAATTGGCAGCATAGCTCCTAAGAACATGCTTTAATTCAATTCACCCAGTGACAGGCCACAAAGTTTGGGTATATTTGATATTGTAAAAAAGAGAACAGTTGCAATGAGTGGGGCAGTCCCCCTTATCGTACAGGAGCATACTCATTGCAATCGAAGATATAGAGAGAGTATATTTATTTTTCAAGCTAATCATTCATTTTCTCTACATCTTTGTGTATTTTGGGTTGCTTCTCATAGATTTGGCATGGTCTCTATCCATTTACATTTTAAATGAGCTCTTTCTACATACAGGCATGTTTACAGGTATCCATATATTCACGGAGGAGTGGTTTCATCTTTGTCTTCTTCACAACGATTTATAGAAAATATGACATAAAGTCAGGCTCAAAAGATTCTGTACCCAATTGTTTGAGACAGAAAGTTGACAAAGATGAGTTATGGTGTCGGTTGTGAATATCCGCTGCATCTTCTTCAATGATATCATCAAATAGATCATTCCATGTGCCTGAATCTGTATAAACAGTTTACTATTAAACTTTTTTGTTTGTTATTTGTCTTAAAATTGACAGAAGTCGACAGCGTAAAGTACTCCTCCATAACTTCATGGATACCTGTAAACAATTTCCATGTGCTTTATCATTAAACAGTCACATGAACGCTTGACGGGAAGGCAAGAAAAACCGAACTTAAAATGTGTAATCGACCTAGACTTAAATCAATTCCGGAAATGACCAGAGTTTCCAGATCTTGGCAATAGAAGTTTTAAAAATAATTTCTTAAAATTTAAAGCAATAAAATTTTCACAGTCGGAGGGATTTTCAAGGGTCGGTCGGTAAACTGCAAACAAACAATATTTTAATTTAAGCCTCACCTGGCCATTTAAAAGGTCATTTTTTAAAGAAAAGACAGCCCTAAGTCAACATATAGTCTTCAACAATAGACTGTTGTCTATACCATGATATAAGTACTTGTTCTTTGATTGTCATAGATCAATGATCTTTGTGTCATAGTTGCTGATTTTGATCTTCAATGATTTTATTTGAAAATGAATTAATTTTCTCAATGATTAAAGACATTGCTGTAAGGCAACTGATCATTGCAGGCATTTGCTAGCCGTATGTTTTTTTTTTTGTACCCTGCGTAACGCATTGCAGGGGACATAGAAATACCAGCCGTCTGTTTGTCCGGTCTTGTAAGCACTCTAAGGTGTACAGTTCTTGCCAGATTTTTATGAAACTTATCATAGATTTATATCAGCAATGTCTTGGACGAGTTTGAAAATCAGAGCGGATCAATTATTTTTAAAAGAGTTATGTCCCTTAGAAACATTAATTATATGGAAAATTGCATCGTTAGAGCTCTCATGTGTACAATTCTTACCAGATTTTTTTTTAAACTTATATCATAGGTTTATATCAGCAATGTCTTTAATGATCGAGTTCGAAAATCAGTGCTGATCAATTATTTTTATAAGAGTAATGTCCCTTGAAAATATTGATTATATAGAAAATTGCATTTTTAGCACTCTCATGCGTACAATTCTTGACAGAATTTTATGAAACTTATATCATAGGTTTATATCAGCAGTGTCTTTGACACTTTCGAAAATAAGTGCTGATCAAATATTTTTAACGAGTTATACCCCTTGAAAAAATTAATTATAACGGAAATCGCATTGCATTTGCTCTGAAGCCTTCATTTCTCCAAGATATTTATAAATTGTTTTAAAGAACAAAAAAAAAGTCCTTTTTTTAGTTATTGCCCTAAGATAGATAAGATATGTGCTATGTGGGGGACTTTCGAACTCTGTTCTTTTTTTTAATTATTTAAATGGTGATAATATTATCAATTAAATGCAGTAGTTAGTAATTGCAATCCTAAAAATTTCTGCACTCAGATTATTCATTCAAAAACATCAAATTCTAAATATATAAATTCAAAGTATTTTTTCCATCTTTCCTTGGTTTTTCTTCACTACATATTATCATACCATCATATCATAGCTAATAGTGCTTTCAAGATCATCTTAAAAGTTTTATGCATTTTAAAGTACATGAACTTGTAGATGTTGATGAATAAACATGATAAAGGCTTCAAAAATATTTGAAATTAAATCAGATCTTAAATTTGCAATATAAGAAATATGAAACACAATTAGAAACTTTTTACATGTGCTGCCAGATTTTTTTATTTTGTTGGTTTACATATTTCTTTTTTAAAAGATTCAAGTCGGTCAATCAGAAACAAAAACATCTTACAAGACATAGATATGTATAGAATTACTGTACACTTTAGCTTTATTACAATATTTGTTTTCAGTTTTTTGTCATCATTCCTTAAATTATGGTTCCAAACATTTTTCTTTGGCAGTTTTAAACATACAACTCTTGCATCATTATTCAAGTTCATCAAAAAGGGGATTATGTGCATTACAAACTGTAAAGAAATGGTAATTTCACAATGAATGAAAATATATAAAAATAGCTATATGTGGCCCTTAATCAATTTTCACAAAACATGGTGAATAATAAGCTTCAAGTAGGAAAACATGTGAAATAATTTCAAATACTGGTATGTTGTACAAACCAACTGCAAATTATACCTGCTTATTGTGAAAGAGGGGGATAATGGTTTGTCTGTTTTGATAGGTAACCCCACTTTTGTACAACCTAGAAAAAGAACATTCCAAATTGTTTGTGGTCATCTTCTGTTAATTTTTACTTGACGTCTTTCTCTTTTGGACAGGTCTATTTTGTATATGAGGATGATTAGTTTCTTATCCCAAAAATGGTTCAAAATAAACACTTACAGAATGATGACTTAAAAAAGAAGACAAATTACTGCGATTCCTCTTTTTGGTAGATTGAAGAAAAATCGTATTTTCATGGTTTTGCCAAAGAATACCATACAAGCCTATAGAAAATTTATACTTTGTTGAACATTTAAATTTGTTGTTTAAGGAGACATTGAGAGAAATTGTTGTCCGAAGTAGGAAATTTGACTTTCCTGGGAAGAGACAGGTCTTTAGAGCAAAGTTTCCAAATTATTCAAAAAACATTGGAAGACTCACACCATTATCTGAAGAAATTATTCTTATGATAAAAGTTCATGTCTGAAAATTAACTCGACATGCATCATGAAAAATGGAAATATTAAAATCTGTTTAATATTTTTATGCCCCCGCCGTAGTGGAGGGGGAATTAAGTTTTACCCTTGTCCGTCTGTACGTCCCAAAGTTGGTTTCCGTTCTCTAACTTTAGTTTGCCTCAACCAAATGTTATGAAACGTATACACAATGCTTATTACCACATAATACAGATCAAGTTCGAAATTGGGTGGCGTCACTTTTACAATTCTTGAGTTATGCCCTTTTATAAACATAAAAATTGCTGAATTTTTCGTTTCCGTTCTCTAACTTTAGTTTGCCTCAACCAAATGTTATGAAACATATACACAATGCTAATTACCACAAAATACAGATCAAGTTTGAATTTTGGTGGTGTCACTTTTACCGTTTCTAGAGTTATGCCTGTTTACAAATGGAAAAATTGCTGAATTTTTCGTTTCTGTTCTCTAACTTAAGTTAGCCTCAACCAAATGTTATGAGACTTATACACAATACTTATTACCACAAAACTCAGATCAAGTACAAATTTGGGTAGCGTCATTTTTACTGTTCTTCAGTTATGTCCCTTTATAACTTTATATGATATGCAAGCGGGGGCATCATCTGTGTCTCATGGACACATTCCCCATTTATTTTTCCAAAGGTGATAACTATCATAAAACAAGAACTCAATAAATAACCTATCCTTAAATAAAAGAAATAAGGAAATGAAGTACTAAGGGATCAACTAAATTATCAGTAGTCATAGAAAAACAGACAACACTATCTAAAATGAAGACAACATTCCTCAAAATACTATACAAAAATATTTAAAGATCTAAAAAAATCTTTATTGAAAAAGATTTAATGATAGACCCAACTTTAAAAAGTATATCAAAAATACCAAAATACAAGGCAAATTCAGAAAGGGAAGTCCATAAAAACTGACACAATCAAACACTATTGATCAACAGATAAAACCAGGAAGAAGTACATTAGTAAGATAAGCAGTTCCTGCTGCACTAGTGGCACATGTAATGATCCTGCCAAAGAAAATCAAATAAACATGGTCATCTGCAACAATATTCCACAACAGATTTAATTAGTTATCAAAGAAAATGGGATACCTTTAAGGACCATGGGGAGATAACTTGAATTGTCTTCCTTTTGTGACATTAAATTAATTATAAAGAAACGAAGAACAACCAAGAAAATTATAAATTAGCTGAAGATTTAAAGAAAAACAGCTATCACATAATGTAATTAATAAAAGAAAACCTTCATCTGTTGTATGATGTACTTTATGCTTGTTTAAATGTAACTTTTGAGATGATCTGATGATGTTGCAAAGTCCACTCCATGAAAACCTAAACGTTATTACATCAACATTGACTGGACAGTGTTATAATTTTCATGTCATCAATTCTAGGACTGATGTCATCAAAGTATTCTCCACAATGTTGATGCCATTTCCATGCAATTTTGTTAGTTTCATTTTGTCTGAAAATTTGTTTGGTCTTTACAACATCTGTTAGCTTTAATAACAGATTGATGTTGTTGTTATGTATTAATATTTCAGACATGAATCTGTCCAATAAATAAAGTTAAACAATATTTTGAAATTCATCCCTTCCCTACAGAATTTACACAGATAAAGACCAGAGATCCAGATGGCATGCTGAATTTATCAAATTTGCACAGAAGTGGAATTAAAAGAAGTTCTGGACCAGATAGTGCATTTGTAGCAACCAAAAGAAGAAAAGGTTTTCTCTCAACTTTGAAAACTTGATTTATTTGTTCGACTGTCACTTTTTGTTTGTTTTTTAAGTACTTTAGCTCACCAGGGCCTGCATTGTGTCAGCTACATCCATCGCTTGGCATCTTGTCATATTCCATTGCTCCCCTTATTTTAAGTGATATGGGGCTTCTGAATTGAATTTAAGAATTTTTTGACTTTTTTTTTATTGGAAAAATATCATTGTGCCTTTTTTGTGGCAAATATACACACTCCTACTTGGAAGTAATACTATCACTAATTACCGTAGTATTTTGATGCCAGAAGAGTGATACAGACTCCTTAGAGTCTTTTGTTTCAATGTTGTTAGGAAAAAGTCTGTATAATACTATCTTTGTTTAGCCTGCAACATTTTGTTGTGTCAGGGGGGCATATCAATCCTACATTTTGGCAGTGCCAACATTTATTTATTTGAGATCACCCCCAGTTTTTGGTGGGGTTCGTGTTGCTTAGTCTTTAGTTTTCTATGTTGTGTCATCTGTACTATTATTTGTCTGTTTGTCTTTTTATTTTTGGCCATGACGTTGTCAGTTTGTTTTCGATCTATGAGTTTGACTGTCCCTCTGGTATCTTTCGTCCCTCTTTTAGGCCCAGTCTGTGGTTGAATTTTTTTAATCATCAAGGACTTTGTCAAATCTTCATGTAATTTTTAATATGAAACTTAGACCGAAGCTATTTTATGATCAAAAGACAGTAAGTATCCAGAGAAAAATGTTGAAGTTATTTTTTTTTCTTCTTCCCTATTTTACTGATAAATGGAAATTTTTTTTTTTGCAGTTAACGTTTAGATACAGTCTGGGATAACATTTTTTAGGCATAAATAACTTTGTTTAAACTTCATGGAATGTTATGAAATTGGACAGAACGGTCCAATGATTTACATAAAGGTGCAAGGATTCACAGAAAAGGACTGAAAATGAAATGAAAAGAACCAAAAAGGATCAGAAAAGAGCATAATATATAAATTTAGATATTGTTACCAAATTCAGCGTAATAAGTGAATGAATCATTCAAACTTAGATTGTAAATTTTATAGGGGATATGTGGAAAAAGAAAAGACGATATAACTTGGTTTAAATTAGTAAAAAAAAATTATGTTTATAAAATAAATTATCATGTATATTTGTTATCAAGGATTTTAATCCGAAACAGAACTAAATGAATAGCAGAAGCTATCATACTACAAAAAAGTTTTTTTGTTTATCCTGACTTCTTAAATTTGTTTATATACAGGATGTCAGCATATTGGCTGGTGGCATTGGGTATGCTACATGGGCACAGGATGTTTGCGCTTTTTTACCTGTAACACGATAGGACATCTCTGCTCCAAACACTATGGACATTTGCGCCTTAAATTTTGATAGACCTGCATCAAATTGACTGGACATTTGCGCTTTTTACCTATAGTCGTCTACCTGTAATTTTAATGAGTTGTAATCGTAGCATAAATACATTCAACTTATATTTGTGGTTTAAGTTTGTTCACATTGACACAGTCTTAAACATAGAGTTTAAAATTATAGACTAGCAAAGGAAAAAAATGTATATGCCACGATGGATTTTTATCATTGAACAACAGTCGGTTAATACATGTAACATTAAAATTTGTTATATTGATGAACAGGGACCTCAGTCAAGATTCGAGAATGAGAAACTAGAATATTTATTTGAATTGTGGGCGTATTAGTCAGGACAGATTACAAGAGCTATATTTGTTCATTCCCTAAGCTTCAGATATCAAGCGAAAACTGACCTGTGATGACTATATGTGTCTTTATGTCTTTAGAATGTTTACTTTTAGCTATATAACTATATCAATGTGCTATAAAATGACTTTTAAACACGAATGTGCTTTGAAATGACTATTAAACTTTTAACCATAATGAAAGTTATGACTTTAACTCTGACAGGTCAAACCTACCGGTCCTAAGCCCGGATAAAATAGGAGGGAAGTTACAAGAAGCAAATATTGTAAAAGTGCAAATGTCCTATATAAAAAGCGCAAATGTCCTTTAAATTGAAGCACAAATATCCATAAAAAAAAGCGCAAATGTCCTATGAAAAAGCGCAAACATCCCACACCATGCTACATGTAATACAATAAATAAAAAATTCAGCATCACCATTTCTTCTTGGATGTTATATGTCAAATAAATGTCACAATGTGCCACTGTGACATGTGATTCAATAAAATCGTCAATTTAAAATTGATAAAAGGCATGTATTCTAACTTTTTTTTAAAATGTGGAAACTTATCTTTTCATTTATAGACTTAAATGTTTTTAAAATTTGCTAGTTTCCATCAGTTGAAAAATCAATTTCTTTTTCAGTTCTTTTCTATAAATCATTGCTCTTTTCTGTAAGTCGTCAGACCTTTCCGTAATGCGTAAAAAAATTAAGGTATACTAAGAATCTAAAAGTTACAGAAAATGAAATAATTAAACACTGAAAGGAAATTACAGTTTTATATAAGGGTTATATACAATATATACATGATATATAAAAAAAGATTGAAATAAAACAGATAACTGGAATTCAGGTTAGATATCATTGGTTTTGAACATTCATATAGCTGTATACAGTATGTGACAGTGTTTTGGGTTTAACATATAGCTGTGGCAAATTCTGAATAGAGATAAACTTGAAAAAAGCAAAACTTTTAAGTTACCATTTACCGTATAGCGGGTTATTTTTCGCAGGTGTAAAATTTAGCGATTTAGGGGCAACAAAGTATACGAAAAATTTTGGTGGATTCTTTAATCCCAATTAAATATTTTGGCGGATACTGAAGTGGTTCCAGTTAAAAAGTTGTAAAAATTGACAAACAAGGGTCTACTGTTATGGTTAAATGATTGTTTTTCCTGCATGAATTTATTTATTGATTATTTTTATACAGTTAATCAATAGAATACCGGTACATAGTTATTTTTCACAGGTGTACAAACTTCTTGTAAATTTTACGGTTGATCAGTTACAACATTTACCGGACCTTTGATGTACTAATTAGATTATAAAATTATCATGAGTGACTTGCAACTCTTATATAATTTGACACTAATTAATAAGGATAAAATACCTGACAGCGTACCTTACACTCTTATATTATTATTTATTTTATCATGTAACCAATAAACTAATTAACACCTGATAGCCATTGAACAATGGCCTTTGGCATTTATGTTGTTTAAATTAACAAAAACCCTGATTGATCTGTCGAAAGGGGAAAAATAGATAGTTTACAAAACACTTTAACTTAGAAAGTATCGAACATACGCATAAATTTTCGCGGAATTTATTTTCGTGATTTCTCCTGGCTGCCAAAATAAGCGAAAATAAACACCCCACGAAAATAACCCGCTATACGGTATACTCTGTTTCATATATATACATTATGAGGTTTCAGGAATAGACACATTGACAAGTCTCTTTATTTACTTAAAATGTGATATCTTAAATTCCCAAAAAAATTTTGTCTTCTTGTTATTGTAGATGGAGAGAATAAAGAGAAAGAAGATGAAGTCATTCTAATATCAGATACTGAAAAGGTTAAAGGAGATCAGAAGGAAACAGAAGATGAAGTCCTTCTTATATCAGATACAGAATCTGTGGAAGGTGGAGAAGACAAAAATAATGAAAACAATGAAAGACCATCTAAACGAAAAACTGATGAGAAAGGAGGACAAGTAAAAAAGATTAAAGGAGAAAGTGACAATTATGAAAAAGGAAAGGTATGTTGTATTTATCTTCTTATCACCAACTGTTTTATTTTCCTTCCAACATCTGTGATGCAGATAGGTTATTTTGAATACCTGATGCCCGTAATAGTGACGATGTAGACTGTGTATTTCCTGATCGATGATGTTCAAGAGTTTTATTATTAAATTTTCACAGTATTTATTTTTTATACTGCATGGATTAAACATTTATATATGACTTTTTGTCTCTCCTTGACGGAGTCAAAAAGCGAGACATAGGTATGCTGTTTCAGGCGGGGGAGGCGTCAGCAATGTATTAGTTTGTGATTACGTCTAATTCATGGTAAACCACTAGTGGTAGGTCAATGATATTTGGTATGCAGTTGTATTAGCATTGGCACATCTCGTTACCGTGGAGATTATTTGGCCCCGCCCCCTCAGTCAAGGTCTATTGACTTTGAAACTTTTCATAGTTTACATGTATTAGTTTGTGATTAGGTCAATTTATGGGGAACCACTAGTGGTAGGTCAATTATATTTGGTATGCAGTTGTATAAGCATTGGCATATCTCATTTCCATGGAGATTATTTGGCTCCGCCCCCTTAGTCATGGTCTATAGACTTTGAAAATTTTGCTAAGTTTACATGTATTAGTTTGTGATTAGGTCAGTTCAAGGGGAACCATTAGTGGTAGGCCAATATTAATAGGTGTTCAGTTGTATAAGCATTAGCACATCTCATTTCCATGGAGAATATTTGGCCCCGCCCACTCAGTCATGGTCTATTGACTTTGAAACTTTTGCTTAGTTTACATGTATTAGTTTGTGATAAGATCAGTTTAAGATGAACTGCTAATGTTAAGTCAATGATATTTGGTATGCAAATTTATTGGCATTTGCAAGTATCGTTTCCATGGAGATTATATAGCCCCACCCCTGATCATGGTTCATTGACTTTGAAACTTTTACATAGTTTACAAGTTAATGTTTGTGTTTAGGTTTGTTTAAAGGGAACGACTTATAATAAGTCAATGGTATTTGGTATGCAGTTGTATTAGCATTGGCACATCTCATTCCATGGAGATTGTTTAGCCATGTACCTTCAGTCATGGTTCATCGACTTTGAATATTTGCATTACTTACATGTTAAAGTATTGCTATTTTAATTTCAACATTTGCATTATCAAAATTACAAAAAGGCAAGACATATCTCTGTGATAACAGTTTAAGTTACTTTTTAAATAAGTTTTAAGGTTTAAAAAATAGAGAAATAATTTATGAGAGTCAATGGTTTGCTAGAGATTTTTTCAATTACAATACAACCTGACATCAGGACACAACAAACATTTCATTTCAGGATAAAAGCTTTGTTCTATAACTTTATTTAAATTTAAATGTTTTCAGACAACAGGAGAAGAAACAAAAGATAAGCATGGAATTCAGGAAGAAGGTGATAACAAACACTCCAAGGAAAAATCTGATCAACAACCTGCTGATCGCAAGTCAGTTAATGTCACTACAGAAACATTTGTAAGTATTTTAACTACACCAGGGAAATTATCCCTTAGATCTACTACAGATTTTTTTTTTTTTGTGGGTACCAATTTTTATGGATTAAGGAAAAAAATATTTTTGTGAAAATTTGATTTTGTGGTTTTACAAAAGTCTGCATACAAAGCTATAGAAAATTCGGGGTTCACCTGTACCCACAAAATCTATGAACATTGCATTGGTATTGCACAAATAAAAATGAAGCCATATAGTATCTTAAAATTATCACATTTATAATTGTTGAAGAACAAGGAATGTTCATATGCATCATTTGCACTGATAAGATAGCAACCTTGGTTTTCTTTTGTGTTGTCGTTTGTTCCGCCATTTATGGATACTAATTTGTGTGAATAATTTTCAATCCAAAACTTGTATTCTATTTTTGTTTTAACTGCAATTTTAAGTTTTGGCAAAATTTATCCCTTTGTGATTTTCTCAATAATGAAACATTTCTGATTTATAGTAATTGGGTTATAAGATTACAAGGTGAATTAACATAGAAATATATAGCTAAGTATGGTATTCTACAGTTTAAACTATTAAACATATTGAAATTAAAGACAACATGCAAGATTTACTGCAGAATTAGATGTATTAGTTTATTAAACGTCTACAGAATTTCTTATTTTGGAAGACTTTACAGGCCAATTGCTGTCAAATTCCTTGTTCACTGATTTGGCTCAAATTCCTATATTTGATTTAAAACATGCTTAAACATTTATCCAAATTGCAAAAAGTTAAAACAAACAATGAACAATGCATGGATTTGTTATAAAGTATCAGCATTTTGTGTATAATTTAGGCTAAACGTCATCTAAATTCACCATCAAGATGACCTCTGAAGAATGCAGATGGTCATATATCCCAATATAAAAATGATTATTAATTAAATCTGGAAATATGTAAATCATATTTTTACTTGTATAAGGATTTCTTGTGGGGCAAATCAGTCAACAAAATGGTTCTATATGGTGGCTCTCTTGTTTCAATTTTTAAAGTTGACATTATTTTTTTTAATAACTAAACATGCTTAGCATATTCAGTACCCATCTCCAGCTCAGGGTCAAATTGAGGTATGAATACTGATTTAAAATAGGTTGAATTATTGACTTGCAAGTTAATAACACATCAGCGTGTTTTGAGCTTATTTTGACAAAATTGAATCAAAATGACTGCTTAGATAGCAAAATATTCTTTCAAAATACAGCTGTTATAAGCGTTTGAAACAAAAGCATAACTTTTAATTTTTGTCTAAATTGTAAAGATAGAAGACAAAGAATAAGTATGAGCTTCAGTGTTATGCAATATGTATTTGTTGGCTTCACTTATTTCATATCAATGTTTTTTTTTCAAAAAAATATGCATGTGGCAGGTGGGTTAGACTCTAATCTTGACTTGGGTTGCCAGAATTCCTCCGGGCACTTCTGCTTCTTCCACCAATAAAAACTGGCCGCATATATAGAAACCACTGATTTTAAAAACATTAAATGCAGTACCGAATAAAGGCTTGTATAGTCCGCGGTTTTATTCTCTAAAATTGAACCTTCCAGACAGGGGTGGGGACTATAGAGTACAATAAGCAAGAAATAAGAGAAAAAAAATTCGAATTCGCGATGTTTGTTAACGTTCCCCCATGTTTGTTATTGACATTGTAGAGGGCATGCACTCTTATCATTTCCAAAACTAATAATTTTACCTCATCCATATTAATGTGTAATTTTTATTAAGTCTCCCAAACGAAGTTTGGAAAGACTTATTGTTTTTGCTCAGTTCTTATTATTAAGTCTCCCAAACGAAGTTTGGGAAGACTTATTGTTTTTGCTCAGTTCTTATTATTATTATTATTCTTCTTCTTCTTCCGCCGCTTTTAAATTTGAACTTGTCCGCACCCGTTCTCCAAAACCGCTTGTCAGATTAACGTAGGGTTTCACAATATGTTAGACTAACATGTCTAGTGGTGCAATCAGGGTTTTGTTTGTGCAATGGGGTTTATAAAGGGGTACTTTGAGGGGCAAAAAGAAAAGAGGGTTTTACTATAGAACCCTATGGGATTTTATTTTTTAAAATTTTCAAATGATTATAAATTGAAAACCGTTTGTGATAGACACAATCTTTTTAATTGAAAATGTTCTAAATGATAAAGCCCATTAAATGAAATACAGCATTAGTCCCCAGGGGTCACCCCCACCCCCTGCCATTTAAGAAAGTTCTAATACCTTGTAAGTGGTCAAGATCCCCACCCTAAACCATATATATTTTGGTTTGTTATGCTAAGATGGTTTGAATGATATACAGGATTAGTCCCCAGGGGTCATCCCGACCCCCTGCCATTTGAAAAAGTTCTAATATCTTGTAAATGGTCGAGATCCCCACCCCTAAACCATATATATTCTGGTTTGTCATGATAAAGCACATCAAATGTAATACAGGGTTAGTCCCCAGGGGTCACCCCACCCCCTGCCATTTAAGAAAGTTCTAATATCTTTTAAGTGGTCAAGATCCCCACCCCCTAAACCATATATATTCTGGTTTGTCATGCTAAGATGGTTTGAATGATATACAGGGTTAGTCCCCAGGGGTCATCCCGACCCCCTGCCATTTGAGAAAGTTCTAATATCTTGTAAATGGTCGAGATCCCCACCCCTAAACCATATATATTCTGGTTTGTCATGATAAAGCACATCAAATGAAAAACAGGGTTAGTCCCCAGGGGTCACCCCCACCCCCTGCCATTTAAGAAAGTTCTAATATCATGTAAGTGGTCAAGATCCCCACCCCTAAACCATATTTATTCTGGTTTGTCATGCTAAGATGGTTTGAATGATATACAGGGTTAGTCCCCAGGCGTCATCCCTACCCCCTGCCATTTGAGAAGGTTCTAATATCTGTAAATGGTCGAGATCCCCACCCTAAACCATATATATTCTGGTTTGTCATGATAAAGCACATCAAATGAAATACAGGGTTAGTCCCCAGGGGTCACCCCCACCCCCTGCCATTTAAGAAAGTTCTAATATCTTGTAAATGGTCAAGATCCCCACCCCTAAACCATATATATTCTGGTTTGTCATGCTAAGATGGTTTGAATGATATACAGGGTTAGTCTTCAGGGGTTATCCCGACCCCCTGCCATTTGAGAAAGTTCTAATATCTTGTAAATGGTCGAGATCCCCACCCCTAAACCATATATATTCTGGTTTGTCATGATAAAGCACATCATATGAAATACAGGGTTAGTCCCCAGGGGTCACCCCCACCCCCTGCCATTTAAGAAAGTTCTAATATCTTCTAAGTGGTCAAGATCCCCACCCCTAAACCATATATATTCTGGTTTGGCATGCTAAGATGGTTTGAATGATAAACAGGGTTAGTCCCCAGGGGTCATCCCGACCCCCTGCCATTTGAGAAAGTTCTAATATCTTGTAAATGGTCGAGATCCCCACCCCTAAACCATATATATTCTGGTTTGTCATGATAAAGCACTTCAAATGAAATACAGGGTTAATCCCCAGGGGTCACCCCCACCCCCTGCCATTTAAGAAAGTTCTAATATCTTCTAAGTGGTCAAGATCCCCACCCCTAAACCATATATATTCTGGTTTGTCATGATAAAGCACATCAAATGAAATACAGGGTTAGTCCCCAGGGGTCACCCCCACCCCCTGCCATTTGAGAAAGTTCTAATATCTTGTAAATGGTTGAGATCCCCACCCCTAAACCATATATATATTCCTATTTGTCATGTCTCGAACATTTGAATGATGTATACGGTCAGTCCCAAGGGGTCCCCCCCACCCCCAATGTTCTAATATTTTTTAAATGGTTGAGATCCCCACCCCTTAACCATATATATTCCTGTTCGTCATGTAATGAACATTTGAATGACGTATAGGGCCAGTCCCCAGGGGTTCCTCCCCACCCCCAATGTTCTAGTATCTTGTAAGTGGTCGAGATCCCCACCCCTAAACCATATATATTCTGGTTTGTCTTGCCAAGATGATTTGAATGATATACAAGGTTAGTCCCCAGGCATCACTTATGCATATAACTTTACTGGACCAAACCAATTTTCACTGGAAGTTGCCCAATGTCAGGTGACCCTGGGAATTACGAATTATGGGAGCTTCGTTTGGGAGACTTCGTAACAGCATCCTGTTACATTCATTTCTTGTTCATTATCAAATATAAACTGATAAATTCAAAAATTAAATGCTTCACTACAAATTTCTCCTTTCTTTTCACTGCATTTCTTAAAATAAACTGGAATCTGCTTGAATTTAACGGAACGAAAAAGTGTAAAAGTCAACAAGAAACCGGCTTACGATGTAAAAACTACAAAACGTATTCATTCCGTTTTGGTGTTTCATAACCACGCATGTGTTTTGTTATAGTTAAGATGCTTCAAACATTAATGTGATTGATATGTTAAACATTATTTTAATCAAGGATGGAACTGTTTTACTTTCAAAGTTGTATTCCAGTGATATCTATTAAGTACGGATAAGTACACTCTAACAGTATTTATTTTCATTTACCGGTACACGTGCTATTTGAACTTCCGGTTTAAAGATACACAAGTTTCTGAATTGTTTGTTTTTGTGATTTTGACTTATTTTAACACTCTTGAAGTGTTCTAGAATCATTTACAAGCATTTTAAACTTCTATCTGATGATGGAAAACAGGTTTTTCCATGAAAATACCGCAAATGACCACTCACAATTTGAAATTACCAGAGTTTCTATAGACATTTTCAGACAGTTACAAAAAGTTTTTTTACCTAAAATTTTGTGGCGAGAAGGGGGTGCGGACTATTTACCAGTGCGAACTATACAAGCCAGATTACGGTAATTCTTTTCTTTAACAGACTGGTAAAAGTGATGCTGAAAAGTATGGAATACAAGAATCTGGAAGCAGTGTTGACCCACCTCAAGAAAATTCCAATATAGCAGCTGAAGTAGATAGCACAAAGCAAGAACAAAAAGCCACTACAGATACAATGAATAATACAAATGCAGAGAATAGCAAACATGATGTATGCATAAACCATGACTTTTAAAAATCTAAATTCAAGAGAAAATTCACACAATGGGTTTGATCAGGACAGGCTGTAATTTTACAAAATGAAGAGGCAAAATGTTCTTCGTTATTATGTTCTCCTGAAACAATGTATTATTATTTTTTTTTAAATGTTTTAGGCTTCATGAACTCTTGCAATTTCTTGGTATCCATTGGCTTACAATGTTTTTGTAACTTTTTGCACATATTTTTTTGATTGGTGAATGTACGCTTTCTTTTTATTTAGAAAATTTTCTGGTGAGTCTCTCTAGACTTATGGGACATTTAACAGTCATATTATGTCCAGTTTGTTTTAATTTGTTGGTTTATGGATTTTTTATGTGAAAGATTGGAATCTGTAGGTTGTGAAAAAAAAATGTATAGAATTACAATTTAATTCAGCCTTATTACAATATTTGTGTTCTACTTTTTTGTCATTATTTCTTAAATTATAAAAACCAAATATTTTTTCTCAACTGTTTTAAACATAGAATGCATTACTAACTTACTTACTGCCCTGTACACCATTGGCTTGTAACGAAGATTTTCCACTTTTGTTTGTCAGTCGTTGGCAGCTTTCTGTAATGTGCCCCATGTCTGTTGATGTTGACCAGTCTCTGCCTCTACATCTCCTCCATGTCATTTTGGGTCTTCCTCTCTTTCTTTTACCTTCTTGGGTCCAGTGGAGTGCTATCTAATGAGATCATTATTCTCTTTCTTTAGGACATGTCCAATCCACCTCCAGTGTCTTCTCATTATAGTAGCGGCTATATCGTCTTGTTGGCATTTAGTGAGAAGGTTCTGGTTTGAGATTTTTTTGTGGCCGAAAGATTTGTAGAATCCTTCTGAGGCTTTTGGTATGGAATACATTAATGTTTGTTAGACATTTTACTTTGTCAAACATTCATTGAATTTTATAAACTTTGGCAAAGCTTTTTTGTCGAGCCTGCGACTTTTGTCACAGAAAGCTCGACATAGGGATCGTGATCCGGCGGCGGCGGCATTAGCTAACTTCTTAAAAGCTTTATATTTTAGAAGCTAGAAGACCTGGATTCTTCATACTTTGTAAATAGATGATATGAAGTTTCCTGTCTGTCATATGTCCATTGTCCTTGACCTCATTTTTATGGTTCATTGACTACTTGAAAAAAAGTCAACATTTTTTGTAATGTTTATTTCTTTCTTATTATGAGTAATAGGATAACTATATTTAGTATGTGCGTACCTTGCTAGGTCCTCATGCCTGTCAGACAATTTTCATTCGACCTCAACCTCATTTCATGGATCAGTGAACAAGGTTAAGTTTTTGTGGTCAAGTCCATATATCAGATACTATAAGCAGTAGGTCTACTATATTTAGTATATGGAATGATTGTAAGGTGTACATGTCCAACTGGTAGGTGTCATCTGACCTTGACCACATTTTCACGGTTCAGTGGTCAGAGTTTTGGTCTTTTTTCTTATACTGTATGCAATAGGTCAACTATATTTGGTGTATGGAAATATTTTATGATGTACATGTCAGTCTCGCAGGCTTTATTTGACCTTGACCTCATTTTCACAGTTCATTTCTCAGTGTTAAGTTTTTGTGTTTTGGTCTTTTTTTCTTCAACTATAAGCAATAGATCAACTATATTTGTTGTATGGGAGGATTGTAAGGTGTATATGTCTGTCTGGCAGGTATCATCTGACCTTGACCTCATTTTCATAGTTCATTGGTCAATGATAAGTTTTCATGGATAAGTTTGTTTCTTAGATACTATAAGCAATAGGTCAACTATATTTAATGCATACATTGATTGTAAAGTGTACATGTCTGTCTGGCATGGTTCATCTGACCTTGACCTCATTTTCATGGTTCATTGGTCAATGTTAAGTTTTCTTGGTTAAGACTGTTTCTTAGAAACTATAAGCAATAGGTCAACTATGTTTGGTTTATTGAATGATTGTAAGGTGTACATGTATTTCTCATTTGGTTTATCTGACCTTGACCTCATTTTCTTGGATCATGTTAAGTTTATGTGTTACTTGTAGGAAAGCTTTATATTAAGGACTATCAACATAAAATCAATGGTTAGTAAAGAAGGCGAGACAATTCAGCGTGTGCACTCTTGTTATAATTAAGAGATAATGTCCGAACCAAAATTTTGAATATGTATATTTGTTTTTCATTTTCCAGTATTTTACTTAGTTTTACTAAGATGAAATAATAGTTTGTGTGGTTAATATTTACAGAAAGTCTGAGATTAACATTTTTTTACATGATAAATTTGTAAATCTTCATGGATTATTATGAAACTTGGACAAAAGACAATCTTCAAGATCAGGAAATAGCATCTGAAGAACAAAATTTGATATTTGAAAAAAAATCTGTATTTCATTGATAAATGAACTTACTTTTTTCAGTCAACATTACACTTTTACACTGACAGTTGCAATATCAAATCCACAGAACCCTTAACAATATATTTTTTTGATAATTGATTCACATTTAGTATTAATAGTTTAAAAAATTTGTCTGCAGTTTGTTTTATATGTGCAATACCCTAATCATATGTTTATGTTTGATCTCATATCCACTCTTTGTTTATCTTTGAAGGTTTCTGAAAGTGATAAAAAGGAGATTGCAAGTTCAGAAGATAAGCCAGGAGATAATGATAATTCAAAAAGAATCACAAGATCAACTACAAAAGCAATGAAAGAAAAGGAAAATAAAGCAGGAAACAAAGAACAGGTGCAGATATGAGATAAATTAAATTTTTCTGATTTTCCTGAATAACTGTAAGTGTCGGGTTCTCAAAATAAATTTTCCAAAAGGACAAGTTTTATGGAACAATTTAGTGCCATAAAGCAAATACTTTTGTTACATTTTTCTCTGGAACTGTAGTACAGAATGGCTTCATACTTGGTAAGAAGATAACTTGACCTTGATAAGTTGTCAGGTGCTTATAATGGTCTGATCTGTTAATCATCTTACTTGCTGCTTGCCAATACTTTGATTTTTATTAATATATTTAATAATATTTTATAACACCTTTTTCCATACTTGGTCTGCAGCTTGGCAGCGATGACTAATAATGTCGACTCTACCTGCTTCTGGCTATCATATACTTTAAATTACAAGGAATGCATGTATTGCTTAGTAAGACAACTCCTGCAACTTCTTTTAATTGTGAAGACCAACATTCTTTATATTTTCTATTCCTGATGATTCCTGATGATTCATTATTAGATGTTTGATACCAATTTTCATGGATTACCATGGTAAAGATGAACTATGAATTTAAATGTTCAACAAAGTAAAAATTTTCTTGAGGCTTGCATGTAGACTTTGACAAAACCACTGATCAAATATCCACAAAAAATGGTACCCATGAAATAAATGAATCCGCAGTTTATATGTGAGCAGTGCAGCCTTTTGAAAATAAGCAGACGCAATTTCTCGAGTCTCCCTACTTCAGATTTTATCTGATTAATTATGTGTGTCGCTTATTTTTTCTAGGAGAGTGAGAAAACAGCTCCAAAGAATGGAACAGATGCAAGGTATTTATTTTATATAGATAAGCCAACAAAACTTAAATAATCTCGTTATTCTCTACCCTGACAGAATTTGATTTATTCCATTAATTGCTACTTTACTTTTAGGTTAAAGTTCAAATCATTTGAAGGAAGAATCGGAGGAATGATATTTTTTAGTGTTCACATTTAAAATGAATTTAAGAATTGATATTTTCTTACCTTGACTTATTAATATAGTGTAAGAACACTTGCCATGCTTTTTTTTACCTGAAAATCATGCAGTTAGATTTAAGTACACTTTACTAAATACTGTAAACTTTAACTGTTATTATATTCCATAGTTGCTTTTTAGCTCACCTGGCCCGAAGGGCCAAGTGAGCTTTTCTCATCACTTGGCGTCCGCCATCCGGCGTTGTCCGGCGTCATCCGTCGTCGTCGTTAACTTTTTACATTTTGAACTTCTTCTAGAGAACCACTGAATGGAATGAAACCAAATATGGCATGAATGTTCCTTATGAGGTGTTGACCAAGTGTTGTTACTTTGTAGCGGATCCATCATCCAAGATGGCCGCCAGCGGGGGACTTAGTTTAACATAGGACCCTATGGGAAATACATACAAATGTCTTCTTTTAGAGAACCACTGAATGGAATGACACCAAACATGGCATGAATGTTCCTTATGAGGTGCTGACCAAGTGCTGTTACTTTGAAGCTGATCCATTATCCAAGATGGCCGCCAGCGGGGGACTTAGTTTAACATAGGACCCTATTGGAAATACATACAAATGTCTTCTTTTAGAGAACCACTGAATGGAATGAAACCAAACATGGCATGAATGTTCCTCTTGAGGTGCTGACCAAGTGTTGTTACTTTGAAGCCAATCCATAATCCAAGATGGCCGCCAATGGGGGTCTTAGTTTAACATGGGACCCTATGGGAAATACATACAAACGTCTTCTTTTAGAGAACCACTGAATGGAATGAAACCAAACATGGCATGCATGTTCCTTATGAGGTGCTGACAAAGTGTTGTTACTATGAAGCCGATCCATAATCCAAGATGGCCACCAGCGGGGGACTTAGTTTAACATAGGACCCTACGGGAAATACATACAAATGTCTTCTTTTAGAGAACGACTGAATGGAATGAAACTAAACATGGCATGAACGCTCCTTATGAGGTGCTGACCAAGTGTTGTTATTTTGAAGCTGATCCATCATCCAAGATGGCCGCCAGCGGGGGACTTAGTTTAACATAGGACCCTATTGGAAATACATACAAATGTCTTCTTTTAGAGAACCACTGAATGCAATGAAACCAAACATGGCATGAATGTTCCTTATGAGGTGCTGTCAAGTGTTGTTACTATGAAGCCGATCCATAATCTAAGATGGCCGCCAGCGGAGGACTTAGTTTAACATAGGACCCTATGAGAAATACATACAAATGTTTTCTTTTAGAGAACCATTGAATGGAATGAAACCAAACATGGCATGCATGTTCCTTTTGAGGTGCTGACCAAGTGTTTTAACTTTGAAGCTGATCCTTCATCCACGATGGCTGCCAGATGGGGACAATGTTTAACAAAGGACCCTATGGACAATACATACAAATGTCTTCTTTTAGAGAACCACATACTGAATGGATTGAAACCAAACATGGCATGAATGTTCCTTATGAGGTGCTGACTAAGTGTTGTTACTTTGAAGCTGATCCTTCATCCATGATGGCCGCCAATGGGGGGACTTCCTTTAACATAAGACCCTATGGGAAATACATACAAATGCTTCTTCTAGAGGTGCACTGAATGGAATGAAACCAAAATATGGCATAAATGTTTCTTATGAGGTGCTGATTAAGTGTTGCTACTTTGTTGCCGATTTACTTTTCAAGAGGGCCACCAGGATTTTTTATCAAATTACAGGACCAATATTAAACCAAATTTGGCCTCACTCATTATTAGGGTATCTGTTATGATTTTAATCTATATTTACATGATTTCCAAAACCAAAGTAGAATCAGGTGAGCGACACAGGCTCTTGAGAGCCTCTAGTTTTATTAAGTTAGAAAATCAAGCTAGATTGTTGAATATTAATAAAGATAACTCTATAACCTTTCATGTAAATCTCCTTTTTCATTTTATTGCATAAAAAGATTCCCAAGTTTCAGTGTTTGCATATTTCTTTATTTGATAGGTCCGTAGAAAGCCACCCAAACAAAGGACTAGGAAAAGCAACAAATTCTTCATCTTTTGATGTTTTCTTTCATGCCATAATTCATTCATCAATTTATGATGATAGCTGTACTGCTTATATAAGATTTTCCTTGAATAGGCTTGGTGGATGGGCTAGCAGGAAACATGAATTGTTTCCAGTAAAGTAAGTATAATATCATAGGATATGACTTTATCATTTTTATACAGAAAACAATGAATATCAAATGAAAAAATAGTGTTGGCTAGATAAGACATATAGATTCTATATCGGTAAACATTAAAATTGAGAATGGAAATGGGGAATGTGTCAAAGAGACAACAACCCGACCATAGAGCAGACTTGAATTTTTAAGTAACTTTCTCGGATAGATAAATATGGTATTCAACAGATTAAAGTTGAAGAACATGTTTCTCTAATGAAATAATTAAAAATGCTAAATGTGATGTTCAGAATGGATATGGCAGGGTATTATACTGTGGATTCATTTATTTTCGTGGGTACTAATTTTCGTGGCTTAAGGAAAACTAATATGTTCGTGGATTTTTAATTTCATGGTTTTTTCCCGAATTCTGCATACAAGCCTATATACAATTTGTAATTCGTCGAACATTTAATTTCGTGGTTCACTTGTACCCACGAAATCCACGAAAATTGGTATCCAACGAATAATAATGAATCCACAGTATGAGAGAAATTTGAATAATGTGGTTTATCAAATTTTATCAAATTGGTTAGAAGCATACCGTACACAACTATAGAGAAATATAGAAAACCATACATTGTCTCTGATTAGAAAAAAAAATGGTATGAGTCTTACTACAGTATAAAATGTTCATTTATTTGATTGTTACAAATAAATGATATATACTGTATGGCATTAGTATCTGACTTTTTAGCCTCCTAAAAGAATACTCTTAAAATTCTATAACTAAATACAAACCCTGGAAATGAATACTGTTGAATTTTATCTTAAAGTAAACTTCAAAAAATTACAGGTTTTCTTTCATGATATAAACTGGTTTCAATTTTTAATGCTTGATTTCAGGAAACTTTCAAATGGAAGTTACGAAGTTGAAAGATTGATTCATATTCCAAGGGATTATTTGTCAACCTCTATTGCCTACAGTTACTTTGTAGTTTCTGGGAACACAGACATGATGGAGTACATTTATAACACCAGTGACAATATAAGATATCTATATGTAAAACCAGATGAACTGAAAAATACTGATGGTAAATTCATTAAATTAGATAAAGGAAAAGAAATATTGTGTGGATTCTACAAGATATTAATATTCCCAAGATCTGTTTTTAAAGAAAGAACACTTTTATTGGTAGTCTTCTTTAGGCTATTTGCTGAACAATCCTTATTTATGAGTTTAATTAAGGACTGGCATATGGTAGCTATATAGTTCATCTATGATCTACATTCTTAGTTGAATATCAGCTGCTTGCATTCTCTTAACCTTTGATTATCAATAATCTGACCACAGTCTATTGAATCAACCAATGTTGTGTTTGTCTGCCTAGTAGGAAATAAAACATTTCCTGTAATTTTTAGCGCACTTTGCCTAAAAAGCCATGGTATTTTTTGCCATCACTCAGTGTCCATCTGTCATCTTAAACTTTTTAAAAGATTTTCTCATCTGAAACTACTGAGCAGAATGTTTGATTGCAGCTGTTGCTAAAATATAAAACAGGGTGAAAATACAGTTTTTTGCTTATATTTCAAAAACCGAAGTAGTAAGAGCAAATCTGAAACCTATTTGAATGATCAACAGGTCGATTCTATCTCCAGCAGAATTTTCAGAAATCAGACAACCCGTTTTAGAGTTCTTTCCTCTTAAAAGTAAATTTTTTACAAATTTCACAGTTTTTATACGTATGACGTTAACGTTGGCTTATTTTAATTTAATTTTAGGAATTAGGGGCCAAAAAGGGGCAAAAAACAAGCATTTTTCTAGTTTCAGGACAATAATTTGTGTGTAAGTGTATGGATCTTTATGAAATTGTACTACAAGGTTTCATATCACAAACGGAAAGCTGGGTTTGAATTTGGGGGTAATTGCCCTAAACGTTTAGGAATTTGGGGCCAAAAAGGAGACTATAAACAAGCATTTTTCTAGTTTCCAGACAATAACTTGTGTTCAAGTGTATGGATTTCTCTGAAATTGTACTGCAAGGTACCATACCACAAAGGGAAGGCTGGGTTTGAGTTTGGGGGTGATGAATCAGAAGGGGGTTCAAAAAATTTGGGGGAGGGATTTTTATTTCCTTTTATTTCCTTTTTTTTTTCTTTAAAATTTTCCATTTTAAATTGGTTATTTCTGATTTATATATAAAAGCAAATAATAATGATATGGTTTGAATAGGTAAATTAAAAAATTTTAAGTTCTTAGACCACATTCATTCTGTGTCAGAAACCTATTCTGGGTCAAATATTTAATCACAATCCAAATTCAGTGCTGTATCAAGCTTGAATGTTGTGTCCATACTTGTCCCAACTGTTCAGGGTTTGACCTCTGCGGTCGTATCAAGCTGCGCCCAGACGAGCATTTTATTTTGGTATTATCTTTGAAACTACAACAGATAAAAGAAAATTTATCGGTGAAAATTACCAGAACAATAAGATCTACAAATAGGTCAACTGGCAGAAGTCATCAAATGACCCCTTTTAGGCCAGGAGTTGTTGCCTATAAAAAAATATTGCAGAAACTTTAATAGACAGAAAATGTAAAAGCAAAATTATTAATTAAAATAACAGTAATAATAAAGGCATGACAAAGTTCAGAGGTACATTTTGAAGTAAATATCAACTGGTTGCCTACCAATGTACCCTTAATGAACTGCCCATTGGTAATAGCATGTGGTTAAAGTACTTGTATCTCGACTTCAAAAGTGTGTTTGTGTTTGAGAAAGTTTTAAAACAATATTTTTTAATTTATTTTCTGATAAACATGGCGCAAACCAAGGAGCTGTAAACGGTCATATTTGTCGGACATTACCTCATCGGCAACCTGTTTGACCGAAATGGCAGATTTGGATCTAGGTCTCAAAATATTTTTTACAGAAATAAATTTGGTCATTTCATTGAGATCAGAGTTTTTTAATATATGCCTTTTCATTTTTCAAGGTTTTTCTGGTATTAAATCTGCTACTCCTAATGACCCTTTTTATTCCTCCAGCAGATCTCTAATAAATTTTTGCCTGTGCTCTCATAGCTGACAGTAGTGATTAAGTTAAGAACTACGATTACAAATGTATAAAGAAATTCGAAATCAGTATTTGTCAAGACAAGCTTCTTCTTTATCTAATGACTTTTCAGCAAAAACAATACCAATTCTGATTTAAAAATTTAAACTTTTATTAAATTATGTGGAAAAAAGTTAATTCTCAACAAGTCAAACATGTGCTTTATTTAGTATACAATACTCATGCGTGCAAGTGTCTTCACCAGATTCAACACTTTAAAATTGTAAGATGCAAAATGGTTTTATGCCAAAATAAATGATGGAAGCTTTTATCAGTCATATTCAAACAATTTTATAGGTAATAAATATAAAATAGGATTATTTCCTGCCATTTGATAATTGTAATTTATGATTAACTTGAAACTTCCTGTTTATATTTTGTCTCTCAAAATCGAAAGTAGGGTGGTTAAATATACAATTTTAAGTTATTAAAATGATTTCAATTTAAAACAGTTGTATTCCAAAAATCCTTCTTGAACTTTTTTTAGCATAGCGGCAAGAAGTTTCATGAAGTAAATGCAGCAAAACTGTCAATATAACTTCTTTGATGCTGTGAATCTAGTATGAATTCGACAGTTTGAAAAAAGACCTAAAGTCATTTCCAGTTGCCCGAAATTGTGTGAAAAAATTTCTAAATCCTTGATGCAAAGGTCAAACTTATATATTATGTTCATGTTATTTGTAAGTAAATTTTATATAATTGGTGTAATAACTTTTATAGTTGACTATGCGGTATGGGTTTTGCTCATTTGTTGAAGGCTTTACGGTGACCTATAATGGTTAATTTCTATGTCATTTGGTCTCTTGTGGAGAGTTGTCAATCATACCACATCTTCTTATCTTTATATTAATTGTTGAAAGACCTGGAATCAAAAATTCACAAAGTCTACTTTTAAGATGTTTATCCTGAAATTTTTATCTTTTAGGTAAATTACAAAAATATGACGGTGTTGTAAGAGGACTAGAAGTTAAGGAAGGAATGGCTGATTTTTTTTGGCGTTATACTGGGATAGAAGGAAAATTGTACAGAAAGGAACTTTATCAAGATGCTCGCCTGTCAATTGATGTTTTTTTACCTGAATGGCAGTCAGCAAAAGGTTCAGCATCGGGATGTTGTGGTGAAGCGATGATAATGCAGATTAGATTGGTTCATCAAAGTCTAGAAAAAATTTACTGCAACCTTATGAAAGCTGTATGGCAAAAGAATTTAATGCAGTTATTCAGAGAAGTAGGCTTTAATTTTTGATTTTTCAGAAAATGTAATATACAAATGTAGATCTAGAAAGACTAATCAAAAAGTGGTTAAAAGATTGAACTGTATCATCGTAGGATTTGTAGCCCTTCTGAAAAGCAAGTTATTGTCTTAAACTGTTGATATCTTTATAAGTATGGTATTATGACAGATTTTTGTCGAGCCTGCGACTTTTGTCGCTGAAAGCTCGACATAGGGATAGTGATCCGGCTGCGGCTACGGCAGCGGCGGCGGCGTTAACTAACTTCTTAAAAGCTTTAAATTTTAGAAGGTGGAAGATCTGGATGCTTCATACTTTGTATATGGATGCCTCATGTTACGAAGTTTCTGTCAGTCACATGTCCAATGCCCTTGACCTCATTTTCATGGATCAGTGAATACTTGAAAAAAAGATTTTTTGAAATGTTAAATTCTCTCTTATTATAAGTAATAGGATAACTATATTTGGTATGTGCATACCTTGCAAGGTCCTCATGCCCGTCAGACAATTTTCATTTGACCTCCACCTCATTTCATGGATCAGTGAACAAGGTTAAGTTTTCGTGGTCAAGTCCATATATCAGATACTATAAGCAGTAGGTCTACTATATTTGGTATATGGAATGATTGTAAGGTGTACATGTCCAACTGGTAGGTGTCATCTGACCTTGACCTCATTTTCATGGTTCAGTGGTTATAGTTAAGTTTTTGTGTTTTGGTCTGTTTTTCTTATACTGTATGCAATAGGTCTACTATATTTGGTGTATGGAATGATTGTAAGGTGTACATGTCTAGCTGGCAGGTGTCATCTGACCTTGACCTCATTTTCATGGTTCAGTGGTTATAGTTAAGTTTTTGTGTTTTGGTCTGTTTTTCTTATACTGTATGCAATAGGTCTACTATATTTGGTGTATGGAATGATTGTAAGGTGTACATGTCTAGCTGGCAGGTGTCATCTGACCTTGACCTCATTTTCATGGTTCAGTGGTCAAAGTTAAGTTTTTGAGTTTTGGTCTTTTTTTCTAATACTGTATGCAATAGGTCTACTATATTTGGTGTATGGAATAATTGTAAGGTGTACATGTCTAGCTGGCAGGTGTCATCTGACCTTGACCTCATTTTCATGGTTCAGTGGTCAAAGTTAAGTTTTTGAGTTTTGGTCTTTTTTTCTAATACTGTATGCAATAGGTCTACTATATTTGGTGTATGGAATAATTGTAAGGTGTACATGTCTAGCTGGCAGGTGTCATCTGACCTTGACCTCATTTTCATGGTTCAGTGGTCAAAGTTAAGTTTTTGAGTTTTGGTCTTTTTTTCTAAAACTATATGCAATAGTTCAACTATATTTGGTGTATGGAAATATTTGATGATCTAAATGTCAGTCATGCAGGTTTTATTTGACCTTGACCTCATTTTCAAGGTTCATTGCTCAGTGTTGTTTTTGTGTTTTGGTCTGTTTTTATACGACCGCAAAAATTAAAAAATTTTTGGTCGTATATTGGTATGACGTTGGCGTCGTCGTCCGGCGTCGTCCAAAGACACATTGGTTTTCGCACTCTAACTTTAGTTTAAGTGAATGGATCTCCATGAAATTTTACCATAAGGTTCAATACCACGAAAGGAAGGTTGGGATTGATTTTGGGGGTTATGGTACCAACAGTTAAGGAATTAGGGGCCAAAAAGGGGCCAAAAATAAGCATTTTTGTAACTTCCAGACAATAACTTGTGTGTAAGTGTATGGATCTCTCTGACATTGTACCACAAGTTTCCATATCACAAAGGGAAGGCTGTAATTGATTTTGGGGGTAATTGCCTCAAAATTTTAGGAATTAGGGGCCAAAGAAGGGGCAAAAAACAAGCATTTTTCTAGTTTCATGACAATAACTTGTGTGTAAGTGTTTGGATATTTCTGAAATTGTACTACAAGGTTCCATATCACAAAGGGAAAGCTGGAATTGAGTTTGGGGGTAATTGCCCGAAACGTTTAGGAATTGGGGGCCAAAAAGGGGCCAAAAACAAGCATTTTTCTAGTTTCCAGACAATAACTTGTGTTCAAGTGTATGGATCTCTCTGAAATTGTACTGCAAGGTACCATACCACAAAGGGAAGGCTGGGATTGAGTTTCGGGGTGATGAATCATAAGGGGGTTCAAAAAATTTGGGGGGGGGATTTTTTTTCTTTCTTTTTTTTTCTTTTTTTCCTTTTTTTTTTCTTTTAAAATTTTCCATTTTAAGTTGGTTATTTCTGATTTATATTTAAAAGCAAATAATAATGATATGGTAGGAGATACACACAAAACAGGATGTGTAAATTATTATATAATAAGTATTGTGCAATAGCAAGAAATTTTCAATTGCACAGTATTGCACAATAGCAAGAAATCTTCAATTGCACAGTATTGCGCAATAGCAAGAAATCTTCAATTGCACAGTATTGCGCAATAGCAAGAAATATCCAATAGCACAATATTGTGCAATAGCAAGAAATTGTCAATTGTACAGTATTGCGCAATAGCAAGAAATATTCAATTGCACAGTATTGTGCAAAAGAAGATACTTCGTATAAATTGCTTATTTCTTGATCAATTTCAATGGGGTTTTATTCTTGAATTCTTGGGGTTCTTTAATATGCTGAATCTAACCGTGTATTAAGTTTTTGGATTTTGGGCCCCGTTTTTAAATTGGTCCACATTGAGGTCCAAAGGGTCCAAAATTTAACTTTGTTTGATTTCATCAAAAATTGAATTATTGGGGTTCTTTGATATGCCGAATCTAACCGTGTATTTAGATTCTTAATTTTTGGTTCCGTTTTCAAATTGGTCTACATTAAGGTCCAAAGGGTCCAAAATTAAACTTAGTTTGATTTTAACAAAAATTGAATTTTTAGGGTTATTTGATATGCTGAATCTAAACATGTATTTAGATTTTTTATTATGGGCCCAGTTTTCAAGTTGGTCCAAAATGGGGTCCAAAATTAAACTTTGTTTGATTTCAACAAAAATTGAATATATGGGGTTCTTTGATATGCTGAATCTAACGATGTATTTAGATTTTTGATTTTTGGGCCCCGTTATCAATTTTGTCCACATTGAGGTCAAAAGGGTCCAAAATTAAACTTTGTTTGATTTCATCAAAAATTGAATTCTTGGGGTTCTTTGATATGCTGAATCTAACCATGTATTTAGATTTTGGATATTGGACCATAATAGGTGAATGTCCAATTTAAAATTTTTAATTTCTTAGACCACATTCATTCTGTGTCAGAAACCTATGCTGTGTCAAATATTTAATCACAATCCAAATTCAGAGCTGTATCAAGCTTGTATGTTGTGTCCATACTTGCCCCAACTGTTCAGGGTTCGACCTCTGCGGTCGTATCAAGCTGCGCCCTGCGGAGCATTTTATTCTTAAACTATAAGCAATAGGTCAACTACATTTGTTGTATGGAAGAATTGTTAGCTGTACATGCCTGCCTAGCATGGTTCATCTGACCTTGACCTCAATTACTTGGTTCATTGGTCAATGTTTAGTTTACTTGGTTAATGTTAAGTTTATGTGACAGTTGTAATAAAGCTATATTTAGGACTATCAACATAATATCAATGATTAGTAAAGAAGGCGAGACATTTCAGCGTGTGCACTCTTGTTATAATATTTATTGATTCTCAATGACCTTTTTTGTCTCGCCTTGACAGAGTCAAAAAGCGAGACATAGGTATGCTGTTCCAGTGGCGTCAACAATGTATTAGTTTGTGATTAGGTCCAGTTTGTGGTGAACCACTAGCGGTAGGTCAATGATATTTGGTATGCATTTGTATTAGCATTGGCACATCTCATTTCCATGGTTATTATTTGGCCCTGCCCCCTCAGTCATGGTCTATTGACTTTGAAACCTTTCCTTAGTTTACATGTATTAGTTTGTGATTAGGTCAGTTTATGGGGAACCACTAGTAGTAGGTCAATGATATTTGGTATTTGGCAATTTATTGGCATTTGCAAGTCTCATTTCTATGGAGATTATATAGCCCCACCCCCTCATCATGGTTCATTGACTTTGAAACTTTTACATAGTTTACAAGTTAATGTTTGTGTTTAGATTTGTTTAAAGGGAATGACTTATGAAAAGTCAATGGTATTTGGTATGCATTTGTATTAGCATTGACACATCTCATTTCCATGCAGATTGTTTAGCCATGTACCTTCAGTCATGGTTCATTGACTTTGAATATTTGCATAACTTACATGTTAAAGTATTGCTATTTTAATTTCAACATTTGCATTATCAAATTACAAATAGGCGAGACATATCTCTGTGTCAACAGTTTATTTAAATCATTTGAACTTACATAGAATGGCTCAGTAAACCAATGTTCTTGACAGTTAAATTGCATTTCTAGCTATATTTTTTTTGTTTTAGAATCTCAAAAATGAAATATCCTCTTTTTTTGCATTTCAACTCTTTGATGTAGTAGCTACACTTCTATGGTCTTTTTTTGGCTTTGAGTACGCTTCAGTAGGCTTTGTTTAAGCTTCAGAAGGCTTTGTGTACGCTTCAGTAGAATTTGTGTACGCTTCATAATTGTTTAAGTTTTGAAAATAAAGATTTTCATGGTTGGAAATATGACTGTTTTAGGTATTATTGAAGAAATCATGTATTAATAGACCAATTTTGAGTTCTTTTTAATCAATGAGTTGCACAGATTCAATCAACTCTTACTGACGTGATAATATAGTAATTTTTGTTACCTTGGAAATAGACTGAAAAATGCATGAATGTGAAAGTTGTTTTAAAATTCTGGAATTCAAAACAGCAGCTTCCCTTAGTTAGAGACAGGTAGATTGAAAATCTTATGCTGATTGCTATCAAATGCAATCCACTGATAAAAAATAGTAGCATTAGAGTTGAACATAATATTTTTAAGGAATTAGTACAAATTATGCAAACTGATATTTCAATATATAAGCCACATTGTACAGATAATTGTGTTTTCTGACAGTGTTTAGGCATCACCACTGTCAGCTCACATCCTTGTCATCCATATTGTTCTTGTTACACTTTTAATCCCTGGAAACTGCTTGATAGAATTCCATCAATCTTGCACAGACTTTGAAATTGTACATCTGCTTTATCATTTTTTTATTTGAAAGATTTTTAGGGTTTCTCCTACATAAATCTCTCTATTACTGAAAAATTATTACACCAGGGTTTTTGATATCACAAACTAGTCAAAACATTTACTAAATTTTATCATCGGTACAAGGACATCATTCGTAAATATAAATCAACATGCAGACATCTTATACGTTCAGGTATTTCACATCCAATATTTTATGGTAATATTGTTTACAAAGCACAAAAATGTCCGTCGGCATTCACCTCAAACGCTAACCAAACCTTTAAACAGACTTATTGGGAAGGGATATAGTTACGATGCTGTTGTCAAGTCATTAAGGATTGCATATTTTGGTATTAATATTGATTCACTCATAGGGTCTTTGCACACTTTGAAAAATACACACATTTATTCTAAAACCAGTTGTTGGCATGATACGGGTTATGTTCTTCTCATATATTTTATGATGGTATGATACTAAACCCCTAATGGGAGGGATTGTGCATGATTATCATATGATGGATGAAGACATAATCTTTCAATCAGTTTAATTGAGGTCTGGAGCTGGCATGTCAGTAAGTGCTAGTAGTCCTTTGTTCATTTATGTATCATTGTCATTTTGCTTAGTTTCTTTTGTTACCTATTCTGACATCGGACTCAGACTTCTTTTAAACTGAGTTTTACTGTGCGTATTGCTATGTGTTTCTTTATTCTACATTGGCTAGAGGTATAAGGGAAGGGTTGAGATCTCTCAAAACATGTTTAACCCTGCCGCATTTTTGCACCTGTCCCAAGTCAGGAGCCTCTGGCCTTTTGTTAGTCTTGTATGTTTTTTAATTTTAGTTCATTTATATGTTTTGAAGTTTAGTGTGACATCCATTTTCACTGAACTAGTACACAATTTAATTAGGGGTCAGCTGAGGACCACCTCCGGGTACGGGATTTTCTTGCTGCATTGAAGACCCTTTGGTGGCCTTCGGCTGTTGTCTGCTTTTTGGTCGGGTTGGTGTCTCTTTGACATATTCCCCATTTCCATTCTCAATTTTATAAACATAGACAATTACTATTTCTACTCATATTTATTGTAGACAGCAGACGACACACTCTTCCTTGGATGACTCAAACATTTTTTAATCACTAGTTGATTATTCTATATATTGCAGGCTCTGACAAAAAGTTTGGAACCATTATGGCAAGAATTTATAGACAAGAAAGAATTTTGCAAAGAAGACAAACAGAAAATTATACTAAATGCAATAGCTGTTGCATATTTATTTAGAGAATATGACCTCACAGTGAGCTTTGATGAAGGAAGCGCACTTTGCCAAGCCTTACTGCCCGAATATGAAGAAGATGGAAAACAGTATGAGATTGAAAACTTGAAAGAAGAGATGCCTCAAACATTTCAGTGAGTTTTTACTTAAGAAGAAATAATATTTCAGAAACTAAAAAGTGAGTTTAAGCTTTGTGAACATCAATCTTAATAGATTACATTCATCTTGCAGTAATTTAATGTGTCCTATAGAATCAAGTTTTTTGCATGCTGATGAATCTGCTGAATATTCAAAAATATATAGGGTACATATCGGTACTTCCTTATATAATTGGGAGTCATTTCTTTTCAATCCTGCTTCAATATGATTTGTTTTTTTAGCTAAGTCTTTCAAGCCATTCTCTAGTGCCAGAAGTTGTGGATTCGATTATCAGGCTGATCAAACAAACAAAAATTGCTAAATAAGCAGCTTATGTAAATAAAATGACAGCATTGAACTTATCTTTAATGTCTGCTTGTATAAAAATGGAATAAAAACTGTTAATGTAAATTAATTTTTAAAATGAAACATCAAACAAAAGTATTTAAATTGTCATTTCTGTCACTTAAATAATTTGAGGAATTTTGTGTTCATCTAATAGTAGGTACAGCTACTAAACAACTCATATTTACCAAAATAGACTTGTACAAATCTTTGATGGGATCATGCCAAAACTGTATATACTGAATATGTAGATGAGATTAGTTTTAGTTTTTTCTTTCTTTCAGCTTGATACCAAAAGTAATTGTGCACTTTACAGGCGTTCTTATCAATTATTTGGATCCGAGTTGGTTGTATTGTATGCCGCTGGTTCACTTTATGTACAGCCAATCTTTGACTGGAGAAAAACCAAACGAAAGTGTAGAGCATGATTCTGATAAACCTGTGTGGTGGGGAATTGCATATCAAGACCATTATAGCTTTGATCTCAAAAAGTTTAAACAGAAACACATTCAAGAGTAAGTATTATTTTGTATTAAGCAAGACTGTCAGTGGATCGTTTCATCATCAAGTCAACTGTTTTTACTTTGCCATCACTTGGCGTCCACGTCTTCATCCCTCCGGTGTAAACTATTTCAAACATCTTCTCCTCTGAAACTACTGAACCAATTCCAACCAAACTTAAGCTAAATGATTCTTAGGGTATCTAGAATAAAGTTTGTGTTTTATTTTCTGTTTTGTCAAAAAAACATGGCCACCTAGGCTAAAAATAGAACATAGGGGTAAAATGCAGTTTTTGGCTTATATCTAAAAAATTAAAGCATTTAGAGCAAATCTGACGGGGTAAAAATGTTCATTATATATATATATAATTAGGTCAAGTTCTATCAGCCGTTAAATTTTCAGATGAATCGAACACCCCATTGTTGGGTTGCTGTCACTAAATTGGTAATTTTAAGGAAATTTTGCAGTTTTTGGTTATTATCTTGAATATTGTTATAGATAAAGATAAACTGTAAACAGCGAAAATGTTCAACTACGAAAGATCTACAAACCAGTTTTTATATGACCAAAATTGTCAATTGACCCCTTAAGGAGTTATTGCCCTTTAAGGACAATTTTACACAATTTGTTTATCATGTTTTCTAACTTTAAAAACTCTTCTTCTCTGAAAATACTGACCCAAATCAAACCAAACAAATCAATGATTCTTAGGTTATCTAGAATAAAGTTTGTGTTTTATTTTCTGTTTCCTCAGAAAACATGGCCGACATGGCTAAAAATAGAACATAGGGGTAAAATGCAGTTTTTGACTTGTATCTCAAAAACTAAAGCATTTAGAGCAAATCAGACAAGAAATTAAAGTATTCATTAGGTCAAGGTCTACCTTCCCTGAATCTATCAGCCAAATCAGGTATCTGATTGTTAGGTTATTGCCCCTGAATTGATGATTTTAACGAAATTTTGCAGTTTTTGGTTATTATCTTGAATATTATTATAGATAAAGATAAACTATAAACAGCAACAATGTTCAGCAAAGTAAGATCTACAAAGAAGATTATATGACCAAAATTGTCAATTGACCCCTTAAGGAGTTATTGTCCTTTAAAGACAATGTTTCACAATTTGTTCATCTAGTTTGCTTACTTTAAAAAATCTTCTCCTTTGAAACTGCTGAATCTATTTCAGCCAAACTTGGGCTGAATGAGTTTCAGAGTATCTAGTATAAATTTTGTATTTTATTTCCATGTACGTCAAGAAACATAGCCACTATGGCTAAAATGGAACATAGGGGAAAAATGCATTTTTTTGCTTTTGAAGAAAATATGACAGATACAAAGAACATTTAAATGGCATTTTAAAGTCACTCATTAATATATATATTGAAAAGCAAAAATAATCATTGATGAAAGATTTAAGAAAAAAATTACAGGTGAGCGATTCAGACTCTTGAGAGACTCTTGTTTTAAATGATGATTTTTCCAATTTTTTTTTGCGTCTTTGCATGAAAACTACGATAGATCATGTAGATAGATAGAAATTTTGAATAGCAAAAATTATCAGCAAGACAAGATGACAAATAAGTCAGTATGAACCTAGGCTTCCAAAACGGTCATATATCGGACATTTGTATAATGTCCGGTAAAAGTCCGGCTGGGCAAAGCACGAAACGGTCATCTACTTTTTAGATTTCAAGGCTTTCTCAAGAGACTGTCATTTTAACATAATTCGCGATCTTTTTGACCCAACCTTTTGCCTTTTACAGCCACACATTTCCGGTCATAAAAGTGACATGATCATTAAGTACTATCAAAACAACCCCTACTTTAATACCTTCTCATTTTAATCAAGGCTAATTAGTTGTCGAACAGCTGAAATTTACCTGTTCAGGTGACAGGTAAACTTTTTTGAACTGGACATTGATCGGTCTATTCAAAGTTATTTTCTTACATTTCACCGGTTTGCATCTAATTAATTTAGTCAAAAAGATTTAAATTATCAGAAATACATTTACAAATAAGATTTGATGAAAAAATTAAAGAAGGTGAAAATGAAAAATCGTCATAACCACGTTGTTTGAACTAGTACACGTGTGCGCATGTGCATGTGCGCAGGTGTGAAATTTAATTATGCATCCTAATTTCTTTAAAAAATGCTTAAATTGTCATTGATACCTTTATCTCACATTTATTTCGAATATTTTCTTGAAGAAATAACGTAGAATGAGCTACTAACACTCATTCATGCTTTGCGGAATTTACGTATCCGTCTCTGGTCCATGTTTTACCATTGTCAAGATAACATCCGGTTTCAGATTTAAAAACGAAAGTAAAGTTTTTGACAATGTTATTTTGCACAAATAAAGAGTCTAAGGCAGATATAAGTACGCTGATGTTGCACACTTCGGATGATGCACTACCAATTTAACAGTTTACGTCAGAACTTCGAATTTGAATCAAAGAAAGTTTAATAATGTTTTTTTTAGATATCAATCATTGGGATGGCCAACTCCTCAACTGATTACCATAATTGCCTTTTGTTTATTTAGTCTTAAGGGATTAAAATCGGGATAATATATAAAATGTCCGGCTGGCTAAAAATAATTTTGGAAGCCCTGGTATGAACGAAGTTGTTGGTCGACTCCTTATTAAAGTTGTTGCCCTTTAGAGATTTTTTTCCCAATTTTTCATTTTTTCCTGTTATCTTAAAAACTATAATAGATAGATAGAGACTTTGAAAAAGAAAAATGTTCAACAGGATAAGATCTACAAACATGTCAACATGGCTGAAATTGTTAGTTAACTCTTAATACTGTTATTCCCCTTTAATGATGTTTTTTTTACAAAAAAGTGGCAATTGTTGAAGGTGCAGGTGAGCGACACAGGCTTTAGTTTAAATCACTTTCATTTCTTTTTTTCAAAAATCTTTGATAATCTGATCCAAATTTGGTTGGGGAAATGAATGGAAAGTACTTTATAAAATTCCTCTTTCAATCAAGTTGTTAAAAAACATGATAATTGATTACAGTTATAAGAAGATGTGGTATGAGTGCCAATGAGACAACTCTCCATACAAGTCAAAAATTAAAAAAGTAAACCATTATAGGTCAAAGTACGGTCTTCAACAGGGAGCCTTGGCTCACACCGAACAGTAAGCTATAAAGGGCCCCAAAAGTTACTAGTGTAAAACCATTCAAACGGGAAAACCAACGGTCTAATCTATATTAGTCAGTTATCAAATTTAAAAGGAAATGCGGTGAAAGATATAAAGAACAAACTGCTACAGTAGGCTCGATAGGCTTTATTGGATTAGAGAATGGCTTTTCTTAAAATATAATTGTATCAATGGTATGCAAAATTGCCAAGTAAGCAATACAGGCTCATTGGAGCCTTAAGTTACTTTTCTCATATTTGCATAGTCTCCATGGATTAATTGATTATAAAATTAATCTTTCAGGCAATATTTACAAGACATTATTGAAAAGTTGACACCACACTTTGAAATGGACTACCTTTTACCGAGGACACTCATGTCTTGTATAGCACTTGAACAGCTACCTCTTGCAGCCAAATCTAAATGGATTTCACCAGACATTGTACTGGCTTCAATATGCTTTTATGTGAGAGATGAAAAACATATCACAAAAAATGACTCGAAGGAAACGGTGAGTAATAATTGCAAAAATTGAAGGAATCGGGGAAAAAATTTCCCTAACTATAAAACTGCAACACTTACAGACTTCCAAAAAATAGTTTTCTGTCATGCACAATTGCAACGTATGAAATGCTAGATTTTCTTCTGATAAAAATGGCAAATTGGATTCGATAATTTACTCTCAATTGAATGATTTACAGCTATCGAAAAAATAATTTAACCCTCTTGTGATTGAAGGGTAATAACAATTTATTAATTATCTCGTTAATTGTACCCCAGAAAATTTGAAGTCAGTCAAGCTTGACATTATATTTTTCTGTATATTAGGTTATTTTGCTTGTGTGTTTAATTTTCTCTTTGTTTGTGGCAGTTAAGAAAATCTGAAACTTGAACACTGTGTAAATTTCCCTGCATATTCCAAGATTTATCGCTCTTTAAACATGTCATACATTATACGAGAGACATATACACCAGTAATACAAATTATATTGTTAGTTATCTAGTCCGAGATTACTCTGACGTCCAACAGCTGTTTTGCCAGACAAGCTGGGGCCGTGGGACATCAGAGCTCGTCCCATATCAAAAAGTGGATATTTGCCCGTCCAAAATAGATGCACTGCTTCGTCGCTTCTGGTGCCAACGGACGGCCTTGGAATTATGGAATTATATAAATCGGGTATCAATTTGTTCATTTTTAGCTCACCTGGCCCGAAGGGCCAAGTGAGCTTTTCTCATCACTTGGCGTCCGTCGTCCGTCATCAGCGTTCTTCTAGAGAACCACTGAATGGAATGAAACCAAACATGGCATGAATGTTCCTTATGAGGTGCTGACTAAGTGTTGTTACTTTGTAACGGATCCATCATCCAAGATGGCCGCCAGCAGGGGACTTAGTTTAACATGGGACCCTATGAGAAATACATACAAATGTCTTCTTTTAGAGAACTACTGAATGGAATGAAACCAAACATGGCGTGAATGTTCCTTATGAGGTGCTGACCGAGTGTTGTTACTTTGAAGCCAATCCATAATCCAAGATGGCCGCCAGCGGGGGACTTAGTTTAACATGGGACCCTATGGGAAATACATACAAACGTCTTCTTTTAGAGAACCACTGAATGCAATGAAACCAAACATGGCAAGAATGTTCCTTATGAGGTGCTGACCAAGTGTTGTTACTTTGAAGCTGATCCATCATCCAAGATGGCCGCCAGCGGGGGACTTAGTTTAACATAGGAGCCTATGGGAAATACATACAAATGTCTTCTTTTAGAGAACCACTGAATGCAATGAAACCAAACATGGCATGAATGTTCCTTATGAGGTGCTGACCAAGTGTTGTTACTATGAAGCCGATCCATAATCTAAGATGGCCGCCAGCGGAGGACTTAGTTTAACATTGGACCCTATGAGAAATACGTACAAATGTTTTCTTTTAGAGAACCATTGAATGGAATGAAACCAAACATGGCATGCATGTTCCTTTTGAGGTGCTGACCGTTACTTTGAAGCTGATCCTTCATCCATGATGGCTGCCAGATGGGGACAATGTTTAACAAAGGACCCTATGGACAATACATACAAATGTCTTCTTTTAGAGAACCACATACTGAATGGATTGAAACCAAACATGGCATGAATGTTCCTTATGAGGTGCTGACTAAGTTTTGTTACTTTGAAGCTGATCCTTCATCCATGATGGCCGCCAATGGGGGGACTTCCTTTAAAATAAGACCCTATGGGAAATACATACAAATGCTTCTTCTAGAGGTGCACTGAATGGAATGAAACCAAAACATGGCATAAATGTTTCTTATGAGGTGCTGATTAAGTGTTGCTACTTTGTTGCCGATTTACTGTTCAAGATGGCCACCAGGATTTTTTATTAAATTACAGGACCAATATTAAACCAAATTTGGCCTCACTCATTATTAGGGTATCTGTTATGATTTTAATCTATTTTTACATGATTCCCAAAACCAAAGTAGAATCAGGTGAATGACACAGGCTCTTGAGAGCCTCTAGTTCATTTATGTAAGTTTCACCTACCTGCCACCCTTTATTTTCTCATATTTAGACAGTTTTCACAGTGACCCATCGATTCAGACAGTTTTACTTTTATTTTCAAATGGACGTCAATTTACGAGAGATTTTGCGACCTCGAGACTCAAATATGCAAATATTTATACTTTTTTCACCTCCTTTATAGGAGATTGATATTTAATATTTAGTAGCCAACCCCGATTTTTCACCTCAATTACAGGAGATTGGTATTAAGCATTTAGTGCCAACCACGATAACATTCGGAAGCTCTCGGATATTTACATTGCTTGCATCGTAATGAGCGAGGTGTTAGATTATATATTCATATTGACCTAGGGTCATATGCAGACATCATTTCCCATAGTCCATTGTGCCTTACTTTTTTCTCGTGATCACATGACAATCTTTCAAAATGAAAGTCAAAATGCCAGAATCGGTGTGTCACTGTGAAAACTGTCTAAATATGAGAAAGTAAAGGGTGGCAGGTAGGTGAAACTTACATAAATGAAGAGATAAATGAAAAATGAACTAATTGATACCCGATTTATATAATTCCAAGGCCGTCCGTTGGCACCAGAAGCGACGAAGCAGCGCATCTATTTTGGACGGGCAAATATCCACTTTTTGATATGGGACGAGCTCTGACGTCCCACGGCCCCAGCTTGTCTGGCAAAACAGCCGTTGGACGTCAGAGTAATCTCGGACTATTAGTTATCGAGGTCACATGAATGTACCAATTGATTAAAATCTCTGTTTTCATAATAAAAGTGGCTAATCATACATGTCACACCTTTTGACAACACAGCAATCGGTTACATGTTTATAGATGTTACAGCAATTAATGACGATCTATTGATTGTTGTCAAAACCGTATATAATATAAAAGCAAAGAAAAAAAATGAATAAATGGCATTTACACAGATATTAGCATACATATGCTTCATAAAGAACTGTTATACCAATAATTTAGTCAAATTATCAAAACTTTCTAGCATGCTGCTATGTATATTTTGATGCTTTATATTGTAATAAAATAATGATGAAATACTCAGGCTGTGATCAGGCAATCTTAAAACATTGTAAATATGAAATTTTGTTAAATAAAATCTATTGAGGGTATGAAATCAATTATCAATTCATGAAAATAAATGAATGTAAGTATAAAAAGTTTGAGATTTTCATAAGAAAAGAATTAACATTGACATTTTATTTTGTAGGCACTTATAGAATGTCTGACTATTGTCCTCAGAAAGTTGAATGAAGAGAGCCTTGACAAGTAAGATCCCAGGAGAAAGAGCTATATAATATATGGTTATTAAAGAGGTTCAAATAGAACAACAGTCATTTTGGAAATGAAAGTGCAAAGTTATAAAGAAATATGAGGAGAAAGGCCTAAATTTGGTTATAAAAATTGGACTTTGTTATATTTTATCTGACCATCAATATTTATGATCTAAAATTTGCAAATTAAGATGAACTAGACATGTTTAGCTCATCTGACCCAAAGCTACTCTGCATCACTTGGCATCTATCATTTGTTGTCTGCTGTCTGTTCACTTTTACAGAAGAATACAATTTTCTGCAAATTTGTATTATCCAATTCCTCAGGTTCCTGTCTCATATTGAAAAAGATATTACTGTATGTGAAGTTTGGGAAGGATGTAGACCTCTGTTAGATAGCTAGTTTGGCCAATTATGTCATAATGACATGTTCATGACACATGTCTATTGTTGAAGACTATATTGACCTCTTGATGACTTGATTATGTTCTGTCATTGGGTTGCTGTCTCATTTACATACAACTCATGTTTCCTTTTATTCATAATTATTGTGATGTCTCTTTCACATAAAAACTGAAACTTTTGAACTTAAGTGGCTATACTATCAAATCCTATTCAGTTAACCTGATTTGAAAAAGATTGATAGATTTCACTACTATACATTTTTCAGAGTCAATTGATTCTGATATCACACCCAGGCTAAATGAACATTTTTTTAATTTTAGTTCATTTATAGGTTTTGGAGTTTAGTGTGACGTCCATTTTTACTGAACTAGTACACAATTTTATTTAGGGGCCAGCTGAGGACCACCTCTGGGTGCAGGATTTTCTCGCTGCGTTGAAGACCCATTGTTGGCCTTCGGCTGTTGTCTGCTCTTTGGTCGGGTTGTTGTCTCTTTGACATATTCCCCATTTCCATTCTCAATTTTATTTAGATTTATAGATATTGGGTAAAATGTTACTGAATCTTTTATGAATATTATTTATACTCTTCAATATTCAGATTCTACATGCTTTCATGTGTACTTTACAAGGGTAATTTGCCAGTTTTCTTTTTGAAGAATATATGGACAGGATTAGAAGTTTTTAACCATGACTATATAATTATTAGCTCACCTGGTCTGAAGGGCCATGTGAGCTTTTGCCATCACTTCAGTCCGTTGTCTTTCAGTTGTCCTAGTCCATAAACTTTTCTTTAATAATCTTCTCTGAAACTGCTCAATGTCCAGATTGAAACCAAAGTTTGTCTGCTTTATCTATAGGATATCACTATAAAGTTTATGATCCAGGTCGATCAAACAACATGGTAACCATGTCTAAAAGTAGAACATAGAAATTGGACTACAGTTTTATCTAATATCTCTAAAACTATAGCAATTATAAAAAACTGGGAGGGTAAAAATGGTCTGCACAATAAGTTCTATCTAATCTGAAAAATTTGGAAAAGCTGTCCTCTTGTATTTGTCTTGTTGCCCCATGAAATGTTGATTTTTAACTTTTTTAGCATTTCCATGTCATTATTTTAAAAATTATTAGAGCTAGGTTGTAAATATAAATGGCAAGAAGGATCAGCATGACAAGATGCATCTATCCTGAAAATTGAAGAAAAATCTGTCAACCTGTTTGGTATTATTGCCCCTAAATTATCAGTTTGTAGCAGTTTTTGGCTGTTATTGAAAAAAGAAAAAAAAAAAAAACGGGAGCTAAGCTAAAAGTGTATACTGCAAAAATGATCAGCACGACAAGATCTATTAACCCTGAAAATACCAGAAAAATCTGATAACCTGTTTTTGAGATTTTCCCCCTGAAAAATACATATTATTTCAATTTTTCAGCTTTTTAATGTGTTGCCGTTGACCGTCCGTCTATCTGTCTTGCCGTCCTTCCGTCTTTCTGTTTGTCCCTCCCATTTTCATTGCAAAGCTTGAGCAGGGGCATTCGTGTCCTCAGACACATTCATCTTTTATTTCTGTTATTTTGAAAAACTAGAGTAGCTAGGTTAAAAAAGTAAAATGTCAAAATGATCAGCATGACAAGATCTATCTTCTCTGAAATTTAACGACCCATTTTGGAGTTATTGCCCCTGGTAATCGCAACTCCTCTGAAACCGCACAACAGAATTTCATGAAACTTTGTAGATGATAAGGATATACTATGTAGATGTGCATATCTACAAGAATTTTTTATCAGTTGACTATTGTTGGGGTTGTGAGTGTTTTAACATAGGAATCTGGTGAGATTATGTTTGCCCAGTGACAATGTGGGGGCATGGTATGTGAGCATGCTCACAAAGGTTCTTTAATTATAGTATGTGCATTTAAAAGTCAAAATTAGCAAATTGGCGATGTTTTTTAACTAGTAAGTGATACAGTCCCAGGTGTGACTCTTGTTTTTGCTATTTTTTTACATGATCATTTATTTTATTGTAGAACTCCTGAGATGTTGTCTTGTGCATTCAGATCATTGATGATTGCAGCAGACGTGTTGAAGTCTATGCATCAGAGAATTGGTAACAAACTGAGAGACTGTGTTATGTGTTTAGCCCTAGATGCTTTTCTTACTTGTTTACATGTGTATTATACAACTAGTGCTGAATTATCAGAGAAAATGGGAAATGCTGCTCAAAGCGAGAGTTTTAAGAAAACTTTAGATATTGTACAATCTGATGTCAGAACGTGGTTAAAAATGAAAATGGCATTATGTAAAAGTAATGAGCTGTTGCCATGTCTAAAGGTAATTATTACAAAGTATAGTTACAGGCAACTTGTATTGTATGGGTATTTTTCTGTTCCTTGTTGGTTGCCAAATTTTCAGTTATTTTTATACGCCCGTCAAAATTTTGACGGGACGTATTATGGTATACAAATGTCGTCTGTCCGCCTGTCCATCTGTCTGTCCGGCGTAAACATGTCGCACCGTAACTTGAGAATGACTTATCCAAATTTCATGAAACTTAACATAGTTGTTTCTTATGATGGTCAAATGATCTGTATACTTTTTGGTGAAAATAAGATTAAAACTTTAGTAACTAAAACAGGTGTGTGTTTTTTTTCACATGTCGCGCCGTATCTCAAAAACAATTTAGGATTATTGATTAAAACTTTACACACTTCTTAGTTATATTAATCTTAAGATCTATATACTTTTTGGTGATGATTCAAAATTTTATTTTAGAGATATTGAGGATTTTGTTAAAAAAGGGGGAGGGGTTTTTCACATGTCACGCCATATCTCAAAAACAGTTTATGATTATTGCTTAAAACTTTGCACACTTCTTAGTTATATTAATCTTAAGATCTGTATACTTTTTGGTGATGATTTAAAATTTTAATTTTGAGTTATTTAGTATTTTGTAAAAAAAGGGGGAGGGGTTTTTCACATGTTGCGCCGTATCTCAAAAACAATTTAGGATTATTGATTAAAACTTTACACACTTCTTAGTTATATTAATCTTAAGATCTATATACTTTTTGGTGATGATTCAAAATTTTATTTTTGAGATATTGATTTTTTTTTTTTAAAAGGGGGGTTTTCACATGTTGCGCCATATCTCAAAAACAATTTATGATTATTGCTTAAAATTTAACACACTTTTTAGTTATGTTAATCTAAAGATCTGTATACTTTTTGGTTTTGATTCAAAATTTTATTTTAGAGATATTGATTTTTTTGTAAAAAAAGGGGGTTTTTGCATGTCAGGCTGTATGTCAGAAACTATTTATGATTATTGCATAAAAATTCACACAAAAGACGACGGGCGTATCATGCGCTCATGGCGCAGCTGTTTATTATTTGATGAGTTGAACTTTTTTCATTTGAAATGCCTTGACCAAATTTTTTTATTGCAAAAGCCAAATAGTATATTTTTCTGACCAGTATTTAATAAACATTTTGATGAATGTCAGAAGTGCTTGTCTTAGATAAATCATAAGTGTGAATGATTTCAGATGGCGTAAATAATGCATGAATACTGCATGTTTGGATTCTTTCCGTCTATTTGTACCTGTAGCTACTAGTTCTAACAAAAAGTCTCTCATGTTCGATTTTAGTTCATGGTTAGAAAATAAGGCTTAAGTCATTTACACAATAGTTAATGCAATTAAAACACAAGGTTTTTGCTAAATCAATATGAATATAAATAGCAGTGCCATGAGCGCTTGATATGCCTTTATTGTGTATATTGAAATTTTGTGAAAATAAAAGGGGATATTTAGAAGGCATTTAATGGCTTTGAAGAAAAAATGTGCCTGAGGATACTCTTAGACATATAAATATTGTGCCAAAAATGACTGTTAAAAGTTCCATAACTCTGGAATGACAAACTAGAAAATTAAGAAAAAATCAAAAGCAAGTCTACATTCTCCAATCCCAACAAAAGTGTTGAGTTTGTAAAAATTTTGATTCAAGTACACTATAGATAGTGCATGACATTTAAAAAATGCCTTTCATTAATCTGACAGTTGAAGTCCAAATAACTCTGGAATGACATATTGGAAATTAAAGAAAAATTGGAACAGTGTATTATATAACAGTAATTCCAACAAGCTTATAGTTAAGGATGTTTGCTACTCTATTTCAAAATAACAAGCTTTTTAAAAGACTGTTAAAAATTAATAGTATATAAATAAAGGAACTAAAAAAGCAGAAAAAAGTGAAGGGTCCGTGTGCTTGTTTTCGAGATATAAGCCATTGAAAATTTGGCGGGAAATACTTCTCTCTAGATTTTTCATACATTTAACATTAGCACCTTTTTTCTTTCAAACATGATGAAGAAATAGCAAGGATTTTATAAGATTTTCAAAGATGACATTTTAAACTATATGTAATCAAATTATGGAAAGAAAAGTAGGGGTTAGTGGGCAAAATTTTTAATGGCTCTACATGGATAAAACCAGAGGATTCCGAATAAATGGCAAAAATTCAAAAACAGGAGGAGCGAACATCCTTAATTAATCCAAGCAAACTCAAGTTATTGAACAACATGTGAAAAAAATACTTATAAATAAAGTCCTCTAACTCTGGAACAACAAACTAGGAAATTAATAAAATAGAAAAGGAGCTTTACTCTTTTTATCCCAACAATAATGAAATTTTTTTAAGGAAATCAATCCAGACATGCTGGAGTTAGTGCTCAGTGAGTGAAAAATTGAATTCAAATTGTTTCATACCCTTAAGTCTAGAACAACTAACCAGAAAATTAAAAAAAATAGAAATGGAGCTTTCTTTTATCGATTTCAATAATAATGTAAAGTTTTGAGAAAATCTGCTTATGCATATTACAGTAAGGGCACAACATGTGAAAAATTTACCTAATTCAAATGGTTAAAGTCCCTTAACTATAATAGGAAAGAGCAAAACATTTTTAAAACGGAAGGGAGCTTTCTTTTGCCAATTCTAATGCTTTGTTAAAATCACATGACTATTGGTTAAATTAAATTTGAGTTATCAGACAAATAGTTGACTGACAGACTGATGGAAGGATGGACATTGGAATAGCATAATACACAGAAAAAACAATGTTGTAGGAGTTTTTATAAAGAAAATCATGGGTGATTGATTTAGTAAAATGTGTTTAGGTTCAAAGGTACTAGTAACATATTGTACATGATAATGAATCTTCCTGCAAAGCAAGGCTTCCAAAACGGTCATATATTCCGGACATTTGTATAATGTCCGGTAAAAGTCCGGCTGGGCAAAGCATGAAACGGTCATCTACTTTTTAGTTTTCAAGGCTTTCTTAAGAGATGGTCATTTTAACATAATTCGCGATCTTTTTGACCCAACCTTTTGCCTTTAACAGCCACACATTTCCGGTCATAAAAGTGACATGATCATTAAGTACTATCAAAACAACCCCTACTTTAATACCTCCTCATTTTAATCAAGGCTAATTAGTTGTCGAACAGCTGAAATTTACCTGTTCAGGTGACAGGTAAACTATTTTGAACCGGACATTGATCGGTCTATTCAAAGTTATTTTCTTACATTTCAGTGGTTTGCATCTAACTAATTTAGTCAAAAAGATTTAAATTATCAGAAATACGTTTACAAATATGATTTGATGAAAAAATTAAAAAGGTGAAAATGAAAAATCGTCATAACCTCGTTGCTTGAACCAGAGACATGTCTCTGTTTGAACTAGTACATGTGTGCGCATGTGCACAGGTGTGAAATTTAATAATGCATCCTAATTTCTTCAAAAAATGCTTAAATTGTCATTGATACCTTTATCTCACGTTTATTTCGAATATTTTCTTGAAGAAATAACGTAGAAAGAGCTATGTACACTCATTCAGGCTTTGCAAACGTACACGGAATTTACGTATCCGTCTCTGGTCCATGTTTTACCATTGTCAAGATAACATCCGGTATAAGATTTTAACGAATGTAAAGTTTTGACAACGTTATTTTGCACAAATAAAGAGTTTAAGGCAGATATAAGTACGCTGATGTTGCACACTTCGAATAGTGCACTGCCAATTTAACAGTTTACGTCAGAACTTCGAATTTGAATCAAAGAAAGTTTAATATCTTTTTTTTTTTTAATGTCAATCATTGGGATGGCCAACTCAGCAACTGAATACCATAATTGCCTTTTGTTTATTTAGTCTTAAGGGATTAACATTGGGATAATATATAAAATGTCCGGCTGGCTAAAAATAATTTTGGAAGCCCTGCTGCAAAGATAAGGATAATTTTCCACCTTCTCTGCAAAATTTCTTCTATTTGTCCAAACTTAGGCAACTTGTTAACCAGGTTATGGCATGGTGAAAGACATTTTTAGGGTTTCCCCAATGATAATTTCCTATTTTGCCACTTTTTTCGCCAAAACAATATTTTTTTCACCATTTTTATTTTTTTTTCGGCAACTAACATAAATATATTTTACTTTATAATTTTCTTACTTGTCTTGCTAACAAACCAAAAAAATCAGTTTGCAACATTTTTATTAACTGGATTTTCAAAGAAAAAATCGGTTATTGATTTGGGGATGTACGACAGGTGGGTGGCAGCCAATCAGTGTCCGTTCATTAACATGAAAATGCTGTGACAAATTTTTTTCAAATTTAGATATGTTGTTTCCTGTGACTAAATGAAGGTCAAGTTCAGTTTTCAAGCTTTTCTCGTTGCTGAGTTATAGCCCTTTCCAGGAGCCAAAAGTGGTACTTATGTGATTGAGTTATTTCCCTTTAGCAGAAATGGTTAATTATATATATAAAGTTTGATTACACTTACAGATAAGTTTTATAGATTTTTAAAAGACATTGTATTAATGGTAATGACATTTTGGATTTTTTTTTCTTTTCTTTGGTAAATTGTTTGAAGAATTTTGTGGTAGGTTTGTTTGTTATATTGTATAAACTAATGTTCTGAATGCTATATATATATTTTTTCTTTGATGAAGTGAACTCCTTTAAAAACTAAGCTTATATTGTCTATATTTATATATATATATGTAGGACTCAAATCTATGGCGGGTTCCAAATCTATGGCAGATTCCTAATCTATGGCAAATATGACGTTACAAACGCCAAACAAATCAAATCTATGGCAGTTTTTTGTTTTCTCCAAATCTATGGCAGATCTTGTAATTTTCCGGGAAAAAGAGTAATATATAACGTCACAATTAAATAACGCCATATTGCGTCGTCGCCGCCGCTAACGATGGCGGAACCAATAGATTTGAACACCATTTTATATAGATTTTTTTTTATATGTAGAATGTAAATCAAAAACAGATATTTAACACGGGGCTCACATATTTTTACAAACAAATACACAGGGAAACACTTTCCGCTTTCCCTCTAGAACAATTTGCTGATGGTGTGACCTTTTATTCAGAGGAGGGACAATATGTGCTGTATCGTCCGTATCCCGCGATGAAGAAAGGCACCGCTGTTTTAGTAGTGGATATTTTAGGAAAGGAGTTATAGTAAATATGTTAGCGTCTATGGCTGGCAAAGTATATAAAGTGAGAGATGAAATTACAGGATATACCACTTTGACTTAAATCGTCATCAGTTAAAAAAGATTGATTAACGCTCAAATAAATATAATTTTGAAAAGTCAAACTGTTTAATTCTTTTTATAAAAAACTGCTTTCTTGTTTGTTAAGGGACTTCCATTTTTACTAGTTGGTTTAATGAATGGGCTAAACAGGTACCATGCACAGATTAGAAAATAATTATTTTTATGGGGCACATCATTTCAATCCCGAAGTCTGTATTATGGTATATCACTGCTACACTTAGGACATTTTATGGTTGCCATCACGATTTGGTTGAACATTATGGAATGTTTATTTCACAAATGTTTATAGACATGCTCACGTTGTCGTACATTTCGACTTGTTTAAGACAAGTCATTGATCGTATATTTTCTGCTTTGATCTCCATTTGCACAAAATCTGCCATAGATTTGAAAACAACAAAAATCCGCCATGGATTAGGAAATAACAAAAACTTGCCATAGATTAGGATTTTAAAAAATCTGCCATAGATTTGGGATGGCATGACGTCATATTTGCCATAGATTAGGAATCTGCCATAGATTTGGAACCCGCCATAGATTTCTGATTTTGGGCCCAGTTTTCAAGTTGGTCCAAATCGGGGTCCAAATTAAACTGTGTTTGATTTCAACATATATTGAATATATATAGGGTTCTTTGAATTGCTGAATCTAAACCTGTATTTATTTTCATTATTAATTAGATAATACCACATTGAGGTCCAAAGAGTCCTAAATTAAAATTTTGTTTGATTTCATCAAAAATTGAATTCTTGGCATTCTTTGATATGATGATTCTAACAATGTTTTATGGTTAAATCATATCTAATTTTATTGATTATAATTTGAAAAATTGAAAAATAGATATAACATCATATCTAATTTTAGAGAACTATTTTTTAGTGGTTAAATCATATCTAATTTTAGAGAACTATTTGTATATCAAGGCTTCCAAAACGGTCGTATTTTCCAGACATGACTGATAAATTATAAATATGACTTGTTGTGCCAAACCTGAAAGGGACATTTAACATAGGTTTACCATTTTAACATAACTCAGAAAAAATTGAAGTTTTGCGATCTTTTTGACCTGACCTTTTGCCTTAAACAGCCACATTTCTTATTATATTGTTCTATAACTTATCTATATTTGGTGTATTGAATGATTGTAAGGGGTGAATTATCTGTCTATCAGTATTCATCTGACCTTGACCTCTTTTATATGGATCATTGATAATGTTAATTTTATGTTATACTGTGGATTCATTTAATTTCGTGGGTACCAATTTTCGTGGATTGAGGAAAACTTGCATTTTCGTGGGTATTAAATTTCATGGTTTTGGAAAAGTCTGCATAATTCCTTTAGAAAATTTGTAATTCGTTGCACATTTAAATTCGTGGTTCCCCTGTTCCCACAAAATCCACGAAAATTAGTATCCAACGAATATTAATGAATCCACAGTATTTGTTGTATAACCATTTTCTCTAAGATGTTTAACATAATTTCATTTATTTCAGCATGTGCACTCTTATTTTTACTTTTCAGGCTTGGAACAGGGTACTGAGTGTTGTTGTACCTCAAGGCTTTATCAGAGATGAATTTGTCAGATTTATTTCTGAATGTCTCCAAGAGGCATTGCTGCTTAAAGTAGGCAAATTGTTTTCTTACTATAAAATGCTATTTTTTGAACGTATTAACCTTCTGTAACAGCTATTGGATACTTTACATATCAAATAATATTGATTTACCTTGCTTGTTTGTGCTGCATTATTGAAAACATTTTTTTAAAAAATGCATCAAAAATATGTCAAATAAAATTGAGAATGGAAATGGGGAATATGTCAAAGAGTCAACAACCTGACCAAAGAGCAGAAAACAGCCGAAGGCCACCAATACATGTATAGATATTTTTACCTCTTGTGTGTTTCTTGTTATTGATAGCTGTCTCAGTGATGTATTTTGTCGAGCCTGCGACTTTTGTCGCAGAAAGCTCAACATAGGGATAGTGATCCGGCGGCAGCGGTGTTAGCTAACTTCTTAAAAGCTTTATATTTTAGAAGCTAGAAGACCTGGATGCTTCATACTTTGTATATATATGCCTTATGTTACGAAGCTTCCGTCTGTCATATGTCCATTGTCCTTGACCTCATTTTCATGGTTCAGTGACTACTTGAAAAAAAAAGTCAACATTTTTTGTAATGTTAATTTCTTTCTTATTATAAGTAATAGGATAACTCTATTTAGTATGTGCGTACCTTGCAAGGTCCTCATGCCCGTCAGACAATTTTCATTTGACCTCCACCTCATTTCATGGATCAGTGAACAAGGTTAAGTTTTCGTGGTCAAGTCCATATATCAGATACTATAAGCAGTAGGTCTACTATATTTGGTATATGGAATGATTGTAAGGTGTACATGTCCAACTGGTAGGTGTCATCTGACCTTGACCTCATTTTCATGGTTCAGTGGTCAAAGTTAAGTTTTTGAGTTTTGGTCTTTTTTTCTAATACTATATGCAATAGGACAACTATATTTGGTGTATGGAAATATTTTATGATGTACATGTCAGTCTCACAGGTTTTATTTGACCTTGACCTCATTTTCAAGGTTCATTTCTCAGTGTTAAGTTTTTGTGTTTTGGTCTGTTTTTCTTCAACTATAAGCAATAGATCAACTATATTTGTTGTATGGAAGGATTGTAAGGTGTATATGTCTGTCTGGCAGGTATCATCTGACCTTGACCTCATTTTCATGGTTCATTGGTCAATGTTAAGTTTTCATGGTTGAGTTTGTTTCTTAGATACTATAAGCAATAGGTCAACTATATTTAATGCATAAATTGATTGTGAGGTGTACATGTCTGTCTGGCATGGTTCATCTGACCTTGACCCCATTTTCATGGTTCATTGGTCAATGTTAAGTTTTCTTGGTTTAGACTGTTTCTTAGAAACTATAAGCAATAGGTCAACTATGTTTGTTTTATTGAATGATTGTAAGGTGTACATGTATTTCTCGTTTGGTTTAACTGACCTTGACCTCATTTTCTTGGATCATGTTAAGTTTATGTGTTACTTGTAGTAAAGCTTTATATTTAGGACTATCAACATAAAATCAATGGTAAGTAAAGAAAGCGAGACATTTCAGCGTGTGCACTCTTGATATATCTTATTTGATAAAAAAATAAATTATGTATGTCATGATTTACATTGCAGAGGTCATGTGAGGACGAACTTGTCAAAGTTTACTGTCAAAATCAAGACTTGTTTTGCAGTGCAATGCTTGATGTACTCAGCAAACATGTTTTTGAGGTAAGAATTTAAATGTAGGAAATAAATTTCATTCACTGTAAGTTATTATGAAAATGTAACAAAAAAGAAACCTCTTTCTTTCTCTTCATGTAAATGGTCAAGGTCATATTTTCTGAAAAAAAAAATGTGCAGAAAAGTTTCTTCCCGATGCTAAATTCTACAAATTGCAACCTTACTCTAATATATGGCCACAAATCAGTAAAAGGATGATCCCTATTGATTTTGAGGTAAATACCTCAAAGTATGGTTCACAGTTACTAAAAATAAACATGATTTGTGCAGAAAGTAGTTTCATGATTCCAAATCAAATATGATATGTAACTAGCCATGAGATTTTCAGGCTTACCTTGGTCAAAATGAGTTTTTTGCATTTTTATGAAGTATACATAGATTCAAAATACCCTGACAAGTTATTTTGCTAGATTCTGTAAAATAACAGAATTATGGTCATTTTCGTAAGTTTTGATTTTATTAAAAAAATTTCAGTTTTTAGGGGAGGTGGGGGGTGATCAAGTCCTTTTTAATCAATCAAAATGTTATTGTAGATTTAATAACTAAAGAATTTCGATTTGGTTGCCATAGCAACAATATACAGCAATCTGTAAACAAATTGTAATAATGAAGTAAACATTTTTCAATCTTTCGTAAGGAAAACTACATCAATGCTAGGAAAGTGGATACCAAGATATGTAATAAACCATCACGGAGCTGTGTATTATTTTATGTGTTTTCTAATGTTCATCTATCTTATTATGAATACGTTTTATACATGTCTCCTGACAAAGTGATTAAAATCAAAGATCTGTTAATGCAGAGTAAGATGAAACAGCCAAACAGCATGATCAATAATATTAGGGCATGTATGTGAAAGGGGCGTAAGAAAATTTTCTACAACACTTTCACCTTTTAATGTAGTTTTATGACAGTCATAGATAAAAAAAAAACTAGGAGGAACATGGGATGAGACACTATTGGGGTCCCAATGGGCAGATATATCTTGTTTGATTTACATGTACGGGTATTATGTCCATACATATGTTCATATTTTCCCTTACAATGTAAAACAATGAGATTTACTCCGAATACTTGGTGTTCATGCTACAAGCTAATTTGAGAAAGGAAATGAATTTATACATCAGTTATAATTTGTCGGTACTTTATTTTTCTGAATACTATATCTCACAATGGTGATGTGATCTAAACAATTTTGTATAATCGAAAGCATATTAATGATTCAGGAGAAAGTGATTTACGCAGTGAAATCTAAAAGATAAATTGTGTGAGTTTACAACGCGATTCTAAACGGGATTTTAACCTAAATTATTAATTTTACATAAAAAATCTACTTAACTTGTATATCTTAATATAAAAATCAAATTTCCTCAATTCATGAAAAACTGAAACTCTATTAATCTCATGATATGATTAGACATTAACATCGACGTTTTCTTATTATGATGTTTACTGCCTGGAAATGTCATGGCGGGTCACATATATGGTATTTAAACCTTTATTGGATATTTGGTCCCATAAAATTAGAGGAAGATCCCTATTGATTTTTAGGGTCAACACCTCAAATGTCAAGGTAAAAGTTATTTGAAAAAAAGACAGCACTTTGTGAGGAAAAGTATTTTCTGGATGTTCATCTTATTTGGATATATGATGACATATAACGAGAGGTATATCCCTTTTGATTTTGAGGTCACTATATTAAAGGTCAAAGTCATAGTTACTAAAACTAGATTCGTTTCAGACAATATTACTATCCAAAATCGTAACAGAAAAATCATACCTTAAAGTCAACTGAAAAACTATACCATCTGGTCATTAAAAGCTTCCCCCTTTTATTTCTATGGCAAAGGCTATATCAGCTTGCTTACTAAAGGTCCCTTATTCTTAAGGATTCATACTAGTCACATAGTTTTCTAGGATTAATACTGATTATTTCCAGGCAGAGACACACAATTGATTTAATTTGTATGATTTAAAAGCTTTGCTGTTGAAAATTGTCACTTGATAGTCCTCTGATGGACAATGCATGATATATTTGCCACTGGACATGAAGCAACCAACAATCAATCTTTCTTTTTCAGGCTGTAGTCAGATTAAATGATGATATAAAAATTGATAAATGGAAGGTAGACCAGCTACAAAACTTTGGACAGTTATTGTCAGTTGTGTTCGAAAAAAGTTCTGCCATTGATTGTATAAAAGACTCTTCATCCAGCCTACAATTTATATTGAATTGGAGACCTTTTCCAATATATGTTAAAATGTGCAGTAAGTAACATTTTTTGCACCTTAGCCATTGCAGATTTAAGTAACTTCTTGTATAAAAATTTAGGTATATTTCTTCTTGTTTCTGTATTCATCAATTCTTATTGAACTTCTCAATTGAGAATACTTTGATGAAATGTTTAAAATAATGTGTTAATTTACACCCTATACTTTATTTTCTAATGTCATGCGATATGAAAATACTGATTAAATGGAGAAAGTTGGATTGAGATTCCCTCCAATTGGATATTTTTGTTTGACCCAGAAGAGAAGATGCAAATTTTCCCCATAAAGCCTCTGAATATTAATCATCAGAGCTACCATTTTAAAACAAATGAGATCTTCAAAGTGTATGCTGTAATCTATTAGAATTTTAATTTAAACTATACAGAAACTTGTCACATCTTTCAATTCAGAATTATTAACAAAATAATGAAAATAATATTTCAGAAAACAACATACACTCCTCTTTCCTTAGTGAAAAAAGTGTTGCTATGATGAAAAGTTTGAGGGATTGCACAGAAAATCTTGTAAAGGAAATTTTTGACAGATCAATATCTGTTGCTAGTCTCTGCATAATTGAAGAAAAACTGGATAGGTTTACCAACATTATCAAGGATATTCCAGACATAGAAGACAAAGGGTTGAAAAGAGCAATTGAACTTAGAATTGCAGAACTGAATGCTTACAATGAATGTTTAAAGAATTTGAAGCAGTTCATAGATATCTGCCAAAGATGTGACGGTAGGTAATATAAAAGAAATAGAATATTGGTCCATCCCGTAACATACATGTGGTATTTAATTCTTAAATGATGTGATTTGTGTTACATTTCATTACAGTCACAACACCTTTGCAATCTTATATAGCAGAACAAGTTTCTGTCAGGTCTTATCTCTAAACTATTCATTCCCTTCTGAATTTTAATGTGATTTTCGAAAGAAAATTATTCTTATTAATTTGGGGTAGTATTAAAGGCAGGTGTTCGGGCAGGTGAAAAGGCTTTTGGTTATGGAGCCGACAGCTCCAGCTGTTTCAGTACAATAAGTTAAGAACAATTCATTCCAAGCTTTACACATTTTATATGTTGCTAATGATGACAAAATAGATATTTTTTTATAATGTTGATTTTTAGCTCACCTTGCCCAAAGGGCCAAGTGAGCTTTTCTCATCACTTGCATTGGCATACAGCGTCTTCCGTTGTCGTTAATTTTTACAAAAATCTTCTTCTTAAAATATTAGGCCAAATTTAACCAAACTTTGCCAGAATCATCATAAGTGTATCTATTTTTTTTAAATGTGTCTGATGACCATGCTTGCCAACTAAGATGCCCACCATGGCTAAAAATAGAACATAGGGGCAAAATGCAAGTTTTGTCTATTATCTTGAAAACCCCTATAGATAAAGAAAATCTGACAAAGCAGAAATGTTTAGAATGTTGAGATTTACCTATTGTCACTTTACATCAAAACTGTAAGACAACTTCTTATAGGATTTATTGCCCTTTGTTGAAGATTTTTATCAATTTTTTTGCATTTTTGCCTATTATCTTAAAAACTATAATAGATAGAGACAAACTTTGTATAGCAAAAACAATCAGCAAGACAAGATCTACAATTAAGTTGAACTGCTGAAATCATTTGACGACTCCTTAAGGGAGTTTTTGCCCTTTAATGACAATTTTTACCAATTCTGTTCGTTTTTGGCTTATATCTTAAAAATTATAATAGATAGGTAGAAACTTAAATAAGCAAATATGATCAGCAAGACAAGATCTACAATTAAGATTTGTTGGAAGAAATCTTCCGAGGACTGCTTATTAGAGTTCTTGCCCTTTAATGGCGATTTTTACCATTTGTTTTGCCTTTTATGTTAAAAATTTAAAAAGGTGTATAGAAACTTAAATACCCTTTTTTGTATTTTTTTTGGGGGGGGGGCCTCAGTGGCCGAGTGGTCTAAGTAGTTACTACTGTAATCACTAGCCAGTCAACACTGAGGTTGTGAGTTCGAACCCCGCTCGTGCGGGTGCACTCAACTCCAATCTTTATTGACTAGAATTGTCAGTTTTCCTATCGAAGATTGGTGGTTTTCTCCGGGCACTCCGGCTTCCTCCACCAATAAAAACTGGCCGCTACGAAATAGCCCAAAAGCGGTGCTTAAAAGTGGCGTTAAAACACCAAAAATCATTCAAAAAAATCAAATTGTATTTTGGGCAAAAACTAAAGAAGATAGAGAGAAACTGTAAACAGAAAAAAAGATATGCAAAACAAGATTAAAAAGAAAGATATTTTTGTCATTAATTGTTGGAGAATGTTGTGTCCATTGTTGAAGATGCACATTGACCTAGGTGAGTGACACAGACTCTTTAGGGCCTCTAGTTATTTTCTTTTGCCTTTTGTGAGTTACAGTCCTATATTGATTGGGAAATGGCACTTTATGTCATTTTCATGCACCTACTTGTGACCTATTCAACTAATGAATATGCAGGGTTCACCACAGAATGAAAATCAAGGGTGGGGGAGAAAGTTCATCAAATCAGAGATTTTGTGTTGCGTTGTCGAATAGATTCCTTGTGCATAAATTATTAATTATATGCCTTACATGTATTTGTCATATATAAAGCTAATTTGGAAAGAGGGTCTCACATAGTTGGTCCTATTAGTGGTTACCACCACTGGCACTTGTCTCAGAAAAAAAATGTTTTCCTATATACCTTTATATAACATAAAGCAAGGACTATGTTAGTTATACGTCCTTGCATAAAGGTATATAGGGAAAAAAAAAATTTCTGAGACAAGTGCCTGTGGTCACCACACTTGTAGGAGCATATTAAACAGGGAGAGTAAACACCTGATGTAGATTCCCAGATTGCAGGAATATTCTGACAAATTTTATCTAAATTGTCTTATGGAAAACCACATGGTAAAAAGGTCTAAAAAGATAAAGAAATTAATAATAAAAAAAAATGTAAAGAAATTATATATCCAGTTTTAATCTTTTCAGACTTTAAATGAGTGTTAAGATAAGGAAACTCCTATCCCAGATTGAACTGTCTAAAAATAACCAGACAATGTTTGTCTGTTATTAAGGTATTCCCCAGTATTTTCCCCACCTAAAGAGATCATGTGACATTGTTGTCAACAAAAGGACCATGTGGTCAGGGAATGCATTTGTTTTCTGGATTACTGCTTTTATTAATCCAGTTAGGATATAAACATTCCATTTAAGGTATAGTCAAACATATGCATTTATAAAATAACTGTAGTTTGCAAACAAGTTTTACTTTTCAAATTGAAGAAACTTGGTCATGATCGTTCATTAGTTGTTACCTTGTTATACGACCGCAAAAAAATTTTTGTGGTCGTATATTGGTATGACATTTGCGTCGTCGTCGTCTTCCGAAGACACATTAGTTTTCGCACTCTAACTTTAGTTTAAGTAAATGGATTTCTATGAAATTTACCATAAGGTTCAATACCACAAAAGGAAGGTTGGGATTGATTTTGGGGGTTATGGTACCAACAGTTAAGGAATTAGGGGCCAAAAAGGTGCCAAAAATAAGCATTTTTGTAACTTCCGGACATAACTTGTGTGTTAGTGTATGGATCTCTCTGACATTGTACCACAAGGTTCCATATCACAAAGGGAATGCGGGGATTGATTTTGGGGGTAATGGCCTCAAAATTTTAGGAATTAGGGGCCAAAAAAGGGGCAAAAAACAAGCATTTTTCTAGTTTCATGACAATAACTTGTGTGTAAGTGTATGGATCTTTATGAAATTGTACTACAAGCTTCCATATCACAAAGGGAAAGCTGGAATTTAGTTTGGGGGTAATTGCCCATAACGTTTAGGAATAAGGGGCCAAAAATTAAGCATTTTTCTAGTTTCCAGACAATAACTTGTGTTCAAGTGTATGGATCTCTCTGAAATTATACTGCAAGGTACCATATTACAAAGAGAAGGCTGGGATTGATTTTGGGGGTAATTTCCTCTAAATTTTAGGAATTAGGGGCAAAAAAGGGGCAAAAAACAAGCATTTTTCTAGTTTCAGGACAATAACTTGTGTGTAAGTGTATGGATCTTTATGAACTTGTACTACAAGGTTCCATATTACAAAGGGAAAGCTTGGTTTGAATTTGGGGGTAATTGCCCAAAACGTTTAGGAATTTTAGGCCAAAAAGGGGCCAAAAAACAAGCATTTTTCTAGTTTCCAGACAATGACTTGTGTTCAAGTGTATGGATCTCTCTGAAATTGTACTGCAAGGTACCATACCACAAAGGGAAGGCTGGGATTGAGTTTTGGGTGATTAATCTTATGGGGGTTCCTTTTTTTTCTTTAGAATTTTCCATTTTAAATTGGTTATTTCTGATTTATATATTAAAGGAAATAATAATGATATGGTTTGAATAGGTAAATTAAAATTTTTTAAGTTCTTAGACCACATTCATTCTGTCAGAAACCTATGCTGTGTCAAATATTTAATCACAATCCAAATTCAGTGCTGTATCAAGCTTGAATGTTGTGTCCATACTTGCCCCAACTGTCCAGGGTTCGACCTCTGCGGTCGTATCAAGCTGCACCCAGCGGAGCATTTTATTCAACCATGCGAGACAATGTAAATAATATAATCAGCTGTCTGTGAACATCCCTTGAGGCAATTAACAATAATTCAACTTTTTTTTTGCCACTGACATGATAATTGGATCAGGGATATCTAAAATTTAACTTCAATTTATTGAATTTTCAAGTGTGGTGGACAATAATATAAGCGTGGCACTGGGAATTTTAACGTGGTGCTAGAAATTTTAGCATGCCGCACCGCCATGCTTAAATAGGTTGTGGTGATCCCTGATATCAAACTAGTATGTTGTAACAAAATAGAGGTTAAGGTCCTTGATTGATTGAAAAATGACATATTATGTTGATTCCTTCATGGATATGTGTTCATTAAGGAATGACTGTTATTTTTTCTGTCTATGTAGAAATAACATCAAAAATGTGGTGCACACTGAATAACCCGCGTAGCGGGTTATTTTAAAGTGTGCACCACATTTTTTATGTTATTTCGAATAGACAGAAAAAATATTACAGTCATTTCTTATAATTTAATTCTAAATTCCATTTTAAACCGGAGTTAACCATGAAAAAACGTTGATGACGTCACAGTCACATGACAAAATTATGTCTATGAGCTGATAAACAAAACAACGTCAGCCAATCAGAAGACGAGTTACATCCAAAATTAAATTATCATAAAATGAAAGGAAGATTCTTATTGATTTTGTGGTTACTGTTCAAAATCAATGTCAAAGTTACTAAAAATAGAATGGAATTTGTGTAGAAAAAAAAATGGTTTCTGGATGCTGTCATTAGTTCTGATGTGTAAGAGCTTGTTGATTTCGTATTAGTCAGATATCATACTTATTTTGTCATCAAATGTTCACTTTTATTACTGAAGTCAAATTTCAGGCAATTATAGGGTCAATATTGACTCTTCGTGAACCTTTCATTTGAAACTCCTTACCCAAAGAAAATTGTTTGTTGTCAGAATCTATTTATGCAGCATAGAATATATGAACAGTAATCTTGCACTGATATATATTTCAATGTTACGGTTACTGACAAATTTTTGAAATATTGACAAAAAATGAGTGCCTTGTATTTTTACAGTGATCAAATAAAATTCCTGCCATTAGGGAACAGCTTCTTTTATGATAAAATTTGCCCCCTAAAAAGTAAAAAATAAAGTTTAAAACATTTGATGTGAAAGTGATCATCTATCCTCCATGTTTCTATGTGAAGACTTGCTATAATTTCCATGCATGCAAAAGAGTACATTTGATAAAAAAACATCAACAAATCAATCTTTTCCTAGTGATACTGAAACCATACCATGTGAACTGAAAAGTTTAGCACACAGCCCCTAAGCTGTCATCCTTCCTATAGTTATTACTTGTAGAGTTCAGATAATCATTATTGATGATTCTTGTTATTCAAGATTATTTGTATCACTCTGATTTTACATTTTCCAAGCAGATATTTTAATTTTGCAAAACGTTTTATTTCGCAGCAAATACTACAGTCCTAGAAGAACAAAGCAGGAAGTTTCAAGAATTAGAAAAAGTTGCTTTAAAAGATGTATGTGACAAAGTAGATATACCAAAAGAAATAAAGAAGTATAAACCAAGGGTAATTGCATTTGGAATTGAAAGTGAAGTTTTAGAGGAGCTTCCTGAAGTCATTAAATGTTCCAGTGGGATTTTGTTCATAAGAATATGGGACAAACTTGCTGTAGATTTTAAAAGGACTGTGAAACGTGCCTTGGAAATTGATGAAATAATGGATCATGTTTGGCATCCAGCTTATAAAGAATGGAAAGGGTTACACCAAAGACTGAAGACTGGTGAAATTTTCTTCAAGGAATTTGATACTATTTGTGGAAGCATGGAACCAGAGACTTTGAAAAAAGAATTTCTCATTCTTGAAGGAGGTAAAAAAACGTCTTGGATTAAAGAAAGGATTGAACAAATGACAAGATACAAAAATCTACAGAATTGTCTAGATGGAGCTTCTATTATAATGGAGGTTGTGGAAGAATTTGAACTAGAAGGAGACTTCCAGCCAATCAGACAAATTATGCAGATGGTGAGTAATACCCTGGAATATTTATTTCAACTGTTTTTATCAGAAAGTGGACAAATAGAAAAAATGATAATCTGTTTTCGAGTAAATAGCAGATAAAATGCAGAATACTTCACCTTCAACATTTATTTTCACAAAAATGCCAGAGCTGCTCAAAATAGCTCTGCCACAAATACTGAAATAGTAATTTAAAAAATGATGAAATATACTGTAAAAGAAAACCTCTATGGAATTTAGGGAAAATGTTATTCTATTAAAACTATGCTTCTGAATAACCACCATTAAACACCACTAGCACTGCATAAAAAAAAAATAAAAAGATTATCAAAACTATGTTTCACCACCATTAAACACCACTGCCACTGCATGGAAAATAGAATAAAAAAAAATAAAAAATTCAGCTCTGATTTAACATTTTTATTTTCCTTCAACGAATTGCACATTTAAGTAATTGGTATGCCCTGCCTACAATAGTAGAGAGGCAATATGTTTTCCAGTGTATGCACCTGTCTCTCTGTTAGTTCATAAGTCTGTCCCGCATCAGTTTCAAGAGTTTGCATTGAAGTTGTGGTCACATCAACTTGGAACTTGGTTAAAATGTACTGCAAGCCAACTATCAAACTTTGCATTACACCACCATGTTCCAGTTTTGTACATTATCTCGTGCTAAAATTTTATCATTTTTGTAACCTGCCTATATAAAGATCATCGTAATGTTTAAATTTCTAGTAATCATTAAGGTATAAATTCCAGGTAAGAAATACAATTCTTAGAGCCTTAAGTTACAAGAGTTTTAAGATTTAAAAGAACTCACATTGTCCATGCTTACTCTGATTGAACCCTCAGACAGTTACTCTTTGTAGATTAATTAACCCTTTCACCGATAGCTGCCCTGACAGAAGCTTCTCGGAGACGATGGCTTCCCTGGCTATTGTGACACAAGTGGGAGATCTTCAAATTAAATATCAATAAAAACTTGTCTGTAGTTATTTATGTTTTTATTTTATTCACTTACACCATGGACTCAGTTTTGTTAATCATGTTAATGTTAAAATTTGATCAATTTTATTGTCAGAAAAATTCAAATTTGCTACTTATCGGCAAAAACCTAAAATGGCAAAAGTTTTTGTAAATAAAACGGCATTTTATGTAAAAAAATATACTAGTCTGGCTTCAATTCTTCCAAATTAATTCCAAAAAAAATTTTCCCTCATCTCAAATTCCAGTTAAATCCATAAATTTCATTCGATTTTGACATGGCTTTCAACAAACGGGATGCCATGTTTACCCTTTCATACGGGCATTTATCAAAAAAAGATAACTCATGTTCGCCATGTTTTTCAGTGGGAAACATAAAAGAGGTATTCAGATCCTGGTAAACCGGGGCTTGTTGTCAGCTATCTGAAGCGTGAATCCCGGTAAATTCGTCGGCGAAAAGGTTAAGCGGAAATTACTTTTTATATACCTCTCCAAATATTTCTTCCAGACAAAGGGAAAAGATACCAAGATGAACAAGCTGAAGCAGTCATACATGAAAACTTGCTCAGTGTTAAGTGATATAAATGAAAGAAAAGTCATCTGTTTACAGAAGTTTATGGAAAGTAAAAATCTGGTGAATTGGTTAAGGGAAAAAATGGGTAAGTCTATGCTTAAAAAAAATAATGAGAATTGGTAAAGGGTATGTTTTTGTATTCAAGAGATTTTGGTGATCTTCCCTATTTGATTTATGATGCTGACTATAAAATATGTCTGTCGATGTAAAAAAAAATGCTTAGTATTTAAAATCTTAAGTTCCTTCCTAAATTGAATGTTACTTGTATCAATGGAAGATGTAGAGAAGGGGAAGTAACCATTTATTTTGGGGTCAAAGTTCAAGGTGACTGTTACTAAAAAAAAAGTTTTTAAAAGATGAAATTTTTAGTTTTTCTGTGTGATGAATACAAATCTTATACCAGTAGCAGGAATAGGGAAGGGTGAAAATCTTTTTGATCTTTTGGGTCAAAAGGTAAAAGTTCAAGCTCACTTTACTGGATGATAACTTGAGTTTCCAATAATGTTTGTTTACGAGGGAAACTAACATAGATTTATGATGTAGAGAAGGGAAGAACTTGTTTGACTGTTATGTCTAAGGTTAATTTCACAGCTGCTAAAATAGACAGAAAATTGCTTCAAGTATACTTTTTCCTCATTTCTTCGCTAAGCTTTTTGTCACTGTTGGTTGGTGTTTAGTATGTTTAATAACGCAAATATCAAGAAGTTTGATATATTTTTCATCTTCTTGGAAGAAATATCAAAAGTTTAGTTATTATTTACTTTACGTTTATATGCAACAGAGGGTTTACATGAATTGAAAACCTTTGTGGACCTAGCCTATATATCTACTGGTGATCAAGGATTAGAAATAGCTAAGGTGAGATGTTTGCAGTCAGCAGCCATTGGGTATGCTCCACTGATTTTCAACTTGGAGTCAGACTGCAATTATAAGGATTTCTTGGAAAGATGTGAAGAAGTTTGGAAAGCATTGGACTCTAATCAGAATCTTCCTAGTGAACTTGTGAGTAAATTCTTTTTTAAATTCTTCAGAAATGTATAAGATGTTTTCCTTAAGGCTTGTTTGCTGATGTAATTCAAAATAGAAGCATATTCATAAATGGTGTGTTTTTATTACACATAACTTGTCAGTTCTCTGTTCATCCAACATCTATTTCCTTCACTCTTTTCTCAGGTACTACTGAACAAAATTACTTCATATTTTGAGCTTGACAGTGGATATTTGTCAGATCTGTCATACACCTTAACTACCTGTTTGCTCATACTTTGAACTCTATTTGAAATATATAATAAGTAACAAGAATTAAATGGTTTTTTTTTCTTTTTACCAGAAATGTATTTAATAACTTTACATCCAAGATTTAAAGAAAATATAAGGGAAAGATAAGAGGTTACCTTGGTTATTGTTCCTCATTTTTTTCATCAAGGATATTCTGACATTGCTTCTTGATTGATGGGAAAAGGATTTATTTGAATTGTTCATTATTGTTTTGCCTGTTCACTTCTGTGATGACACTGGTTCATATTTATATGCCTTGTAAAATTATTAAAGATAAAAAAAACATATGACAATATCTGTATTTGTTTAAAAATAATATAGTCATTTACTTATAGCTGGATACTTGTCATGAATTAGAATGGTTGAAAATAGTTGATGAATCACAAGGATCTGTTGAAGTTACCTCCCTTGCACAAGCTGAAGCTATCAACTTAAATGGAACATATCATATTGGATTACACAAAACAGGGGATGGAATTCACAGAAAAGGACAGAATCAGCTGGTACATTATCATTTTCTTTGTTCAAACAACAATATATTGATGTGACTTCTTTGATACACAACTCCCAATGATTTATATTGATGGATGGTACTATTATACCCAACCTCTAGAAGTGGGTGCTGTATTTCAATCACCTTGTCCATCCTTCTGTAGGTCAGTTCATCAAACAAATATCATCGTCACTCACCATTTTCTCAGAACTGTTAAACAAAATGACTACATATTTTGGTCAGCTGCTTGACAGTGAGAACTGTAATTTGTGAGTTCTTTAAAGATCAGCCAGATACCTACTTCTTGTTTGCAAATACAATGAAACCTGGTTAAACTGAACACCATCGTGACTGTAGAATTTGTTCAATTTTGTCAGGTTAAGCATTTGACCGGAAACGAAAGACAACAATGTTGTGATGAATCATATGGTGATGTATGGAAATGACAATTCCAAGTGTCAAGAGTACAAATAAGGTGACTAGAATAGTTAAATAAAAAAAATTGTCCCTGAAACTGCTGAAAAAAAATACGGAGTACTTCATATTTGGCCAGCAGCTAAATAGTGATGATATGTAAAGTGTGTGCACCTTGCAGAACGATCAGACACCTACTTCCTGTTTTCCAATATTTTTATCAGAAGTGGGGATATGTTTTGCACTACAATGCATGCAGTCTTGTTTTTATGCCTCACCTACAATAGTAGAGGGGCATAAATACGTCTGTCCCACTTCAGATTACATTTTTGGTCAAGGTAGTTTTTAATGAAGTTGAAGTCCAATCAACTTGCAACTTAGTACACATGTTCCCTATGATATGATCTTTCTAATTTTAATGCCAAATTAGAGTTTTTACCACAATTTCACGGTCCACTGAACATAGAAAATGATAGTGCGAGTGGGGCATCTGTGTACTATGGACACACTCTTGTTCGGTTCTATATTATCATTATTTCCTTCAGCTACATAGAAACTAAGAAAAGGAAAAGAATTAATTTAATCACCAATTTATCTTATAGCAATTATCTGATGTACAAGAATTAAGAGTTACTGAGAAAAAAGAAGGAAAGACACTGCAACGAGAGTACAACTATGAAAAGTTACACGATCTACAGTCAAGACTTATGTTAGTAGCTGGAAAAGCTGAGATGGGAAAAGATAATGTCGACAGATTTATTTTGGTAATGTAAATAAATGTACTGCAATGGTAAAATTGAATATTGGAAGATAGTTTTCCTATATACAATGCCTGCCTTGACATTTATTTTTAATGAGAATCCACCAAGAATATCATTGACATGGATTTAAACTAATGGGTTTTAATTATTTTCTTAAATGATAAAAATATGGTTTAGATTGTCATTTTGGATGGACTGTTTTCTCTAACACAGACACAGTTTTCCTGTCATGAAAGTGGCTTGTGGTCTTAATCGATAAAACAAGTCCTTATTAGATGCATACCCTTGAAATATTGCTATTTGGATACCAGATAATAGAAATGGTTTCACTTGAAAGTATACAGATAAAAGTATCAGATCACTAATTTTAAAATCCCTATTTCTCTAATTCTGTGGCAATTTAACCCTTTCTAAAAAAATTTAATCAACGATTGGTTGCTGATGATCTCAGAAGATGATTGGATGAGTTTAAGGGTCATTCATTACCTTTATCAGCTCACAGGATGAATCAAAATATGCTAACAGGTGTTAATGAAATTGACAACTTTGTGGAATGTGGAAGGCACTTGAAGGGGATTTTCGTTTATCAAAAATGAAAATTTATTTGATAATTATTAGAGAAACAGATTCTCACATAGTTACTCATGGATTATTGGATTTATCCACTGGTACCAATGTAAGAATCTATATATATTCAACCATATTTGTCAATTTTCACAATTCGTTAGATATTTTACCTAAAGTTCAACTTTATAAGAACCAAGTATATCATGAATTGTACATGTACATGTATCACTTTTATATATGCAAATTCTCAATCAATTTTTTATATCTTGTAGTGACACATACTACATGTACTATGTTGCACATCCAACCTTCAATAGCAAGCAAATTCATGGACAATTTATTAAGGGCTCAAAATGGTCCAAATACATTCGTTCAGCACAAGTTTCGTTTATGCAAATTGATTTGCAAGTTTTAGTAAACAAAAACACCAAAAGCACTAAATTTTTTTTAGGAGGGCTACTTTTACATATGTTCCTAATGCTTATGGGTTGAAATGGTTGTGTGAAGCATAAACAGCTGTGTTAAGCTAAATTTATTTCATGTTGATGCTCATTAAGTAATTTAAGCAGCATATGATGTAGTGGGTCAATATATTACTAGAACTAATCTTCTTAAAGTTCAAGAAAGTGAACAGAATAACTTTGCATATAAAAAAACCTGTTAGTGACTCACACATATGTTAATCTAATGATGGAAGTAGTGTCTTTAAAGAATCTATCTTTAATACTTATTATTATTTATATGAATAAATGTTGAGAGTAGGGTTTCATTTTGTATCTGATTACAAATTTCTTAATGCAAAAATTGGAGAAAAAAAGTCTGCCATTATACTCATATTATGATATTGTCTGTCTTAAACTGAGTAAAACATTCTTCATTTTTATTCTCCAGATTTTAGATTCAGTAGTCAGATTGTGTAATGTATACATCAAGCTGTTGTCATCAGGCTGTGTACTGTTTTCAAAGTTCAAGGTCAAATTCAGATGTGACCCAGAAAGTATTACATGTGCTTTTGTCAGTTTTGGTGAAGGAGATATCAAGCGCACCCTTAGAGGGAAAATAGATACAGTTAACAAAGATGTCAGCTTTTTCATTCCAAAAATTGCGAAGTTTTTGGAGCATTGCCATGAAAGATGGTTGGAATTCATTGACACAAAAAGAGAAGACCATTACATTTTGAACTACTTTAGTATAGAGCAAATGGTAATTCTTCAACAGGAGCTTGTGAAAATGGGCTTTGAAGGTGAACCATCAAATCAGATTTATCCTTTGCTGTCTAACATAAAACATGATTGTACAAGAGAGGATCTTGTTGAGGCAATGGAAGAGGCAAGGGATGAATTGGAACAAATGGATATAGATGAAGATGAGGAGGTTCAGGAAGAAGTTCCTATGGAGGAGGGGGACAGTGAGGCAGCTAAAGTGAAATTTATACTACAGATGGTGGAAGCTGGATATTCTGAAGGTCTTGCTATAGAGGCACTGAAAAATGTTACCTCTGATCAGATTGATGAAGGTAATTATTTATTGGGGTGAAATAAGCCATTTCCTTATGGTTAGGTCAAGCTTGAAAATTGCTGTTTCCCCTGATTGTCATTAACAAGTTCTTGTACATTATACAATGAAGTATAAAAAAGATAAAATAAAAAAATTCAAGGAATAAAATACAATGTTTACTGACATACCAATGCCAAGTTCAGACATAAACAGTTATAAGTTCTTTAAGAAACAAGTAAATACAGTATTTCCCTCATTATTTCCCATGCTTTAGAAAGCAGGTGGTATATATATATATATATATATATATATTGATGGAGGCATCTGTCCATCTGTTTTATGTTCTTTTGTTGTTTGTTTGGTCTTCTGTCACTTTTGTATCCACAACTGCTCCTGAACTGCCTGCATGATGTACTTTTGAACCTCTGATACAATGTCTTCATCTGAATGATTTTGGGGCTTACTTTGGGATGACATGTACATTGTCATATCTGCAAACTAAAGTGCTCATATGCATCTGAATCTTTACCATGATAATGCCAGTGTGGACCTCATATTTTGTTTTTTGGTCTGAATTATTTTGGGGTTTTCCATTATCAAATCATGGACTTTGCAAGGAGCATGGAGTGGTCATTTTTTGAGCTTTGCTTGCTTGAATCTCTAATTGTTTTGGGATTGATATATATATATATATATATTATTCGTCTATAAAACAACAGCCTATTAATGTAAGATCTGTAAATTTGTGGATGCAAGTTTTTGTTCTTCCCTGGCCGGGATTTGAACTCATGCTACTGAGATATTGTGGCACCAAATCGCCTTGCACTATGCCCTACGCGCTAGACCACTCGACCACCTAGGCTCTATAATAATAAAGCTTTCGGTGGCTGGGTGTTACCTTTCCTTGTCAGTTTTTATCTAGCATCATTACACAGTACATGATGTATAAAAAAATAAAATTTGAATATTGTTGGAGGATATTATAAATTATAGGTATAGCATGGTGTATAGAGCATGAAGAGGAAGCCATGGATTTTGATACATCAGCAACAGATGGGACATCAGTACAAAACCAAGACAAAACATTTAGTGGCTGGAGCACCAGAGATGAGTCATTGGCCACAGTTAGAGCACGGCTATTGGAAAATATTGGTGTTGGTGCTGCTCAAGGGTAACAATTTTTTTTTATAAAATTATGCAGGTTAGACACAACAAAAAACAATTGTTTCTTTTGAAAAAAAATTCTCTCTCTCTTTCTCTCTTTCTCTCTCTCTCTCTCTTTCATGACATTATTTTTAAGAATATTTGTTGTTGAGCAGGATCTTTAAATTGCTCTTGGTGTTCTTTTCGCCATGTTTTATACCCCTGCTCACTAAGAAAGCAGATATACTTGTTTATCTCTTGACCATCTGTCTGCTCTAAACAAATCTCTGTCATTTTCATATGTAACTGCAAGATAAAGCTTCTTGATATATGGCACCAAGCTTCATCTAAGTATTCAGAAGTGTGTGGGCATGTTTTTAGTGCCTTTAAAATTCTTCTTCCTGTTTGCATAAAACATACCTTTGAAATTGCCATGCACAGATATAAAATTTTTGTAACATTGTGCAGGGGTATAATTATTGAGTAAGAGCTCACAGTTAGTCTTTTTATTTCTTTTCAGATTTTCATACATAAATGCGAAACCAAATTAAAAGTGGCTTGAGTTTTATTGGAAAGACCTTTGACTATAAGTATATATTTTTTTCAGACTAGACAGTACAGTAGATGTATTGATAGAAAACCTAGAAAGGTTATGGGAAAATTTTGTTGGCTCCATATCCTCAAGTGTTACAGACTATCTCAGTGTAGAACATCTAGCTCTCATCTTAAGAAAACTTGCAGATAAAGGTAAATATATCCTCCAATTTGTGTCAGTTTTTTTCTCAATATGTTATAGTATCTTCCAGTGTAGAACATGTAGCTGTCACAGTAAGCAAGACTGTCGATAAGCGTAAAAAGATGCCCCTCCTCTAGTGATTGGGTCTTTGTCAGTGTACAATCATCTATAAACTCTCATCTTTAAATAGGACCACTTGTGTTAATAGTAATTTATAAATAAAGTTTGATAACATATAAACAATGCATTTTGTTTACATCAATGAAAGAAAAACTAAGCAGCAGTACTCCCTTTCCAAGCTCAGAATTGCCTAGATTTGCTAAAGGGCTAATTCATGGAAAAAAACTACTGTGTGGGCTTGAAACCATTCTTCAAAATACAGAGTGTTAAATGATATATCGGATTCAGGTGACAAATATGAAATGATCTTTTATCCTAATTGTTTACTTTTATTTTTCAGAAACCATGTTAGTTGAAAGGTCCTTCTCAGTATGTGGTTGTAAAGAAGGGGTGGCAAATTTGATTGTCTGCTCACAAAGTATGTGCTTTATTACAAATTGTCAAAGATCTATTTTAAGTGTTGTACTAGTTTTGTTTATTTATTAACTGTAAATGTGGGGAAAATGGTGCCCTCAAAAAGGGTTAGCATGATATATAAAAAAATTGTTAAAATAAATACTTACTGTAAACCAACTAATTTTCGCGACTTTAGCGAGTAGGAAAATAACGCGAATATAAATCCTTGCGAATGTGTATAAATCGGATTATTCCTTATTTAACTACTCCAAAAAACTTGAAAATCGTGACATTAAATTGCCGCTAAGTTGGAGAGAAATGGCTTTACTCAAAAAAAAGTTTTTTTGAAAATAAGTTGGTTCACAGTTATTGCACAATGTGGGAAACAAATCCCACGAACATTTGATTATAGGAAAATTAATTATGCATAAGTTTGCATTAAAAAAAATGGTTAAAAATTATTACCTTATGGTTAAAAATAGGTTATCATATTCTTTACAAACAATATTTGAGGGTACATAAGAGTGAACTTGTTTGTCTAGACTTTCTTGCCATGTCCAATCCAGAGATTATAGTAGAGACTTGCATCTGGATCTGGCAATTTACTACCAATATGGTCCGAGTACACAGTTATTTCGTAGTGCATTTCTTTTAGACAATAAATGAAAATTAAAAAAATCCCACCTGCGCTTTCTCAATAATATTTTTACAGTGTGTTGTACTACTTTTGGGACAAATTATATCAAAATTATAGAAAACTTCATCGGCTCTAACTCAAAATATGGACAATTTCATGTTAAGGGGGTCTTCAAATCTTTTGACAGCTTCCGAAGTGCTAATTTTTAACATTTTTCAGCTGGACAAAATCACTACTTTACTTTAAAATTCATGACCCAAATTTTTTTACAGTGTCATTTCACCCCCCCTACTTACTATTTGAGTCATAAAACATGGAGAAATAAATTTGGAAGGGGTATAAAAAAAATCGACAAGTAACACACTGTCCACACTAGGGACTATATTCATGGACAACGAAAATCAAAGGACGATAACTGTATACCCGGACCATATGTTACGTCATGATTGGAAGATCAAATATGTTCACAAAAATAAAATGAAGTTATACTTAAACAAATATGTGGGGATTTTAAATGGTACCTTGTTATATTTTACAATTCCAGGTGAGATGTACAACACAGTATTAAGTCTGTACAGTACAGAGGACGATTCTCTGTTACCACAGTCAGATGAAGTCTTACTTTGTACACCTGATACTACCCTTGATTTGGTTTGTATTTGTATAGTTCTTAAAGCAAAGCCATAAAGAAAATCAGAAACTTGTTGATATAAAAAAAATTGATATGTTAACAGGAATTTTTTTTCTTGGGGTGTCAGGTCATATTTTTATTCCCAGAAAAACAGTTGTAAACCAGGAGGTCGAAAATGCAGTAAATGGTCCCAATATTTTTAATGTGATATATCTTATATGGAATTTAGACATCTCATGAGTAAATATAATTTAAGATAGATTGAAAAATAGTTATAATAAACTTTTTACTAATAAATTGCATGTATTAAATAAAGCTTGAAATTGGTATAATGTTATATAATTTTTGTCGAGCCTGCGACTTTTGTCGCATAAAGCTCGACATAGGGATAGTGATCCGGCGGCAGCGGCTACGGCAGCAGCGGCTGTGTTAGCTAACTCCTTAAAAGCTGTATATTTTAGAAGGTCCATTGTCCTTGACCTCATTTTCATGGTTCAGTGACTACTTGAAAAAAAAGTTAAGATTTTTTGTAATGTTAATTTCTCTCTTATTATGAGTAATAGGATAACTATATTTAGTATGTGCGTACCTTGCAAGGTCCTCATGCCCGTCAGACAGTTTTCACTTGACCTCGACCTCGTTTCATGGATCAGTGAACAAGGTTAAGTTTTGGTGGTCAAGTCCATATCTCAGATACTAGAAGCAATAGGTCTAGCATATTCGGTGTATGGAAGGACTGTAAGGTGTACATGTCCAACTGGCAGGTGTCATCTGACCTTGACCTCATTTTCATGGTTCAGTGGTTATAGTTAAGTTTTTGTGTTTTGGTCTGTTTTTCTTATACTGTATGCAATAGGTCTACTATATTTGGTATATGGAATGATTGTAAGGTGTACATGTCTAGCTGGCAGGTGTCTTCTGACCTTGACCTCATTTTCATGGTTCAGTGGTCAAAGTAAAGTTTTTGAGTTTTGGTCTTTTTTTCTAATACTATATGCAATAGGTCATCTATATTTGGTGTATGGAAATATTTTGTGATGTACATGTCAGTCTTGCAGGTTTTATTTGACCTTGACCTCATTTTCACGGTTCATTGCTCAGTGTTAAGTTATTGTGTTTTGGTCTGTTTTTCTAATACTATAAGCAAGAGGTCAAATATATTTGTTGTATGGAAGGATTGCAAGCTGTACATGTCTGCCTGGCATTGTTCAACTGACCTTGACCTCATTTTCATGGTTCATTGGTCAGTGTTTAGTTTTCTTGGTTAAGTCTGTATCTTAGAAACTATAAACAATAGGTCAACTATATTTAGTGTATTGAATGATTTTAAGGTGTACATGTATTTCTTGTTTGGTTTATATGACCTTGACCTCATTTTCTTGGATCATGATAAGTGTAATGTGATGTAATGTGATAGTTGTAGTAAAGCTTTATATTTAGGACTATCAACATAATATCAATGATTAGTAAAGAAGGCGAGACATTTCAGCGTGTGCACTCTTGTTATAATAGAAAAGGGTCAGTTTTATTTCTAGGTGCTGAATCAGGCATACTAGCATAACATACAAGTATTTTTTAGCCAGAATTATGCCTTGCAATTGCAAGTACATGTGTACAATTTATTGAAATAATTTTATGTTATAATTCAAATTTATTTTTTTTGATAATTCCCTAATTGAGTACATTTTTAATTATTCTTAATTTCTTTCCATGTCATTTAATTTGACCGAAAGGTACAGCAAGAAACTCTAAAACAAACACATTTTTAACTTTTAAGATATTATTAAGTTTTTTGAGGCTTTCAGTGTTTTATATCATCCATTAGTACAGACAGACATGTAATAGATATAATTGTTTAGGATGAAAATATTTTTTAGGTTGATATATTCTGGAGAAGATCGTTATTTGGAGATAGTGGTAAAATCTATTGCTTAGTTAATGCAGATTTACTAGATTATGAAGTGAGTGACAAAGGAGAAAAACTACTTGAGAAACACATGAAAAATGCACAAAATAGAGGTAAACATTTTCATATATGTTAACAGTTAGTCTTTGGTTAATATATGAACAATCATTTTTCTGTATTTGGGGGCATCGGTGGCTAAGTGGTCTAAGAAGTTCAACTACTGTTTAATTTGCATGTCAACACTGAGGTTGTGAGTTCAAACCCAGCATGTGGCAGGTGGGCTCGACTCCAATCTTAATTGACTAGGACTCCCGTACAAGGTCAATAATTATTCTGATATTTACAAATCTATTTATTATACTTTATGCAAATTTCTTATATCATCCATTCATTTCATTGGGCAGGCGACAATTGTTAATTTTCACTAACCTTTCATAAGCCCCACCCACCCATAGCAACATGTGATAATATTAGCAACGGGTGTTAATGCCTAAAATTAACACCCACCTGAGCCTGAGGTTTGCCGATTCGGAACTATTAACACCCACTACGGCCGAGGTTTACAGATTCTTATTTCCACATAATTTCTGTCATTTTATTGTTGTTATTGAAATAACTTAGACAACTAAAAATGACAGTGGAAAGTATAGAATCTATATAAGAAAGCATAACAAAGTAACCAAGGATGTGACGTTACATACAGAACACTGAAGTATAACTTTATGTTACACGCAATAAAAGTCATTACAGTTATTAGTAAACTATCTTAATTTATGACTTTATTTTTTTACAACTGTCTTTCTAATAACATAGTGCACAACTTGAATCATAAGGCATTCAGTATAATAAAAAACATACTGCGCTTGGATGAAGGTATTAGGGTAATTAACACCCTCAGTGAAAATTCGTCTTGGGTGATGATTTTTTCCCTCATGTGTTAATCTACCTTAACCCCTTCATTCTATTGGGTAACACGTCATCACGTGACATGGAATAATTCAGTTAATTTTCATTTAATTTCAAGGAGGGACAAATAACCCTAAAAATTTACACCAACGGTGATTAACCCTATTATTCACCAATGAATAACCTTTTGAGTTTCTTGATTTGTACACGAGTTATCTCTTATGAAAATGACGTCACAGACGTAAGTAAACAAAATGGCAATAATTTTCAACTTCAAGTTACAGGAAGCCCATCAAGTGGCAAGGAAACAAGGCTTTGGAAATGCATCTAGTGCTGAGGATATCTCTTATAAACGGTCCTTTTCAGGGCCATCAATATTTCACAAAAATAGTCTACCTTTGTTGTACATATGAGAAATTCTAAGACACAAATTTATTTTAGAACATTTACTTGTGTTTGTTACGATACAGTAGGTTATGTGCTTTTTCAATGTTTCAAAAGGCCCTTCCACTGTTAGGTCAATATAATAAAACAATTGTGGCCCTTAGAAGCGATGAATATCCAAAATTGTCAACCCTAAAAAATTATTTCACTTCGGGCTGCGCCCTCAGTGAAATAACCTTTTCATGTTGACAATTTTGAAAATTCACCTTCTCTACAGGCCATAATTGTATATTATTAGGCATATTTTATGGAGATTTAGGGTATATTATTTATATCATATAAATATAAAAAAAATATTAGAATATCGCAGGTCAATGATTGAATTGAGTTAGACGTTTAATTTTAGCCAGGATTTTTAGTATTCATATTGTTATCTAATGAAGTGGTGCAGTGAATTAGGTAGACAGTTTTTCTCTGCTAGCAATAGTTTTCTGTTTAAACTTGTCCTTGGTTTCTTACTATTAAACTTTTACCATGATCAGCTAGGCAGGTGACAGTGAAGCTTATTCTTCTGGGGAATCTAGTTTTGTCTTAAGCTTTATTTGGGTATATGTTTGCCACTTGTTATCCCCAAATTTTCTAAAGAAAATGCAGAGATATTATAATGGGTATGTCTACCTTTAGTTTATAACTCCTTGTTTATTTTAATGCACCTTCATCAACATATTAGACGTTTTAGGGTGCTAATATTTTTTTTAATGACATGAAGATAATGTTTTTTTGTTTCCAGAGATACATTTTAAGTTAGTTGTGATCTGTAGTAGAGAGAATGAGTACAAATCCAGAATGGTAGCAGCATTAGATAAATATCGTAGACCACAAATGTCATTTGGTGGAGAAAAACATGTCAAGACTTATCTGTCTGAAAGATTTATTGTCAATAAACCAATCAGTGGGATAGAAACTGCTTCATCTGTTGATTTTAATAGGTAATTGTAGTTCTAATAAATTTTTGATTCTCCTGCAAATTTATGCAAAATAATATAGTTAGCCATCTCTTGGCTACATTTCTTGTGTTATATTTATGAAAATTTTTATTATAAGAACCAAGCAATTTTTTTTGTGGAGTTATTGCCCTTGGACAATTAAAATATGTGCACCAGTGGACATTGGAACACTGTTCTTTTATTTCAGATTAAAATAAAGATTTAATTCAAATTTTCGTCACCTTACATGTTTGAAACAATTTGTTATTTGTCTTGAGATTTCAGCCCAAGCATAAGCTATCTGTATTTCAACATGATGATCATGGACAGTGCTTTGATTTTATCATTTTTTCCCAGGTCTAGTGTTCGTGTTGTAAAATCGTGGAGAGCTGGAGTGGGTAAAAGTTTGTTCAAGAGGAACATGGTTACTGCTTTGAAGGAGAAACAACAAAATGTAAATGTGGACGAGGAAAATGATATTGTAGTATCCATACCATTATATGACAGAACTATAGTTGTTGATGAAGTATTAGAGGTCTTACTAGAATACACCAACCCTCCACATGTCAGAGAACCACGAATATTCCATTTTGATATTTCTCATGAGGTTTGTTTTTATGTACAGAATTTTTTTTCATTTTTAAAGGAAATAATTATACCTATAATTGATCTTTAATGTTCTGTGGTTAGACAAATTTAAATTTCAGAACCTTTGGTATAAATATTTTTGGAAATTATCCATCTAAAGAAAAATAGAAAATGTAATTCTTTTGAATGAAATTCCCTCTACATGAAAACACCAATGTTGTTATATCATATGTTTATATATTGTTTGAAAAGAACAGAAAAAATGTTTGATATATTTGGAAATAGAATGGATTTTATGTCAAAGGGAAGATAACTTCAGTTTTTTTTTTCAATTTCAAAAACGATTGACGATTAAAGACCCTTACTTATAACAGAAAGTTCTAAAAACACTTGAGAAAATTGCTTTACTGACATTTTTCTCTGATTTTCTGACATAGTCTTGACATGCGGTCTTCAAATGAACTGATTATAGTGATTAATTCTGTTTTTTTACTTCGATTATTCATAAATTTATAGATTTTGATTGATTAATATCCAGTGACAAAATTGATTTTTGATTAATCAATTTGTAGTGGCAAATATAGCTGATGCTAATTATGACCAGGTATTGTAGACACTCAATAAAAAAAGTAATACACAAATCTTAATTATAATCAATTTCAGGTACAAGATGGTGTAGATGCTTTCCTGTTCCAATTGTTAGTTTTGGGATGTCTGAGTCATACTTCAGGAAACGTATGGCGGAGATCTGATATGGACTATTATATCATAGAGTCAATGCCTTTACTAGCAAGGGATTCAGATACACAAGTAAAATTTACAAATGTTTAAATTATAAAATTTGTGCCTTTTCTGGCTAACCATTTATATACACAAGTACAATTTACAGAGATAACTGAAAATTCCAATTAAAAAATTGTAATGTTTTATTATTGCAATAAGTGTGTTGTAATAGGTTTTGCAAAAATAAAAACTCATATTTTAAATATTGATAGCTTTATTTGTATTTAGAAAATACTGAAATTGCAATTATCAATCTTGCATTTTTGTTCATTCTTCCAAAATCTCAGTAATAGATGCATGCACAAATTTATGAATTTACAGAGTACATCACAGAAACCATGCCTCTACAGGTTAGGCATTCGGTGCACATCTAAAAAATACCTCCACTGACCAGCCCACACTATTACAAATTACAGAAATGATACTGCTAAATCAGTTTATACTGCAACTGTGCTATTTGAGCAGTCAAATTGCCTTGACTCTATATTCATTTGTGATATACAGTCACTGACCATATATCGCCTTTATTATGACGTTGACAATGTGTTTCCATAGTTTTATTTATGACGTCAATATAAATACAGATCCATAATTGATGGTCTTTACCCAAAGTATTTTATTTTGAACAGTTGTAAGAGTTGCAGCAAAAAGAGAATTAATAATCATACATCGTCTCAAATATGAATTTTATTTTTCCTCAGCTCAAAACAGGATAGAAATGCTCAGCACAGCCTTGCATTCTAATTGTTTCTTAGCCTTGTACACGAAAAATAAATATTTCATGACATATTTGATGGATGACTAGGTATACAGATACACTGATATAAGTAACATAGACTTTTAAATCACACACATTACATGCCTCAACTGGGTATGTATTCAAATACATGGGAAACAAATTTCAAAAAAAGGTATATTCATGCCTCCTCTGACAAGGCATTCAGATTACTGAAATCGCATTTTGGAGAAGGTTATTATATATGTAATATGACATAAAATATGTTTATTAAAATTTCTACTTTGTTCTTTATAGCTATATTTATTCATTTAATATTTTTAAGGTTGGAAAATTAAAATGTATGCACCGTTGTTTAGACATCCTTCCAGATGTTTTATGCAGATCACCAAAAGAAAGCCTTGATATTTTTTATGAGAGTTTTCCTGATGGTAAGTGTTGTCCAACAGAAATGTTATGTTTCCCATGCTGCAATTTGCAAAAGTAATTTGATTTTATAATGGTTACTACTAAAAATTTACCTATTTGGTGTGACAAGAGAATGTCCACATTTCTAATGTGTTACTTTCAGAATTTTTTTTGAATAAAACACTATTCCCCTGTTTTAAATTATCTTGTGGAAATTATTTCAAACATATTGAGGATGAAAATACATAACACTTATGACAGATAACTCTGTAAGTCAACTGGATGATTTAACAGCATTGTGCAAAATGATAAAATTGCTATTAAAATATACAAACATTTACATTTCGTCTGCTCTTTTAACTTCTGAACATTTTGTGTGGACTCGAAAGAGTTTAATATTGCTCTGTGGGATTGTTCCTAAAAATAAATATTACAAAGAGAGAACAAATGATAGGAATATTATTTATTTGAACTGTTTGATATTCAGAGATAGCACAGGTGAAAAAAATAGTCCCTTAGCATATATGTCTTACTAAAGCGTACAACCTTTAGTATACACTTAAGCTTTATAAGAAAAATCCCTTGTAGTGACACATTAAACTGATTTCTTTTGTTCAGATTTCAGTGAATCTGATTTGATATTTGATGAGTCTGAGTTTGCTAGTGAGACTTTCCAGAGACCATATCAATATCTTAGTCGCTTGGATGGAGATGAAGCTCTTACTGACATTATTCCTGAGGAACCCGAGGGAGACAGAGAAAACTGCTTGCAGATATTACTCAGGTTTAAATCTTATCTTTTACATTGAAAAGGATGAATTCAATATTATAAAGAGATTTAAGATTAAATAGATCTTGCTGATATAGAAATAAGATGTGGTTTTATTGCCAATGAGATAACTAAAATTGAGAATGGAAATGGGGAGTGTGTCAAAGAGACAACAACCTGACCAAAGAGCAGAAAACAGCCCAAGGCCACCAATGGGTCTTCAACACAGCGAGAAAATGCCGCATCTGGAGCTGGAAATGTGTTCTAGTTCAGTGAAAATGGACGTTATACTAAACTCCAAAACATACAAATGAACTAAAATTGTCCACTAGAGACCAAATGACATAGATGTAAGCAACAAGGGGTCATTCTACTGCATTCAATAATGAGCAAAGTTATGTAGTGAAAAATGTCTAAACATTTTTTAAAAAAAATCTTATTTTGAGTGTTTTAAGTCTAAGTGGATCAATCTAAGCAGGAATAATATTGAATTATATATATATCAAAGTTTCTGTCTTTCTGTTATAGTTTCAAGATTACAGGCAAATAGGCTAAAATTGGAAATTGTTATTTGGAGACAATACTTCAAATTTCCAGGTTCTGTCATAATGACATTTTCGTAGATTTTGTATTGCTGATCATTTTCACTGTTTACATTTTCTGCCTATTTACGATGGTTTTCAAGACATTTGATTTTATTTTGAAGATATCTATCTATTTACAGACATTGTGGTGTGAAGGATCCCTCGTGGTCAGAATTGTACCATTTTGTCAGTTTTCTAAACAGACAGTTACAGGACTTCGAAACATCAACTTTCTGTAGTCCCCTTGTTCTACAAGATCTTCCTGGATTCCCTGCATTTGTTTTGAAATTCTTGATACAGATGTCTAGGGTAGGTATTTCAAAAAATGTAATGTACAATCTTGAATACCAAGGTACTAAAAAATGATACCATCAACACAGATGTAATAAGTTTTGTTGATTATTGTCTCGCCTGTGACGAAAATCAGAATGTGAGACATAGGTATTACAATCCGTCGGCAAGGGCGTTAACTATTTGTTTAAAGCTTTATATTTCCGAAGGTAGAAGACCTGGATGCTTCATAAATTGTATGCAGATACCTGTCTGTCATATGTCTATTGTCCTTGACCTCATTTTCATGTTTCAGTAAATGCTTGAAAAAAAGTTACATTTTTTTTGTTTAGTAAAATACTCGTGTATTATGAGTAATAGGATAACTATATTTGGTATATGGGTTCCTTGCAATGTCTACATGTCTGTCAGGTAAGGTTCACCTGACCTCAACCTTATTCCATGGATCAGTGATCAAGGTTAAAGTTATGTGGTCAAGTCGGTATCTCAGATACTAAAAGCAATAGGTCAACTATATTTGGTGTATGGAATGGTTGTAAGGTGTACATGTCTAACTGACAGGTTTCATCTGACCTTGACCTGAATTTTATGGTTCATTGGACAGTTTTTAGTTTTTGTGGTTTGGTCTATTTCTCAGATATTATAAGCAATAGGTCAATTATATTTAGTGTATGGAACAATTGTGAGGTGTACATGTAATTGAAGTCTGGCAGGGTTCATATGACCTTGACCTCATTTTCATGGTTCGTTGTTCATTGTTAAGATTTTGTGGTTTGATATGTTTCTCAGGTAGGATTAGTAATACATACATGTGAACCTCCTGACAGGAGTACAATAATCCTGTTTTCAGGGGTCTCCTCCCGACCTCCCGTTGAAGAGAAAAAAATCCCGTGTATAAAATTTTTCATGAATGAAAAAAATTATTTCTGCCCAACATATCATCTCAGACATCTGGTGTAACTGACATTACCTGAAGTTATATTTTACCTGTAAATCAATTAACATGCATAATTATATGGCTTCACTTGTCAGCTTGAGTGTCAAACATACTGGTAATCAACGAATTTTACCTCAGGCCAACTGCCGTTGTGAAATAAATACTTTGTGTATTAATTGGGTTACTTCCCTTGATTTATCCTGTTTTAAGTTACTTTCCTTTAAATAATGTAAATTTTTAAAAGAATATAAAGAAAATATAAATTGAACAAATAATCATAAAAGGAAGGTAACTAAATGATTTTAAATGTCTAAGGACAAATAAAAAAATACTAATTTGAAAATTATTTGAGGGTTCTATACTTCCTTTTAAGGCTTAAATTGAAATTTATATAATTACTATGCCCCTTGATTTTGGTTAGAATGAGTTTCTGAATAAGCAAATATAAACTAAATGCATTTGCAGATAGTTAAACAAATGTTAAGATTGTTCATTAAAAAGACATGAATTAAAAGATTTAAAGAACTTACTAAAAAAATAAAAATGTTAGATTGAACATGTAGAATATAAAGATAGAGAAACTTGATAAGTACAAGGGTACTATAAACATAATACATTTGGATGGAAAGTTGAAGAAAACACACTTTAAAAGACAATTTTTACAGCACACGGTTACATTTACGACAAAATTTATGTCAATTAAAAATCTCCTGATCTGAGTCCTAATCTCCTGACCAAAATTTCCCAATCTCCTGATCTGAGTTTCACAGTCCATCACATGTATGGTAATAGGACGACTATATTTGGTGTATGGAATGATTGTAAGGTGTACATGTTTTTCTGGCATGGTTCTTCTGACTGTGACCTCATTTTCATAAAACATTGATAATGTTAAGTTTTTGTGATACTTGTAGTAAAACCTTCTTCATATTACAGACTTTCAACATGAATTCAATGATAAGTAAAATAGGCGAGATATTCAGCATGTGCACTCTTGTTTTTTTTATTACTGATGAAAAATGTTCTGTTGAACATGACAAGTAATCACATGATTTTTAGAATAATACATTAGATCTCAAAGGAAAATATGTATTTCATGAGGTGCTTAATTTCATATCTGCTTGTACCACAAATTCCAAAAATATTGAAAACCCACAAACATGCATTGCTTACTTTGCATCAGTATAAATTATTTGCTTCTGTGCCTCATACAAATATACCAGCGGGGCCCTTTCCGACCTTGCTGACATGTCAGTTTTTAGCTCACCTGGCCCAAAGGGCCAAGTGAGCTTTTCTCATCACTTGGCGTCCGTCGTCCGTTAACTTTTACATTTTTACTTTTACAAAAATCTTCTCCTCTGAAACTACTGGGCCAAATTTAACCAAACTTGGCCACAATCATCATTGGGGTATCTAGTTTGAAAAATGTGTCTGGTGACCCGGCCAACCAACCAAGAGGGCCACCATGGCTAAAAATAGAACATAGGGGTAAAATGTAGATTTTGGCTTATATCTCTGAAACCAAAGCATTTAGAGCAAATCTGACATGGGGGTAATATGGTTTATCAGGTCAAAATCTATCTGCCCTGAAATTTTCAGATGAATGGGACAACTTGTTATTGGGTTGCTGCCCCTGAATTGGTAATTTTAAGGAAATTTTGCATTTTTTGGTTATTATCTTTATGATAGATAGAGATAAACTGTAAACAGCAATAATGTTCAGCAAAGTAAGATCTACAAATAAGTCATCATGACCAAAATTGTCAGTCGACCCCTTTAGGAGTTATTGCCCTTTATAGTCAATTTTTAACAATTTTTCGTAAATTTTTGTAATCTTTTACAAAAATCTTCTCTAAACTACTGAGACAAATTTAACTATACTTGGCCATAATCATTATTAGGGTATCTAGTTTAAAAAATTTGTCTGATGACCCCGCCTTCCAACCATCATGGCTGACTTGGTTAAAAATAGAACATAGGGGTAAAACGGAGTTTTTGGTTTATATCTCTGAAACTAAAGCATTTAGAGCAAATCTGACAGGTGGCAAAAATGTTCATCAGATTTAGATTTATCTGCCCTGAAATTTTCAAATGAATCCGACAACCTGTTGTTGGGTTGCTGCCCCTGAGTTAGTAATTTTACAGAAATTTTGCCGTTTTATGTTATTATCTTAGATATTATTATAATATCTAATATCTAATACTATTAATTATGATTTTAACCTTATTTTACATGATTTCCAAAGCATCAGTAAATACAGGTGAGCGACACAGGCTCTTGAGAGCCTCTAGTTTAGTTTTTGTCAGCTATACCCCCTCCCACCATTGGACCATATTTTCTCACTTATTGTTAAAAAATTACCACTTTACTCCGTAGGCATTGGATTGGTGTGCAGTAATAGAAAAGGCTGGTTGCCTTGGGGTAAAAAAAAATGTGTCTAGTTAGGATGACATAAAAAAAATATGAATGTATTTTAGGATTTTGCTACCAGATCTCTACATATAAGTGAGGAGTCACCAATTGACATGTTGAAGCGTCAGTTACTGGATGATGAGGAGGATGAGGAAGACATTGAAGAGCTTTATGAAATGAGAAGGAAATGGGAATCAAGGCATGTATATTATTTGTTTGGAAAAAAGAAAAATAAATTTACTGAACTTCAAGGCATACTCAAAACAATTCTTGACGTAATATAGCCTTTTGTGCCGAGGAGGCATAAAGCAAACATCAATCAATCAGTCCTTCATTATTTCTTAAAAAACTAAAAAAGAAATTTCAACAGGATGCATAATTATGATTAATATTGTTTGGTTTGATAATATATTCTCAGTTTCGATTCAGTAGGATATGCTTTTTCACCGCTCTCTGACGTTAAATGTAATAACAAAAAAATAAAGCTTAATTTAGCAATTATTGTACTTAAATAACTTAATAGTCATACATGTCTGTGATATTGAAGTTGTATTATTTCATATATGATTTAGTTTATCTGATGATTAGGCTTTTTTATTGTTCAGACATTGTTTTCTTTTCTTAGAGAGATTGACAAAAATTGTATTGTTCATGCTTTGTATAATTTAGCATTATTAGAGAATAGCAAAGAAAGTTGATGTTGTAGTTTTTATAACTATGAAGACTGAAATAAAATCTCAAGTTAAAACCACATATTCTTTTTCCAAATTTTTTATTATTTTTATACCCCTGCTTTAAAAAAGGGGGGGTATACTGTTTTACCTCTGTCTGTCCTTCTGTCAGTCCGTCAGTCCCATGAATATTTTCGTCTCATTTTTCTCAGGAACTACTTGACAAGGATTTCTGAAATTTGGTTTCAGGGTTAATATAAGTAAGTTACACTGTGTGATGCATTTTCAGATTCATCACTCAACAACTTCCTGTTAACAGAACGCTTGTATTATTTCACACATGATAGCCAAGTTGAAAATTTTCGTCACATTTTTCTCAGGAACTACTTGACAAGGATTTCTGAAATTTGGTTTCAGGGTTTATATAAGTCAGCTATACCGTGTGATGCGTTTTCAGATTAATCACTCAACAACTTCCTGTTTACCATCAAATATTTGGGCTGGGGTATCATTTGTGAGCAGTAGCTCGCAGTTTCACTTGTTTAAGTTTTTTCCAAATTTTTTATTATTTTTTTTTAAGTTAATAGCAATCATAAGTTAAGTCACAATTTTTTTCAGTCCACATCCATACTTGTTCTTCAACCCAGATCACCATACCATGACATTTCTTGGGTTTAATATTGAGAAAGCAACTGGAAACCTTGTTGATGATCAAACTGGAGAAAGTTTGGAAGATCAAATTATGGATCCAACCTTAGACAACAGACAACCAACCCTGTATAATGGATTGAATTCACAACCTGGTGTCAATCTGTCAGAAAACTTTGATAAGCTAAACAGGTAAAAATATGAAAAAACAATGTACTTCACTACAGGATAATATCAGGGAGTGGAAAATCATGGCAAAAAATGGGACAGCATATTAACTTGGGGAAAAAATGAACTGTAATGTGGAAAAATTTTGCTAGTTTTGTTTTATAAAATCCCGAAACTGTCTCCTTGTTTAAATGTGTTCTTTATGAAAAATCAGAATAAGAGACAAAAGAAATATACTACACATTTTCCGTAAAAAATTGTGAAATTTAAACTCGGCAAACATAAACCACTTAAAAGTATGACTTAAACTGCTTGGTTTGATGCAGCATGAAGAAGTTGAAAATTTAATATTAGTAAAATTATGAAATGACAAGGTTCACTGATGCCCAAATTTGGCCATGAATTTCAACTTCATCTTAAAAAATGTAAAATTTTCTTCCTAAATGGATCTATTCTAAAAGCCTTGATGTGAAGTGAAACAAATCTTTTTTGATGTGCAAAAAAGAAGTTAGTTTGTATTAATAGTTATATCACAACTACTTCTATATAAAAATTGTAGTATTCTAAAAAAAAAAAAAGATTTAAAAAAAAGAGCCTACTTTAATCCTTCATGAACCTTCTCCTCCCTTATAAATTGTCAATTACCATAAAAATGTGCCATTTAAACCATATGCCAGTACCAATGCATTAACTTTTAGGTTGATGTTACCAGTATTTGATATAATTACTTTATCTGCACAATTGATTTTTACCCTTTACAGAGGTGAAAAGATAGAAAAGTTGTGTCAAGTGATGGGAATAGAGTACCCGCATGATCCAGATGAAACATATGAACTAACCACAGACAATGTTAAAAAGATTCTGGCCATCTACATGAGATTCAGGTAATTTTGCAAAAATGCTGTGGGAATATGCAGTGAAACAATTTTGTACTTTCTTGTGAACACAAGGAATACTGTCGATTCATTTGTTTTCGTGGGTACCAATTTCTTGGATTGAGGAAAATTTGTATTTTCATGGATATTTGATTTCATGATCTTGCCTTAGTCTATACTCCTATAGAGAATTTGTAATTTGTTGAACTTTTAAATTAGTGGTTCCACTGTACCCACGAATTCCGCAAAAACTGGTATTATAATGAATGCACAATAGCACAGTAAATTGCAACAGCTTAATTGACAACACACAACAAAGTTGGTATAATGTTATCAACAGAAAATATATAAAAAAGGAGGGCTGAGATCTATAAAAAAAAATCAAACCATGCCACATGTTTCTCAACGAGAATGAAGAAAAAAAATGCCTATAGCTAGTAAAACTCTGGTAATTTCAAACTGTATGTTATTATTTGCATTATTTTCATGGATAAATTTCAGTAAAGTACTGCTAAATTTATTCATCACATTGAATTTTAAGGACCTTTAGCTAAAAAAAAAACACATGCAGCAATTTGGAGTAAAAGACTGCGGACAATACAAAACAAAATTCTGTTGCATATGTTTAAATTACACACAAGGTAGGATAGAAGAATATTTACATTTTACAATTTCAGGGGCCAGATAATTGCAATTATGTTAAACATGTATAATTATAACTCCCAGTTTTATCCATTTTACATTGGTTAACAATTATATTTCAGATGTGATATACCAGTGGTTATCATGGGAGAAACAGGATGTGGAAAAACCAGGCTGATAAAATTTATGTGTTCTCTACAACACTTGCCTGATGAACCTGTGGAGAATATGATTATCATGAAGGTATTTATTTTAGAATTCATACATATTGTAAGTGTGCATTCGGTTTTACCAAACTGACACTACAGAAGAACAAAATAAAGACATTTCTAAAAATGCTTTCTTCCCATGAGCTATATTTTCCTGAAATTTGGTATCATTTTAGTTTCTTGTTAGCATGCTCTTCACTGTGATGGTTTTCACATTAATGGCTCATCAACTTCTCGTTTAAAGATTACTATATATCAATCAACTTTTTGTCTTCTGAATACTTATATCTTTTAACATATTATCGCTTTGTATGATTATTTTCTTTATATACTTTTGTCCAGAAATACAAGTCAAAGTCTTCAAAACTTGCTATCTAGCTTTCACATCATTCACATCCCTAACTCATCAATTTTCTATATTACCGAAAACGTATTGCATTGGTATCATTAATGGGCAACAGCAGGCAGTTTTACTTGTTCAATTGAATTTCCAGTAGTGTAAATTCTAAATATCTTGCTCAAATGTGCTGAAACATGTTGACATATATAATCTTGCAGTTTTGTCTTTTTATATCTGTCTATCAAGGTAAAATAAAATTTTTATATGTACAAGGAAAACAGACAGATTAAACTTTATTAACATTACTATACTATTAGTATTTTTTAAATAAATTTGAAAAAAAAAATTGATAGATGTAAAATATAAACTGTTTCAAAATAAATCTCTAAGATTAGCCAAAAATGATTGCATTCAAAGTGTATTTCCAGGTACATGGAGGAACAACAACAAAAGATATTATAAAGAAAGTGAGGAAGGCAGAAGAAGTCGCGATGGAAAATGCAGAGGATCATCCCAATATGTTTACTGTTCTGTTCTTTGATGAAGCCAACACTACTGAGGCTATCGGTGTCATCAAAGAGATCATGTGTGACAAGTCTCTTGGAGGAAATCCAATACAGATACATGAACGACTAAAAATTATTGCTGCTTGTAATCCTTACAGAAAGTAAGTAATCAGTGTCCAAAAAATCATTGCTGCTTGTAATCCTTACAAAAAGTAAGTAATCAGTGCACTTAAAATCATTGCTGCTTGTAATCCTTACAGAAAGTAAGTAATCGGTGCACTAAAAATCATTGCTGCTTGTAATCCTTACAGAAAGTAATCGGTGCACTAAAAATCATTGTTGCTTGTAATCTTTACAGAAAGTAAGTAATCGGTGCACTTCATTGCTGCTTGTAATCCTTACAGAAAGTAAGTAATCGGTGGACTAAAAATCATTGCTGCTTGTAATCCTTACAGAAAGTAAGTAATCGGTGCACTAAAAATCATTGCTCCTTGTAATCCTTACAGAAAGTAAGTAATCGGTGCACTAAAAATCATTGCTCCTTGTAATCCTTACAGAAAGTAAGTAATCGGTGCACTAAAAATCATTGCTGCTTGTAATCCTTACAGAAAGAAAGTAACTGATGCACTAAAATTCATTGCTGCTTGTAATCCTTACAGAAAGAAAGTAATCGGTGCAGTAAAATACATTGCTGCTTGTAATCCTTACAAAAAGTAAGTTATCGGTGCACTAAAAAATCATTGCTGCTTGTAATCCGTACAGAAAGAAGATAATCGATGAACTAAAATGCACTACGATTAACAGAATCTAATGTTTTACAAACCATACAATTATTAGTGTTGAATTTAAAACAGTATGCAAGGATGTCAACTAAGTAAGTTCATATATGTATTTCAGACACAAGGAAGAATTGATTAAAAAATTAGAACAAGCAGGACTTGGTTACCATGTCGATGCAGACAAAACAACTGATAGGTTAGGTAAGTTCATTCACTTTTAAAAATACAGTTATTTAACATTATGACTTCTAAGAAAATATTTATTAGCAGTCAATGATAGTAGGGAATGGGAGGCATTTTGTCTTCTGGTCCTGTCCTCAATGTGTCTGTCCATTAGCCAGCAAACTGAATTTACTGATTGATAACCAAAAATATGCAATGTTGGACAAAAGTTAGTAAATTTTCTAATTCAATTGGACCCATATTAGGAATTATCTTCAGTAACTTCAATTTCCAAATCCATTATGACTGACAAGTATGACCGTTTCTGAACTAATACATGAAACAATGAGTATTCAAATGACAACCACTCCCATAGAGCATGTTATACATATGTAACTACAATACCCGTCCCTTTTCACAAATGTGACCTACTGAATTAGACTATTTACCGGATTTGTAATAACATAAGCAACACGACGGGTGCCACATGTGGAGCAGGATCTGCTTACCCTTCCGGAGCACCTGAGATCACCCCCAGTTTTTGGTGGGGTTCATGTTGCTTAGTCTTTAGTTTTCTATGCTGTGTCATCTGTACTATTATTTGTCTGTTTGTCTTTTTATTTTTGGCCATGGCGTTGTCAGTTTGTTTTCGATCTATGAGTTTGACTGTCCCTCTGGTATCTTTCGTTCCTCTTTTATAAGTTGTCTGTTTTAATTTTTAAGTCATCTGATTTTACTTTAGGTCGTGTACCAATGAGACGATTAGTATACAGGGTACAGCCTCTACCACAGAGCATGCTACCATTAGTTTGGGATTTTGGACAATTGAATGCTAGAGTGGAAGAAATGTACATCAAACAGATGGTTCTAAGATATGTAAGAATATAAAAAGAATTTGTTAGGTTAAAAAAGTAAACATGTTGCTATCAGTTTAAATTAAATTCAGACACATGTTATTGAAGTTCACCATTCATCTCCTTTTATTCATACATATTTGGAAAATGCCATGATGGCCTTTGCATTTTTTTAAAGCAAAGCAACAGTTTTTCAGAGGTGTCAAGAGTTTACCTATCGTAATTTATGTAATTTTGTTCATGATTTAGACTTCAAGCTGTGTGTCACCACTAAAATATTTTTGAATAGATATGATAGGAAATACATAAATGGTACTATTTTAGTCATGTTTCAAGTTGCAGTAAATAAGCTATGCCACAGATCTTGATAAAATGTTGTGTATATCTTTGGCTTGTTGAACTCTAACTGAAAATCAAAATGATAAAGCATTTATTTCAATATACTTTCTGAAATATTTCAAAATAGATACACATAGAAAGCACATAAAATCAGCAAAAAAAGTTCTTAAATTTGTTTTAAAATAATGAAATCTCCAATTACCAAGCAAAAGATTTTTATCAAAAAATTATATATATTGTTGAAACATAAATTACGTTTTAATGACGTAAGTAATAATAGGTCACCAGCTTTGTTTTTTAAGGTATACATCATACAAAGGGGTGTTGTAGGTGAAAATCTACAAAATGTTGAATAAGCAATTACATCATCGTATTGTAAATGGTAAAATGTTGATTTTTTACTACCATCTAGGTTTGGTTACTACACCAAAATTGAAGTCAGTAACCCTGTGATTATTTTATATCCTTAAAACAGAAATGTATGAACAACATATCAATTTATGAAAAAATCTATGGATTGGTAATTGAAGATTTGATGATAAGACAAATTTAAGAAATTTTTTTTACAAATTTAATGTGCTCTCTAAACATAAGTGCATTCATTGACAGAGTCAAAAAGCGAGACATTGGTATGCTGTGTCCGGCGTCGGTGGCGACGGCGTCAACAATGTATTAGTTTGTGATTAGGTCTTGTTCATGGGGAACCACTAGTGGTAGGTCAATGATATTTGGTATGCAGTTGTATAAGCATTGGCATATCTCATTTCCATGGAGATTATTTGGCTCCGCCCCCTTAGTCATGGTCTATAGACTTTGAAAATTTTGCTAAGTTAACATGTATTAGTTTGTGATTAGGTCAGTTCAAGGGGAACCATTAGTGGTAGGCCAATGTTAATTGGTGTTCAGTTGTATAAGAATTAGCACATCTCATTTCCTTGAAGAATATTTTACCCCGCCCCCTCAGTCATGGTCTATTTACTTTGAAACTTTTGCTCACTTTACATGTATTAGTTTGTGATTAGGTCAGTTCAAGGGGAACCATTAGTGGTAGGCCAATGTTAATTGGTGTTCAGTTGTATAAGCATTAGCACATCTCATTTCCTTGGAGAATATTTGACCCCGCCCCCTCAGTCATGGTCTATTTACTTTGAAACTTTTGCTCACTTTACATGTATTAGTTTGTGTCAGATTAGATCAGTTTAATATGAACTGCTAATGTTAAGTCAATGATATTTGGTATGCAAATTTATTGGCATTTGCAAGTATCATTTCCATGGAGATTATATAGCCCCACCCCTGATCATGGTTCATTGACTTTGAAACTTTTACATAGTTTACAAGTTAATGTTTGTGTTTAGGTTTGTTTAAAGGGAACGACTTATAATAAGTCAATGGTATTTGGTATGCAGTTGTATTAGCATTGGCACATCTCATTCCATGGAGATTGTTTAGCCATGTACCTTCAGTCATGGTTCATCAACTTTGAATATTTGCATAAATTACATGTTAAAGTATTGCTATTTTAATTTCAACATTTGCATTATCAAAATTACAAAAAGGCGACACATATCTCTGTGATAACAGTTTATAAAATATTTCATTCAATAATATTTTCATTTACAGTTCAACAAGCCAAAGCTGTTTTGCCAAATTTACTAAAATCTATGACATAGCCCATTTACTGTTTGTTGACCTTAAGCCTCTACTTTTTTTTCCACAGCTGAAGGAGAAGATTTTTATGCCCCCGCCATTGCGGAGGGGGCAGTAAGTTTTACCCTTGTCCGTCTGTATGTACGTACGTACATCCCAAAATTGGTTTCTGTTTCATAATGCTTATTAAGTCTCCCAAACGAAGTTTGGGAAGACTTATTGTTTTTGCTCAGTTATTATTATTATTATTATTATTATTATTATTCTTCTTCTTCCTCCTCTTCCGCCGCTTTTAAATTTGAACTTGTCCGCACCCGTTCTCCAAAACCGCTTGTCAGATTAACTTAGGGTTTCACAATATGTTAGACTAACATGTCTAGTGGTGCAATCAGGGTTTTGTTTGTGCAATGGGGTTTATAAAGGGGTACTTTGAGGGGCAAAAAGAAAAGAGGGTTTTACTATAGAACCCTATGGGATTTTATTTTTTAAAATTTTCAAATGATTATAAATTGAAAATCGTTTGTGATAAACACAATCTTTTTAATTGAAAATGTTCTAAATGATAAAGCCCATTAAATGAAATACAGGGTTAGTCCCCAGGGGTCACCCCACCCCCTGCCATTTAAGAAAGTTCTAATACCTTGTAAGTGATCAAGATCCCCACCCCTAAACCATATATATTTTGGTTTGTCATGCTAAGATGGTTTGAATGATATACAGGGTTAGTCCCCAGGGGTCATCCCGACCCCCTGCCATTTTAGAAAGTTCTAATATCTTGTAAATGGTCAAGATCCCCACCCCTAAACCATATATATTCTGGTTTGTCATGATAAAGCACATCAAATGTAATACAGGGTTAGTCCCTAGGGGTCACCCCCACCCCATGCCATTTAAGAAAGTTCTAATATCTTCTAAGTGGTAAAGATCCCCACCCCTAAACCATATATATTCTGGTTTGTCATGCTAAGATGGTTTGAATGATATACAGGGTTAGTCCCCAGGGGTCATCCCGACCCCCTGCCATTTGAGAAAATTCTAATATCTTGTAAATGGTCGAGATCCCCACCCCTAAACCATATATATTCTGGTTTGTCATGATAAAGCACATCAAATGAAATACAGGGTGAGTCCCCAGGGGTCACCCCCACCCCCTGCCATTTAAGAAAGTTCTAATATCTTGTAAGTGGTCAAGATCCCCACCCCTTAACCATATTTATTCTGGTTTGTCATACTAAGATGGTTTGAATGATATACAGGGTTAGTCCCCAGGGGTCATCCCGACCCCCTGCCATTTGAGAAAGTTCTAGTATCTTGTAAATGGTTGAGATCCCCACCCCTAAACCATATATATTCCTATTTGTCATGTCTCGAACATTTGAATGACGTATACGGTCAGTCCCCAGGTTCCCCCCACCCCCAATGTTCTAATATCTTGTAAATGGTTGAGATCCCCACCCCTAAACCATATATATTCCTGTTCGTCATGTAACGAACATTTGAATGACGTTTAGGGTCAGTCCCCAGGGGTTCCCCCCACCCCCAATGTTTTAGTATCTTGTAAATGGTCGAGATCCCCACCCCTAAACCATATATATTCTGGTTTGTCATGCCAAGATGATTTGAATGATATACAGGGTTAGTCCCCAGGCATCACTAATGCATATAACTTTACTGGACCAAACCAATTTTCACTGGATGTTGCCCAATGTCAGGCGACCCTGGGAATTACGAATTATGGGAGCTTCGTTTGGGAGACTTTGTAACAGCATCCTGTTACAATCATTTCTTGTTACCACAAAACACAGATCAAGTTTGAATTTTGGTGGCATCACTTTTACCGTTCTAGAGTTATGTCCCTTTACAAATAGAAAAATTGCTGAATTTTTCGTTTCCGTTCTCTAACTTTAGTTTGCCTCAACCAAATGTTATGAAACTTATACACAATGATTATTACCACAAAACACAGATTAAGTTTGAATTTTGGTGGCGTCACTTTTAACATTCTAGAGTTATGCCCCTTTACAAATGGAAAAATTGCTGAATTTTTCGTTTCCGTTCTATAACTTTAGTTTGCCTCAACCAAATGTTTTAAAACTCATACACAATGCTTATTACTACAAAAAAAAACAGATCAAGTTGGAATTTTGGTGGTGTCAGTTTTACCGTTCTAGAGTTATGCCCCTTTACAAATGGAAAAATTGCTGAAATATTGGTTTCTGTTCTCTAACTTCAGTTTGCCTCAACCAAATGTTATGAAACTTATGCACAATGCTTATTATCACAAAACAGAGATCAAGTTCGAATTTTGGTGGTGTCACTTTTACCATTCTAGAGTTATGCCCCTTTAAAAATGGAAAAATTGCTGAATTTTTCGTTTCCGTTCTCTAACTTAAGTTTGCTTCAACTAAATGTTTTGAAACTCATAAACAATGCTTATTACCACAAAACTCTGATCAAGTACAAATTTGAGTATTGTCACTTTTACAGTTCTTGAGTTTTGTCCTTTTATAACTTTATATGATGTGCAAGCGGGGGCATCATCTGTGTCCCATGGACACATTCCCCATTTATTTTCTCTATATATAGCAAACATGAGTGTATATATGATATACTTTTATTTCAGGTTAATGATGGCAGACTACCACAGTTAACAGATTTAGCAGATGTCACAAGTAGAATTTTAAGTGAATGTCAAGATTTTATGAGAATGCAGGAGGTATTTCTATGGTTTAACATTAAGATCATTAGGCAAATTATTTTTTTTTTATTGTACCATGAGTTTTAACTTTTGGTAGCTGCCAAGATGTGTATGAGGTATTTATCTTTATATTATGTAATTATTTCAGTACTTTTTCTCTGTCAAATTTTAAGGTTTTAGAACTATTTTCCTTATGCTTGTTACAATTTAAAGGTTTTGGTTGGTTTGCTTGCTCAAGCATTGTAGTTGAGATTGACATCTGCAATCAATAGACAGGCGGTGCTTCAGCTTGTATACATTTTTTTTAAATACTTACTGATGTTCGCTCCTCTTGTTTTTGAATTTTTGCCAGATATTCGTAATCCTCTGGTTTCATCCATGCAGTTCCATTAGAAATTTTGCCCACTAACCCCTACTTTTTTTCATGATTTTTTTTACATATAGTTCAAAAAGCCATATTTGAAAATCTTATAAAATCCTTGTTATTTTTTCTTTGTTTTTGACCCAATGTTAAATGTATGAAAAGTCTAGAGAAAATCGTTTCCCGCCAAATTTTCAATGGCTATTATCTAGAAAACAAGGACACGGACCCTTCATTTTTTTCTGCTTTTTTAGTTCTTTCATTTATATACTATCAATTTATAACAGTCTTTTAAAAAGCTTGTTATTTTGAAACAGAGTAGCAAACATCCTTAAATGTTATTGGGTGTTAAGTATAATGTATACAAGCTGAAGCCCCGCCTATCTATTGATTGCAGATGTCAATCTTAAATACAATGCCTGAGCAAACATTTATACAAACAAAGCAAGCAAGACAACCAAACCTTTAAACTACAAGCATTAGGAAAATAGCTCTAATACTTCATTTCTTAATAAAGGACAGTTTTGGGCCATGTCAGCTGAAAAGAACATCAATTTTAGTTTGTTTAGAATATTTTATTGACTTGCTTACCTTGATGGTAATATGTTGATTTATTGAGCTTTCCTTTTTCTGTATTCAATAAATACTGGAATGTAACTTTATACATTTGTTTTCGTATAGGATGAATGTAGTTTTGTGAGTCTTAGAGACGTGGAGAGAGTTTTGGAAGTGATGACATGGTTCTACAGACAGACAGAAGAAGGAGGGATATTGTTTGATGAGGATGCTGATCATGATGAGGATTATGAGAAAATTGAGGTAAAATTTTATTATTTCCAAACCAAGTGGATAAATAGATTGTTGCCATTTAGTCACAAAACATTGCCATATTTTTTACCTCTGCAGATTATAAAGAATTTTGACACCATGCTTAGTTATGCATATCAAGGTTTCATGACAATCACATGGATTGTCTTGTAAAATGGCTGAAATATTTTGTGAGCTTAAAAACTATATTTGATAACAGATTGGAATTAATTTTACTGTTAGTAACAACATAGAATTGTACATAGAAATTTTTGATATAAAATTTTTTGAGTTGTCCAAATTCAGTTTAACTACCCTTTGTAAATGAGAATTGAAACAATGCATATTTCGCCTTACATTATTTAATGTTACATGATTTTTTAGGTCACCTGGCCCAAAGGGCCAAGTAAGCTTTTGTCATCAAATTGGCGTCTGTCATCCGTTGTCCGTCGTCATCCGTTAACTTTTACAAAAATCTTCTCCTCTGAAACTACTAGACCAAATTTAACCAAACTTGGCCAAAATCATCATTGGGGTATCTAGATTGTTTTGGATAGAGAAAATCTGACAGAGGAAAATTGTTCAGAATGTTGAGCTCTACCAATTATTAATATATGTCAAAACTGTCAGACAAGTTCTTATAGGAGTTATTGCCCTTAAATGGCAAATTTTACCATTTTTTTTTCAGTTTTGCCTATTATCTTGAAAACTAAAATAGATAGAGAGAAACTTTAAATTGCAAAAATGATCAGCAAGACTAGTTCTACAAATAAGAGTGCATAGTCTAAATTGTCAGTCGACTTCTTATTAGAGTTATTGCCCTTTGATGACGATTTTTACCAATTTTTTTGCGTTTTTGCCTTACATTTGTAAAATTATAATAAATAGATAGAAACTTAAATAAACAAATATGATTAGCAAGACTAGATCTATAATTAAAATAATGTGGAGAAAATCGTCCGACATCTCCTCACTGGAATTATTGCCCTTTAATGACGATTTTTTTACCCTCTGTTGTGTTTTGAGCAAAAACTAAGGAAGATAGAGAGAAACTAAACAAACTAAATGACCAGCAAAACAAGATCAACAAAACAGATTTTTGTCATGAATTCTCGTCTACAATGTAGGAGAGTGTCCTTTGATGAATATGCACATAGACCAAGTTGAGGGACACAGACTGTTTAGATCCTCTAGTTTATACATGTGTCTGTTCTTGTAAATTAAATGATATACTTTTCTTTTACTGTAGATAACCAGGGCTCTTATTTTAGCACTGGGTGTTTGCTACCAAGCTTGTTTACAAAAGAGACAGGATTTCAGAGATATGATAGCTGATTATTTTGAAGAACCTTATCAACTTTTAGATGACGACCAACTTGAAACAGAGCTAATAAGGTTTGTTTGAACAGTTTTTATACCCCAGCAATTAAGTAAATTAATTTCATGAAATTAGACTTCTCAATACTATTTTCATCTATATCAGAGTATTGTCTAGTTGAGTTTGGTAGAAAGACCAATTAGATGTCTGTAGTTTAGATTTTTTGTGTTTCACAGCCTTATACAATGTATGGACAGTAACCGTTTTATGCAGACTTAGTTTTTGGGAAATATTTTGTATCTGCAAACATAGTGAAAAATAAAGACACTTTAAAAATTCCATGTTAGTGAATTGATGTTTGATTCATAAGTTTATAATGGTGAACTACAGATCAATTTTGCATTTTTTTCATAAACATGTTGAAAGTAACAAATTTTGACCTGAAATGGTCATTTCACACCTAGTTTTTAGTCAAAATAGAATAGACCAAAACTTGCCAAAAAGATATTTTACACACATTATCATCTTTGCAAAATACATATTGTAGAAAATTATCTTTTTGTTCGATATTCATTTCTGACAATAAATGACAAGTTCTCAAAATTGTATTAATTTGGCATTTTTTTCTGCAGTTTGCACTAAATGTAATAGTTTAAAACCTTAATGGAAATATGCAAGACAAAATTCAAATGTGCAAATACTGATGTCTAACACACTTAAGTAGTATGCTATATGATTTATGTTACTAACTTATTATCAAATTCAAGGGGCCAGAAATACTGACCTTATTTTACCTTCTCCTTTTTGTTTAATTTTTTCCTCATCATTAATAAAATATATTTTTGTTCTTTAGATGCCAAGACAAGTTCTTAGATAGTGTGAAACTAGCAGACAATATAGCTAGGAACCAAGCTCTGAAAGAGAATGTGTTTATGATGATAGTCTGTATAGAGCTTAGAATTCCATTATTCTTAGTGGGAAAACCTGGTAGCTCTAAATCTTTGGCAAAGACAATTGTAGCAGACGCAATGCAGGGTGACACAGCTCGTAGTCAGTTGTTTAAAAAGTACAAACAGGTAGGTATCTTCTGTAAATTGTTTTCTGATGTATCATGTAACATGTTTATGTTTGAAGGTGAATAGTATTACATCAAAGATTTATATACAAAAGATGATCCATTTGCAACAGGCTTGATTTTAATATTTCTTTTTTTATTTCTGTATTTTTTAAACTTACCAAGTTTAAGGTGAAGTGTCTGTAAAAATCTACTCTAAAGTATTTATTGTAATTTTGCATATACGTTTTGCTGGTGAAAATACACAAAAATATTATCAAAAACAATTGGATTTTCTAATTTATTAGTGCACAGAATTAAAAAAAATTTACATATGAATCAAAATTGAAAAACTAATCAACTGGTGAAAAGAAAGACCTTTGAAAGAAAAAAAACCATGCTAGTTTCAAGCTATGTTCTGTACAAGTTTAGTGACTGCTCAAATAATTATTGTACAACAAACGAATGCCATATTCCAGTACACATTTTAAGAGTTGTGTTTTGTTCTAGGTCCAGATGGTATCCTTTCAATGTAGTCCTTTATCAACACCTGATGGTATCTTGGGAACATTTAGACAATGTGCTCAGTTCCAGAGAAAGAAAGATTTAGACAGATTTGTTTCTGTGGTAGTTTTGGATGAGATTGGATTAGCTGAAGATTCTCCCAGAATGCCTCTAAAGGTGATTTTATTTTATGGACAAATGTATTTTTGGCCCTGTGTCATGGATTTGCTTAAAGGTCTGAATGCACAAGACCTTAAGTCATATCGTTTTAAGAAATGTGCATAATTTTGTTTAGAATTGAAATTTAAAGTTTTCTACAATGTGATTTTGATAAATGATAATTAAGCTACCGAGAAAACACCACATACACCCAATTTGCAGAAGGTTTAAAAAAAAAAACCCACAAATTAAGCCCAACAGAAACCAAGATCTGCCTTTAACACCGGATATCTAAGAACATTTTGCAGCGGTTGTATGGTATGTGTATATTGAGAGTTTAACTAGTATAGTAACTTGTTTTAGTGCTGTTATGGCCTGAGAACACAGTTATTTAATAGTCATTTCTTTTGGACAATAAATTCAAATTAAAAAATTAAACCTGATTTTTACAGTGTAGTGTACTAATTATAGAAAAGTCTACCAGCTCCAACTCAAAATATGGACAGTTCTGTATTAAGGGGGTCTCTAATTCAGTCTGACAACTTCAGACATGCTGATTTTTTAACTGGACCAAATCACTACTTTACCTAAAAATTTGTAGCCTAAATTTCACATGTAATTTCATCCCCCTTCTTAATATATTAAGCATAAAAAATATAAAGAAATAAATATGGAAGGTGTATGAAAGTTATAAACTGTCCACACTAGGGATGGTATTTGTAGAAAACGAAAAGCAAAGGACAATAACTGTGTCCTCGGACCTTATATCTAATCTAATTTATGCTAGTTTTCGTTTGTTTTCAGACTCTGCATCCGTTGTTGGAAGATGGATGTTCTGGTGATGATGACCATGAAGAACCTGAATTGAAACAGGTACTTTATATAAAAACTGTACCTTGTATTAAAATTGAATATAAATACATGTACTCTTATTTAAGCTAATAGAGGTATTAATATTGAAACCAGAAAATTTTATCTAATTTTGCACGCAGAAAAGGTACCTTATTTTAAAACTGAAAGAAAATTTCTCAAATTGAAACATGGAAAAATTCCTCATTCATATTAGAATTAAAAAAACGGTTCTTAATATTAAAACTGAAAATGGTACATCTTATCCAACTGAAAAAAGTAAATAAATTTAAAGCTGAAAAAAGCTGAATCTTATTAAAACTGAATAAGTTTCCTCATATTTCAAAAAGGTACCTCAGCATCTCACACTAAATATGAAAAACTTACCTAATATTTAACTGAAAATGGCATCTCACATTAAATCTGAAAAACTTACCTCATATTTAACTGAAAACGGCATCTCACATTAAATCTGAAAAACTTACCTCATATTTAACTGAAAACGGCATCTCACATTAAATCTGAAAAACTTACCTCATATTTAATTGAAAATAGCATCTCATATTAGATCTGAAAAACGTACCTTTTTTTGAAATAAAATTGAAAAAAAGTACCTCATATTAAAACTGAAAGAGGTACCTCATATTTAACTGAAGACAGTACATTGTACATGTATTACAACTGAAAATGTATTTCTTATTAAATGGGTTGATGGAAAATAATTTTTAAAAATTGGGTAGAGACTGATAGGAAATTTAACACACATACTTATTTAAGAAATCTGATAAAAGACCTGATAAAAGAAGAAAAGTGCCAGCTATAATAATTTTACCAAACTTTTTTTGTTGTTACAGACAGAAGAATTGCAAGCAGACGAGGAACCCGAGGATCCCATATATAAAAAGGTAACTGATACAAGTGAAAATGTGAATAAATAGAGATTTGGTGGTTTACATTAATTAGACAGCAACTTCAAAACACACAAAAAAATCCAGATAATATACATTTTTCAGAAATAGACAAATGTCTATACAATTTATCAAGATTTGAATTCCCTGTGTCTAGAAATTTAACAGAGATTTTCCAATGCAAGTTTGAGTAAGACAAACTCTAAAGTGAATTTTTATCTGATCTTAAAATTTCAGACTTGTTGTTACAGCTCAACATGATACAATCATATTTTTTATTTTCTGTTTTTTTAGTTGCAAGTTTTGCTTAGAATTGCATATTTAGTGTAGAAATGTTGCACACAATACATCTATGTTATGATTTTTGTTATCTTTAACAGGTTGCTTTTATTGGTATATCCAATTGGGCATTAGATCCAGCTAAAATGAATAGAGGGATATTTGTACAAAGAGAAGTTCCAGATGAGGGAGAACTGATTAACAGTGCAAGGTAATAAGAATGTACTATCATACAAGGTGTCATTTAATAAAAACTAATAAAAATTGACTGCACTTTGAATACCATATGACCATCTTACATGTGTGTCTCTCTAACCAGCTGTATATCATAGCTCACTGACTTCATTCAAGTTTCATATTCTTATTCAGTTCTCAATTTTTTATTTTATTAACTGGTGTACTTTTTTTTTCTGTAGAATAACAGCTTATTAAAAGTAGGTTAGAATGGCTCAGAGTTCACAGCTTTAAACATCATTTCTTTGACACCTATTTTTTCCTCCAATACATGTTTTGATTTTAAAAAAATGCATGTTGATTTGGTTTTTTTCAGAGGAATTTGCAGGACATCAAAAGATAAAGAAAGAATTCTGAAATTGATTGACAATATTATTCCATCCTTATCAAAGGCCTATTCTGAACTATTTTCTGAGTTAGAAAAATCTAAGCAGAGGGAGTTTTTTGGCCTGAGAGATTTCTATAGGTATGTTTTACTCATTTTCTTTCTTAAATGATAAACTTGGAACTTTTTTCTTTCTCAAATGATAAACATGGAACTTAAGCCATCCCAAATTAGGTGAAAATTGTTGTAAATAACTTGAATTTACTGAACAATGGAATAAGTTGTATTATTCCACTGTTTAAACATATTGATAGTTTAATCAATATTTGATTGGTTGAGACTATCCCACGTGTCATTGAACAAATCTTCATATTCCATTCTGAGGATCATATTCCCCTCTGAAATGTCAGGATTACTTCGTGCGACGTTACGCGCGGTTAATGCACATAACGTTTTGAACTTCTTATTCTTCTTAAAATAGCGATAGCAAAAATCATTATCATGTTCAAATTTATTTCAGACGATAAAACAAAAAGACTTATAATTAAATTTTGATCCTTACTGTTTATCAATGGGTATGTCGTGTTTAGTTTGACTAACAAAAACAAGCGGATAAGAAAAAAAAAACGTATGCAAAATAATATTTAATGTATTGATAGTAAACAAAGCATAGGCAGTGGAATAAAACATTCATTTCCCTTTGCCTCGGGAGATATGAAGATTTGCTCACCCTCGAAAAATCATATTTCCCTCGGGCAGAGCCCTCGTGAAATATGAATATTCTTGGGTGAACAAATCTTCATATCTCCCTCCGGCACGGGAAATAAATGTATAATATGATTGTCCAGTGGAAAAATATCCCTAAAATGCCAAAGGACAAAGATTGGAATAACTGTATGTCATTGTGCTGCCTGTAGAGTTTAATTCCGAAATCGAATTAAAATGCAAATGCTAAATGACTTGTATCAAAAGCATATGAGCAGAATTTTGACAATATTTTTCATTTTTGAAGCAAACAGTTTAAAAAATTCAGAATTGGACAGAATTTTTGTACGGTATTTATCACAGTTTTTATGTATTTTTAAAATTCATTATAATCACAGTTTTTCCTTTTTTTAAACATTCAGAATTAGTCTGAGGAAATGTTGTTATATCACAGTTTTTACTTATTTTAAACATTCAGAATAAGTCTGAGGAAATGTTGTTATATCACAGTTTTTACTTATTTTAAACATTCAGAATTAGTCCGAGAAAATTTTGTTATATCACAGTTGATACTTATTTTAAACATTCAGAATTGGTCAGAGGAAATTTTGTATTTATCACAATTTTTACTTATTTTAGTTTAATAAAGATGGTTTATGCCTTTGCTGCCAGATCAGAACACAAGCCTACATGGCTTCAGTTAAAACATGCTATAATGAGAAACTTTGGAGGATTGGAGAATATAAACTCTGTTGAAATATTCCGTCAATGTTTAATGGACACCACAGTTGTAATGAATGATAGGGTATGCTTGTCTAAAATGTTTAAGTTTAATGTATTTTGTTTATTGCAATGACCAGGTTTTCCATCCATCTAATATAACAAATTGTTTACAGAGGTTATATCTTTAAAACTGCTTCAAATGAAAGGTTTATGAAAGATGATCTTTTAAAAATCTCAAAATCAAGACTGGGTTGCATAAACATCAGTTAGTGTGAAATGATGTTTAAAGGAGTATGTTCGATAAGGCCCTAATATGGCACCCTATTTTCAGCTTAAATTCAAAATTAGTATTTACTGACCAATATCACAGTGAATCATAAATAAAACAATAACTGGATAGAAAATATGTCTTTTTGTTGAAAAATTACGTCATATAAATGATTTATTGACTGTTAACCTTTAATTCACGTTTATGCAACCAAGTCCAGTATTCTAAAATACTACTATTTGTACAGCACTAAAACATTAAATGTAGTGTGACAGTCTTTTTCAATGGAATTAACATACCATTCATTGTCTCAATAAAATATAAAAGCAATTTTGTCAATAAGTTACATCCAAACAGTGAAGATTGACTATTGCGGCACCATTTCTAAATTGGTTCATTCAATATGAAAGTATTTCATTATAGTGTGGTTGTTTTAATACCTTTTACTTTCGAAAGAACTAATTTCAAATCTTTATATTTTAGCTCACCTGGCCCAAAGGGCCAAGTGAGCTTTTCTCATCACTTGGCGTCCGTCGTCCGTCGTCGTTAACTTTTACAAAAATCTTCTCCTCTGAAACTACTTGGCCAAATTAAACCAAACTTGGCCACAATCATCATTGGGGTATCTAGTTTAAAAAATGTGTCCGGTGACCCAGCAAACCAAGCAAGATGGCCGCCATGGCTAAAAATAGAACATAGGGGTAAAATGTAGATTTTGGCTTATATCTCTGAAACCAAAGCATTTAGAGCAAATCTGACATGGGATAAAATTGTTAATGAGGTCAAGATCTATCTGATCTGAAATTTTCAGATGAATCGGACAACCCGTTGTTGGGTTGCTGCCCCTGAATTGGTAATTTTAAGGAAATTTTGCCGTTTTTGGTTATTATCTTGAATATTATTATAGATAGAGATAAACTGTAAACAGCAATAATGTTCAGCAAAGTAAGATCTACAAATAAGTTGTATGACCAAAATGGTCAGTTGACCCCTTAAGGAGTTATTGCCCTTTATAGTCAATTTTTAACCATTTTTCGTAAATTTTTGTAATCTTTTACAAAAATCTTCTCCTCTGAAACTACTAAGACAAATTTAACTAAACTTGTCCACAATCATCATTAGGGTATCTAGTTTAAAAAATGTGTCCAATGACCCCGCCCGCGAACCAAGATGGCCGACATGGCTAAAAAATAGTACATAGGGTAAAATGCAGTTTTTGGCTCATATCTCTGAAACCAAAGCATTTAGAGCAAATCTGACGAGGATAAAATTGTTCATTAGGTCAAGATCTATCTGCCCTCAAATTTTCAGACCAATCAGGCAACACGTTGTTGGGTTGCTGCCCCTAAATTGGTAATTTTAAGAAAATTTTGCAGCTTTTGGTTATTATCTTGAATATTATTATAGATAGAGATAAACTGTAAACAGCAATAATGTACAGCAAAGTAAGATCTACAAATAAGTCAACATGACCAAAATTGTCAATTGACCTCTTAAGGAGTTATTGCCCTTTATAGTCAATTTTTTACAATTTTCATAAATTTTGTAAATTTTTGTAAATTTTTTTTCAATATATTTTCCACTGTAACTACTTGGCCAAGTTCATAATAGATAGTGATAAATGTAAGCAGCAAGAATGTTCAGTAAAGTAAGATCTACAAACACATCACCATCACCAAAACACAATTTTGTCATGAATCCATCTTTGTCCTTTGCTAAATATGCACATAGACCAAGGTGAGCGACACAGGCTCTTTAGAGCCTCTAGTTATACAACTGCAATAAATTTTTGCAGTTGTATATTGCTATTACGTCTTCGTCCGAAGACATTTGGTTTCCGGACAATGACTTTAGTTTAAGTGTATGGATCTCTATGAATTTTAACCAAAAGGTTCAATACCACAAAAAAAAAAAAAAAAATTTTCCCTCAAGATTTAAGAAGTTGTCAATTTTCTAAAGAAACATTGGGGATCACAATTTATTTTGCTAATTCTTTGTACAGTTAACTCTCGTTGTCTCGAACTCGGTTGAGTCGAAATTTCGGATGAGTCGAAATTTTCCCGTGGTCCCCAACTTTGTTCCATATAGATACATGTATTTCTACTCCTGATGAGTCGAAATTAGATGAGTCGAAATTTCGAATCTCTCGAATTAAATTTACAGTCCCAAGGCTAACAAAAGCATTTAAATTACATTCTTTATGTCGAAGTGATACACATGTGTCAAAACGTAACCTCGGGGGATTTAAATCGATTTCATGACAAGTTAATCCGACAGTACACTTGTAATTAAATTTCCGGTCATTGAAAACTGTATTGATTTATGACAGAGTATTTACCTATAATTTGCTATGCATTGTTAAAGATTATCAAAATGTAGTGGTGGCAAACAAAGTAAGGAAAGGTTGACTGCTTTAGTTTGTGCTAATATGTCTGCGAATGATAAATTGCCTATTCTAGTCATTGGCAAATCTAAAAATCCTCGTTGTTTTTAAAAATGTCAAATCATTACCTACTGAGTATGTCGCCAACAAAAAGGCTTGGATGACTTCAGAATTTTTCATAAATTGGCTTCATCAAGTTGATAAACAAATGACTAAAAGAAAGAGACGTATAGTCATGATAGTGGACAATTGTCCAGCTCATCCTCATGTTCCTGGTTTAAAGTCAATTAAATTGGTATTTTTACCACCAAACACTACTAGTGTAACTCAACCAATGGACCAAGGTGTAATCAGAAATTCACTATCTCAAATTAGTCATCCAAAAGCAAATCACTGCCATTGACACTAAAACTGAATTTACAATAACCGTCCTTGACGGAATTTGTATGCTAAATCATGCCTGGAGTAAAGTTACTCAAACAACAATAGCCAATTGTTATCACCATGCCGGTTTCGAATCAGCCATCATCACACCCAGTGACGATATCGACGATGATGCAGAAGACGACATTCCCTTGGCTTTACTCTGCAGGATCGGGTTACCAACCGGTACCAGTATAGAAGACTATACTAGCGTTGACGACAATTTGACAACGTCCGCCAAGATGACAGACACAGATATCATCAATGACATCATCTCATCTAGATCCGCAACAGACGATCAGAGTGACCAGTAAGATAAACCAGTGCCTCCTCCAAGACCGTCAATGTCTTCCCTTTTTGCTGCTCTTAACACATTAAATGCTCATCTAGAGACTGTTCAGAATTCAAACAGCACAATGTCTCACTTGAACTTTGTTATCTCTTTTGTGATGAAACACCACCTCCACAGTTTGTGTGTAAAGCAAAGTGACATATCGATCTTCTTTCAGAAAGCTGAGTCGTCAAAACAGGATTGAAAGACATTCAATATTTTCAAAACTATTTGTGTTTAATTAAAGATATTTATTTATTATTATAAAACTGTTTCTATTGTAAGTGCTGATGTGATGATAATTATTAAATTATTGAATACAAATCATATTTTTATTTATGAAACAATGTAAAATATTATACTGTCGGCCGGAAACCACAAGAAAATGAGTTATTGTATAAAGAAAAAAGAGAGACAAACTAAAAAACACAATTTAATTATAATCATAAAAAACAATTACATAAAGATACATCGATATCAGAGCAGAATATCGATCCCCGACACATATCCACCGGGATTTATTTTAGCTTTACCCAGCTAAGCAAGAGTTGTGTCTCTTGGTCTGTCATACTTCCGGTATTTGTTTGTCTCAAACTACGGGTATCTCGAAATATTTCTCTGGTCCGACTGACTTCGAGATAACGAGAGTCGACTGTATATAGTTTGAAAACAGATTTACTAAGTATTGCGCAACAGCACAGTGTATTGTACAACAGCAAGAAATCTTCAATTGAATATAAATTCAAATCATATAACCAATTTCAAGTTCTTTGACTACATTTAATCTGTGACAGAAACCTATAATGTGTCAAATATTTAATTACAATCCAAATTCAGACCTGTATCAAGCTTGAATATTGTGTCCATTTTTGCCGCAACTGTTCAGGGTGTGACCTCTGCTGACGTATCCAGCTGCGCTGAGCGAACCAGTTTATTATGGTTTATACTTTAGAAGAATTTGATTGGTTAAAGATTTAAGATATTTTATGTTTTTCAATTACATTAGACAAATTATTATTATACAGAGACAGGAAGGTGACCCAGACTGTTCATCTGGAGGTATGATCAAAGCCTGTTTGGAGGGAGACAGTACACTTACTGGGTAATTTTATAGATCTGATTTGAAGCTAACATTGATGAAATATTTCTGAAAACTTATTGGTTGTTTTTTATGCTGTTTTATGGGTAAAAGTTAATCCAAATGGTAGGAATCGGATTTTTTTTTATTTTTCTCATCGATGAAAGCATTATTTCTCATCAATCATTTTTCACCTAATTTCAGTGATTTGTATTCAATTAAAGATTGTTCTTAACCTCTAAATGTTAGATATAAGTTACTTGAAATTTGTGACTAGCAATTGATAAATGTTTTTGGATCTTACAGCAAATTATTTTAATAAAAAGATGTTGTTTTGTTTCTTTTTTAGTAGATTGGTCAATAATATTTTCTTTTTTTTTCTGGTGCACTTTAAAAACTGAGTTACCAAACTTGAACTTGAGTATAAGGGAAAAATATATGCAGAGGTTTGCTTACATACATTTTCAAATCAGATAAAAGAGTGGTTATTTTTTTCTTTATTTTACAGTGAGACCAGATACCTGTTGCTGTTAACAGAAAATTATGGAGATTTAGCTATTTTACAGCAGAAAGTACTAATGATGCATAATGCACAGGTGATTTTTGGGAGCAGTTTCCCTAGTGACCAAGAATACACACAGGTAGGTTATAGTGACACAAATTGACAGACATGTTCAAGTTTACTTGGGGCCAAGTCATTTTTGGAGAAAAATTTTTGTGGGGAGGAAGGAAGCTGGGGATAATATTGAGATGTTGGTGTTGATGTCATATGATTTTTTCAGAAATTAGGGATTATTTTTTTTTCTTTTTATTTGATTCTTGTAAGATAATTATAACAATCAACATTCATTTGAATCCAAACAATTAATAAGCTAAAATTATTTTTTTAGACATGTCAGAAAAATATTTTTTTAGACATGTCAGATAACAAGTTCCCTGAAATTTTTTCACTCAATTTCTGCCATTTCACAAGGAATTGAAAGTTAGGGTAATAAATTTCAAATTTATTCCAGAAGTCACAGCATAAACAAACTTGTATAGATGGTTTAACAGCAATAACTACATGAAATTTCTTATTCTTTTTTTTTAAAAACTTTTCAGAATAGATTCAGGAGTACAAAACAATACCGGGTTTGTCTTATTATCAAATGGCAGGCAATCTCTGTATTTTTAGATATATTATTTTATTTTCTAAATTGCTGTATAGAACAATTTTTTATTAAGTTGAATACATATTATGTTTTTTTTTAGGTCTGTAGAAACATCAATCGCATTAAAGTTTGTATGGAAACAGGAAGTACTGTTATATTACTGAATCTAGAAAACTTGTATGAAAGTCTGTATGATGCATTAAATCAGGTCAGTACAAGTAAAGTGGAAGGTTTATGGAAATGGTCTTGAAAGTTTTTTAATTTGCATAAAATATATATTGAAAAGTTAGTTTGAAATACCCAACAAAAGCAAAAGCAACATGTTTTTTAATATTTTAATGCCCTCGCCGTAGCCAACAGGGGCATTACATGTTACCCTTGACCATTCGTCTTCCCATCCGTCCCATTTTTGTATCAGCACTCTTAACTTGAGTTTGCCTCATGCAAATTTTATGAAACTCATACACAATGGACAGAGCTCAAATTGGGGTAGCGTGTCACTTACCATTCTAGAGTTATGCCCCTTTATAACAGAAAACTGCAAATTTTTTCGTATCTGTACTCTAACTTAAATTTGGCTCATCCAAATTTTCAATTCACACACAATGCTAAATCCACAACACAGACAGTTCGAATTTGGGCAGTGAGTCATTTACTGTTCTAGAGTTATGCCCTTTTTTTAACTTGGAAAATTGAAAAACTTGAGCAGGGGCATTTGTGTCCTTAGAGACACATTATTCTTTTATTTCTGTAATGATGCTAACAAAAAGTTCATACCATAATTGTTTACTTGAATGTTTAAATCTTTTTATTTGAAATGAGATGACTAATTGGAGTTAATTTTAATGTATTTTTTTCAGAGTATGGAAATGTTTTTATTCCTATGAGCATGTATTATGATCCAAGAATGTTGCCAGTGTTTTCCATATAAAAAAGATCTGTAAGATATGTCAAATTCAGAAAAAACAAATATGTTTAGATCTTTGTGTCATTGGGGTTGCCATAAACTCTCTATGATTTTCTTTATAATTTTAGTATTATGTGCATTATGGTGGGCAGAGATATGTGGACCTTGGACTTGGAAGTCACAGAGTCAAATGTAAAGTCCATGAAGAATTTAGGTATTTGTTATTTGTTTAGTAAGGAATCAACAAAGATTTAGGTAAACGAAGACAAAAAATCCATCAGTTTCCAGAGAATAGCAACTTAATTTCATTTCTCTTAAAAGGACAAATTACATTAAGTAACATGACATGAGAGTATTGATCTACAAATACTATCATTTATTGCCAGACAATAGACACTACAACTGTATACAAACAACATGAAAACTACCACATGTACTGTACATGAAATTATCTGTTGAAAATAAGAAATAAGATGGAACAGAAGTAACTTTGATATAGTAATACTATTAGGTTGTAGAGTAGTGAAATTTAAGGGGAATAATGTTTTGTTAATCCTCGCATATACTGTGGATTCATTTTTTTCCATGGTTACTAATTTTTGTGGATTGAGAAAACTTGCATTTTCTTTGCTATTAGATGTTGTGGTTTTGCCAAAGTCTGCATACAAGCCTTTAGATAATTAGTAATTTGTTGAGCATTTGAATTGTGTATCACCTGTGCCCACGAAAGGTTTGAAAATTGGTATCCCAGGAATAATAACTCATCCACAATAAGACAGAATTTTGCCAATGAGACAAATTTCCACCAGAGACCAAATGATGTAGAAGTTAGCAACTAATAGATCACTGTACAGCCTTCAAGCTATAAAAGGCCCATCCATTACCAATGTAAAACAATTCAAACAAGAAAATTATATATGTGTAAAACAATAAACCAAAAGCAAATATGATATATAGCAACAAACAACACCCCCTCTAACCTAGAACAATGGTGTAAAAGCACAACATAAGAAAAAAAATCAGTAGAAAAATGCTTGACTAATCAGATAGACACATAGAACCAAAAAAATTACTAACAAAATGACTTAAAGACACAGGTACAGATCTAAGAGTACTTCACCTGTCACATGATACACAAAGTAAAGATCTAAGAGTACTTCACCTGATACCAAAGAAATAATAAAACTAAAAACGTAATCAAAATGAATTTCTTTATACAGATTGATAGTTGTAGCAGAGAAAGAGATAGTATACAAAAAGTTCCCGATCCCTCTGATCAACCGCCTAGAGAAACATGTACTCTCCTTAAGTACAATGTTGTCTGAGGCACAACTTGCATTGGCTAACAAACTGGAAGACTGGGTCAAAGATTTCTGTCATGTGGAAACACCTTTTCATTTAATGCAGAGGTAATTTTTCAGTTGATTATGAGGACAAGACAATCATTCAAGAAATGTCATAATTCTTTACGAGTCCTACATATAAGGTTATACGGGGCCTCTGTGACTGATGGGTCTCAGTACCGTCTTTTGGTATGCATAATTGCATAGTGCGCATGGTGCACCCCCTTTATGGTCCAAGAAATGTGAGAAAAAGTTTATTGTTCGTATAAGACTCATAGACATTTTCGGAAAAGTTACAGCTCCAAAATCGGCAAACAGGAAGTCTATCGGTAAACAGGAAGTTTTTTAAATGGACACGGATGTCGGAGAATTCCGTACGGAATACGTAATTAATATGAAATTGCAAATACTCTGACAAATGAATATGAATTTTATAAGATTGAGATAAATCTACATTTAAGTTTGTTTTTTTAAAACCAAATTTAATAAATTGTTTGAGTATCAAGGACAAGATTAAATATCCAAATTAATGTTCTGATTGAAACAATAACATAATTACGAATCAGTCAAATGATTATCATTAACATCATTAGTGCTGTAATAAATTGTTAAAATCTCATTATTTTTATTTTTTGTTTGTTGATTCTAGCTGTTAATCCGGATTATCACACCTCAATCAACGGGTCTAATCGATGTCAAAACAAATCAGTGACAGGTTCACCTTGTTCCTAATTAAATTCGTTCAGGTTACAATTATGGGATTATCAGGTTTTCAATCATAATTTCTTGAACAGTTTTAAACAGTTGTTTAAAAGTTACAATGTAGACACATTTTTATAAAAATAAACTTCTCATAGACTAAATCATCACTTTACAATATCAAGTCACATGACTGACCCACATGACTGGCGTTCACCTGATACATTAGAAAAAATGGCGGTTTATCTTTTCAAAACAAGCGTGGTTTATTCAATTTTCATACACTTTTCTTCTACTCTCCATGATGAACACATACAAAAACAGTAAGTTATGACAAAAAGGAACACAGAGGCTAATTTAACCGACAACAAAAGCTTTATTGTGTCTTTATTAAGACATGGCAAATTTCGGGATTGCAAACAGATGGACAAATTTACACAATAAACGTAGCTCCAGAAATATAAAATGTATTTTATTTGAATAAAACACGACAAATCAAGAACAATAAGATACAAATTACAAATATAACATGTAAAACATAAAAACAATCGAGGTTTTAGCAAAAATATTTCTTACTCTTCACTTCTCCTGGAATTTTTTTTGTCTGAGTTTGGACCTGAAAAAAGACTAAGAAAATGTCTGTAGGCATGTATAACGCGCACCCCTCTTACAAGAAACATGACCCAGGGTATAAATGTGCACACTATAAATACCAAAAGACGGTAGTTGAACTACTGTATCACTAGCCTGTCAACTCTGAGGTTGTGAGTTTGATTTCTGCATGTGGCATGTGTGCACAACTCCAATTTTAATTGACGGATTGTCAGTTTTCCTAACGAAGGTTGGTGGTGTTTTCCGAGCACTCTGACTTCCTCAACCAATAAAAAAACTGACCGCCACAAAATAGCACAATAGTGCTGAAAGTGATGTCAAACACCAATCAATCAATATAAGGTTAATACAATATGAATAGAAAGAGATATTGGGGATAAGTCTTTGAGACAGCAACCCAGCTATACAATGAACCAAAACACATTTAGAGGTCAACATAAAATCTTCAACAGTTGACAGTTGTAAGTACAGTATGACAAGATCTAAATGAAATAAGAATCTAATAATAAGTTGTGAATTTCAAAATAACTGAGACTATTTCCTAAATTTCTTAAAATTATTAACTATATATACATATTGAAAGGTAATGCAACAGTTATTAAAAATATTAATGAATTGTATTTACTCAGCATGTTTATTCTCAGAGACAGAAGGAAAGAGAGAAGCATTGGTGAAGTTTTTATGGGTTACCATGCAGACACATGTGCAGCTATTATCATGCAGTTGTTTGAAGACAGAAAATGCCCTTATGATGATATTGAACAAAGCATATGTCAAGAGGTTTGTTAGATATTTATATGAGTTGATGCAAATATGAAAATTGGAGCTAAACATGGCCCTCATTGGGGTATCTAGTTTAAAAAAAAAAACTGTCTGATGACCCAGCCCACCAACCACATTGCAGACTGGGCTAAGAATAGAACATAGAGGTAGAATGAAAGTTTTTGTCTATAATTCGAAAACAACTATAGAAAGAGAAAATCTGACAGAAAAAAATTCAGAGAGATCTCAGGGTTATTGTACTCAAAAGACAATTTTAACAATTTTTTTATTTTTGCCTATTGTTTTGAAAACCATAATAGAAAAAATAGACAAAGAGACATTGAAAAAAGGAAAATTAATCAGCAGGACAAGATATAAAAATTTGTCAATATATCTGCAATCGTTGGATGACTCCCAATAAGGGTTATTGCCCCTAAATGATGGTTTTTACTTTTTTTTTGGGGGTTTTTTTTTTTGCATTTTTGACCAGAACAATATCTTATGAAAAACTATTGTAAGGGCAAAATTATCAACAAGACAAGATCAACAAAAAAGAGATCTTAGTCAGGAATTATATTCTAGTCTTCGATGTTGAAAAGGCTGTGGATTTAGGTGAGCAATGCAGGCTTTAAATCTAGAAATGATTTTCTTCTATAGATTTTACACGAGGCAAAGACCAGACTCCTTTGGTGTGCAGCACCAGATGCTGTGATGAGATTGAAGTCAACCAAACTACGAGACAAGAATGAGGAGATGATGCAGATTTACTTTAAACATCAACAACATAACAGCCTCTTACATTACCTATATCACCAAGTCATAGATGAGAAGAAAACAAATCTGTTTGCTCAGGTAAAATTGTTTGTATGATTTAATAGCTAAAATCTTGCATCTGTAAACAGTTTTCTCGCATATAGAGATAAGAGTATGTTCGGTAAAGGCCTTATTTGGCCCCAATATTAAGTCCATTGTTTCAAAATAAATAATGTTTCTAGTTGATGAATAGACAAAAAAGACATGTAAGAAAGTGAGATATAATTATTTTTGGCAAGCTTTTCTCATAATGTGCTGATATTGACACCAAAAATAGACTAAAAATAGAGATTTTTTTTTTAAATTGAACTAAATTGTCTGGGTTTCAACCACAGTTTGGTCTAGAAAACATAGAGCCCAGGGTTCAACACACTAAATTGTGAAGTCGGATACATAATTTGATACAAGAAAAAAAATGTCAAAAGATCTTCTTTGTCGATGTATATTTCTTGTCATAAAAACTGATTGAATTGACCTTTTTTCATGGAATTTCGAGGAAAATCGAAAGTGTAATTTGTCATGAACAGAATTTTTCAATAAAGAAACATATTTCCTATCTAGTCGTTGTTTTAGCTATAATATATTATTATAATGGTCAATAAATACTTAATTGAAAATATTAGCTAGAAAAAACAGGACCATATTATCCTTTGTTAGATGTTTTAATAGAATAAATTTTTCAATTGTTTTCTATTCTTTGTTAATAGTAATATTGTTAAAAACAACAAATTTATCTATGTAATGGGTTTTCTTTCTGACTACTGTAAATTCAGAGATTTTTGTGTGCATTTATTGTGCGATATTTGCAGAATGAAAAAAATTGCGAGATTAATTATTGCGATTTGTGGAAAAGCTGCATACAGATATATTAGTCATATATCAGAATGCCAGTTCTTATTATTGCAATGTTTACCTAGTCGCCTTATTCGCAAAAATAAAAACCTCACAATAATTTCTTAATTTACAGTATTAATAAAGCTACTTTCACAAAAAAAATTCTCTTCATGTTATTTACGATATCAGTTGAGTTGGTACCAACCTTTATAATTGAAAATTATTTGATAGGTGACAACACATTCCAAGTTACTGTCGACACCAGATTTAGAAGATTTATGTCAAGTTTTACCAGTACAGAGACAGAACATGACATTACTGACTCTACAGTCATTTGATACCGAACAACAATTCTGTAGGCAAATAAGGTAACACAATTAAAGCAGAGGTCATTGTTGCCATTGACAACCAATTTGTAGGTGAATAATTAGGTAACTGTATTTGTTCAAAGATTATTGTTTTGTTATTCTTCATTGTAATGAAGACTTGAGGTATTGTTGGGCCATGTACCTTAATTTTGTATTGTTAGAATTTGTGGAAATTCTCATTAGACTCTGATAGTAAAATGGCCAAATAAAAACACTAGCAAAATGCTTTTTGAGAATTTTTGTTGGGGTAATGTCCCTTTCCCAGCTTTAAAATTTGAAAAAATAGCCTTTTAAAAGTTCTTTTGAAATATGATTCTGATTAGATTTGGATAGAATTTCCAAGAAACATCATTGACTATCTTGACAAAAAAAATTCTTCAAGAAAAAATATTTGTAAGATATGATATTTTTTTATCACTTACAATCATTTTTAATTGTAAAATTTTTTTGTAAAGAGAAACACAAGAAATAATCATTAGTCTTACCAGTTTTAAGAGACAAATGATACACTCAAAATTTAAGACTATTACATCTTGTTTACTATATGATATATGTTGGCAATTTTATACTGCTTATATAATATTTCAGATTTTCATTAGAAAAGAAAATGACCGTTGACAACTTACTTATTGTCCAGTGTGACTGCGGTGACCAGAATGCTGATTTAGTAGCATGTGCTAGATACAGTATACAGGGAGAGCTACAACAAATTACAGAAAAACATTCCGGAAATATTCATGTTGTTTTGATTGTACAACTTCCAAGAGTAGCTGGAAGTAATTTTACCGGGTTTCAAGTAAGTTTTTAGCTCACCTGGTCCGAAGGGCCAAGTGAGCTTTTCTCATCACTTGGAGTCCGTCGTCCGTCGTCGTTAGCTTTTTATAAAAATCTTCTCCTCTGAAACCACTGGGCCAAATTTAACCAAACTTGGCCACAATCATCATTAGGGTATCTAGTTTAAAAAAGTGTTCGATGACCCCGCTAACCAACCAAGATGGCCGCCATGGCTAAAAATAGAACATAGGGGTAAAATGTAGATTTTGGCTTATATCTCTGAAACCAAAGCATTTAGAGTAAATCTGACGTAGGGTAAAACTGATTATCAGGTCAAGATCTATCTGCCCTGAAATTTTCAGACAAATCTGACAACCTGTTGTTGGGTTGCTGCCCCTGAATTGGTAATTTTAAGGAAATTTTGCAGTTTTTTGTTATTATCTTGAATATTATTATAAATAGAGATAAACTGTAAACAGCAATAATGTTCAGCAAATTAAGATCTACAAATAAGTTGTCATGACCAAAATTGTCAGTCGACCCCTTTAGGAGTTATTGCCCTTAATAGTCAATTTTTAACAATTTTTTGTAAATTTTTGTAATCTTTTACAAAAATCTTCTTCTCTGAAACTACTGAGACAAATTTAACCATACTTGGCCATAATCATTATTAGGGTATCTAGTTTAAAAAATTTGTCCGATGACCCCGCCTTCCAACCATCATGACCGACTTGGTTAAAAATAGAACATAGGGGTAAAATGCAGATTTTGGTTTACATCTCTGAAACTAAAGCATTTAGAGCAAATCTGACAGTGGCAAAAATGTTCATCAGATTTAGATTTATCTGCCCTGAAATTTTCAGACGAATCCGACAACCCGTTGTTGGGTTGCTGCCCCTGAGTTAGTAATTTTACAAAAATTTTGCAGTTTTTTGTTATTATCTTAGATATCATTATAATATCTAATATCTAATACTATTAATTATGATTTTAACCTTATTTTACATGATTTCCAAAGCATCAGTAAATACAGGTGAGCGACACAGGCTCTTGAGAGCCTCTAGTTTAATTGATTTCATCAATAAAAAAGAAGGGAAAAGATATATTTATTCATGACACAAAATCCCTTCATGCACTTAACCAAACCCAAAGCAATGAAACAGCACTTTTATTGCAGTTATTCATCTTAAAGATATCATCTGTAGCCTGTCTTTAGCCACTGCTTGGATGACATGCAAAAAAAACATTACAAGGAATGAAAGGAAATATTTGGTATTTGTCAGTGAGACAGCAACCCAACAATCTAGTAGAACCTTGAAATCTAGACATCATTATCATATTTTTAACAAAAGACAAGTGGCTACACTACATGTAAATATTTTACATAGGTTGAGTCTTCATCTTGAGGCAAAATAAGTAAAAATCTATGCAAATAAAAGTGACAAATAAGAAGAAAAGTTCTGTTGAAAGATAGACAAAGGAAATCCTTTTCATCAGGATATTGATTTAAAAAATGATTAAAGGATGACAGCTACACACAATATAAATTTTTTAGAAACCAGTGAAGCAGCCATAACATCAAGTCATAAAACAGGGGGAGACGATCCAAGGCATTCAAAGTTTTTCTGATTTTTAGCAACAGAACACATACACTGATTGTGGCCTACTTTTACTTTAGGGGTCCCGACATTTTTGGATTTTTTCTTTTGGGTCCAGGTCCATAAAAACACGCTTTTTATATTGTTATTAGGTATTTACTTCTTTACCTGTTGTAAGTGTATTAAATTTTACATCCTCACACACTTTTATCTGATTTCTGTCATATAGATATTGAGTAAAACTTTAAAAAACACATCACTTTCTCGTTCTTTCAGGAATGCCACCATTTTCTTGACTACTGCACATGAGTTTGGAAAAATCCCAGGAATATTTATAAGCAAATTGTTTATGATGTCATTTGACAGTTATATCAGGATTCAGTTTTGAGATTGGCTTTTCCAATGGATTTTTCAGGTTTTTTTTAAATATATTCAGTGCAGCTAACTGTTTGAAATGGATGAGAAATAATGGGTTGTTGAAAAAGGCCAACTTTTTAAAATTATTTAAAGTTAATATCAATGGGACCCCTAAAATAAAAGAGTGCAATAATGCCTTCTTTTATTTTAGGGGTCCCACAACCTATATATAAGTAATTTTAATGGGACCCTTAAAGTAAAAGAGTGCAATAATGCCTTCTTTTACTTTAGGGGTCCCACAACCTATATACTAATCAATACTATACAAACAATCAAAACAACAGTATATACTAAAACAACAGCACAATGCATTTTAAATACACTATATATTGTGGGAACCTCCATTTTTTAATAGTAATGTTGGGACCCCTAAAGTAACAGAAGGCCCTGATTATGACATCTGTATTCTTACATATATTTTAGTGTGGTTTATGGCATTCCTTGCATATTGATGATTTGCGACCTCCTCCTTATAAAATGCCTTCCATTGTTGAGATGTGCCATCAACCAGTGAGTGCCTTCTTTGATGCATATAAAGAAAATAAGCCAACTGAAGACATGGAGGTTGATGCAGAAAAAGACAGGGAACCAGATATGGAAGTAGAGTCTCAACCAGAAATATCACAAAGAGAAAAACAAATAGACATTCTATCATTGATTATTAACTGTGTTCATTCTGCTCTCTCTATGGTTAAAGATCAGGAGAAAGATTCACCAAGAACAACTGAGAGAATAAAAATGGTCCTTAATTTGATTCAAAACAGCCATGAAGAGGGTAAGAATTCAATAAGTTTTTTTCTTAGTAAGTAACTTTGTGTATTTCATCAACAAAAATCTGGGGACATTTCCTTACCCCATTAGTAACTTTGTGTATCCTTCCTTTAAAAAAAAAAATAGGTGATATTTCCCTACCTCAGTGCTCTTGCTATGGATGTTAGTTTAGATCAGGAATATAGTTATTGGTTATTTGGAAAAGAAGTAATTTTCCTCAGGAACTATAAGTCAGAGCTTGGTGAAATTTCGTATAAAACTTTTTGTGAGCATGCTTTACCCTGTGATCAGTTTTCACACAATCACTCATCAATTTCGTGTTAACAGAATACTAAAATAATATAGCAAGGGTATAATAAATGAACAATAACTGACAGCCAATGATGTTATGCCTATAGATAATGATATAAATTTTCATTTGTAAGTATATTGTGATGAGTTACAGATGATATGAAAATAAGAAGATGTGGTATGACATCGTTGCCAATGAGACAACTCTCCACCAGAGACCAAATGACATAGAAGTTAATAACTATAGGTTACTGTACACCTTCAACAATTAGCATAACCCATACCTCATAGAAAGCTGTAAAATGCACTGAAATGACAAATGTGAAACAATTCAAATGAGAAAACTAATGGCCTGATTTATGTTCAAAACAATGAACGAAAAACGAATATGATATACAGCAACAAACGACAACCACTGAATTACAGGCACATACAGAATGTGGCGGGGTTAAATTTGTTTGAAGGCGCCAACTCTAAGAGTTTGTATTTTTTTTTCTCAATAATCTACATTTTATATGGCCCTTGCATTTAAAAATTGGCAACAGACAGGGTATTTAGTGCTATCACATTGATTTTTTTATTCATTTAAAACAGAAGTCATTTATATTTGAATTTTAGAAGGAAAGACCTTTTTGAGTGGGATAGCAGTTCATTTACAATGTTTACTAAAGGAGAAAGAGGATCAGGAGAGTGAGCTACATAAGGAATGGTTGTCTACAGAGGCATCAAACCCTGATCATATCAATAGTGCTGGAACTTTTAGGTATGTTTTTAGCTCATTCGGCCCAAAGGGACACTGAAATTAATGAGCCAATTGGAACCTAAGCAATTATATGTCACAGTACGGCTTTCAACAATGAGGAAAACCCGGTTGTTAACTATTAAAGGACTTGATATGAAAATGTGAAACAATTCATACGAGAAAACTAACAGCCTAATTTATAACAATACAATTTACAAAAAAAAATATGACAGACATGTACTGTATCTAAAGATCATATTTAATTATTATAAAAACTTATAGGTAAAAGTGGCCGACAATCATAGCATTGAATTGGGATCACAATTACAGAATTTGTAGACAATAGGTGGTCCGAGTACACAGTTATTTCGTAGTGCTAATTTTTAACCTTTTTCAGCTGGACCAAATCACTACTTTACTTTACAATTCATGACCCAAATTTTTTTACAGTGTAATTTCATTCCCCTACTTGCTATTTGAGGCATAAAACATGAAGGAATACATTTGGAAGGGGTACTAAAAAAATTGGCAAGCAACACACTGTCCACACTAGGGACTTTATTCGTGGACAACGAAAATCAAAGGACGATAACTGTGTACTTGGACCTAATAGGATAGAAAAATTTGACCAATCTTAATAAAACTTGGTATGACTAAAGCTTAATAAATTATGAGACTGCTGACAAAGTTTCATGGCAATAGGATATATATTATAGACAATATGATAAATTCTATATTCAACTTCGCGTGGTAAATTTTGACGTTTAAATTGAAAAATTTCAACTATCAACATTTGGGGCTTTAAAAATTAAAATATTGCAAAAAATTACATTTTAAAGGCCTTAATATATGACATATTATGTATTTAAAGCAATAGAATACTCATTTGATTTATCAGACTTATCACAATTATTTAAAAGTCAAATTTATATGAGCCTGTGCCAAAAAATGGAGGTTTTCCAATGAAGGGGGGCCTTACATGAAGATGTATTATTTTCCAGCAATTTTAAATTTGTGGAGTTTTTTGGTTATAAATAATCCTTACATATGTATTAAATGTACTTTAAATGGAAAGAAAAATTACAAATAGCATACCATATTAGTATAAAAGGGTCTTAAGCCAAGTAAGACTGAAAATAATTTAGGGTCAATTTAGGCCGTAGCACATATTTACATTTAAAAATGCATACTGAAGCTATAGGAAATAAAAATTTGTGTCTTTTTTATAATTTCTATACTCAGGTTACATGATACAATAAATCTGAGCATAAAAGGACTCTTGCATTCAACTTTTTTTGCAGACAGTATGGTCTGATACAAAGATTTTTCACTTTTTAGTGAAAAACTTGCATGCAATTTTAGCCTCAGCAGGCTTATATTTGAACCACTTGCTATTTAACATAAGAAAAGAAAGATACTATGTGAAATGAAACAGGTACAAAAGACATTGTGAAGTGCTTTTAATACAAATTTAGTGAAATCTTTATTATGGACTTCAACTTTTATGTACCTAGGTCCTCACATTTAACTTGATCCAAACAGGCCGTTACACGAGGGTCATTTATACAACACATTTTGCACATATTGTCTGAGATAATCTTATTTTCTGTAGATTCAGAGTTCACAAATGAGTAATACAACTGGGTTAAAGCATAGAAACACAAATATTGACACAGGAAAACCTGTCACATAGAAAGTCAGAATGCCACTTATGCATCAAAATTGAAAAAGCTTTGAAATGCTTATTTTGACCATATAATGCCAAAATGGGTAATTTTTGCAGAATTTCTATCAAATAAAAGTTTAAATCCTTTAGTTTCATGCTATCTGACAAATTGACACCATTAAATCATTCAGGGAAGTTGCCAAAGTACAGATTCTATATTTACTGATTTCGCCTCTTAGGTCCGAGTACACAGTTATTTCGTAGTGCATTTCTTTTAGACAATAAATGAAAATAAAAAAAATCCCACCTGTGCTTTCTCAATAATATTTTTACAGTGTGTTGTACTACTTTTGGGACAAATTATATCAAAATTATAGAAAACTTCATCGGCTCTAACTCAAAATATGGACAATTCTATATTAAGGGGGTCTTGAAATCTTTTGACAGCTTCCGAAGTGCTAATTTTTAACCTTTTTCAGCTGGACCAAATCACTACTTTACTTTACAATTCATGACCCAAATTTTTTTACAGTGTAATTTCATCCCCCTACTTGCTATTTGAGGCATAAAACATGAAGGAATACATTTGGAAGAGGTACTAAAAAAATTGGCAAGCAACACACTGTCCACACTAGGGACTTTATTCGTGGACAACGAAAATCAAAGGACGATAACTGTGTACTCGGACCAGGTAGTGCAAAGAGGAAGGGGGCCTTTATTATTCAGAAAAAGTTTACATAGGTTTTCTACCTTGATTTAAAGATCAGACAATGATTTCATTGTATTTATTATTCTTTTAGGAGAGCAGCCATTCAGTGTTTAGAAGAGAAATTAGCCAGTCTACTAGCTGGCATTATTGCTTTTATCGACAAGAACTGCAATATGAATATTGTTATGAGTGAACAAGCTCATAATTGGCAGAGATTTGTATGGATAGAAATTCTAAATTGTCCAAATGTAACACAGCTACATTACACACATTCATTTTCTTTTCCGCACCAAATGATGGCAGAACATCATGTGCAGGGTACAGCATACGAGGGAGGAGGATTCTTGGCTGGAATGCCATTTTCATGGCTGATTTATAGCCAGATTGATGAAATTATGAAGACCACTTTTGATGAACCAGGTAGCCATGGTATGTATTTGTATATTTTGACACGTAAAAACAGGAATATGATATCAATACAAATTAAAAACCAAAAATTGAATAAATTTGAGCATTGAAATTTGAACAGTTCACAAAAAACGATTTACCAACATGAACTCTGATGAAAGCTGGCAGTCAACTCTGGTGCTGCTGTGCTGAAGCAATTCCTGGCCTTGAGGTCGTAAAACTTTCGAGCACGATTATTGTACTCAGACTCAGAAATCAACCAATCAAAATACTGGATTTGGTGTTTCGAGCACAAATTTTGTACTCTGAGTACTGAGTCAAGTTTTATGACCGAGGGGCCAGGTCTTCTAGGCAGCACCTGTTGTGTTGCTTTTGTTATAAATGCAGACAATGGCAAATGTTTTTGTCAGTTTAACAACTTCTGACATTACATTCTATTGCTAATTTGAAAGAAATGGAAAAAAAATAAAATTTGGTACATTTACCTAAATATTTCTTACTGTAGATCTAGAATAGACCAATTTTACATTTTCTTCCAGAAAACCATAGCTTACTTGAACTAGTGATGAAAACAGCCAGTAGATTGGAATCCACTCCACTGGGCAAAATTCTGTCTCAGATAGAAGGAACCAGCATTCAAGGAGTCATTTGTTGTTACATCAAAGACTTTGTACACATGGCTTATCCTGTCAGATCAGAACCGGAACTATTGGTAAGATTTACATGTAAAAGAGAGTTGAAAGATACCAAAAGGATATTCAAACTTGAAGTCGAAAAAAACTGACAATGTCATGGCAAAAAGACAAATAAGTGGATGAAAAATATGACATAGAAAACTAAACACAAACCCCACCAAAAAATTAGGGTGATCTCAGGTGCTCCGGAAGTAGTAAAAAAACTGACAATGTCACATAGCAAAAAAACAAATAACAGGATAAAAAATATGACATAGAAAACTAAACACAAACCCCACCAAAAAATTAGGGTGATCTCAGGTGCTACCGAAAGGTTAGGAGATCCTGCTTCACATGTGGCACCCATCCTGCTGCTCATGTAGGTACACACCCAGTGATAAGTCTAATTCAATAGGTCACATTGGAGGAGAAGCAGGGAAGTTGTGTTAAAGTAGCATTAATTTAATAGAAGTTTTTGTGCCCCATATACTATAGTAGAGGGGCATTATGTTTTCAGTCTGTGCGTCCGTCCGTTTGTTCGTCTGTTTGTCCTGCTTCAGGTTAAAGTTTTTGGTCATGACAGTTTTTGATGAAGTTGAAGTCCAATCAACTTGAAACTTAGTACACATGTTCCCTATGATATGATCTTTCTAATTTTAATGCCAAATTAGAGTTTTGACCCCAAATTTACGGTCCACTGAACATAGAAAATGATACTGCGAGTGGTGCATCCATGTACTATGGACACATTCTTGTTTTGTATTATCTGCATATCCTTCTTATCTTAGCATGTGATATTTTGAATATGAAAGAACAAATTAAGGCAGTTTTAAAAATTTTGCAATCATTGATCAAGGATTGTAGTGCTTCATTTTGTTAGGTTTATTACAGGAGCAGAATTACTGTTTCTAAATTAAACTTTAATGTCCAAAATTTGAAAATTTCATTTATAAAATTTATTCCAAAACTCTATGAATTATAATAAACAAAAATGAAACTGAAAAAAAGTATCCTTTCCTGAACTTAGCATTAGTTCAATTGCTCAATTTATGAAAAAAATGTCAAATGAAGTGAGAAGTGAATGTTTTAACTGTTGTTTATTTCTTTGTTATTTCTTATTTATTTTATTTGTCTTGTGGTATCTTTTTACATGTGACACCGATGTTGAAAGCAGGTCTAACTTTGGGTAAAAAAACTTTTGTCAAATTTTCCTTGGCTTTTATATTTGGAGTGCAGCTTGATAATATTTAGCTGTAGTGTGGAAGCAATATTCAAGTCTGCCTTGTAGCCGATTCTTGTTTGCCAATAGTTTGAAATTTTACATTACTCATTGTACAAAGAAATTTTTCACCAAATTTTCTTGGCTTATGTGAAGGGGAATGATTTCATATTTGGTCTGCAGCTTAACAATGTTGAGTTGTAGCATGTAAGAAATTTTAACATCTGCCTCGCTGTTACTTCCTGTTTGCCAATAGTTTGAGATTTTGCAACACTTATTGTACATTAACAATTTTTGTCAAACTTTTGTTTGCTTCTATGGACAGGAATGGTTTAATATTTGGTCTGTAGCTTGATAATGTTGAGTTGTAGTGTGTAAGCAATTTTAAATCTGCCTTGCAGCCACATAAATTTGTTGATAGTTTTAGATTTTACAGCACTCATTGTACAAGGAAAATATTTTTCAAACTTTTTTTAGCGTCTGAAAGGGAATGATTTTATATTTGCCCCTGTATAACGTTATATGCAAACGGGGGCATCATCTGTGTCCCATGGACACATTCTCCATTTCTTTAAACACAAGTTAAAGTAGAAAAATGCTTTGTTTAAAGTGTTTGCAATGGTTTAATCATAACTTGTTAAAAAAATTTATGCACAGTACAATTAATGTTTATACTGGGCCCCAGATAGCTTCAACTGGTTTGAAAGAATTGTGTAATTTCAGAACTTATCCGAAACGGAATAAATAGCGATAAGGTGTATTAAGTCAACTTCCTAATCCTTATACATTACATAACTCATTATCATCAAATCTAGTCAATTACTCATGATAATTTCTTTAAAATTTATGAATCTCTTTTTTTTCTGCATTGAAAACATTAAATGTGCTGATTATAACCTATTTCTATTTAGAATATATGTGAGAACATTATGGTTGGATGTAGACAGATCATTCAAGGAGAGGTTGGACGTTTATTTCCAGCACTTGTTGGTTGTCATGCGGCTTTTCACCACCACAGAGCTCGTTTCAGAAATTTCTCAGACATTGTCCATGTTTGGCCAGAATGCTGTGAAAAAGTTGCAAAATTTCAAGAACATGCAGAACAAGAAATGATGTATCTTGTTACTGCCGATGAAATTGTAAGATATTTTTATACGACTGCAAAAAAAAATTTGTTTCAAATTTTTTTGGGGGTTTGTAGTTTTTTCTTCAAAATTTTTGAAATTACAAATTTTTTTTGGGGGGTCCATACTTTTTTTCTTCAAGATTTTTCAAAATTTCAATTTTTTTGGGGTGGATTTTTTTTTCAGAATTTTTTTTTTTTTTCCAAAATATTTTCCATTTTTCCATTGATTGTTTCTGATTTATTACCTCTGCGGTCGTATCAGGCTGCGTGCGGGGAAGTATTTTATTTTTGTGTAAAATAAATTCCTAAGGGCACATCCTATCAATTCATCTTGTGTATGGATACATATCTTTTGAGTTCTAAATTCTTACTTATTAGGTTTTAACTTGCTTATATATTATAAACATGCATTTTCCCGCCATTCTTTCATCAAGAAAATTTACACCTGACCAGTTTGACACCTGTATTTTTATACGACTGCAAAAAAATTTGGGGGTCGTATATTGCTATCATGTCGTCGTCATACGAAGACATTTGGTTTCCGGACAATAACTTAAGTTTAAGATCTGGATCTCTATGAAATTTTACCAATAGGTTCAAAACCACTATAGAAAGGTTGGGATTGTTTTTTGGGGTGATGGTCCCAACCGTTTAGGAATTATGACCAAAAAGGGGCCCAAAACAAGCATTTTTCTAGTTTCAGGACAATAACTTGAAATTGTACCAGAAGGTTCAATACCACAAGTCGAAGGTTGGGATTCATTTTGGGGGTAACTGTCCAAACCATTCAGCAATTAGGGGCTAAAAAGGGTCCATTTTTGCCCCAACTGTGCAAGACATAGGTATTTTATATCCTGTGGCGGTTGCTATGTAAACTATTTGTATAATTTCTGGATGTGTCATAATTGTATGCAGCTACCTTATGTTACAAAGTTTCTATCTGTCATATGTCCATTGTCCTTGTCCTCATTTTCATGGTTCAGGGACTGCTTGAAAAAAAAATTATAGTATTTTTGTCATGTGAATTTTTCACTTATTATGAGTAATAGGTCAACTATATTTGGTATATAGGTTCCTTGCAACATCTACATGTCCTGTCAAACATTCTTCACCTGACCTCAACCTGATTTCATGGATCAGTGATCAAGGTTAAAGTTATGTGATTAGGTCAGTTTCTCAGACACTATTAGCATGTGGTGTAAGGAATGATTGTAAGGGGTACATGTCAGTCTGACAGGTTTCATCTGACCTTGACCTCATTTTCATGGTTCATGGTTCATTGGTCAATGTTGTGTGTTGTGTAGTTTTTGTGTTTTGGTCTATTTTTCAATTACCGTAATTACCATAAGCAATAGGTCAACTATATTTAGTGTATTGAATCATTGTAAGGTGTACATGTCTGTCTACAGGATTTAATTTGACCTAATTGTCGTGGATCTTTAAAAATGTTATGTTTGTGTGATACTATGTAAAACCTTTATCTTGAAGACTTAAAAACCAATGGTCAGGAAAGCAGGTTAGACATTTCAGTGTGCGCTCTCTTGTTTGTTCATAGCATTGCATTTCTTTATGAATTAAATTTTTGTTTACTTTAATTTGTAGGTAATCATGTACATGTATAAAATGTAATCAATCATGATTTATTTTGGAGGCAACACACTAAAATGACTATTTTAACCTTTTATAATATTGAAATTGTAACAGCAAGAATTAAACTGATCGGTGTGGACCTCCTTGAGTTATTAATTTTAGTCAACCACACATGTGACATTCCAGGTGGAAGCTAACATCTTTTATGATGTTCGGGCGTCTGGGGCCACGCCCAGTGCTACATCGCAAAACTCTGAGAATACCGGAAGAATAATATCAAAACAAACATGGGCGATTTCCAGGCGAAAACCAGTAAAAATGGCTCAGACTTCTGGCAACAAAAGCGCATAATTCAACTAAAAGGTTTATACAATGACAGGGATTCATTTCAGACCATTTCGAGAAAGTAAAAAAGAACTTTTAACCCTTCATTTTCCCATCAACCACCCATAGAAGCGAACTTCCAAGCCCAGTACCAGACCATAGATGCATTTTCCATCAACCCACAACCAAGTATATATTTTTTTTAAAATGCCGTCTCCAGGTCCCATGTATGTTTTACTGGAACAGCCCTTACACATAAGACAAGTTTTATTTTTGTAAGAGTGATGTTATTAAAACTTGTGTAAGGACCTGTTTTTATTAATGAATTCAAGACGAAGGGTATACATCAATGAAAAAGTGGCTGAACAAAACAAAAAACTAAAAGACATGTAGAGGTCAACATAAAGTCTTCAACAATCAATGCCATATTCCTCAAATAAAGAATGTTTAATTTATTATATTTTTTTTCATATATATTTATATGCTTATTGCTTGAAAAAAATAGGTAAAAAAGATCACTGTCTTTGTACAAAATTATGATGACCATCAAAGAGGGGATTGACAAATATGATAAATAGGATTTTGATTTTTTTTTTCTTTTATTCAGACATTAGATTTAATGGGCTTGCATCTACTTCTGAAGAACCTTGAGCCCCCTTCAAAGGATGCCTTAAACGAACAAAGTAGTAGGAAACAGTGGATCAGAGTCCTGTGTGATTACAGACCGGTAGTAGAGAGGATATTTGGATTCTTCAGAGAAAATGAACAGGGACATGACTTTTCTCCTAGATGTACACAGGCTATTCAGACAGCAAGGTAACACCAATTAGGTAGAGTGGGAGACATGGGACGTTTTTGGGTTGTTACTAGTATATAGCACTTTTTTCTCTCCATCGTCTTGATAAATGTGAGAAAGATTATTAGTGCAATTCACATCAAGTCACATCAAATGTTTTTTTCTTCAAACCATTTTGATATAAATCAAAGCGAAATTGTGAACTTTGCAAGTTATATACTATTGTTAAACCTCAGCAAAAATATTCAATTTAATTATCAAAAGGAGATCTGTGTTTGGGGTTTCATTTATTGTCTCGCTTGACGGAGTCAAAAAGTGAGAGGCGGCGGCAGCGATTTCAACAATGTATTCGTTTTTTATTAGGTCTAGTTTATGGTGAACCACTAGTGGTAAGTTAAAGATATTTGGTATGCAGTTGTATTAGTATTGGCACATCTCATTACCATGGAGATTATTTGGCCCTGCCCCCTCAGTTATGGTCTATTGACTTTGAAATTTTTTCTTAGTTTTCATGTATTAGTTTGTGATTAGGTCAGTTTATGGGGAACCATTAGTGGTAAGTTAATGATAATTGGTATGCAGTTGTATAAGCATTGGCATATCTCATTTCCATGCAGTTGTATAAGCATTGGAATATCTCATTTCCATGGCGATTATTTGGCCCAGCCCCCTCAGTCATGGTCTATTGACTTTAAAACTTTTGCTTAGTTTTCATGTATTAGTTTGTGATTAGGTGGGTTTATGGGGAACCACTAGTGGTAGGTCAATGATATTTGGTATGCAGTTGTATTAGCATTGGTTCATCTCATTACAATGGAGATTATTTGACTTCACCCATCAGTTATGGTTTATTGAATTTGAAATTTTGCTTAGTTTACATGTATTAGTTTGTGTTTAGGTTTGTTTAAAGGGAACTACTTATGATAAGTCAATGGTATTTGGTATGCAGTTGTATTAGCATTGGCACATCTCATTTCCAGATTGTTTGGCCATGTACCTTCAGTCATGATTCATTGACTTTGAATATTTGCAAAACTTACATGTAAAAGTGTTGCTATTTTAATTTCAACATTTGCATTATCGTAATAACCAAAAATCCAGATATATCTCTGTGATAACAGTTTATTTTTGATTCATTACTTAAATAAAGACACTTGCACAGATATTTGGTTTTTCAAGTGCCAGTGTTTGTTTTAAATTATACATATACTGTATTAAAACAGTCAACAGAATAATAATTTTTGTAGTCTTTTTTTTAAAAAGTTCAAGCACAATTATCGTACTAAGACTCAGAAATCAACCATTCAAAATACTGGATTTGGTGTTTTGTACAAATTTTGTACTCCGAGTACTGAGTAAAGTTTTATGACCGTACGCCTGGATATATTTCACCTATTGATTTAAAAAGATAGTTAGCAGTCAAGTACATCAAGATATATTTTCACATGACTCAATTAAAGAGGTTTTAGGAAATTGTATCAGAACAAAGGCATTCTTTTGATATGTTACACTTATAGACACATTAAAATTCAATTTAACAGACCTGCCAACTATCACGATTTATGGGGAATATCCCCCATGAGAGGTGTGGACCTGAATTTTGAAATTCTTTATTACATGAACTGAACACTTCAAAATAAGCATTCAAATGAGTTGAAAGTGTATTTAAGCACATATATACTCATTTAAACAATATAGTAGTAGATTAAAAAACACTTATGACAATATAAGAGAAGTATTAGGTTCTCTTGCGCTTAAAATCCCCCATGGAGATTTTAAAGCATTGGCAGGTATGTCTTAATACTATTTGATTCTTTTCATTATGTTGTTATTAGATATCTATGGACTAGAGCTACAGTTCTGAAGTTATTTATAGAACATGTTTGCACAGATGATTCTGAAGTAAAGAGATGCAAGCCACTCTGGGTTGTAAGTTATAGTTAAGATATGCTTCCCCTTATCTAGATGATTTATAACTGCCCTCCATTAGCTGTCCTAGTGAAGAACTCCTTTAGCTCAGTTGGTAGAGTGGTGACTAACTGTGCCAGGGGTTCTGGGATCAAATCCCGGCTGGTAAAGTATGAATTTGGAAGGCAAATCATGCTCACCTGTGAAGATTCAAATAATATATCTATAGAACATCAAGTAGAAATGATAAAGGAGATGAACAATATTTAGTCATATTGAGTTTTTGACCCAGTACCTTATGTTTGTTTTTCACTATGAATTAAACATTTTAGGTCAGCTATATAATTTTCAGCTGTAGGATCTCTCTGCCCTGTTTAAATTAATTCTAATTTACAGGCCAGTCTGCCAATTTTTACACATTCTTTCAGGCATTTATTTATCAGTTTCTAACTTAAAATATTTTATTTCTTTAACTTTAACTTGGATAAACTTGAATTCAGTATATTGTATGTTGTAGATGCTGAAGACAAAAGCTGATATGAAAACTTTAGAATCCCTTGAAAAGGTCGAGAAGTTCCTCAAGTCCTGCAACAAAGATGTTAGTTCCAAAATTTTGGGGTGAGTTGAGTAATTTCTAAATACTCCTTGCATAAATTTCTATTTTAGTTTATCAATCTTTGGAACAAAGCTACAGTATGCTGCAATTGATAAGTAAAAGGAGATGTGTATAATGTCCCAAACAAAGCAGTCAGTAGAACCTAAACTGTATATATATATATATATATATATATATATACAAGTCTAAATTGAAAACAACGTTCAATCCTATGATTGCGTTGGATAAAAACCGCAATTTTTATACGTGTGCATGCAAAACAAATTTCTTGTTAGAGGGGTCTAAATACAGCACAAACAACATTTTCCAAAAGACCAAAAAAGTGAAAAAGTATATTTTAACAAAACGCATTTGACTAACAGGTCGAACAACAAATGTTCTTAAACCCTGCTGACTGCCATTGGCGATTGCCAAATAAACGAATCAATCGATGTAATAAATGGATCTATATATACAAGTCTAAATTGAAAACAACATTCAAACCTATGATTGCATTGGATAAAAACCGCAATTTTTATACGTGTGCATGCAAAACAAATTTCTTGTTACAGCACAAACAACATTTTCTAAAAGACCAAAAAAAAAAAGAAAAAGTATATTTTAACAAAACGCATATATACAGCAGAAACAATTAGCTGTGAGGTTTTCAAACAAGATTTTTGTTCACTGTAAAAAAAAGATATAAAGTATAATTTTATGATCAATAGAACTTTGAGATGAAGAACAGCAATAAAGACAATCTTTGGTTTTGGTTATTGTTAGTGCATGAAGTAATTAGTGTCATGAATTGATACACCATATCCTTTCTTTTCTATTAGAAAAAAGTTTTTCAGCTAAAATATTGTGGATTCATTTATTTTCATAGAAACCAATTTTCGTGGATATTTGATTTCTTGGTTTTTGCCAAATTATGTATACAAGTATATAGAAAATTTGAACATCGTTTAACATTTTACCTTCAGTCACAAAATCCACGAATTTTGGTATTCCACAAATAATAATGAATACACGGTAGTACATTTCCGCCTAATTTCTACAAATGATCACAACTGCTTTTTATATGTTATATGTTATAACTAAACTACATGATTTAAATTCGCTTGATCGTTATTCACAGCCAGCAGAAGTGTGCCCATTGTGAGGAGCAATATACAGGAACACAAGAGACACAACCAAGTCCCCCAGTTACCCTGCCATGTAATCATACTATATGTAGAAGATGTTTCAATGAGACCATAACATCCCCAGATGTGACATGTCCAACTTGTGATAAGCCGTTTCTGAAAGACTTTCAACCTGTAGAAGCTGATCAGAGGTAAGGTCATAATTGTCTTAACAGAATACTACAAATATCTTTACCCTAAATTACTGTGGATTCATTATTATTCGTTGGATACCAATTTTTGTGGGTTTCGTGGGCACAGGTGAACCACGAATTCAAATGTTCAACGAATTACAAATTTTCAATAGGCTTTGTATGCAGAGATTTTCAAAACCACGAAATCAAATATCAACGAATATGCAAGTTTTCAGCAATCCACGAAAATAAATGATTCCACAGTAAATGAATAATATAAGTTGGAGGGGTGTGTGATACCTTGACCTTGTTTACCTGTGATTGACAGGATTGACGTTGATTAAGAAAATGGATTTAAAAAAGTTGAATATGTTTTATATCTTTTGAATGGCTAGGTTTTACTATAAATCATGTGTACATAGACTTTCTTTGAAAAGAAAATCATATATTTTTGTCCTTTTCTTCAAAAATGTACAGGTATAGAATTATTGAAAAGAGCCTGAAAGTTAATTTATATATAGCATCCAAAGTTTTTGATCAACGATCCATGAATGAAATAATTTTGTTGATTATATGTTACATATTCCTAATAAATAAAAAAAATGTACACAGATGACTTAGTTTAGTATATATGCATTGGTTCAATAATTTCCTTAACATTGTAATCACCAGAAGCTTGTCTCATGACTTTAAGAAGAAAAAAGGTGATAAAAAAATAAAACAGAACTGGAATTCAACAATTTTTATAACAATCTAAATGTAGAAAGTTTTGGAATTGTGTTTGCATAGATGTCGTTATATGGAATTAGATTGAAATTCTTTCTATATTATTGTTTTTTTTCGCAAATACTTTCTAGTTTTTGTACAAAATATATTTGCAATAGATTTTAAAAAAATAACACTTTCAAAGCATACATACATACATTTTCCTCGAGTCTATAGCCTGAATTGTCATTTATTTAACATGTTTAATATTAAAATTTTTCTATCCTAGTGAAAATGTTCTAGCATACCAGGATTTCAGAAGACGATGTAATAATTTCTTTATGGAAGTTATTTCCCAGTTATGCTTTGCCGAAGGAACTCCCCCATCAAATGACATAGTAAACAAACTCCTGTCATACATTACTGTACAAACAAAGAAAGGTCAAGAGGTCACTAAGCAGCTGACAATTTTCGATGATTGTATTGATTCTACTCCAGTTGTCCGATCATTTCTATTACAACATTTGATGCAAACAAGGTACTAAAAATATTTTATAATCTAGATATAGAAATTTTGTTAATACAAACATTTTTATAAAAATGTATTCATAAGTGATATTTTATTAACAAACTTTGTAACTTAAAATATTTAATTGTCCCTCACCCAACACTTTGTAGGAGACATGGAATTACTGGGCATGCATCTGTCTGTCCCTTCGGTCTTGTAAGCCCTCTATTAAACATGTTCAATTCTTGCCAGATTTTATTAAATTTATCAATTGTTTATATCAGCAATGTCTCAGAAAAGTTTGCAAATCAGTACTACTTTTCTTGTGATATGTTTAGTGGGCGTATTTCAATTGAATTTTAGTTGTGAAATAGTTTACCTATCAAGTCAAAACTACATTTACTTACTCCTGAACTTCAATATTGATCATTTGTTAAATATTATTCTTTTTAAACAGTGGTCCAGAGGTTCACCAACACCTGGAGAATTATTTCAGAAGAGCTTTAAGATTGCTTGATCCTACTACCAGTGAACAATCTCACAGTCTGTGTCATCTGGTTCTACAGTGTATGGAAGTAAGTTTCCATGAATTGATGGAAGAATTAAAAAAAAACACCATTAATGATATGATTTTTCACTGCAATGTGCAGTTATAAATCTTGAAAAATGACAATGTCAGAAAATGTGAAGGAAAAGTAGATTTCAGGCATGCGGTACAAGTTCTTTTAATCCTTAAATCAAATAAAGGAAATAATAACTTGACTGGATCCTACATTTTGTACCAGTTTCTTAATTTATGTAAATTCTGAAATTTTTGGAATGTTTTTATAAATGTTAGAATTGAGAGGGAATAGGTTTTCACAAAAAAAACTGGCAATTAAAATTTGGTAAGCATCATTCAATGTTTGCACCATTTCCTATAATCTATAAATCACAAAAATAATTCTGCATTTCTGCCCATTGTTCAGCAAATATCACAACAATAAATGCATGCAAAACATTCTGAATTAATAGTTTTTTAATTCATCCATATATGTATATTTGTTCTGTTGTTCAAAATATTTCTCACAATTTTATTCAGGATTCCTGTCACCAACGTTACTCGGAAGAAAACAAAACACTAATTCAAGCAGCAACAGAAATGTTGAGGAACTCCTGTAAAAAGATACAAATAGATGCTGATGATCTGTTAGAAAACATCAAACACTTATCTCAAACTAGATTTGCTCTAAGTGTGGCAGCTAACTTAATGTATAAATCATTCATAGAAAAGACTGTCAAGTCTGACACAAAGTTAAAACGACTTTTTGAGGCAGTAGGAAAATTGTGTGAAGAATGTGGATCAAATTGGCCTAGGTAAAACTTCAAAGAGATTATTTTAAGGTTTTTGAGAGATAAAAATAGAACAGTTACACCAAAAACTTGAAATAATTGAAATTTATATGAAGCGTTTTCAGTGTTTTAAAATGTCAGTTTCACCTATTAATTTTGGTTTAAATAGTTGATTATTTTCCAAACAGGTCAAATCTAAAAAAAAAAAAGAACAACTGATATGAAAGTTGGTTAACACAACATGTGAAAATCATTTAAAATGCACATGTAGAACTGCAGAATTCTACACCAAACAGTGTTGGCAAGTTGTTTTCTATAAGACAGAAACTGTATGCTTTGATTTCTATCACCTTCAGTAAATTGAGGTTGAAATGAATATAAATATTTGGTTTTATTTTTGCTAACCCAACAAAACAAAGAACATGAAAGACATTTAGCTGTAGGAATATGATCCTGCATGACCTAACATACTGGCCCGAGAACACAGTTATTTCGTTGTGCATTTCTTTTAGACAAAAATCACACCTGCTCTATCGAAAAAAGATTTTTACAGTGTAGTGTACTACTTTTGGGACAAATTATATCAAAATTATAGAAAAGTTTATCGGCTTTAACTCGAAATATGGACAATTTTATGTTAAGGGGGTCTGTAATTCAGTTTGACAGCTTCAGACATACTAATTTTTGACCTTTTCAAACTGGACCAAATTACTACTTTACATAAAAAATTCATGCACCAAATTTTTTTTACATGTAATTTCATCCCCCTACTTACTATTTTTTGCATAAAATATAAAGAAATAATTTTGGAAGGTATATGAAAAAAATTTTCAAGTTATACACTGTCCACACTAGGGACTCTATTTGTAGACAACAAAAATAAAAAGACGATGACTGTGTCCACGGACCTACTAGTACTGTTTGCCATAAAAGCATTATAGTGATATAAGCAATTCTTATGTTAGTGACTGCAGCACTTCTTGGTACATCAAATCTAGGTTGTTTATTTTTTCTCTTTCAGACGTTACTTTATAAAGTACCTGTGCAGGTGTTATGGTACTGACTGTTACCAGACAATACGTACAGGATGTGATATGGCGATGAAAAGATGGATAAACTTACCAGAACTTCAGAACAATCAAGTAAATTTTATTTCTTTTTGCAGTAAGATGTATTATCACTCCTCGGACAACATGCAGTTTTGCTGACAGTACAGTATAAACAAAGTGATGATACCGAGAAAAAGAGAAAGTTTCATTTTTCAAACATTATTAAAAACCAAAGATCAAGAATTCAATATAATGTGCTCTCATATGCCTGAATTGACTTGAGGTAAAGTCACTAGTTGAATATTGTTTAATTTTGGAATTCCTGGATTATTTTTTTTTCTATATTTCTCATCTAGTTTTGAAAGAGTGAAGTAATATCACATACATTGAGTGAACATGGAGAAAGAGTAAATAAACATATGAAAAATTATTATAACAATGTACAAAGCAAAGGAAATGCGTTTAATTGCTATTCTTCATCATAACAGATATTTCAAACGAAGGACCTTACCTTAAAACATTGTATAAAAGTCTTAAAGATGGTGTGAATTGTTACTTAAACAAAACTCTTACATTGCATATTTATCAATAAAACCTTCTTATTCCCTTAATGTTTGTCAAAAACATAAAATCATTTATCCAAGAAAATTCATCCCCATTACAGGAAATAAATTAATGAATCTTCTGTATTAGAAATTGCTTTTAACTATTTGCCAAATAAATCCAAAGTTTATACAGAATTAATGATTTTTCTATAAATAAAGTCCTTGTTTTATATGCTATAAATGCCTTAGGATAATGGGGAAAGGGAGATAACTCTTCAATAACCTAGTCACACATTTGTGTAAGTCTAAGGTTGTTTATAATTTTTATTTTAGAAAGAAGAATGTCATGACAGATTTATAGTTTGTGGAGAAGGCTACACACAAATGAGAGAAAATTTTGTTCAGGCAGCATTAAATGAAGATAATAAGAAGATCGTCAATTTATTACAGGTTTGGGATTTTTTTTTACTACAGCAGTAATTTTTTCTTGGTTCTGAACCAGAGAGCATGATTTGCCTTCCAAAATTCATTACTGTACCAGCCAGATTTTGAACCCAGGACCCCTGGCACAGTAAGCCACCGCTCTACCAACTGAGCTAAAGGATTACTCCACTTGCACAGCTATTGGAAGGTGGTTATAAATCTACTAGGTAAAGGGTAGCACTGCTACTCTCCCCACTCAAAAGTCATTATACAATCGAACCTCGTTGTGTCGAACTCGGTTGTGTTGAAAACTCAGATGAGTCGAAGTAATTTCTTGGTCCCGGTAAAATTTCCATTTGATCATTACCTCTGATGACTCGAACTTGGTTGATACGAATACTTGGTCACGTCAAGTAAATTTTTTAGTTCTGTCGATGTAAAATTAATGTAAATTGACCTCGAAGTTCGAAAGTAAGAATTTACGAAGAATGTGAACATAATAATAAAAATTCAAATTCGATGTATTTCTTATGTAGCCTTGTATCTTTCAAAAGAGATTAAAGCTGAATAAACATACTTGTCTGTATAACAGTTAAAATGACATGTTTATGGTGACCGATAATTAACACCTTTGTTGATCGTCCAAGCAGAACGTGAGTGTGTTGAACGTATTTCACCTGACATAAAAAAACGAAACGAATTTAGATGAACCCAGCCGAGATTAAATGAATTGTTAAAATAAAAATTCATTATTTACAATAAATAAAAGGATTATTAAAGACAATTAGGATAAATTTGTAATGATTTGATGTAAAGCAGACAACCTCATCAGAGACAGTTCAGAACTTGCTTCGTTCCGGGAGTGATTTCATAATTTATAGTGACCGACCTTTGTAAATATTTGTGTATACTAATGACTTTTTTATGCATGATTTGTATCTGTACTTCTGTGTTTAATTATTATGAAGGACAAAAAAAATATGGAGATTGAATACACAATCATAAATTGTCATATCGAAAAAAGGCACACTGTTCAAAGTGTCTAGTTTACTCAAATCTCATACTGTAGCTTATTTCATGCATTCTAAATTTATGACAACACACTCGACCTCAGATGAGTCAAACCTCGGATAAGTCGAATACTTTGGTCTGGTCTCTTTGACTTGACATAACAAGGTTTGACTGTACCATAATGACAATATCTTCATCACTTCTCCTGACTAGGTATTTCTTCTAACCGTGGGATGTTTTGTTGGGCGCCAAGTTTGTAACCAGAAAACATGATTTGCCTTCCAAAATTCATTACTGTACCAACTGGGATTCGAACCCAAGACCCCTTGCACAGTAAGCCACCACTCTGCTAACTTAGCTTACATGAAAAGCGGTTATAAATCTACTAGGTATGAGGAAGCACTGCTTCACTTGCAACACATGTTTCAAAGCAAGACATTGTTAAGACATAATTTTTATGGCACTGGCAGGTTCATTTGTGTCCGTCATACTGAAAAATGACCAAAGTGCAGTAAAAGTGTAATTGATATTCTGTTAATAGGTGCAGTTATGTCTTTTTCATTTCCATACATAATTGAGACTTCAACTAAACAGTCATCCTTTATTGACAAAAAAATGTTGACTTTGTGCGAATGTGTTCATATTAAATATATGGTATACTATTGTATAATCATCTCTGCACTTCAGATTTAAGAGAGTGTGAGACTCCTTCTGCTCTTTCATGTTGCACAAATTTTAAATTTCTGAATTGCTCAAATTATAATAATTTCAAATTTGTAGATTATCATTTAGCATATTTTACAGAAAAGTTTGACAATGTATTTAAGTTTGAGTTTTGTAATAAAAACAGATGTAATGTCAAATTTATGTTGAACAAAGTTGTAGAAAAGTCCAGGGGGAGGGGGGGGGGATTAAAAAATCAGCAGTCAAAAAAAGACAGATAGTTCTATTGCCAAAAGAAAAATGGTGAACAAATAACAGTCAAATTCTATAGATTGAACAAAATGAACCAATTGAAAATGGAAAATTTGGGGTAAACATTAGGTGCTCTAGAAGGCTAAACAGTTCCTGCTTGAAATAACTCTGCTTTTGGGAAATTGTTTAAAATGTATTGTTTTGAAGAACAAGTGAGAAATATTTTGATGTTTTTATTGTAGACAAAGAAAAACAAATGGAAAACAGAAGTGAGATTCCTGTTAGTTGTCTATAGAGAATTCACTATGAACTTCTTGTATGAGGAGACACAACAGCAATTCTCACAAAAAGTAGGTTGTTATTTAAAAAAGGAATAAAAGGAGAGGAGAGTTGTATGTAATTGAGACAGCATCCATCAACACAAAAGCAAAACAACCCTTAAATTTATTCAATGAATGGTTAATCAGTATAAAAGTAAAATTGTCATTTACCTGACATCTTTTAGCTCCTTTTTAATCTCGCCTGCATCAAAACTAAAAGAATGTACAACATAAGGATTCACTCAGGCATCAGAATACTTTATACCCCACGCAACGAGTTTGCGGAGGGTATAATGTTTTTGACCCGTCCGTCAGTCCGTCAGTCCTGTTTCTTGTCATCGCAACTCCTCTCAAACCACACAACAGAATTTCACGAAACCTTTTTAGATAATAAGGACATACTATGTAGTTGTGCATATCGACAGGAAATTGCGATTCAATTTTTTTCTAGGAGTTACGCCCCTTTGAACTTATTTACTTAAATGTACTACTGCAACAGTTTGTCATCGCAACTCCTCTGATACCACACAACAGAATTTCACGAAACCTTTTTAGATAATAAGGACATACTATGTAGATGTGCATATCGACAGGAAATTACGGTTCAATTTTTTTTCTAGGAGTTACGCCCCTTTGAACTTATTTGCTTCAATGTACTATGCAACAGTTTGTCATCGCAACTCCTCTGATAATACACAACAGAATTTCATGAAACCTTTTTAGATAATAAGGACATACTATGTAGATGTGCATATCGACAGGAAATTACGGTTCAATATTTTTTCTAGGAGTTACACCCCTTTGAACTTATTTGCTTCAATGTACTATGCAACAGGTTGTCATCGCAACTCCTCTGATAATACACAACAGAATTTCATGAAACCTTTTTAGATAATAAGGACATACTATGTGGATGTGCATATCGACAGGAAATTACGGTTCAATTTTTTTTCTAGGAGTTACGCCCCTTTGAACTTATTTGCTTCAATGTACTATGCAACAGTTTGTCATCGCAACTCCTCTGATAATACACAACAGAATTTCATGAAACCTTTTTAGATAATAAGGACATACTATGTAGATGTGCATATCGACAGGAAATAACGGTTCAATTTTTATACGACCACAAAAATTTTTGCGGTCGTATATTGGTATGACGTTGGCGTTGTCGTCGTCGTCCGGCGTTGTCCGAAGACACATTGGTTTTTCGCACTCTAACTTTAGTTTAAGTGAATGGATCTCTATGAAATTTTACCATAAGGTTCAATACCACAAAAGGAAGGTTGGGATTGATTTTGGGGGTTATGGTACCAACAGTTAAGGAATTAGGGGCCAAAAAGGGGCCAAAAATAAGCATTTTTGTAACTTCCAGACATAACTTGTGTGTTAGTGTATGGATCTCTCTGACATGGTACCAAAAGGTTCCATATCACAAAGGGAATGCTGGGATTGATTTTTGGGGGTAATTGCCTCAAAATATTAGGAATTAGGGGCAAAAAAAGGGGCAAAAAACAAGCATTTTTCTAGTTTCATGACAATAACTTGTGTGTAAGTGTATGGATCTTCATTGGGGTTCTTTGGATTTTGGGCCCCGTTTTTAAATTGGTCCACATTGAGGTCCAAAGGGTCCAAAATTAAACTTTGTTTGATTTCATCAAAAATTGAATCATTGGGGTTCTTTGATATGCCGAATCGAACCGTGTATTTAGATTCTTAATTTTTGGTTCCGTTTTCAAATTGGTCTACATTAAGGTCCAAAGGGTCCAAAATTAAACTAAGTTTGATTTTAACAAAATTTGAATTCTTAGGGTTCTTTGATATGCTGAATCTAAACATGTATTTAGATTTTTGATTATGGGCCCAGTTTTCAAGTTGGTCCAAATCGGGGTCCAAAATTAAACTTTGTTTGATTTCAACAAAAATTGAATATATGGGGTTCTTTGATATGCTGAATCTAACCATGTATTTAGACTTTGATTTTTGGGCCCGTTATCAACTTTGTCCACATTGAGGTCAAAAGGGTCCAAAATTAAACTTTGTTTGATGTCATCAAAAATTGAATTCTTGGTGTTCTTTGATATGCTGAATCTAACCATGTATTTAGATTTTGGATATTGGACCATAAAAGGTGAATGTCCAATTTAAAATTTTTAAGTTCTTAGACCACATTCATTCTGTGTCAGAAACCTATGCTGTGTCAAATATTTAATCACAATCCAAATTCAGAGCTGTATCAAGCTTGAATGTTGTGTCCATACTTGCCCCAACTGTTCAGGGTTCGACCTCTGCGGTCGTATCAAGCTGCGCCCTGCGGAGCATTTTATTTTTCTAGGAGTTACGCCCCTTTGAACTTATTTGCTTCAATGTACTATGCAACAGTTTGTCATCGCAACTCCTCTGATAATACACAACAGAATTTCATGCAACCTTTTTAGATAATAAGGACATACTATGTAGATGTGCATATCGACAGGAAATAACGGTTCAATTTTTTTTCTAGGAGTTACGCCCCTTTGAACTTATTTGCTTCAATGTACTATGCAACAGTTTGTCATCGCAACTCCTCTGATAATACACAACAGAATTTCATGAAACCTTTTTAGATAATAAGGACAGACTATGTAGATGTGCATATCGACAGGAAATTACGGTTCAATTTTTTTCTAGGAGTTACGCCCCTTTGAACTTATTTGCTTCAATGTACTATGCAACAGTTTGTCATCGCAACTCCTCTGATACCACACAACAGAATTTCACGAAACCTTTTTAGATAATAAGGACATACTATGTAGTTGTGCATATCAACAGGAAATTGCAATTCAATTTTTTTTCTAGGAGTTACGCCCCTTTGAACTTATTTACTTTAATGTACTACTGCAACAGTTTGTCATCGCAACTCCTCTGATACCACACAACAGAATTTCACGAAACCTTTGTAGATAATAAGGACATACTATGTAGATGTGCATATTGACAGGAAATTATGATTCAATTTTTTTTTCTTATACAATTTTTTTTTCTTACACATATTTTACTTCTCCAATGACAATGTGGGGACGTGGGGTATGTGAGCGCGCTCACTAAGGTTCTTTAATTTGTATAGAGCTATATATTTTAGAAGCTAGAAGACCTGAATGCTTCATACATTGGAAACAGATGCCTTCTGTTATGAAGTTTCTGTCTGTCGTAGTCCATTGTCCTTGATCTCATTTGTTCAATGACTGCTATAAAAACTATATAGTTTTTTTTTTTTCATGTGAATTTCTTACTAATTATGAATTACAGGATATCTATATTTGGTATATTGAATCCTTGCAATGTCTACATGTCTGTTAGATAATGTTCACCTAACCTCAACCTCATTTCATGGATCACTGATCGAGGTTAAGTTTTTGTGTTCAAGTCTGTAGCTCAGATAATATAAGCAGTAGGTCATCTATATTTGAAATACATGGTGTACATGTCTGTCGGGCAGGTTTCAGCTGACCTTGATCTCATTTTCTGTGTTCATTGGTTGACATGGCTTGACATGTCAAAAGGCGTGTGAAAACATGTGACATAGATGAGGACTTTTTTATATGAACATTAAACAAATTTGTTAATATAGAAAATAATATTCTACTGTAAACTTTTATTGTATTCAACAGTGGCCGGTTTTGCTTCTTTCAAAACAACACAACTAGGCACATATTCAAAAATTTACATGAGTTTTTGAATGTCGGACTATGTCACTTTTTGCAGATGATCAAATATAAATATGAGAGATACATAGGGTGCACAATGCATTGTTTAGCCCTCCATCACTTTCTTTGTTTCTTTTAAACTCGGACTCCCAACTTTTTTGGTACGTACACATGTATCATTTTCGCTTAGCACTCTGCTCTTTAGACAATGGTACAGGTCCAGAAAGGGACCTCTTTCTGCTGGACATTTGAACAAAGTGAATTTGAAAGAAAGAGAGTCACAAAACCTTAAAAACTACTCACAAACTTACCTGAAGGGCTTTTGTTGTTCGTCCATATCGAAAAATAAACAATGACGACCCAACAAATACTTCAAAATTTTCGGTATTTATCGTCTATTTATGAAAAAACCAGAGAATCGCGATATCACTTATGACAAAAAAATCAATACAACAAAAAAGCGTGTATAGGCCATGTGACAAAATCTTCGTGTGTAAACCGATGAAAAAGCGTGTATTACACACAAATATCATGTGAGTTGGCAACTATTATCGTTAGCTAAATGTGGTATATGGAATGATTGCAATGTGTACATGTCTGTCTGACAGGGTTCATCTGACCTTAACCTCATTTACATGGATCATAGATAATGTTAATTTTATGTAGTATTTGTTGTATAACCTTTTCTCTAAGACTTTCATAGACAATTTAAATTCAGTCATGATCACTAAAGCAGGGAAGACATTCAAGTGTTGCACTCTTGTTTTATCATGCACCCATTTTGTGACTTGTCCGCTAATGTTTTTCCTAGTAATATTCATCTGAAACAATTACAGTAAAGAAACAGAATTCCAATATCAGGGCACAAAATCTGTTTAAAAATATCTTATAATTATGTAGGTTGTTTAAGAATAGTGCCATTCAGTAATAGGTACATGCATTAAAATCTAATGAAATTTATAGTAGCAGAAATTCATTATTGTTTATATGAACTTTTATCGGTTGTATGTTTATTTTTTATTTTTTTTAGGTAAAGCAGTTTTTGCAGAAGACACTAATGAATTGTAATAAGATACAAAACAAGGTGAGTAGCACTGATAGAGTTAAAACAATGTTTGCTTCTGGTTTTCAAGATAAGATTATATCAGTAACTAGTAAAAAGATTTGCCAGTTCTCGATTTAACTTATTTCCTTTAAACTGAACATTTCAGTATTGATTTTATCTGGTGCTTTTTAGATCACCTGACCCAAACAGACTTTGTTGAAGATGATGCAGTGAAATGTACAGTTTTGGTAAATTGTGCTTATTTCGGTAAATTGTGCATGTTTTGGACTTGTGCTCTTCTAGATCTATATATCCTATATCTATTTACTTTTTCATGTAATGGCATTTTACTAATATTTAATAGGAACTCATGAGGGATCTACTGACAAATAGTGTTTGGAGACATGATGCTGACAAAAACATTTCTCCTGCTTTAGATCTTGGACAGCAAGGATTGTGTTGTCTGTTGCTGCATTGCATGGTTCTTTTCAGAGGAATACCTGAAAAGCAAACATGGTTATCTCCCCTAATAAACATTGCCAACAACCCAGAGCTCATGATGGTAAGACAAGGTTCTGTAAAATTCATATTAAATTTTATTGAACAAACAAGATCTATTTTACCAAATTCTTTGACTCCTTTTATAATAAAACTTAAAATAAATGATCGTGTAACTCATAAATTTTTCAGTTTGACTGTTCATCAATTTTTATTGTATAATATTTTGTTAAAAAAGAGTCACAAGTCTGTTGCAAAGTTATTTTTTACTAGGTTCTCCCAGTATGCTACTGTTTCATATATGATAGGACTGTTCAATACTGGGTCTTTCCAGTATTGTACTGTCTTTTCACATATGAAATTTGTTGAAACGAATATTACTCTAGTAGAACACAATAAAAACTTAGGTTAAGTGACTTTAATAAAGAAGTTTTGTTTTCTAAAACAGAATGGTTTTTTAAACCTAAATAAATTTCCCAAAGGCGTATTTTTTTTTTGGGGGGATGGAATGGCCCAGCCTCCCTTTTGGGGATACATATATGCTTAATGCAGAGACTTTTTACAAGTCAACTCCTAGAATTCTAGAATTGCTTAGCTGGTGGCTTCCTTTTATAAAATCCTAGATCCACATTTGACTTTTACATTTTTTTTCCTTCAAATTAATGTTTCATGTCCATCCAGCCAATATTTCTTCTTTTTACTTTTTATTTTAGGAATCTTATTTTCCCACAATGCCTCAGGACGATTTGGATCTGATTAAGGATGCACTGTTGGCATCCAGACCAGTTGATGGCAGTGAAAATCCAGTGTTTCACAGTAAGTACAATTATGTTCACTAAAAAGTTTAGTCCGTAGCCAGGGTATCTCTGAAGTTGGTTTTAAAGGGTCATGATGCACTGACTTTAATGATCAAACATCACTCAGAAACTTGAATCTGATAGTCTTTAATGGTATTTTGGGGTTTCAGCTGGGAGGTTTGTCCAAACATTTAAACCCCGTGACAGCGATAATAAAATATTATATCACAATAGGTAATGGATACCCTTATATTGTTGAATGTGCTACAGCACTTTCATGGTTTGTGTATTGGTGTATGTTTATTTAAAAGATCTCAGATTAAAAAAAAAATTGTATGACATGTTTCTTCCAAAAAAGTAAGTTATTTATGTTAGCAAATTTATAATGTGAAGTTTATAAATTTTACCACAACAGTAGAATGCTTCCATCAGGGGTAACATTTCCAAAAAATATATGTCCTATTATGGTACAATTGAAATTATAAACACAGGATTCCAAAACTATTTCAATGCTTGTTGAAAAAAGTACATAGAACAACCAGACCTTGTAACACAATGGACAAAATAATTACAAAAAAAAGTATGATTTAGGGTCAAAGTATAATATTAACATTTTCATAAACCTTTCATTTAGAAAGAAATTTGATCAATAAAATAGGCGTTATATATTGCTGAAATGTAACTAAATTGCATTTTTTTTTCAGGATGTCCAAATGGTCATCTGTATGTTATTGGTGATGTAAGCATATATTTATCAGTCTTGTAATGAAGATAACTTCATTGAATAAACACAAGAAGATGTAGTATGATTGCTAATAAGACAACTATCAACCAGTTGATACATCCAGTTGGATGTAAACATTTATAGTTTATTCTACGGCCTTCAACAGTGAGCAAAAACCATACCATATATGGACTCAGATATGAAAAAATTAAAAACAGTACAAGCAAGAGAACCAACAAATTGTTACATTTCAAATTTTTCATCTACAATTTGCCTTTGCACTAGTTTTCTTTTATCAGTCAACTGCACAAGTTTGAAGTCTACTTAGTTGAATAGGTTATCAACCTGGTTCACAGCGCATTTTGGAAATCTGCTTGAAGAAGATTCATCTTCTCAGTTGATTGCTAGATAGTTCACAGCAAGTCTACTGTGAGGTCAATTATGTATCTCTTCTATTTTGTGTTTTTTTTTTTTCCTTTTAACTTAAGAACCAAACATTAAATTGTATGTTATGATAAAAGAACCAAACATTAAATTGTATGTTATTGATTGCTGTTCATCATGTTGTTGATAATTTATTGTCCTACAATGGTAATGAGAAGTTTTTGTCGCGCCTTGACAGAGTCAAAAAGCGAGACATAGGTTAATGGGATGTCAACAATGTATTAGTTTGTGATTAGGTCTAGTTTATGGTGAACTACAAGTGGTAGGTCAATGATATTTGGTATGCAGTTGTATTAGCATTGGCACATCTCATTTCCATAGAGATTATTTGGCCTTGCCCCTTCAGTCATGGTCTATTGACTTTGAAACTTTTGTTTAGTTTACATGTATTAGTTTGTGATTAGGTCAGTTTATGGGGAACCATTAGTGGTAGATCAATGATATTTGGTATGCAGTTGTATAAGCATTGACATATCTCATTTCCATGGAGATTATTTGACTCTGTCCCCTTTGTCATGGTCTATTGACTTTGAAAATTTTGCTTAGTTTACATGTATTAGTTTGTGATTAGGTCAGTTTATGGGGACCATTAGTGGTAGACCAATGTTAATTAGTCCCCTTACGACAAAGTCGAAGGAGACTGTAGGTTTGCACTCTGTCCGTCTCTCTGTCTGTTTGTCTGTCTGTCTATCCATCCGTCAGTCCAGCAATTCAGTTTTCCACACTTTTTTTCTTCATGCTTGAAAATATTGATCTGATATTTGATATATAGTTTTATCATGACAAGTTACAGATCAAGTTCGGATTTTGTTCCAGTCTGATGATTTTGTCCAGAGTTATGGTCCTTTGACTTAGAAAATTCACTCAAATAATCAGTTTTCCGCACTTTTTATACGACCGCAAACAAATTTTGTGGTCGTATATTGGTATGACGTTGGCGTTGTCGTTGTCGTCCGAAGACACATTGGTTTTCGCCCTCTAACTTTAGTTTAAGTGAATGGATCTCTATGAAATTTTACCATAAGGTTCAATACCACAAAAGGAAGGTTGGGATTGATTTTGGGGGTTATGGTACCAACAGTTAAGGAATTAGGGGCCAAAAATAAGCATTTTTGTAACTTCCAGACATAACTTGTGTGTTAGTGTATGGATCTCTCTGACATTGTACCACAAGGTTCAATATTACAAAGGGAATGCTTGGATTGATTTTGGGGGTAATTGCCTCAAAATTTTAGGAATTAGGGGCCAAAAAAGGGGCAAAAACAAGCATTTTTCTAGTTTCATGACAATAACTTGTGTGTAAGTCTATGGTTCTTCTGAAATTGTACTACAAGGTTCCATATCACAAAGGGAAAGCTGGAATTGAGTTAGGGGGTAATTGCCCAAAACATTAAGGAATTAGGGGCCAAAAAGGGGCCAAAAAACACATTTTTCTAGTTTCCAGACAATAACTTGTGTTCAAGTGTATGGATCTCTCTGAAATTGTACTGCAAGGTTCCATATCACAAAGAGAATGCTTGGATTGATTTAAGGGGTAATTGCCTCAAAATTTTAGGAATTAGGGGCCAAAAAAGGGGCAGAAAACAAGCATTTTTCTAGTTTCATGACAATCTTGTGTGTAAGTCTATGGATCTTTCTGAAATTGTACTACAAGGTTCACTATCACAAAGGGAAAGCTGGAATTGAGTTAGGGTGTAATTGCCCAAAACGTTCAGGAATAAGGGGCCAAAAAACACATTTTTCTAGTTTCCAGACAATAACTTGTGTTCAAGTGTATGGATCTCTCTAAAATTGTACTGCAAGGTACCATACCACAAAGGGAAGGCTGGGATTGATTTTGGGGGTAATTGCCTCAAAATTTTAAGAATTAGGGGGCAAAAAAGGGGCAAAAAACAAGCATTTTTCTAGTTTCAGGACGATAACTTGTGTGTAAGTGTATGGATCTTTATGAAATTGTACTACAAGGTTCCATATCACAAAGGGAAAGCTGGGTTTGAGTTTGGGGGTAATTGCCCTAAATGTGTAGGAATTTGGGGCCAAAAAACAAGTATTTTTCTAGTTTCCAGACAATGACTTGTGTTCAAGTGTATGGATCTCTCTGAAATTGTACTGCAAGGTACCATACCTCAAAGGGAAGGCTGGGATTGATTTTTGGGGTGATGAATCATAAGGGGGTTCAAAAAATTGGGGGGGGGGGATTTTTTTTTCTTTAAAATTTTCCATTTTAAATTGGTTATTTCTGATTTATATATAAAAGCAAATAATAATGATATGGTTTGAATAGGTAAATTAAATTTTTTTAAGTTCTTAGACCACATTCATTCTGTGTCAGAAACCTATGCTGTGTCAAATATTTAATCACAATCCAAATGCAGTGCTGTATCAAGCTTGAATGTTGTGTCCATACTTGCCCCAACTGTTCAGGGTTCGACCTCTGCGGTCGTATCAAGCTGCGCCCAGCAGAGCATTTTATTATCATACTTGAAGATATTGATTTAATTACTGGTATATAGTTTTATCACAACAAGTACAGATCAAGTTCGAATTTTGTTCTGGTCTGATGATTTTGTGCAGAGTTATGGTCCTTGGACTTAAAAAATTCACCCTAATAATCAGTTTTCTGCCCTTTTTTTGTCATGCTTGCAGATATTGATTTGATAATTGGTATATAGTTTTATCATAACAAGTTATAGACCAAATTCAAATTTTGTTCCGGCCTGATGGTTTTGTGCAGAGTTATGGTCCTTGGACTTGAAAAATTCACTCAAATAATCAGTTTTTCGACTTTATTTTTCGTCATACTTAAAGATATTGACTTAATATTTGTTATATAGTTTACTTTGACTTTGAATTTTTTGCTTAGTTTACATGTATTAGTTTGTGATTAGATCAGTTTAAGATGACCTGCTAATGTTAAGTCAATGATATTTGGTATGCAAATTTATTGGCATTTGGAAGTATCGTTTCCATGGAGATTATATAGCCCCACCCCCCTCATCATGGTTCATTGACTTTGAAACTTTGACATAGTTTACAAGTTAATGTTTGTGTTGAGGTTTGTTTAAAGGAAACAACTTATGATAAGTCAATGGTATTTGGTATGCAGTTGCATTAGCATTGGCACATCTCATTTCCATGGAGATTGATTAGCCATGAACCTTCAGTCATGGTTCATTGACTTTGAATATTTGCATAACTTACATGTTAAAGTATTGCTATTTTAATTTCAACATTTGCACCATCAAAATTACAAAAAGGTGAGACATATCTCTGTGACAACGGTTTATTGTTTTAGTGTGGAAGGCCTACAGTTGTAGCCAGATGTAAAGCACAGAACTGTGGACTTGAAATTGGAGGGCAATCACATGTGCTTATAGCTGGAAATATCAAGGATCAAGGGTATTTAAATATTAATTTAACACCTTCCTTTCTATCTTCTCTCCTTCTATATAATAACTACTTGTCAGTACTGAATACTGGGTTTATGAGATTATAAGCAACAGTGTAACTGCAAATATACAAAACAGTTCTTGTAAACACCTGGAGTGCTACTGAGAGAATATAATTGATCATGTTGATCAGTTAGAAATAAACTGTGACTTGCAATTTGCTGAAAAGTTTAAATTCCATGTTCAGTAAATTTGACAATATTAAATAACAAACAAAAAACAACCTTCTGGCTTAGATTTTTTGCATTAAATTGAGATTGAAAAACCAGTTCTTGCTTTCAAAAACACAAAATAACTTTTATATTAACCATGAGGGAAAGGTCAACTTGATTTTGTCCATATTCACAACGTTCCTTGTAATGGGCAGATTATGTTATAATTGATCAAACCTAAGAAAACATGAATATTCAACCAATTGCTAAACATTTTTATATGCCCGTTTACGGGACGTATTATGGTATCCCTCTGTCTGTCCGTCGTCAACATGTCGGACATTAACTCAAAAATGCTTTAACCAATTTGTTTAAAACTTTGGTGAATTGTTTATATCTATTGACGTGAGCTTCCTTTCGTTTTTTATAAAATTTAGATTTTACGTTTCCGAGTTATGGGGTTTTATTCATTAAAAAAAGGGGGATTTTCCAGTTTTCAGACAATAAGTCAGGAATGCTTTCACCAACTTGCAAGAAATTGTGGTGAATTGTTTATATCTATTGAAATGAGCTCCCTTTAGGTTTTTATAAATTTTAGATTTTATGTTTCCGAGTTACAGGGTTTTATTCATAAAAAAGGGGGGATTTTCCAGTTTTCGGACAAAAACTCAAAAATGCTTTCAGCAATTCTTATGAACCTTTGGTGAATTGTTTGTATGTATTGATGTAAGCTCCCTTTAGAATTTTATAAATTTTACATTTTACATTTCTGAGTTATGGGGTTTTATTCCTTAAAAAAGGGGGGATTTTCCAGTTTTCGGACAAAAACTCAAAAATGCTTTCAGCAATTCTTATGAACCTTTGGTGAATTGTTTGTATGTATTGATGTAAGCTCCCTTTAGAATTTTATAAATTTTACATTTTACATTTCTGAGTTATGGGGTTTTATTCATTAAAAAAAGGGCTGATTTTCCAGTTTTCGGACAATAACTCAAAAATGCTGTCACCAATTCTCATGAAACTTTGGTGAATTGTTTATATCTATTGATGTAAGCTCCATTTTTATTTTCATAAATTTCTAATATGACATTGAGAATTAATTGAACTTTATTTGTTTATTGTCTGACAACAGATTTACTAAGTATTGCACAACAGCAAGAAATCTTTAATTGAACATAAATTCAATTCATATAACCAATTTCAAGTTCTCTGAATACATTTATTCAGAAACCTATAATATGTCAAATATTTAATGACAATCCAAATTCAGACCTGAATCAAGCATGAATATTGTGTCCATTTTTGCCCCAACTGTTCAGGGTTGGACCTCTGCGGGCGTATCTAGCTGCGCTCAGCGAAGCAGTTTATTCAATTTGGTGTATAAAAAATAAAATACTCTTGATTCTGGAATTGAAAATTGTTTCATTGTTCAGTAATTCATGTCAACTGTTGCACAGTCATGACATCTCTCTATGTCCACACTTCTAATGAAGTTATATATTTTGTGCAGAGTTGACACTACAGATACTGGACACATTTTAGGACGGGCCACATATAGAAATTTAGCTCCATTTCCTGAAAGAAGTCTGAAGCCTGTAAATTGTGCAGTTATGAAGTTACTACTGCATATTGCAATGTATGTTGGTGCAAATAACAATGCACAGGTAAGTAAAAATAAACAAATGATCATAAAAATATTAATTAGATTCATTTTTCTTTTGAATTTATGAAGGACAAGGTTTACTTCAGGCCATGGCAAAATATGGCCTTAAATTTCAACTTTATCAAAAAAGTTTCAAAAAAGTCATAAATTGGTTCTTAAATGAATCTTTTGGGTTAAACAAATCTCTTCATACGATATAAAAAAGAAGATGTGGTATGATTGCCAATGAGACAACTCTCCACAAGAGACCAAATGACACAGAAATTAACAACTATAGGTAACTATAGGTAACTATAGGTAACCGTACGGCCTTCAACAATGAGCAAAGCCCATACCGCACAGTCAGCTATAAAAGGCCCCGAAATGACAATGTAAAACAATTCAAACGAGAAAACTAATGGCCTAATTTATGTACAAAAAATGAACAAAAAACAAATATGTAACACATAAACAAATGACAACCACTGAACTACAGGCTCCTGACTTGGGACAGGCACTATACATACAGAATGTGGCGGGGTTCAACATGTTAGCGGGATCTCAAGGAGTACATTCTAGAATTCAAAGTATGCACAGTTTGGATATATTGTCAAAATACATTGATTTTGTGCATTTTTCATACTTAAAAGCTTGAGGAAACCCTTGGCTGCAAACTATGTTCCAAAATGTTCAGTAACCAAAAGTTGCCAATGATGATATTGAATCCCTAGACACAAACATTTTCTAGATCAGGGGCGGTGGCCAAAGTAAATTGTGCTAAAAACTGTCAAGGATTAAAATTTTTACCAAAACTGGTGTTACAACACATATAATGCATAAATATGAAGTCATTACTTCATCATTTATAATGTGATGTGCAAAAAAAAAATTATTTTGTATTAACCCTTATGCCAAAACATTTCCAGTTTACCGTGACTCGTGCTTCATAATAGCTGACGATGAATCTACATACCTCTTTTATATTTCCCCCTTGAAAACAAAGCTAACACAAGTTATCTTTTTTTATTTGTTGCCTGGATGAAAGTGTAAACATGGAGGATCAGTTTGTTAAAAACTGTGTCGAAATCAACTAATATTTACAGATATTACTGGAATTTGAAGTAAAAGAACATTTTTTCTTAAGAATTCAGAAGAATTTAAGCCAGACTAAAATTGAGAATGGAAATGGGGAATGTGTCAAAGAGACAACAACCCGACCATAGACCAGACAACAGCAATAGTATACTATTTTTACACAAAATGCTGTTTTATGCACAGAAACATTTGAAACGGACATCTTTCAGTGTCAGCTGCAGGAACTTACAACCTCATAAAAAAATTTCAAACTTTTGTGTTAAAAATTTGCGATTTTTGGTCTTAAAGACAAAATTCGTTTGATGTTTTATAACACAATATGTTGACTGCTGTACCCCTAATTTTAACATTTTTACCTATTACACATTGTTGTCAATATAACCGAATTTTATGTGACTGTCATACAAGTGAGAGGTTTAGCTAGTTATAAAACCAGGTTTGATCCACCATTTTCTACATAAGGAAATGCCTGTACCAAGTCAGGAATATGACAGTTGTTTCCCATTCGTTTGATATGTTTGAGCTTTTGATTTTGCCATTTGATAAGGGACTTTCCTATTAGAATTTTCCTTGGAGTTCCGTATTTTTGTTATTTTACTTTTTATATTATGATTATATGTATGTTAATGCCGAAAAATAAGCAGATTAAAACATAAACAATGTCCATGGTGATAGTGAGTAGAATAAAGACATAAATAACTACAGATTTTTTATTGATTTTTTATTTGAAGTTCTCCCACTTGTTTCACAATATCCAGGAAAGTTATCTCCTCGGAATAACTTCTGTCAGGGTGGCTATTGGTGAAAGGGTTAATAGTACTATCACAACTATTTCTATGTGAAATTTGTAGTATTTTGGACAGATTAATAAGTAAAAATATCCTAGGGCCAATTTTAATCTTTTATAAACTTACTCCTTTGAAGATGCAAGTGTGCAAACTGTAAATATTGAAAATTAATTATTTTACAGGCCATTTGTAGATCAATTAAGCCAGATATAGAGGAGACTGATGTACCTTCATATTTACTGAGTCATATACAGAAAGATCTGAGGTCAATATCTACAGCTCTTGGGAAGAGTGTGGAGAATGTACTTATTCTGATTCACTTTTTATTAGCAGAAATAATGAACAGTCGCACACAATCTAGAATTGGTAAATTTTTTTTTCATTAAGAAAATTGTAAAATATTAGTACTAGACATGCAGAAAGTTTGTACAACTAAGTTAAATTATGAATGTTTGGACTTCAAGGGTAGGTACTTTGGAATCAAGAGCACTCGAGTCCCAATAGTGATTACTGGATTGAATTTGCTACTAGCATGTTTACAAACATAAACCCAAAGTCAGTTAATGCAATCCAATACAAGCTAAAGCCGGATTGAAACCCCCCTGTTCAGCCTGATATTTTGATACAGTCAACAATAAAAATCTTCTAGGCAATCAGAAAGCAACAACTGTCAAATATTGGAGACATTGTTATCATAATAATTACATCAGTTGTATGTTTCATTATTGTACGTTATTTTGATTGGCTAACAGCAATCTCGCGTCATTCTTCATTTCAAATTGAATTTCATGAATTGTAACATACATGATGACACACGTTTCCACAATAAAGTGCACAGGTAAATAAAAGAAAAAAATGATAGTAATAGTGTTTTCGTGATCATAGCGAAATAATGTAATTATAAGTATTGAATGCTTCTTTTAGTAATTTCATAGGGTTGTAAAAGCGTTGATCGTGCGTACATTTTTAGAATGAAGTGCTTCTGCGCTTCATACAAAATGTACTCTGGTCAACGCTTTTACACCCCAATGAATTTACAAAAAGAAGCATTCAATTCTTAATTGAAAGGCATGAAAGCTCCTTTCCTAGACTGATTAGAAAACGGTTTTATTTACATAATGAAGAGAATAGTCTGAAACTTTTGACATAACCACCTGAGCAGTACCAAGTCACCCTTTCATTGCCTTTGTTTGTAATATTTGATACAAATTCATTGTCAGCTTAAATATCAAAATCACACAAAAAGAAAATTATAAGTATTCTCCAGTGTTGCTCAAACAAAAAAATGGAAATCATAAATAAAAAGCTTAAAAGAGCTATAAGGCATATTAAGGATAGCCTTAGAGTTATATACAAATTCATAATCTTATTTTGTCAAAGGAAAACTTAAAAAAAAAAAAATATCAGAGAAGAACCATGCCAATACAAAAACACTTAACTGAGCTATAGCTCCTCTTGGGAACATGAACAGTGGTATCTGGTAATGATACAACAATTAAAATGTGTTAAGATATGCTTATTTAAAAGATAAACATTAGTGGTGCTCAAAACCAAATGTTTAAGTTTAAAAAGGAACAGTTGAAAAGCCTGTAAGTCTAAATAACAGAATGTCAAAAGTTGTTACTTAGTTTTTGTGATTTTAACATACTTTTGGTGAGTACCTAGGGAATAAGTTGAGAAGACATGGTGTTCTATTATATATTCTTCATCAAGCTATTAACTAAGGATTTTGTTTTTTTAAATGAACCATTAATCTTTCAAGCGCCTATTTTAGGTGAGAGAGCAGAAGATGAAATTTGCTTACTAAAGGATAAACGATCAAGGGAGACATGGGAAGACAACTTTAATAAAAGATACATTGCACCTATTCTTGAGGTAAGAGTTTATTTTTTAAAGTAAATTGATTTCGTCCATTTAAGGTCATTTACAATATAACAGTATTTCAGTAGTTGTGTATTTGTGAAATAGCATGCACTTTTTTCCAAAGATTTTTATTAAATTTCTAAAACAGTCCTTCAGTTCTGACTAGGTTGAATTTTTTGTTAAACGTAGTTTACCACGAAGGGTACAAACGTTACATCAACTAGATACTTAGTACGCATTTGCATTATGATATGAATTTTTTTAAACATTAATTATCCAAATAAGAGTTTTGACCTCAGATATTGCAGTTCAATAAACATGGAAATATGATTGAGAGAAAGGGATATGGTGTCCTAGGTACACATATTCTTGATTTCAAGTTTTAGGGGATCAGTCAGAATAGATTGAACCATGTAAAAGATGTTCTGGAGTTGATTTTTGAGGTTTTGATTAATGTTGAATATCTGTGTTATCCCCATTATAATTAAAATCAAAGAGCTGCAAAATGAATACTGTAAATTCAGAAATTAATGCATGCATTTATTATTGTGAATCACTGATTATGAGATCTAATTAACGTGATTGCAAAATTTTTCTGAATGAATATTACTACTGTCAGAAATAATGAAAGCAAGTTATAAATTATTATTGTGAACCTGATACAGAAGTATTTTTGCATTAATAAGAACATCTTAATAATTTTTAAATTTACAGTCAATGGAAATGTTACTTAGGTATATCTTTTACTCTCAAAACTTTGAGATTTATGGAAATACTAAGGATTTTCTACCCTAGGAATAGATAACATGAGCTGAATTTCACAAAACCATTAGGAATTTTGAGTCCTCAATACTCTTCAACTTCTTACTTTATTTGGCCTTTTTATTTTTTTTTATTCAAGCGTCACTGATGAGTCTTATGTAGACAAAACCGGTGTCAGGTGTACAAAATTTTAATCTTCAACAGGTATCTATGATGAGTTCATTTTATTTTCAACTATGTCATTGTAATATTTCTAATACAGCCACATTATAACCTGTCTTTCTATCATTTCTGTTTTTTCAGAAAAGTGAAGAAATATTGAACACTGTTAATAATAAAATTGTCAATGATAAAAGACTGGGTAAGTTTATTCCTGCAGATTCAATGTGGATTCTTTTTAGTTGTTAATTTTGTCTTTATTCACACACGAACAAGGAGCAGGGTTCAAACTCACAACCTCAGCATTGACAGTTTAGTTATCACAATAGCTTACTAATTTAAACTACTCGACCACCTATGCTTCTTTTCAGTTCACCTGGCCTAAAGGACCAGTGTGAGCTTTTGCTATCACTTGGCTTCTGTCGTCCTGTGTCATTGTCCTTTAAACTTTTACAAAAATCTTCTCCTCTGAAACTACTGGGCGAAATAAAACCAAAGTTGACCACTGTCATCCTTGGGGTATCTAAAAGTGTCTGGTGATCCAGTCATTCAACATGGATACCAAGTAAAATGCAAGGATATTGTCTTATCTTGTGTCTTTTATACGAAAAGGAAATCTGACAGGGCAGAAATGTTCAGAATGAAGAGATCTACCTACCCTTTGTTTAGGTCAAAACTGTCAGATAACTCCTTATATAAGTTATTGCCCTTAACAGACAATTTTAACCATTTCTTTTGTTTTTGCCTATTATCTTGAAAACTATAGTAGATAGAGAAAAACTTTAAAAAGCAAAAGATTATTAGCAAGACCAGATCTACAAATAAAGTAAATGGCAATAATTGTCAGGTGACTCCACTATCCTTTAAATGACAGTTTAAAAGAACTTATTTTGGATTCTTAAACACTTAACCTAACAATGCATATTTTCTCCATTTACATCAAAATTTGTGGGAATGTCAGTATATATATATAGTAAAAGCCGACAAATAGTAATAAAGAAATATGATGAGTACACATTATTAAGAATTAATTCTATCAACATCTTCAGCATATAAAAAACTTATATTGTATAGGATCTGATCCATTGCTGCAATTGTTATACGAAACTGATAAACCAGCAGAAATCCTGGGAAGTGATTACTTATCAGAAAATCCTTCTGTATGGCAGTTTAGAGAGAGAATATCAGTTGACCATTTAATGCAGACGTTTATGAAATCTCAACAAAATTGTCCAGTCCTTCAACAGTTCTTAGATGAGGCAAGTATTAACTCTTCTTCACATTAATTTATTGGTAGTTTAGATAACTTATTTATTTTGTCCAAGACTGTAGTAAATTAAAAAATAGTTCCAAATAACAAAATGTCAGAAGAAGAGACAAATCAAACTTGATCTATAAAAACCAATTTCATCAAGTGTATATACCAAAACTTAGTACATGTAACATACTGTCCCATTCAATAATTTTCATTGGAACATTTTTTGAGGATTTAGAGAAAATTATATCTTCTTGGATATTTGATCGTTTGGTTTTGACATGTACATAAGGAAGTTGGTGGGACTGAAACGTGTGTAAGTACTCATCTGTTCCCCTAACCTGTGAGAGTGGTGTTACACTATGAAAACAATTTAGTATAAAAATTGGTTTGAAAAGTCACTTATGGCACAATGAAGTACACACAGATACTGTAAAAAATGTTTAAATCCAATTCCAAATTATAGATAAACCATATTTTCCCAGATTGAGCCTAAAAGAAATTTGTATTTTGTAGAACGCATTAATTAAGTTTTTTGCTAAATATATCCTAGAAATCCATGAAAATTAGTACCCAGCAATTGATAATCTTTACCATATTCAGGTATTACAAAATTGTTTGAATGGTTTAGAGATTAAGCATCCATTATTAGGTTAAAAGTATGTACCTTAAAATTAGTTCAGCTGTAGTATGCAAAGAGAAAAATGTGCAATTTTCAAGATAATTTCTGTAAATGTCAACCTTGAAGGAGTGTGTATATGTTTCCAATCAAGTGCTTATAATGTACTTAATTTATATGTCAGGAACACTTCCTTAGAGCTTTAAGATTTGTACCTGGTATTATAAGACTACAGAAAATGTTGATACAGAAGTACAGTAGACGATTGGATAGAGCAGAGGCATTAGGAATTACAATGGATAAATTTCTCTTGGAGTTTCAGGGTAAGTGTTTAAGTGGGATTTTGTTAAATTTTTTTAAAGGAGATGAACTTTAAAAAATGTGGGTACTGGGACATTATGATTACCTTTATTTGTGATAAAATAGAAGTTCCTTCATAGTATTAGTTCCAAATGGAAGAAAAATTCTGTAATATTTTTTCAATGGAACAAATATTACAGAATTTGTTTCTTACGTAATAAAAGGTGTAGATTATTTGTTCCAACAGGAACAGATATTACAGCATTGTTTATAACAAAGTTTCCAGGGGAACTTCTGTGAGGTGGAACAAATATAGTGATATATTGACATCTTATCAAATATGGAATAGGACATATCGTTGATAAATCACGACTCAGGAAAATTGTATAAGTTGATAAATGACAAAACGGAAGCACAAAACACAATGCTTGCATCATGACCATAGGAACAATTAATGATATTGGAATTAAAGGGACCAAAAAATATGGGTCAACCAGTTTTTACACAATTAAAAAGCAAAGTAAAAAGTTCATGCAGTAATTAATATTTCCTAAATTTCATATATTTGACAGCTATTTTGATTATGATCTGGATACCTTTAATGAATAAAAAATGAATATCTGTTCTGTAATAAAGATGGGTTTAACCCTCCACATCATTTTATGAAGGGCAGTAGGAGGGGATGTCATCCTGAATTCCTGAAAAAATAGATTATTCTTTCCCAGATATCGAAATCATTAATTCCCGAGTCCTGATAGGTGTAAATCCTGAATACCTGCAAAAATAAAGCCCTAATCCTGACGTCCCGAAAAAGGTCCTTCTCCCCTCTTTTATGATTAAATAAAAGTGGAGTTTGTATTACCCAGGATATAGCTTTTGTTGGAACCCATCAACCCCAAAAATACCCCCAAAAACCCAACAGAGACATTTAGAGGTCAAAATACCCTGAACATTAAACAAGTGAATATATAAATGTACGGCAAGCTCTAACTTTCTCCAAATATAGTAATGTTACTTTTTAAAAATGTATTTTCTGCATCAGTTCCAGTCAGCAAAAAAACATTTATTTCTTATCTTTCAAAAAATCATTTATTTCTTATCTTGCAAAATATTTGTTTTATTTATTTTATATAGATACAAGATCATCTGAAATTCAATCATGTTGGAATGATTTCAAAAAAGCTTGGGAGAATATCCAACAGTCTTTGGAAGGATATGGTATGTACACACATTTAAAAGATGAATTATAATATTATTAATTCAAATCTAAAAAGTATTAAAAAAAAATGGTGGTTCACATCAACGACACAGTAAACCAACAACATAATAAAAAAGGTCCGTGCAGATACACTTGAAGTAAACAAGTGCTTCAGACGCATGCAATTTAATTATTAAGTGTTGTTTTCATTTTTTATATGCCCAGATAGTGAAAAAGGACATGTAATTCATTTTTGTTCATCTAGGATTCCCTGTGAATGGTAACTTTGTTTACCTGTCTAAAGAGAATTGTCGTAGAAGAATGGACGAGAGAACATCGATAGCTTATGTCTTACCATCTGAGAGAGACACTGGACTGTGTTCCTATGCCCTGCTGTTCTTTTTATTGGAGAAACAGAACTTGTTCTTGCAGAAATACTGTCAGCAGAGTAAAATTAAGTATGAAAATATTAATAATCCATCTTGGTTCAGATGTCTGCAACTTGATGTTTGAAGTTCATCAATATAAAACTTTTCAAAATTAACTGAAGAAACAGGGATAGTTAATTTAAAAGGTTGAGGAATAAATGTGCAATATCTTGAAAATGATTCACTGAAACTATTTATACAAAAAAACAAAAAAATAATGATTCTTAATACAAGAAAAGCACTTAATTATTTTATAAAACCAGTTAACTCTATTGAAAAGTCTAAAATTTATAATGATTCTGCATTGAAAGCTATTCTGTAATGTTTCAGATATGACAGTCTCCCAAAGGTCAATGTAAAAGACCTGTCAGCTGCACACTTGATCAGTTATCACCCAGACAGAGACCTACTACCCATGGTGTTAGCTAATTGTAACTACTCTTTTGAAGTGGGTCAGGGCACCAAAGTGGAATACAATTTTACCAACCTGGAAAGACAGTTAATGGACAGATTTCTATTTACAAAGTCTGTTATTCTTCTTAAAGAGGTATGATTCTATTGTGTAACAATGGTGGACGTTGGGAAGGATTGGAGCAATTGCTCCCTTGAATGGCAATGTGCATTTGATCAAATAGAAAAAAAAATATCGGAGTACATCAAGCAGACCCTTTATTTGAAAACAAAAAAGCCTATGCAGTATAAGGAACCTCCTCAGTTTTTGACTTTTGGTGTTTTTTAGTCCATTTGAATGTTTTGTATTTGCTTTAATATTTTCATGCTGAAGGCAATTTATAGCTAGCTGCATTGACTGGCTGGACATATTCTTTAACTCTTAGACTTGACCTTCAGATATCCCTATTTTTTATTAAAATGTGTAGTAATTTGCCTTTTATCTTGTATATTTTAATTTGATTGATTGATTTTTGGTATTTAACACCACTTCAGCTTTATTGGCTATATTGTGGTAGCCAGTTTTTATTGGTGGAGCAAGCCAGAGAGAACCATCTGTTATTTATTTGTTGTAGCAGTTCAGTGTACATATCTAATTTAAAAATCAACTTTTACCATCCTATAAGAGCAGTAATTACCCAATTTTCCAAATTTAAACATGAATCATATTTATTTCATACAGATTGATACAGTAGTGTACAGATCAGAAACAACGAATGCTGTAGTATTTATACAGCTCAGAGACGGAATAAAACAGGTAGGATTTAGAGATTAACCCTGACTTTCAGTTCTAATTATGATTCATTTAATTCGAAAGAGGTTTCTTCTAAACACCTATCTGTTATTTTTCCCTTTTAATGGCCTCAAAAACTTTCCCATAAATTTTTGACATCATGATAGAAAATGTCCGAAGCAACAATGGAAAAGTGATTGTAAGAAAATGAAAGGATATGGAGTAAATGTACATGGGACAAAATCACACACAATACATAGAAAACATAGAAAATTATCAATGAACAGGGCTTTTATTGTTGTATGCGTTAATAGTTCAAATGTTGCAAAATCTCTAGTCAAGTGTGGAAGGTTTAGAAAACTGATAAGTGCTATTAATCAAGTTAACAAAAGACCACCCCCACCCCGTCTTTCTTGGATTCTTAAACTTACTGATTTAGGAAAAAATTTTCATGTTTGATGAAGTTGGAGAAGAAGTGGTCTCAAAATATTTTTTTAAACATTTATTAATTTATATAGGATACTACAAATTCAGAAATCATTGCGATGTTTTTATGAATGTGAATAATGGGACTGGATGAGTATAGGAATATTAAGAATTTGCATTCTGATATTGTTCACATATATTTGTAAAAAAATTATCCTCAAATCGCAATAATAAATTTCACATTTTTGTCCTTTCTTCAAAATTCATAATATAAATGCAAGCAATAATTTCTAAATTTACAGTATATAATATAAAAAAAATAAAAAAAGATATGGCTTTTGTCCACATATTGAACAAAGCAAAATGATATTTGGTTTAGAATTTGATCCTCACTCTAAGACCTATCGAGCATATTTCACCATTAGAAGACTATCCATTGTTTTGGACATTGTCAACAAGTTACAGAGGGGCGTAAAGTGGGGTATCTGCACGGAAGAATGCGAAATAAAATTGCCATTTCACGATGAACGAACAATTAAAAATTTCTTGCACGTTGATCTTTTTATTGATTTCACGAAACACAGTGAATAACGAACCTTTTTCACAGCTGCACGTGAAATAAAAATGGCAAAACACGTTGCACGAAAATAATCCTTTACCACCCTCGTAACAATGTCCTGTTGTACGCTTAAAAAAAAAACCCATATTGCATTAGATTCTAAAACAGAGAATTAATTCAAGTACAAAAATAATGTGATGACTTTGTTGAAACTCATTGACAAACATTTTGGATACTAATAGCTATTATCATCAACACTGATATCATGTTCAGATATACCTAATAGACAAACATTTAGGATAATACTTTTAGTTGTAATCATCAACAGAAGTGATAATGTAAGTTTGGATACAGCAGTATTATTTTTTATGTAAAGAATAAACAATTTGTGTAAAATTTGTTATTTTCTCTATTCACACAGGAAAAAATCAGTGCCCCTGTACTAAGCCAGATTCAGAAAGACTTGAATCAAAAGCCTTTCCCAGAATTATGTGATACTATGGACAAACTCGACATAGCTATAAGTTTCCTTAAATCTGTTGGTTCTGACCCAGAGAGTCCATTGAGTGACTTTATGGTCAACATACTGAAGATTGATGACTCATTGGTTAGCCAGAAGGTAAACAGAAAAAAAATCATCTTATTATTCTAGGGCACCAATTTTCATAAATTAAGGAAAAATTGTGTTTTTGTGGATATTTGAGTTCGTGGTTTGGATGACAAGCCTATAGAAAATTTGTATTTTATTGACTATTTGAATTAATTTAGATCCCCTTTACCTACAAAGTCCAAGAAAATTAGTGTCCCACGATTAATTGTGAATCTACACAATACCGTTGTTAGATCACTTTACTACAGAAATAATGATTATATAAATCAAATTGTGGTCTTGTAAAAAATCAGTTATACTCTTCTCTGACTCCAATGGCTTATGTGTGGTACATGTTCTACAATGTTCTTGTTTTACTGTAATAAAATTGAGAATGGAAATGGGGAATATGTCAAAGAGACAACAACCCGACCAAAGAGCAGACAACAGCCGAAGGCCACCAAAACATATATATGAACTAAAATTAAAAAGCATATAAGACAAACAAAGGCCAGAGGCTTCTGACTTAGGACAGGCGCAAAAATGCGGTGGGATTAAATATGTTTTGTGAGATCTCAACCCTCCCCCTATACCTCTAGCCAATGTAGAATAAAGAAACACATAGCAATACGCACAGTAAAACTCAGTTTAAAAGAAGTATTAAACTGATTGAAAGATTATGTCTTCATCATATATGAAAATCAAGTTCAACCCCTCCCGTTAGGGGTTTAGTATCATACCATCATAAAATATATGAGAAGAACATAACCCCTATCATGCCAACAACTGGTTTTAGAATAAATGTGTTTACTTCCAATGCAAAGACCCTATGAGTGAATCAATATTAATACCAAAATATGCAATCCTTAATGACCTGACAACAGTATCGTAACTATATCCTTTCCGAATAAGTCTGTTTAAAGGTTTGGTTAGCCTTTGAGGTGAATGCTGACATTTTTGTGCTTTGTAAAGAATATTACCAAAAAAATACCTGAACGTATAAGATGTCTGCATGTTGATTTATATTTATGAATGATTTCCTTGTACCAATGTAATAATAAATGTTTAGTTTTAATGTAATAAATGTTTAGTTTTAATAGTTCACTAAAAAGTCTTTTTTGGCAAATTGCCTATTGACAACCTTAAAAATGTGCACTACTTGAGACAATTTGTTCATACAAACTAACTTCACACACATGTTTTCATTTTTAACCAGATTTTCAAAGGAAAAATCAGTTATTAGTCCACTTCCGAGTTGTCGGTAGGGGACTTTAGGTTTGCACTCTATCTATCTGTCAGTCCGGTAAATCAGTTTTCCACACTTTTGTTTCTTCATGCTTGAAAATATTGATTTGATATTTGGTTTATTGTTTTATCATCACAAGTTACAGGTCTAGTTTGAATTTTGTTCTGGTCTGATGATTTTGTGCAGAGTTATGGCCCTTTGACTTAAAAAAAAAATTCACTAAAATAAAAAGTTTTCAACACTTTTTTTCGTCATGCTTGAAGATATTGTTTAGATAAGTGTTATATAGTTTTATAATAACAAGTTACAGATCAAGTTCGAATTTTGTTCTGGTCTGATGATTTTTTTGCAGAGTTATGGTCCTTGGACTTAAAAAAATTCACTAAAATAATAAGTTTTCAACACTTTTTTTCGTCGTGCTTGAAGATGTTGACTTGATATTTATTATATAGTTTACACCATGACATGTTAAAGATCAAGTTAGAATTTTGTTCCAATACAATGAATTTTTAACTGGTAGGGGACTATGTATTGCCATGTAATACTTACAGAATGCTTGTTGATTTGGGGATGTACAGCTGGTGGGCGGCTGCCAAACAGTGTACATTCATTAACATGCAAACGCTTTGACAAATTTTTTTCAAATTTTGATATGTGGTTTCCTGTGATAAAATGAAGGTCAAATTCAATTTTCACAATTTTAGCCTCTCTGGTTTTTGAGTTTTCGACTTTTTAAAAGTCCAAATATATATTTATTATACAATTGAGTTATTTCTCTTTGAACAGAAATTGTGATTTGCAAATATCATTTTCATAAGATAATAATCTATTTTTATTAAAGGATATATTTCATTACATTACATTGTGTAGATAAGATTGTTGACATTGATAGATAAGTTGCAGATCTATATTAGTTTGTGACAAATGAAAGAAGAAATATTGGGAACTATTAATTATATATATAAAGTTTGATTACACAAAGTGTTTTTGAATAATTTTCACCTGTTAATAGATAACAAAACATCTGGTAAATATCTTATCACACAATTATAATTGGAGTAACAGATTTATTTGAAAATTTTCTGTTTCCTAAGTTGATGATAAGACCTGTAGGACAGTATAAATAAAGTTTGAAATTTACTGTTAGACATTTTGAAGATAATTACAGATATGTTTTATAGATTTTTAATAGATATTGTATTAATGATAAATGACATTTTGGATTTTTTTTCATCTTTCTTTTGTAAATTGTTTGAAGAATTTTGTGGTTGGTTTGTTTGTTATTCTGTATAAACTTATTTTCTGAATGCTATATATATATTTTATTTGATGAAGCAAACTCCTTTAAAATCTAAGCTTAGTTTGTCTATTAATAAACATATATTTAGATTTCTGATTTTGGGACCAGTTTTCAAGTTGGTCCAAATCAGGGTTCAAAATTATACTGTGTTTGATTTCAACATAAATTGAATATATATAAGGTTCTTTGAAAAGCTGAATCTAAACCTGTATTCATTTTCATTATTAATTAGATAATACTGTCCCAATGAGATCCAAAGGGTCCTAAATTAAACTTTTGTTTGATTTCATCAACAATTCAAAAATTGAATTATTGGGGTCCTTTGATATGCTAATGGTAACAATGTTATTGGATTTTGGATATTGGACCATAAAAGGGTAAATTTCCAATTTCAAATTTTTCAGTTCTTTGGCCACATTCATTTTGTGTCACAAACCTATGCTGTATCAAATATTCAATCACAATCCAAATTCAGAGCTGTTTTAAGCTTAAATGTTGTGTCTATACTTGCTCAACTGTTCAGGGTTCGACCTCTGCAGGAAAATCCGGTTTGCTGTCACTCTGACAGCCTCTTGTTATTTAGTTGAATTTAAAAGTTACAGCCCTTGGATGGTGTAAACTTCCCAAAAAAACGTGTATGGTGTAATGGTGAATGGCATATGGTGCAATGGTAGAAGGTGTATGGTGCTATGGTGTATGGTGTAAGGGGAATGGTGTAACGTGCGATCGGGAATGGTGTGAGTGAATGGTGTACGACATTTAAAACTATGCAAAATATTGATAAGAACTGATTTTTAATTTTATACATTAATTTACAATATTGTGATCAAAATTTGTTTTTTAAGATAAATAAATAATTTTGTAGTCGCACGCTTTCTTTGAAATTAAATTGCATTATGGTGTAATGTGTAAGGTGTATGGTGCAAAGGTGTAACATGTATGGTGTAATGGCACAGGGTGTATGATGTAATGGTGAATGGTGTAATGGTGTATGGTGTTAGTAGGAAGTTTACACCATCCAAGGACTGTAACTGCAGTAAGAGTTGTTTTCTTTTCAGGCACAACAGTCTTGTAAATGTAAACACATACAAAGTTTGTGGATGACTTTGGCACTGGAGAAAACAAAACTTCTAGAAAACAATAACAAGGTCTGTATTATATTTTATTATTATAATACCCCTGCTTTAAAAAAGTGGGGGTATACTGTTTTACCTCTGTCTGTCTGTCAGTCCGTCCATCCATCCGTTAGTCCATCTATCTGTCAATCCATCCGTCAGTCTGTCCGTCCCATGAAAATTTTGGTTGCATCTTTTTCAGGAACTACATTACAAAGATTTCTGAAATTTGGTTCCAGGGTTTATATAAGTCAGCTATACTGTGTGATGCGTTTTCAGATTCATCACTCAACAACTTCCTGTTTACCGAACACTTGTATCATTTTACACATGATAATAGCCAAGTTGAAAATTTTCGTCACATTTTTCTCAGGAACTACAATACAAGGATTTCTGAAATTTGGTTTCAGGGTTTATATAAGTCAGCTATAACGTGTGATGCATTTCAGATTCATCACTCAACAACTTCCTGTTTACCGAAATATTTGGGTGGGGGTATCATCAGTGAGCAGTATCTCGCAGTTTCACTTGTTTTGCTTTGTTTTTATTACCTCTACCCAATATTCTTGTCTAGGCCCATCACACAAATGGATTTAAGACCAGACCCTGAAGAGCTCATGTGTTACCAAGCTGAAAAGAATCTCGTACTTTAACCAGCTTGTACAGACGAGACAAGATAAACAAACAATAGGTTGAAATGAAACAGAATACTGGTTTGGGCAATCGAACCACATTTTAATTAATTTCTTTCATCATATAAATAACAATGACAATAAACAATGAAAGAATCATAAAAAGTTAAATTTTTTTCGCAAATATCAATTAACTGATAAGTCTGTGGTACTCCACAACAGGAAGCTGAAAACAAAATAACTGTGGTATCAAAATGTAAATTGAAACTAAACAACTAAAATTATACATGAAATGAAATGTAAACAATTTAATATACATGATTAATAAGTTTGTTTCCTGATGTCAAAAGTATGAGTTCCTACAAAAGTAAAATATGTCTGTTACCGTTGCTGAAATTTTTTATTTTGATGTAATTTTTAGTAGATTTAATAAGGGAACTATAAGTGAAAAAACAAGATCTAAATAAGGAATGCAAAAATTTGCATATTGAAATGGTTAATCCTAACCTATGTGACAGGGGGAGATATGAGAAAAGAGTACATACACAGTCGTTGATAATTACAAGTTTTTAATCATAAACAAGTCCTAAATAGAATTTGTGGTCATTGGTATTAGTTTCCATTCAATAATTCTGGAAGTGAAATATATCTCTCAATCAGACTTGGTGTTCATTTAAAACATTCACACAACATTGTAAAATTTTACTGAAAAGTGAAATCCTATAACTTATTCCAATAAATGCTATTGACCAAACATATAATTTAATCCAAATTTTCTGTACATCATAGTTTTCAGTTTACAATTCATTATATACATTTTTTATGTGTGAAATGATCAGAGAGGAAGATGAGTAATTATTTAGTACTCTTTAAAGAAATAAGTATTATTTATTAGCATCAAATTTTCAAATACTTGAAAACAATTGTCTTATAAATAGTATGAAAGTCTGTTTTCGTAAGATGTATGTAAGTTGCCAGCATATGAGTTTTTTCACTATTAAAATTTGTATTTTGATGGGCGTTTCATATCAATATTAACTCATTTATTTTATGAAGATTTGTTTTAAAAAAAGGAATGCTGAAATCAAGTGGAAATAGGTTAAACCTTTAAAAAGTCATTTGCAGCAAAGTAGGTTTCAACACTAAGCAAATGTGTAAATAGCCTTGTACAGGTAAGTTCAAATTGAATTGAACAAGTTGCGAGTAAATTATTTATATGACAATGTAAGAATTTCTATGTAAATGTCATTGTTTTTACATGCATGTGACTCAGAAAATTCAAAAGAGTTAGAACATTGTACCAACAAATTTAAAACAAACTGTTCCAATACAAATTTGCCAGTGCTGCATACTAATGTACTTTCACTGCCATATTGATGATGTGATGAGACTTTAAAATGAGTCTGGAGTTTAGTGCATATGGTTATTTCTGTCTTTTTCACACAAATGAAAGCTTTAACATTCTTCTTCATCTCCATTGCAGGAGTCATTTGATAATATTTCCTCAGCTTTCAAACAGAAACTTTCTGAAGGACAAAGTGAGGCTATATATGAAATCTTGGACAACTTACAAATAGAACATCTAGATTACTTGTCACATATGCTCTTTGACTGTCTTCTGCTAACTATAGACATCCCTCAGAAAGATGAAGAATCTGTTGATATGTCCAAAGTTGGGTATGTATTTTTATCTTACCATCTATACATTTCTAGGAATATGATTGGTTAGAAGCAACCGCATGGAGACCATGTATATTTTATATGGGGTTAGTAGGTGTGGTTTATTTCAATACACCGTTAGTAGTGGTGCTATGTCTCTTTGTAAAAACAACACAGTGTTAAGGAAATTCTGAAATGTTTCAACAGACGAAGAAATTGATGATGAAAGATTGAAATAAATGAAGAAAACACATAAAAAGTTAAGAAGTTGTTATTGTTGAAACTTGTTTTTGCATAGACCAATGGAAGTAGGTTCTAGATATTGAAGACTTGATCACTTTGATAGGCCACTAGTCTAAATGCACACTATGTAACTAATAATACATGAAATTTATGTGTAGGAAGAAAAGATGTAGGTATACATCAATGAGGCAGCTACCTAACAAAAAAAGACATCTAGGGGTCAATATATAGTCATGGTGTCTTCAAAAACAGACCATTGTCTACAGTAAGCTGTAAAATGGACAGAGTGTTGAAAAGTATTGGATTTAATAAATTACTTGCAGACGAGACCATCAAATGTTTTTTTATGCATTTTTAAAGATGAGAGAGCAGCACAGCTTTTTATATATCTTCCAAATGAATTGATATACTGGTTTATTTCTGTCAATCTATGTGTCCTTCTGTCAATCACTTTATTTTAGGAACTACAAATCAGAGCATCCTGAAATTTGGTATCAAGTTTCATGGGAGCATGGTACAACATTTGATAGTATTCACATCAATTGCTTTTCAACTTCCTTTTTATTGAGTATTTATAGGGAGAGAGGGTGCATTAGTCAGTAGCTCACAGTTCAACTTGTCTTTCTCATTTTTCTTAAAACAGCATATGGTAGTTGGTTAGTGAAACTTTTTTTGTAAGTACTGACAAGAAAAGAACCAATTTTTGTTGAATATCACTTATTTAATGAGTGGATGTGCTTTTTCAACATTAGAAAATAATTCCAGAAGTTGATTTGCTTTGAAATACATAATGAAAATTCCATTCACAGGCTAGTAAGCAATGCTGTTAACATTAAATGTAAGTAAGACCTGTTTCTATTTTCAGATTGAAAGAAGCAATAGAATCTTATCTGTATGACCCCCCATATGTAAATGAAGCTCCGACACCAGATTGGCTTAAAAGATTTGTTAATGCTTTACCTCAGGATGGAGATTCTCATCTGCTTTGCTGTCATGGGGTAGAAATATGGGTTATTATTAACGAAATATTTACTGACAAAAAGGACCAGATGTTATAGAAACATGTAATTAAGACCTACAAGTTTTTGTTACAACAAACTGACTTTTTTTTTTATGGTTGAAAGTTTCAAAGAGTAATTTGTTTATCTTAAGGTTTTATCATACCTGCCAACTTTTCAAAGTCTTCATTGCACATTTTAAACACGAGAAGACCTAATGCATACCTATACATGTCATTAGTGTACTTAATTATAATATCTATGGTTTTGAATGAGTATACATGTGTTTAAATGTATTTTTTACTGCTCTGAATGACTTTTTTTTTTAAGTATAAAGTCTTGAGTTATATAAAGTTCAGGCCAACACCTCTCATAGGGGACATCCCCCATTAATAGGGAAAGTTGGAAGGTCTGTTTCATATTGAGTTTTATGAGTATTGATTTATATATATATCTCCAGGAAAGAACATTATTATTTTTTTATACAAATTTGATTGCAATATGCTTAAGACAATGTAATTATTGGGTTGCTAGATATTTTTACCAAGTTACGGTTGGATTGTTCATTAAATACCCCCAAAAAATGTAATAAACACAGCATAGTATCTTAGAGTAAATGAACCTTTCTGAATTTTTTAATTATTTAATGCCATTAGAATTGGTAGCAACATGATTGTTTGTTTGTTTGTTTGTTTACGAATACTGTGATATTTTGTCTTGTAATGTGGTTTATTATCATTTTTATGGGTTTAGTATAGAATTTATAGACTTTTTATGTAATCAGTTTTATTATAGCCTATATTCTTTGAAGTTTTTGTTCATAAGGTACACCATAAAATCAGTATAATGTTTGCATTTCAAGAAAAATAAATCTAGAAACGTTTATATCAAAATTAATCAGAAAATATAGTATCTCACATGAAAGCTTACATCAGTTTACAATCTATCAATGAACAGTAACTGTAGTTTCATTTTTGATATACATACTTAGTATTTGTAAACATTTTGTTATTGTTTCATTTGCCTTTTTTGAATAAAGATGTCTTTTTTTTGATATTTTGATAAGCCTATTGTATTGCATGGAATGAGTGAAAATTATTTTTAATCAAATTGTTTGTTAAATAAAGTATGTTTTTTCATGTTATCTTTTACATCTTAAAATATTTTTTAAACGAGATTCAAGACTGATAACAACAGCTAATTAATAATAATTTACCGGTAATAGTAAAGCTATTGTATAACTTTGTCAGATAATGATGATCTAGTTTGTAAAAGTGTTCAAAGAAGATTGATTTAAGAACTACTGTTTGTTGTGCATACTTGTTTATTTTTGTGATTTTTAGAGCATCAGTCATTCATTTGTGATAAATCATTCATCAGTATTATTTTTAGAATTATTTATGCCCCACCTACCATAGTAGGAGGTGCATTATGTTTTCTGGTCTGTGCGTTCGTTTGTTCGTCCGTTGGTCTGTCTGTCCCGCTTCAGTTTAAAGTTTTTGGTCAAGGTAGTTTTTTATGAAGTTGAAGTCCAATCAACTTGAAACTTAGTACACCTGTTCCCTATGATATGATCTTTCTAATTTTAATGCCAAATTAGAGTTTTGATCCCAATTTCATGCACTACAAACCAGTAAAAGTCTGAAATGGCCTATATCTGTACTCAACTGTACTGATTTTTACTCGACCAATCTGAATTGGTCTGAATTTTACTTGACATTACTCGACCCCAGTCTTAACCATACTCGATCGTACTGATTTGTACTTGACCCTTATCTTTGCCATTGAAAATAGTCTGAACTTTTACTCGACCAGTCTGAAACAGTCTTAACCCATTCTCGACCTGTACTCGACCAATTTTTTCAGTCTAAACCATACTCGACCAAAGGTCTGAACAATACTGGACCAGTCTGAACCATACTTGACCAAAAAACCTATATTTTTTTTTAATTTTAGCTGTTGAAATTAATTTCTTTTTTTCTGACATGACAACAGCCACAATAAAATAAAGATATATATAAAAACATATTTTTATATCCTTACATGATTCTCAGATTTATCAAATAGAGATAGTTAAATTAAATTATCTTATATAATAATTTAATTATATTAATTTTAAAGTTTTAGAGTTTTGTTAAAAAGAAGATTTTCTTTTAACTAAAAACCACACCTTTACTGAGGATAATAAAACCTTATTAAGGTGCTTCTTGTTTGGCATGTGGTTTTTTTTTTTTTAACTTAATTTTTCTAAATTCCTAAAGAAAAACTATATAGGTTTCATGGTTACATACAATAGTTATATAATTATCTTTTTAATGAGGTAACAACAGCCAAAAATATATCTATTCTTATTAAAATTTGGGATAAATAATATGTATCAAAAAGGAATAAAAAAATAAAATAATAGATAAAATTTTTCTTATGATTAGTGGTAAAGTATAAAGTAATACCTCCTGCTTGGGGCAAACTCATTAAAAAGATCACACCTGGTCAGAGAATATTAATTGCTAATTAACATTTATTAAAGGTTGCAACATCCTGTAAAAGTTAAATCACAAGGCCTTTTGAATTCACTAGATAAGTAATACACGAGTTTAAGAAAAAAAGGGCTTTCTTTTTACCTGTAAAACACACATGTACTGAGGTAATTAAACCTTATTAAAGTGCTTCTTGTATGCCATGTCTTTCATTTTGACAAAAGTTATTTAAATTTAATTGAAATAAATTTTTTCTGCAACTTTGGAACACATTTCCTTTTTTAAATGGTTATCAAGGATTACTATGGAAGTTCTATTATCATGATTATATTAAATTCTTGGTTTTACAAAACAAAGGTGTGATTTTTAAAATTTATTAAGTTGCTTTATATACTATTTTAAATATATTTTAATAAAAAAAATGTTCACTGCAATATTAACTAAACTCAACTGACACCATAAATCTATACAAGGCTTAAGTAAATGGTGAAAATTGTCCAGTAACCATAAAACATATCTGAAACATTAAAAAAGAAATTTGAATAACATTGAAAATATTAGTCACAATTCAGTTTTGAGATTATTTGATCAGCTTATTTTATTTTCATTATAAAGGTGATATATATATATGTAAGTGTTGATAAATATGGTGTTGAGTTTATATTATGTTTATTGTGAAATTTTGGTTTCAATGCCTTATTGAATACATTTTAAATTTCAAATTGATGTTCAAATTTCTAGCCAGGGGAAATAGCTGTTAAAACAGTTCCTAAATTGATGAAATACAATAGATAGATACAAAAATTAGGTCTAGGATGGTTAAGACTTAGTAGAGTATGGTTCAGACTAGGTCGAGTATGGTTCAGACTAGGTCGAGCATGGTTCAGATGAAAATAAAATGGTTAAGTACTGGTCGAGTAAAGGTCGAACACAAGTTCGGACTGTTTAGTATGGTTCAGACTACAGTCGAGTATTATCAAGTAAATTTCAGACCAATTCAGACTGGTCGAGTAAAAATCAGTACAGTCGAGTACAAATATAGGCCATTTCAGACTTTTACTGGTTTGTAGTGACGGTCCACTGAACATAGAAAATGAAAGAGCGAGTGGGGCATCCGTGTCCATAGTACACATTCTTGTTTTCAGTTAGTTTACAGGATGAATAATTGTTTATCTTTTTGTTTGATGTACAGTCAGATGTAAAAAGTGTTTCCCCACTGGTTCTACAGTGATCCCAAGTCCTTAAGCTTTCATTTGATACTAAAATTACAAAAATATTTGATTTAATGACAAAGTTACAGCTATGCGTAGGAACTATAATGTTTAAAATTTGTACTACTTTCTTGGATGTTCTTTCTGACCAGGCGGAATTAGTGGTTCTATACCTTTGAAGTAAAATTTCAACATACTCAGACCTAAATTATGTTTTTGTCTCGCCTGCAACGAGAGTCACGGATGGCGAGACAAAAGTATTGCTTTTTGGGCAGCAGCGTCAACAATTGTTAAGTTTTCTGCTCAAGTCAGTTTGATAGGATCTTCTTGTGATAGATCAATGATATTTTCTATAATGTTACATTACTATCAGTAAATATATCAGTTTGATGACTATTTCCAGGCCCTGTCCCCTAGGTCATGGTGCTGCAAGTTTTAATTAATTAGCAATGTTGCTGTCCATCATATTGTCTTTTTCTGAATTTTCTGCCTACAGATGAGACATATCTCTATGTCAACAATTTATTAAAAAAGCATTTTTATACGACCGCAAAAATTAAAAATTTTTTGTTCGTATATTGGTATGACGTTGGCGTCGTCGTCGTCGTCGTCCGAAGACACATTGGTTTTCGCACTCTAACTTTAGTTTAAGTGAATGGATGTCCATGAAATTTTACCATAAGGTTCAATACCACGAAAGGAAGGTTGGGATTGATTTTGGGGGTTATGGTACCAACAGTTAAGGAATTAGGGGCCAAAATAAGCATTTTTGTAACTTCCAGACAATAACTTGTGTGTAAGTGTATGGATCTCTCTGACATTGTACCACAAGGTTCCATATCACAAAGAGAAGGCTGTAATTGATTTTGGGGGTATTTGCCTCAAAATTTTAGGAATTAGGGGCCAAAAAAGGGGCAAAAAACAAGCATTTTTCTAGTTTCATGACAATAACTTGTGTGTAAGTGTTTGGATATTTCTGAAATTGTACTACAAGGTTCCATATCACAAAGGGAAAGCTGGAATTGAGTTTGGGGGTAATTGCCCGAAACATTTAGGAATTGGGGGCCAAAAAGGGGCCAAAAATAAGCATTTTTCTAGTTTCCAGACAATAACTTGTGTTCCAGTGTATGGATCTCTCTGAAATTGTACTGCAAGGTACCATACCACAAAGGGAAGGCTGGGATTGAGTTTGGGGGTGATGAATCATAAGGGGGTTCAAAAAATTTGGGGGGGGGGGATTTTTTTTTTTTTTTCTTTTTTTTTCCTTTTTTTTTTTTCTTTTAAAATTTTCCATTTTTTAAAGTTGGTTATTTCTGATTTATATTTAAAAGCATATAATAATGATATGGTAGGAGATACACACCAAACAGGATGTGTAAATTATTATATAATAAGTATTGTGCAATAGCAAGAAATTTTCAATTGCACAGTATTGCGCAATAGCAAGAAATCTTCAATTGCACAGTATTGTGCAATAGCAAGAAATATCCAATAGCACAATATTGCGCAATAGCAAGAAATTGTCAATTGTACAGTATTGCGCAATAGCAAGAAATATTCAATTGCACAGTATTGTGCAAAAGAAGATACTTCGTATAAATTGCTTATTTCTTGATCAATTTCAATGGGATTTTATTCTTGAATTCTTGGGGTTCTTTAATATGCTGAATCTAACCGTGTATTAAGTTTTTGGATTTTGGGCCCCGTTTGTAAATTGGTCCACATTGAGGTCCAAAGGGTCCAAAATTTAACTTTGTTTGATTTCATCAAAAATTGAATTATTGGGGTTCTTTGATATGCCGAATCTAACCGTGTATTTAGATTCTTAATTTTTGGTTCCGTTTTCAAATTGGTCTACATTAAGGTCCAAAGGGTCCAAAATTAAACTTAGTTTGATTTTAACAAAAATTGAATTCTTAGGGTTCTTTGATATGCTGAATCTAAACATGTATTTAGATTTTTGATTATGGGCCCAGTTTTCAAGTTGGTCCAAATCAGGGTCCAAAATTAAACTTTGTTTGATTTCAACAAAAATTGAATAAATGGGGTTCTTTGATATGCTGAATCTAACCATGTATTTATATTTTTGATTTTTGGGCCCCGTTATCAACTTTGTCCACATTGAGGTCAAAAGGGTCCAAAATTAAACTTTGTTTGATTTCATCAAAAATTGAATTCTTGGGGTTCTTTGATATGCTGAATCTAACCATGTATTTAGATTTTGGATATTGGACCATAAATTTAAAATTTTTAAGTTCTTAGACCACATTCATTCTGTGTCAGAAACCTATGCTGTGTCAAATATTTAATCACAATCCAAATTCAGAGCTGTATCAAGCTTAAATGTTGTGTCCATACTTGCCCCAACTGTTCAGGGTTCGACCTCTGCGGTCGTATCAAGCTGCGCCCTGCGGAGCATTTTATTATAGTAATATATAAGGGAATTTCAAAGTGGCGAAACACTTTTGACCTTTGACTGTATATTGCTGTTGTTGCTTAGTTAGTTTTGTTATGAAATACTTATTGTTTAAGAATAAATTTTTATACTAGTTCATTTAATTTTTTTTATATTTTTTCCTTTAATTGAAATGTGTTCTTATCATAAACCTTATTTCATAACTACATTTTTTTTCTTCAAACAGTGAAATTTTACAAAAGATGATGAGACAGATTGTTTGCCTTTTGTATTTATCA